GATGGACATAGGGCGCACCCGGTGAAATGTACTCACCGGAGGGAAGGAAGGCCCGTCTGTCGGGAATTAGTAGGAGGATATATGCGCTAAAGCGGGACAAAGACAGCGTGTTGATCGTATGCAAGATGGGATATTATGGCGACAAGGAGCGTAGTGATCGTCCGGGTTTGGGGAGTTCTATCAGCGCGAGGAGCAGTGCGCGCGTGTTGGTGGCTGGCCTTGCCTGGTGGCGCTATTGATATCTAGGACTACGATCGACTGATGCTCAGCGTGAGGATGCATAGAAGGTTATTATGACATACGCGTCGTCGCGATGAGACCGGAATTTGAAAGAGTGGGCGGCTGGGGGTGGTAGCCAAGTCGATGCAGGGGGGCGACCGGTCGTCAATGTCCGCGAGGGGTGGCTTGGCGGCGTGCTCGGGTGGTATCTTGCGTATTCGTGCGCGCTGAGTAGCGTCGAGGTCGTGGCGGCCCAGGCGGGGGGCGCGCGGGGATCGGTGGTGGTGGCGGGAAGAGAAGAGGGATAAGGAGGGATTGGAGTGGACGCGCTCGGTGCTCGCGATTCGCGCAACGCGAGCCACGCGCGCGCGACGCGTGACGCGCCCACACGTGATCCCCGTTCCTTCTGTGACGTCGATCCTGGCCGACTCGGTCCGTCCCTGAGCTTCCTTTGCCGCTCAGTGCAGCGTCCAAGTCGCGCAACTTGAGTTCTCTTCCTCGGCACCATCCGACATAGCCCGGTCTGACGCTGGCTGGCTGGTGTCCCACTCGGTCGAAAATGCCTGGCAACCCTCTGCGCATATAACCTAGATGCTCCCTTTGCTCGCTCGTCGCACTTTCAGGCCTCTCATGCAGGCTCCCGTTCTCTCTGCTCAGACTAGGGCTGCTTCCCGGACCTCTACGCCTTCTTTACCTCGTCTGCCTGTGCCCGATATGCACACGACGCTCCAGAAGTACCTGAGGTCTCTTGAGCCCATCCTTTTGGAGGATGAAGCACGTGGAGGCACCGACTTCAGGACTGCTTACGCCGCGCGCGTGAAGCTCGTGGAGGATTTTGAGCACGGATTGGGCCCTACATGTCAGGAGAGGCTGCAAGGTCAGTACCTAATGACGCCTATGGCCTACCGGAGTGCCTATCTCTCGCTATCATAGAACTCAACAAAAACTCGCCCAACAACTGGCTGGACGACGGTATATGGCTCAAGAAAGCATACCATGAATGGCAAGCCCCACTCATCGTCAACTCGAACTGGTGGTTAGCCTTGGGGGACGATCCTGTCATTCCTTCCTCCGTCCGTTTCCCCACGAGCACAGTCGACCACTGCACACTATGGCAAATCCGGCGAGCTGCATGGCTTGCGCATCGTGTTCTAGACTTCAAAACGCGATTGGAACGGTTAGTTTTTCCAGTGGCAGAGTAGGTCATTATGATATTGAATAGCTCTCCAGGCAAGAGCTCTACCCAGATACGACGCGAACAGGCACGCATCGTACATGAAGTTCGTCTTGGACCCACAGCGCTGACACCAACCAGGTCTTTGGTTCCGTCACTCGGCCCTGCAGGCGTTCAACACTTGCCGCATCCCTCAGCGCGAATGTGACCGTTTCCTGCCGCGTCCGACCGCGTCCGACTCGGACGGCCGCAAGATACTGGTCATGGTCGCCGACTGGATGTATGCGGTCGAAGCTATCGCTCCCAGCGGCGACCCCATACCTGCTGCGGCGATTGAGAGAAGGTTGCGTGCTATAGTCTCCGATGCAGAATCCCGCCAGAAACGAGGAGAGTGTGCAGTTCCTTTGAGCGTACTCACGACAGACGACCGGGATCGCTGGGCAGACGTGCGTCTTTGACCGCAATTGTCTCCCTCACGCATACATTGACCTTGAACACGGCGTAGAACCTCGCACACCTCTTGTCCCTCTCGCCTGCCAACCGCTCCATATTCACCACGATCACGAACAGCGCCATTGCCGTCAGCTTAGACAACTACGCTTACGACCTCCCCAAGTCCCAGCGCACGTCCGACCCAGACCTCACCGCGCACCTGCACAACATCCGCTCCGGCCACAACGACCGTCCGGGACACAACAGGTGGTACGACAAGGCATTCACGCTCATCGTCGAGGCGAACACGCGCGCAGGCGTCCTCGGGGAGCACTCGCCGGTTGATGCACTAGTGCCGAGCATCATTGCGGACTATGCGATCGTGCAAGGGGTGGACGAGGCCGCGTTCCCTAGCGCCCTCCATGCCGACGATTCCTCGGTGCAGTCTGGAGACGCTGCCGGAGGCTATCTTGTGAGCGGATGGGAACGTCTGGACTGGGTTGTGGATGCGAAGATCGAGGCCGAGTGCGCCGAGGCGGCTCGGAGGGCAAAAGCGATCGTCGATGACTCGGACAATGACGAGCTCGTGTTCGACGCATACGGGGTTGACTGGATCAAGGAAGGTGCGCCTCCACCTCCGTCTACCCATATCTGTCACCCACACCCTCCGTCGAGCTGTGCTAACCATCACGCCTGCTAGCCCGCCTGCCGCCCGACGCGTACATCCAGATGGCGTTGCAGCTCGCATGGTACCGCACGCGCGGGGAGTTCACCGCGACGTACGAGACCGCGCTCACGCGGCTCTTCAAGCACGGCCGCACCGAGACGATCCGCACGCTCTCGACTGACAGCCGCGCGTGGGTCCTCGCCATGGCAGATCCGTCCACCTCCGTGAGTTTGCGTCGTTCCTCTCTCGTCGGCTGTCACTGATATATCTTTGTTTGACTCACTCTCCTTCATATGCGCTCGCGACACGTCAGAACGACACGCGCTTCGTGCTTCTCCAGCGCGCACTGCAGACACACTCGCAGCTGACGCGCGAGGCGGCCACCGGGCGCGGGATCGACCGCCACTTGCTCGGGCTGCGGCTCATGCTCCGCGCGGACGCGGGCGAGCACCATGCACTCTTCGAGGACGAGCTCTTCGCACGGAGCCAGGAGTGGAAGCTGAGCACGAGCGGCCTCAGTGCAGGGTACCAGTTCCGTGGGACCGGGTATGTGTGCTCTGCCATAATGTGGGGTGGTATCACTGACATGGTGGATTGGGATGCAGGTTTGGGGCTTCATATGAGGACGGGTACGGGATCAACTGTGAGTGCATTAGTGTGTCTGTGTCTGATGTATGGCTTATATCTGGATGGGTAGACATGCCTGCACCTGACCTTATTAGGTTTGGCATTGAGTCCAAGCACTCCTGTTCAAAGACAAGCACACAGGGTTTCAAGACAGCAATTGCTGATGTGCTAGAGAATATGAGGACACTATGCACACCTACTTTACAAGCACATTTATAGACACACTGTAATATTCACACCACCACTCAAATAGCAATCCACATCATCATGATTGACAGCATTGGGGGACACATACAACAGGGTTTCCAAGCATACAAGTACATTCCTACATAGTCATTTCAGGCCTCCTCCACAGTGATGTGCTCAGGGTTGACCCAGACTGAGTCACCCCATTTAGCTGCCATGCGTCCAACCAAGGTGTTAGCTGCCCTCTCCCAAACAAAGTTCCAGGAGGTGATGATGTACATGCCCCGCTTGCAGCGGGTGAGCATGACATTGGTGCGGCGGTAGTCGTCAAGGAAGCCAAGGCCCTTGGAGCGCACCAAAGACACAATGACAAAGTCTTTCTCATTTCCTGCAGGGGTGCTTAGTAACAACAGGATGAGGAGAGCAGGATAGTTGTGCGCACCTTGGAAGGAGTCCACATTGAAGCACTTGTCCTGCCAGACAAGGCCAGACTCCTTCATCTCCTCCTCAAGGAAGCTGCGCTGGGCATCGTAAGGGGTGATGATGCAGTACTCCTTTCCCTCACTCTGGAGCTTCTCAGCTATTTTAAGTGCTGTAGCTCTCTCTGCAGGATTCTGGGACACAACTATCAGCTAGGCCACATATAGAGGTTGAGGAAGCACTCACATGCCAGCTGGTCTCCTGTCTCTTCTCCTCAGACTCATCAACATGGACAAACCAGCAGGAAGGGGTTTCATAGGGCACAGGGTGTTCAGGGTTGGACTGGAGCTGGCTGTCATAGACAACCTCAGAGACGACATCTCCAATCAAGGGAGGCATGCGGTCTAAGGCCAGGCTGTCAGCAAATGTGGAGGAGAGCAGACAGGGGCTTACACTGGATGCTGAGGAAAAGGGCTGTAGGACGCAGGTGCTCAATCTCAAAGACACTCTTCATGTACTCAGAGTCCTCTGCACCATAGGGAGGCACTGCAGGTGGGATAAGCATCATGACTGGGAGGGTGTAAGGGAAACTCACATTGCTTGTCATCCCCAATCATGCACAATTTATAAATGGAGGGAAAGTTCTGGAGGGGTGCTACATAGCTGCCAAGGGTGATCTGACTGGCCTCATCAACCACAACTATCTTGATTGGGTTGACACTGGTGAAGATGTGCAAGTGTGGATGGGCGAGCATGGAAAGGGTGCAGAGAAAGACAGGGACCCGTGGAGGCTGACGACGTGCCCTCTTGAATTCACCCGAAGGGATGATGTTCTTGACGATGCGTTCATAGAGGTGCTCATGCCTGCAAATTGATTAGCTCATATATAACATAGACATAGAGGGTACATACCAGCCGACATGAAAGTCTTTGGACACTAGAAGCTTCCAGTTGTCGAAGCCGACATCGGCGAGTTTCTCGGCGATGTTCTTGACTGCAATATTGGATTGCGCTACCAGCCATATGCCAGTCACCCCAGCGGAAACCGCTGAAGTAACGAAGGCTGCTATGACGGTGGTCTTGCCTGTAGCACAAGTGTCAGAGAAGCTATCACATGGCAAAGATAGACGTACCTGTTCCAGGGGGACCCTGGATAATAGTTGTACGGGTGTCATTGGTGTTGGAAAGCATGGCCTCCACAGCGAGCTGCTGGGAGTCATTGAGAGGGCGGAGTGAGACAATGGGCGGGATGGTGTCAGAGGTAGGGAAGGTCTCGGGCCAGGCGAAGTCATCGGAAGGCTGGAGCATATGCTGAAGGAAGGGGTTGCTGAGGGGGTTGTGCTTGCCTTGCAAGGCACCGAGCATCGTGGACGCCCGCGCCCTGTCGGCATTAGTTGGCCCATCCCGTCCCTGGGTTACAATGGAGGTGATCTTCCTGCCAGCGAGGTTTATGTTGGTCTTGAGCAAGGTGTCGCGCCCGACAACCTCGTTGACTTTGGCGTTGATGGTTATGTCGAGTCCAGTCTGTGGGTCATGGACGGTGACCTTCTGGGTCCTCTGCCCAGCTGTACATCAGCGTGTGTACACATGATGGCGTACGTGAACTTACTTCAGACATCCTGATGCGGTTCTGGAAACGGTCGGACTTGAGGTGAGCCGTACCGTGATGGGCGCCCACGGCGTGGTATTCATGTGTAGTGACGGTGGGGGCATTGTGGGCCAGGCGGTTCTCGCCGTGTTCGAGCTGTGCGTATAGGCCAAGTTGCTGAAGAGTTGTATGTGTTTTGATTAGATCACCGAGTGAGCACTAAATTAGTGACGACACACCATTTCCGTCATAGCTTCAGTGTTGATCGCATGTGCACCCTGGAAGACATCCTCCATACTGGGATAGTTCGGGAGACACTGGGCGACCCAGGCTTGGAGTGCGAAGGCGTTCGTGCGCTTCGAGTCCAGCGTCGAGCTCTCAAAGGTTGCCAGGACGTTCTCCTCCATGACGGAAATGTCGTCGCCGGCGGCGAGCTTGATCGCCTCGAGTGGCTCGCGATCACGGTCTTTCCCGCAGGCGTCCTGGATATCCACGCCGTTGCGGACGCGCAGACCCTGATCGACGAAGAGAGCTATCGCGAGCTTGTTGAAGTCGAACGCGAGCAGCATGACGTCCGGGTTGCAGAGAACTTGAGATGAGAGGACCCCACGGCCCTGGTACGCGGCGGCACCCTTGCCCTTGGCGTGAAATTGGATGATGATGACCTTGGTGCGTACCGCGAGTGCGAGGCGGCAGAGTGTGCCGCTCTCTGAGAAGATCGGCGCGAGGCCAACGCGACGAAGAGAGGGCGAGCCCTCAAAGAAGGTGTCGAAGAGCTCCTTCGTGAGCTTGGACTCGAGGATCTCGTCGTTCACGAGGATTGGCGGATGGTCGTCATCGATGAGATTCTGATAGATGGTGCGCGTCTTAGGGGCCATAGTGAAGGAGGAGGAGGTCTGCAGAGAGAGGGAAGGCGAGGGTGGTTTTGAGGGAGAGTACTGATATGAACAAGGCAAGGTGAGAGACAACGCGGGAGCGGCGTGTTGACAAGAAGCCTCAAGAAGCGACATCTTGGGCCACAAAGCGGGCATTTCGCGCTTTCGCCGCTCCCAGGCTACTTATACGATCCCTGGCGATTGCGCACGGGTTCACGAAGCAACATACCGGACTGCCGCAGCATTGATGTCTGCCGCAGGGCGTGTTTTCCTCGACGAGACAAACCACACAGACCGAGTCGCCTGGCTGACTGTAGAGCACGCAGCACGTCAATATATGAGCACATCACGCCGAAGCGAGTCGCAGAATACCACAAACGCAGATCTGGAGTCGGATCAAGGAGTACAAGACAAAGCGGCAGTGGACGCTGCAGATGCACAGCGCCGATCGCCTTCTGGGCGCTTCGCGGCTCCCCGCTGACGAGAGGCGGCAGCTGCACTCGCTGCTGCTTGCGAAAGTACCCTCACTCGCCCTCTCGCACCCTCCCTCCGTCTCTCATTCCTCACTCATGGCTACACCTGTTCTCATCGGGTTTGGCGCCATTGCCGCTGCGATCGCCGGTCGGTCTCTCATGCGCCGGGGTATGCTCGGTGGAAAGAATGCCGCAGAGCAGTGGGTCAAGGGTGGCTTCAAGGCAAAGATGGACCGCAAGGAGGCCATCGCTATCCTGGGGCTCAAGTGAGTCAACAGTGCTCTATGTATTTCTCAAATACTTACGGCCTATCTACGTCGTCAGAGACGGCCCGCAGCTGAGGAAACAGCTCAAGGACGCGCATCGGCATATCATGCTCGCGAACCATCCAGACCGTGGCGGTTCGCCGTATATCGCTAGCAAAATCAACGAGGCTAAGGACCTGCTAGACAAGTCGGAGGGGAAGGCGAGGTGATCGCGCTCGTCGAGTCTTGTCTGGTGCGTCTCGCTCTCCTGCATTTGTAAATGCCTGTCTAATTCCCAGCCGGACCTCAGTTCCTCCAGTCGCATCCGCTCCATTTACGATGTATCCATGCCTAATGATGTATATTGCCTCCCCATAATACCAGCACCGTTCCTCCAACACACCGACTCCGGCCCCGCGCACCAGGAAGCCTACTACGCTACACCAAACACCATCACTTTCGAGACGGGTAAGCCGTCGTCCCGTCGTCCAGCGCGCTTTTGTATACGTGTTGTTCGTAATTTCCTGCCTCTCTGCACACTACGCTGCGTCTTCCGCCAGTTTTGCGCGTACAGACCTCCCTGCCCCTTGCTGACTAAGCCATTTTCCCTTATCACCTGCCGCGATGTCCTCTACCGATCTCCCTCCTTCAAAGCTTGGAACAAAACAACAGTGAGTCGCAAAACGCTCCATACGTGAACCTTCCCGACTCGAACCCCAACGCAGCTGGGATGAAGTCTACTCGTCCGAACTCGCGAATTTCGCAGATATCGGCGATGAAGGAGAAGTCTGGTCAGTACCATCCCTGTGTACATCGCGTTGCGCTCTTGCTTCGGTCTACTGATCGCATCGCGTTCTCTCGCACATCCAGGTTTGGCGAAGACAGCGTAGAGAAGATGGTGGACTGGGCGCTCGAGAACGTCCCGACGGACCCCGCACCGTACATCCTGGAGGTCGGCGCGGGGAATGGCAACCTGCTCTTCGCGCTCTGTGACGCAGGCTATGCACCGCACAAAATTTGCGGCGTCGACTACAGCGCAGACGCGATCAATCTTGCGCAGGCCATCGCGAAGGCGAGAGCCGTCCAGCCGTCTGCTGAAGACGCGGGGGATGACGAGGAAGACGCGGGTGGAGGTCCTGCGGGTGCAGACAAGATCACCTTCGCTACGTGCGATTTCCTTCAGGACGAGGTGGCTCGCCTTTCCGGAATGGGTGCCGAGTCGGATTCAGACGTTGCAGTCTGGGATTTCGTCCTCGACAAGGGGACCTTTGACGCGATCGCGCTCGCGGAGAAGGACGAGGCAGGAAAGGCCCCCGCGGACGGGTACCCAGCACGGATAGGACGAGTGGTCAAGCCCGGAGGATACTTTCTCATTACCTGTGAGTTTCTCGCAAAGTGTGCGCCTCTCTGTCGCCGACGTCGGTGTTTTAGCATGTAATTTCACGGAAGCCGAGCTCGAGGGGAAGTTCGCGAACGGGGAGACCGGGCTGGAGTATCAGTAAGTCATCCTTCAGCTCTCAATTGGCAAAATGCTGGACGATATACACTAGTTCCAGGATAGCGTGGCCGACATTCTCGTTTGGGGGGCACAGTGGTAATGTGTACTCCAGTGTTGCTTTCCGCAAGCCATGATTGTCGCTAGCACTGTAAACAAGATAGGCCTATGCTCACAAGTTCCATGACCCGCGCGAAGATCGAGGGAGACGCTACACTTAGAACGCAGGAACGAGCTCCATACCCGTCCTGAGAGCGTCCAGCGCGACCTGGCTAGCCCACTTCAAGAAGCCCTCCTCGCCCTTGAACGCCGTCTGGAGGAAGTACACCAGCCCCAGCGCGACCGTCTGGATCTTCGAGCCCCGCAGGAACACCTCCTCGAGCGGGCCCCTGTTCCGCGTCGTCGGCAGGTCCTCCGTACGCCCCTCAGCGAGCAGCGGCGTCGCAAGCTGGGTGTTCGCGAGCGTGTGCACGAACAGCTCGCGCAGGAACGTCTGCGACTGCGGCCGGAGCACGGTGAAGTCGACGGGCTTGAGGACGGCGAGCGTGCAGCAGTCCTTCGCGAGCCACCAGCCGTACGCGCGTGCGACGTTGCGCATGCGCGAAGAGGAAATGCTTTTGACGTTGAAGCCCGCGTGGTCGTCCTCGCTGAGGTTCTTGAGGATCTCTGCGCCGCCGACGGTCGTCTCGCCCATGTCCCGCAAGAAATCCCAGAGGCAGAACTGGAGGGTGATCTTGTGCGAGTGGGAGAGGCGGCAGAGCTGCTGGATGACAAAGGCGTAGTACGGGTTATACTGCTTCTCCTGTTGGGCGAAGGGCATGAGCTATCGCAATGGACACGTGCATGGGTCAACGTACGTTGCCACAGCAGTGGAGAATAACACGGATGATCTCGCGTTGCTGCACCTCCGTCAACTTCAGCTGTGACAGTCGCTCGCAGGCGTCCACATAGTCCTGAGGAAGGGAAATGAGCACATCATACTATCCACTTCATTTGGAAACGCACATCACTGCTCATGAGCACGACGAAGATGCTTCGACGGATGTCGGTGTTCATTCCTTGCTTCTTGGCGAGTTTGAGGAGAGCATTCTCGCTAACGGTCTCTGCAGGGGCGGGATTCGTTGTTTGAGACTCGGCTTCCTGTTGACGATCCACAAGCGGGTCTCCTCCCCACGCAGCGCCGACAAGCCACCACTTCCCCTTGGAATCCGCTGACCGCAGGTCTTCCAACGATACTCTGAGAGGCTCACGCGACATCACTGTCGACACACTGTTAATCTCCCACTGGACAATTCGAGCAGGGAGAGCACCGACCTTGACGTTTCTTGCTCAAACCGGACAGGAACTTTTTCATCCTGTCGACGGCCTCGTTGCCGGCGCTCTGGCCAGCAGCTTTCTTGACCTTGTTGTTCTTGAGGTTGCTGAGAGTCTCGATCATGAAGCGCGTGCGAGAGCTGAGCGCGCTCGCATCTGGAGGTAGCTTGGTATGGACGATCTGAATGATACTCTTCAGTGCCGTCGGGTCGTCCTGCCTTAGCTGTTGTCCAGAGTCTGCGAGGAAAGGTCAGCTATCGGGCGTAACACATGAGTGCCCAAATTGAGACTGACTTCGCGCGACCTTGAGCAGCAGCTCGACCTTGAACTCCGTCAACTCGCCGTCGAGGAGGGCGCGGATGACGTCGTACATGAGTACCGAGGAGATGACCTGGAAGTTGTACAGCTCGGACAGCAAGACGACCAGATTGGAGCACTCCTTTCCGATCGGCTCGTCTTCCGTGCTCGGCGTCGCGTTGGCCTTGGGGTTGCTCGGGTCGTCCAACTCTGCGTAGTGTTTGTCGTACTCGGCCACCACATGCTGCACAAAGAAGGCGGCTAGGGTCATAACATGTCAGCACCCATACAGTATATTGTTTTCGGCTGCGCTCACCGAATTCGATTCCGACCAGCTTATGCAGAGCGGAAACAAATGCTGCATGCAGTACCACGTACTGGTCCAAGTGCATCGAATGTGAAGAAATTCCGTCAACGATGAGTTTTGTCAGAGTCTCCGTAACGTCTGTACAAGTTGTCAAGGTTGGTTGTAGCAAAGACAGCGTAAACACGTACCATGCCGCCGGTTATTACAATAAATCTCTTCCACACCTTCAACAATGGAGGCCATATTTTGTTCGCTCATACTGCGGCAGAACGTGAGCTCTCAGATCACGCGGAACTGAGCGAACTGGTGCCAACCGATTGAGGAGACCCTTGAGCTGCTTCGTCAACTTTAGTTGAGCTTCAGATGGCTGCCCGCTTTCCGCCTCCGCACGCTTGCGCAGATGAGGCGGAACATATTTCGAGCCTGGTCGAGGAGATGGTCTGAGCGGAATAAAAATGCGCAGAGTAATCCAGAGACTTACCTGACGGTGCAGCGGAGACCGCAGCGGACGATGTACCCTCTTCCTGAGGTTTACCTTCGCCTTCGATATCGTCATCTACGCCGCCGAACCCGTGCCACTCCTCGCCTTCTGCTTCATCGTCCTCTGCCTGGCTCACCTCCTCGTCGCTCATGTCCACATCCTCGTCTTCCGATGCACCCTCTTCCGACGCATCTTCGCCGTCTTCCTCTCCATCAGTAACATCCGCGGCATCGAATGTATCAAGGTCTTTCAGTAGATCTAGAGGGTCCGCATGAAATGCTGCTCAGACGCAAAGCGAAGTTAGTGACATACCGTCAAGGCCGTCCTCCTCCTCTCCCTTGCCATACTTCGTAGTACGCTTGCCGCCTTTGGTCCATCCCAGCTTCTTCTCGAGGTAGGCGATGTAGGCGTCATCCTCCTCATCCCGAGAGCCCCGGAGTATAGGTGCCGGGAGCACCTTCGCTTTTGCTTTGGTTCCCCTGGGCACTTCCGATCGCTCAGCCAGCTTTTCGAGGGCGGTTTTTGGTTTCGCCTTCTTTGATTTGTCTGCAGTGGATGGTTCCTTCCGCACATCTTTCTGAGGTACGGCCGATGGTGTAGGGCGAGAGGCAGTCGGCCGGGTGGGCTCTACCTTAGGCTTCTTCCGCTGAGGAGACTCCGCATGGTCTGCATCCGCCCGTCGTTTCGCATTCGTCTGATGCTTCGCGGTATGTGCGGCGGAGAAATGCTCGGCCTTGCGCTGCTTGCGGGATTCCCTCTCTAGCTTGCGGGCCTCTTTGCGAGGAAGCTGCCGTCCTCCCTTGCGCTTACCATGCTTGTGCGCCGAGCCTATGGGAACAAAAGTTGACTTTCGCGTTCAGGTGCGTGCCGCCCAAGCATCACTCACTGCTTTCTCCGTTGAGCTCCTCGAGAAGGGACTGGGGGAGCGAGGGGCCGGTGTGGGTGCGAGAAGACATGAATTTGGTGGTTCTGGACGGTGATTGGCTCAGGACCTCCGGGATCGAAGAGGGCGCCTGTTTGGAACTGTTGTTGCCGCGCTGCTTGCTCTTGCCCACCACCGTCCCTGACGGCCACCACTACCTGCTTCTCATATCGCCTGCAGTCTTGCCATCATGTCTATGGAGGAGAGCATCAGTTTGGAGGAGACCAATAAGATCCGTATCTCTTTGGGTCTCAAGCCTCTCACCGACGACAGCACCCCCGCCAATGACAAGGAGAAGGAGGCTGAGGATAACTACGCGAAGAAGCGTGAAGCAGAACTCAAGGCGAAGGAGTCGAAGTAAGCAGGCAAACAGCTTCGCCATCTCGTCTTAAGCTGATGTACACCCCCCGTATATAGGGCCGTCCAGGACCGCTTAGCGAAGTGAGTACCGCCCTTCTTGATGACCCCGTTGCAGTCGCTTCTACCTCCCCTGGCCAGCTTAGGCCGCATGTCAATGTCAAGAGCACCACATCTTACATGCCGCTTCTTATAGGGTAAGAAACAAGCGGGAACTCAATGCAAAGCTCAAAGGTTCGACTCTCGGTGACGTCGACGCGGATGTAGACGATACCCTGAAATGGATCAAGAAGAGTAAGAAGCGGGAGAAAGAGCTGGCCAAAAAGCGGCAGGAGGAGCTTGAGGACATGGACAAACAGTTCCAAGACGAGTACGGCGAGAGTGCGTCACTCGCCTCCATATCATCGTGTGTTCACTGCTAATCAATCCGGTCGACAGAGGACCTCGCAGGCCTCAAAGTTAGCCACGACTTCGATGGTTTGGAGGAGGGAGAGGCCCGTATTCTTACGTTGAAGGATAGTCGCGTCCTCGATAATGAAGGTGCGTACCTCAGGTCTCAATACGACCCGTCGCTCATTGGCCTGTGCAGAGGACGAGCTCCAGAATGTGGAGATGGCAGAACGAGAGAAAGAGGAGAAGAATAAGGAGCTGAAGATCAAACGGCGAGATTATACTGGTTATGACGACGAGGAATTCGCTCCCGGTCAAGCTGGTATGAAGCGGGCTGTTCTCGCCAAATATGACGAGTTCCTGGAAGGATCGAAGGAAAGCGTGAGTTTTGACAGATCGTTTAACGCAATGCAACGGACAGCTTACTTACATCTCTAGGATTTCCGCCTCGGCAGCTCTTCCGCAGTATCGCGCGAGAAGAGGGACAAGAGGGACGAGCCGACCTCGATGTCTGTGAACAAAACAATGCTATCGATAGACTATGCCAGTACGTCATACATGTCATTTGCTATGCTCTCGACTTACGCTCGGAAACCACAGAGAACATCGAATCTGCGGACTACCTCCAACCAGGAGATGTTGGGTTCAAGAAACCTAAGGTATGTCGCGTTCTCTTGTCGCACGCCTGTCCATGTTTTCAAAGCAGTCTTGTGCAGACGAAGAAGAAACGTTCGACACGCCGTGCGGCCGTAGAAGATTCGGACATCCCGCCCGCAAACGGCGAAGATCAGATGCAGGTAGACGAGAAGCCGATTGTCCCTCGACAGCGTAATCTCGACGCCAATTTCGTAGATGACGACGAGCTTCAAGCCGCTCTGGCGCGTTCGCGGCGCGCAAAACTCCAGAGGCCAAAGAAGTTGTCGCCAGAAGAAATCGCGGCTAAGAGTATGTATTCCCGTATCATCGTATGAGCTACGCATTTACGACGCATCGATACAGTTGCAGCGGAACGCGAGAATTCTTTGGCTAGGGAGGTGATCGATGTCGACGACGCGCAAGAGGACGAGGGTGGCATAACCATTGACGACACCTCTGAGTTCGTCCGCGCCATCACCTACGACCCCACGCCGGTCAAGAGGGAGCCCACAGAGGCATCGTTGAAGCGTGCAATATCTCAGGAACCTTCCCGACAAGCATCGGCAGGACCATCGAAAGCCGAAGTAGTCGATGACCCTATGGAGGAAATCGAAGCCGGCGAGGTTGTCGTCAAGGAGGAGGAAGACGAGGAAGCGATCCTCAACGCCATCGAGAACGCCATCCGCGAGACGGAGGCAGCCGAAAAGGCGGCCCAAGAGTCCGGCGAGCCCGTGGGCACCGCCTCTGAGCAGACGTTCGGGGCCGGCATGGCCGCGACGCTCACCATCTTGCGGCAGCAGGGTGTGCTCGCGCAGCCGAACGCGGACCTGCGCGACCGCGAGCGCACGCAGTTGCAGCGCGACGTGTGGCTGGCGGAGTATCGGCGGATCCAGGCGCAGCGCGAGCTCGAGCGCACGGCGAAGCGCGGGGGAAACAAGGACCAGGCGACGCGCGAGTACGAGAACCGGGTGCGCGAGCAGCAGGAGGCGCGGCAGATGCTCGAGGCGTTCCGCGACTACAAGCCGGACGTGAACATCGTTTACCACGACGAGTTCGGGCGCGAGCTCACGCCGAAGGAGGCGTGGAAGGCGCTCTCGCACAAGTTCCACGGCAAGGGCTCCGGCAAGGCGAAGACGGAGAAGCGCCTGAAGAAGATCGCGGAGGAGCGCAAGAAAGAGGCGATGGCGAGCGGCGACACCCCGCTCAGCATGAACCAGGCGTTCCAGAAGCGCCAGGAGAAGACCGGCCAGGCGCACTTTGTGCTCTCCGTAGGCAACAGAGGGTCAGTGTCTTCGCGCCGTTATCACTACCATAGATATGCTGACGTTGGGACCATTATAGCGCTGTCCCGCAATTCGGAGACTTCCTCGACAGCCAACCGCTCACGAAGGGCAAGACGGAGAAGAAGAAAGAGAAGAAGAAGTCGGACAAGGGCGCGACGCCGCAGCTCGACTCGACGGGCTTCATGACGCTGCCCGCGCCCGTGCTCAACAACGGCAGCCCGGTGGGGACGACGAGCAACGGCTCGCCCGCACCGCGCCCTGGGTTCTCCCGCATCGCATCCGTGGTGGAGTCCGACACGCCGAAGGAGTCCACGCCGGTCCCGTCGGAGAGGTTGCGGGTGGCCTTCGGGCTGGGTACGAAGAGGAAGGCGACGGGGGAGGCGACGGACTCGCCGCCGCCCAAGAGGCGGTAATCGCTTGCCTACACCCTCTCACTGTAGCTTAATCTCCCCGACCCACTTGTCTCTCGCTCGGCGGCCCTTCAGCTTCTCCCGAGTCTTCTTCGACACTCTCCCGGCAGCTATATGCGAGGAGATGCTAGAGATACACAGTAAATATAAGTTACAGCGCATGTACACTACACGGACGGTTCAATGATAGCATGTAATATGGGTATACCGCGAGAGAGACAGGCTCGACTCAGAGCATGCCTACACTTCTAAGCCCGAGGTCCTTCGTGACTGCACAACGGTCCTTGTCGCGACCCGTTGCGCTCTCGAACGCTTTCATCAGGCTCGCCTGGCCGTCATCCGTCCTACGAACCCATTGAGCGAGGCGTGCGCGCGAACAAGAGAAAGACCAACCATTCTACAGGATGTGCATCCTTTTCCAATACGACCTTGATCGTCGCCCACGAAAACCGCGCGAGAGCAGGGTACCCGAACGTAGGCTCCAACGACTGTTTGATCCACGCCTGCGTCTTCGGGTCTGACGTCCTGGTCAGCGTGATGTCCCCCGTCCCGAAACAAGACCAAGCGCACCTGAAGGATATCCACTCCCCATCTCCTCCACCCACTTCCCCTCGTCTACCTTCTCCTTACCGCCCCCTTGGGAAAAGTACTTCGACGTGAGGCCGGCGCAGCGCTCCTCGTACACCCAGCCCTCGATCCACGCGTCGCGCGTGACCTTGGCCGCGACGCTCGCCGCGCCGACGATCTTGTACTTCTGGTCCGCCTTCGCCGCGACCGTGAAGCTGATGTCCGGGAAGAGCGCGGAGAGGTATGCCTCGTAGGGCCCGGTCTTGCCGAGCGCGTCGACGTATACCTGCGTAGGGCCGCGTGGTCAGAATGCGCCAGTAACGTGGGAGAAGAGAGGAGAACGTCCTGGGGGCTGCGGGATGTGTTCCGCGGAACGTGTTCCGGAAGACGTTCTACGTTTTAGGTGACCGAGTGCGACAAAGATGGCCACAGTGGCAGCGACTACATACTGCGGCGAGCGCACAAGGTCGAGGCGCAAGGCACGAGCCCGCTACTCAAGTACTCACGTTGGAGCGGGCAACACGCCCCACACCAGCATGATATGAACACACCACTGGTTGCCTCTGTCACTCGACCAAGCCACCAGAATGCGGAACATGAGTCGGAACGTGTTCTGCGGAACAGATCTCTCCGCCGCCGAGACTTTCTGGAAGTGAGGGGGCGGGAGGGACGGGGAGACGCACCTCGGAGAGCTGGAGACCGCGCGCGAGGACCTCGCGGATGAGGAGCACTGTCGCGTCTTGCGACTGCTGGTTTAGGTTGCATGGCGGCCGGCGTAGCATGCCTGCAGAGATCGCCTTCGGGCTTTGCATAGCGCCTTTAGAACCTGCACAACCTGGGTCTGTAGCTATAGGAGGCGTAGGACCCACCTTAGGACGCGGACAGACCATCCAAGGTTGGCAGGGTCTGAACCCAGCGTTTCTAGCAGCGAGGAGCGGATTTGTGCCGTGAGTGTCTTGGAATCTGTACCACACCACCGCGTCAGCAAGCTTGTCCTTGTGAGACCGACGCAAGTGGTGCGCACCTGCGAACCCAAGTTTCTCGAGGTCCTCCTTGTACGCAACTGGGCAGTACGCGACGCCATACACGAGAGGGCCCAGCACTGGACCACGACCAGCTTCGTCGACACCCAGGATGTATGGGCCCGCAGCGGATGGTGTGGGCGAGTGGTAGGTGTAAGAGTCGACTAGCGGTAGAGAAGGGTCCGCAATGGATGGGATGCCGACGCTTTCTGCGTCTTCTGCAGGGTTGTTCATGACCAGAGGATGAGTAGGGAGTTCAAGAGAGCTGGTCAAAGGCGAATGCGCGTCTTCTGCTACAGGTATGGAGGAACAGGAGAGTGAGGAGCGCGCTGTGGCTGGGACGCGTTATTGTGCCCTGTTTGCGCCACGACGCGTCGGTGGCACGCGTCTCATTCCATCGCGTCGCGGTCACTCGGACGCTGATGTATCGCTTGAGGTTCGTATGCATGTGTGGACATGGTCGGGATGTAGGGTGCAATGGTGGGGAGGGATGTTGGCACACTCAAGTCGTTGTCAGATTATTGAGAATATATTTTGGTAGGAAACAGAGCAGTACAACGGTGAGCGTCGGAAGGCATGCTCCCAACCGCAAGTGTTGTATTGGAGTCGGGTTTCTGAACAACAAACCTCACCCACGCAGGAACCTAGAATATGAACAGTAAATAGTGGCTACTACGATAGAGCTACAACGAGTCTGCTGTACAGTACAGGTCCAAACCAGCGCATCACCATATGCGCCATCACCTCCTCCTTGACCGAGCCGTAGACTGGAACTTCGACGTTTCCCGACGAAGCCGCCTGGGGACACCCACACATATAAGCACTCCGCATCAATAGCAGCAAAGGCGAAGCAGGACTCACCGACTCGCACGCTCCCTCTCGAGCTCCCTCCGCTCGACCTCCTCGGCCGTGAGCACCTCGAACCGCGTCCTGAACTCCTCCGCCTCCGCCCAGTCGCGCCACACGCTTCTGAGCGGTTTCGGCCCGCGCCCATCCTTCGGGGCGCGCCCCCACGCCAACCCAAGCCCCGTCTTGTCCTTGAACAGGCTCTGCCCGCTCTTGTCGCGCGGGCGCTCCGCCCCGGGCGTGCTCTCGTCCGCCGCGGCCTCGCGCGCGTCGCCGCCGATGACGCCCCACTCGATCGCGTCGCGCTTGTGTTTTACGATCTCTTCGTGGATAGCGTGCGAGATGAGCGGGGCGGACTCTCCGGCGAGCCCGAGCTCTGTGCAGAGCTTGACAGAGAACTCTTCGGGCGTGAGCGGGGAGAGCAGGTCCCACTCGATGTGGTCTAGTAGGTGGTGGGTTGCGATTTGCACGTCAACCTGTGCCCGCGTGTCAGTTGTTATGACATGCAGGGGAATGCATATATGATGCATACACTGAGAATGACACGGCATTCGTTGACTTCGTCGCCGGGAGTCTCGTCCTCCGGCGCTGTTATTTCGGCCTCTGCACCGAGATATGTAGACGCGACAGCTTCATGGTCTTCAATCTGCGCTCGTATTTGTGCGGCGATCGTTTCTGTCCATGGCTGCAAAGGCAGGTCGAGGTCCGTGCAGAAAATCCGCGCGAACGTTTCTGGGGTGATGAGCGACTCGTTCAAGTTCCACACGAAGCAATCGCGTATCCGGTGCGTCTCCGTCTCGAACTCGACGCGTATAGGGATGAGTGCCGTCGGTTTTTCTGCTTGTGCGTCTACTGCTGTCTGTGGGCTGTCGCAGACAACCAGGTTCGCGGCAGCGCGCGTTCAGTACAGCATACAACGCGAGTAAAAACCCGCACTCACAAGTAATCATGCCTCGTCGGCGGCATCGCCTTCGCAGATATAAACCTAGCAGGAGGCACCTGGCCCAAATAACTCTGCTCCAGCTCCGCCTTCTCCCTTTGCGCCTCCCGGACAGGCGTGGCCGCGACCTGGGCGACGCCCACACCCGTGCCCGCGTGGAACACCGAGCTGCCCACCGGCGCCCGACTCGACACCCGCGCCGCCCTTACCGCCTGGCGCGTCCCGCCGCTCGCGACGAAGTCCGAGTCGTCCGACTCCAGCGCGCCCGCGTCGGGGAACTCGTCGCCCGAGCCCGGCTCCGTGTAGTTCACGACGCCCCCGCGGCGCGACGTGCGCGACGCGACGGCCGCGACCGACGACGGCGCGAGGATCGGCTGCATGAGCAGCGTCGTGCCCGTGCGCAGGCGCGACGCGTACGTCGACTGCAGCGCCTGCGGGGTGCTCGGGATCGGCTGGCGCGACGAGTGTACGGGGGGCGGGCCCATGGTGGCTTGCAGCGAGGAGGCGGTGGTTTGCGGCATTGGTGGGGGGATGGAGGACGGGCGGGTGGGCGGGGCGGGGGTCTGTGCTTGTGGTGTGGGTGCGAGGGTGCTGCCGCGGGTGGGCCGTGTGCTCCGGCGCGAGGGGTTCGTCCGGCCGTTCGTCGGCGGAGGCGTGACGGACGACGACCAATGGCGGATGTTGTTGAAGTAGGCTGTTTGCCTCCTCCGTAAGTGGCGACTCGTCTGCTGAATGCGTGCGTGAGCGACGTACCAGCGTGGGTTGCCTGTGGAGGCGCGGGCGCAATTGGCTGCTGTCCTCGGAGGAATGTTGAAGGCCCCGCGGCCGCGTTGGGGTCAGACATTTTTGATGAAGATGCTGCAAGCGGAAAGCCTTTGTTCAAAGGCCCTTTTTAGAAGCACTGCTGTCTCAGAGGGTAACAAAGGAAAGCGAAAGAGGACCAGAAAGCGGATTGGTGCACAGGGCGGCGGTGGTCGAGCTCAAGTCGCGCAAACCTAGCTGGCGCTTGAGACGCGTCAAACACGCGCAAGCGAGGACACGAGCGCTTACACACCTTCGCCTCAAACATCTGCAATCCGTTCCGGCCATGCATTTCTTGCGCTCGTGAGCCACTCATTCCCTGTGCGTTCCTTGGCCTATACCGGGACGGACATGTCGATGAGTGGTGGTGTCTTTCCTTCGACGGTTGGCCAGTACAACTGCTGAGGATCTGCTCCCGCTGCGCGCCGACGCTGCCCCGTCTTCACTACCTACACGGTCCGCTCTGTATCCATACCGCCCAAGAAGACCCTTAAGCGACCCATCCTATTGCATACCTGCCTCTCAGGTTATCAGACGATGGAATTACGGGCCGCACAGTGTCTTACGGGTTGGAATGACGCCAAAGAGTTTGGATGTAGCATGTATAAGGGTTACTGCACCGCGCTCGCCGCTGGCCGCAAGACCCTCATTCTCTCCCCCTCACACCGTACGTATATAGCTACGGCAATGATATTCGTGCTACGGTACGGCGTGGAATACGACCGTATTCGTTTTCCTACTAGGACTGAGTGCGCACCGAGCGGACTCGAGTGCACTACTGTGACTCGGTCATCGGCGTACTCATTTTAACCTCCACATAATCACATATGCGGATCGTTACACGATGGAACATTGCGGATTGGTCCTCTGGGACCTGACTGCGTGGAGATGGCTTTCATGTGCGCAGAGAACTGCGCCGTCATCCCTCCTTTGTCGGATTTTCCCGGATGGGTTGACGACAAGGGCGCGCAACTGCCACTGGCACCCTACGTCTATCGCACTGTCTTGGTAGTGGTCTTGAGATGAGACATGTGCTCTCTGGGACCTGGGCGAGTTATGTCATGACATGCGGGAGTGTGTTGTGGCTCCTGGGGTTTTTACAATCTTTACCCAGGTTTTAGCCCAGGTAATGTCGGCCTTCTTAGGTTTAAAGACGCCTGCTTGTTCTCGCAAGGGAATAAAAGCCACAGATCGAGCTGGTTTTAATCAACAGACTAGGGATGGACAGTTAACGAAGGCTTCGGGAGAGACTGGGACAAGGTGCAACGTTGGAGTAGCGACCCGAGGACGTCGAATTTCGTACGAACAGTAGGGTACAATAGTTACAGTACAGGTAGAATTGTAACTCCGACTGTTTGGAGGATGTACGAGATGCGCTGACGACAAAACAAACCTCACTCACTCACTCACTCACTCAAACATCTGCCATCCGCTCCGTCTCAGCGGAGGCTTGGGGATACCTCGCTCCTGTCTGCTTTGTATATCATGTCTCCTTCTACCAAACCTGAGCGGGTTCTAAAAGTCCGCGTTCCCCGCCACAACTCCCAGCGCATCGGGCCGGTCCTCACCTCACACGTCGAGACCGTTGCCCACAATGAGCGTACTCGCGCCGACGTAAGGCAGACGGCTCTTGAGCCCACCAGTGCGCTCGCGCAGGCTATTGTGAGTACTCTTGTATATGAACGGATCAAAGGTGGTTGGACTGAATAGTCATGAACTGCAGGAGAGCGCGTCGGATTGGAACTCGCTTCTCCTGACCGCCCGCGCAGCACGAGGACCGCAGTGGGATGTAGGCACTCAACAGTACGTGCCAGAAATATGCTTCACTGGCCTTTACCGAGTCTCATCGTTTTAGGTGGTTCGTGGACGAGCGCTCCGAGCTCTACTACGACCCAACGCCACTGCTCGAATACCAGAAGGAGTACCAACAGAACAACTCCGACGAGCCTTCATCCTCCTCACGTCAGTCCCAACGACAACAGCAGCAGCAAGACTCCGTGAACTCCCCCCGCATGCACCGCGGCTCCATGCCCCCGGGCGGCATGACCCCCTCCATGTCGCACAGCCAGCTCTACGGCCAGCAGCAGCAGATGGCGTCCCCGCGGCATCCGTACCCCGGCCCGAACCAAGGCATGGGCGGGCCCTACGGCGGCATGGCGCCCATCCCCCCGGCCCAGTTCTATGGGGGGGACGGCGTCCCGCCGTCTCCTATTTCGCGTGGGCCGGGCCCCGGCATGGGCATGAGTCCGGGCATGGGCATGGGGCAGGGGATGGGCATGAACCCGGGCATGGGCATGGGCGGCATGGACGGCTCACTCTCGCCCGAGGTGCGGCGGCGGGTGACGCGGGGGATGAGCATGGACGAGTTTGGGAACATGCATTAGGGGGCGCTATCTTGTAGATTCTCTGGACGGTTCGCGCTCTGCTTGTTCTATGTATGTTGTAATGATGATGTTTGGAGTACCCTCCTCTGCGTGATCGCAGGGCACATGCCTTCCGAGAATAATTGTGCATGCGCTAACTACAGCATCCGCAAAATGTACGTATTACTGTACAACACTATATATCCACGGTGTCAACCAGTCGCAGCTTGCCATATATCCCACCAAGACGCGTTATGTACTGCAAGTCAATGGTTATACCGCGTCAAACCTTCGGAAGACATGAGCTCTCGGACACGCGACTGTCCCACCTCCGTCCAGCTTGCGATCGGCTCCCCCGTCGTGCGGTGCGCCTCCCAAGCCCTAACATCGTTAGACTCGAAGTCATAGCCCACGAACATCCGCCGCAGCGCGCTGTTGTCCTGCGCGCAGATCTGCAAGGCCTCGGGGGCACCGCTCGAAGGAACGGGGCCCACCGCGCCGAATAGCTGCTCCCGCTGAGAGAATCGGTCTGTGGCGATATACAAGGCGAGGTGTGAGACGATGGTGTTGCGCAGAAGGCCTGCTATTTGCACCTGAGGAACAGGACTCATCAGCCTAGGTGCGCGGGGTAAACTGTGATACTCACGAGAAGCTTTCCCGGGTCTGAATACTGCAGAAGGTCGTCCCCGAGATCGATCATCAGGTGCGTCAGGGACGACGTCCGCGCGACGGTGCGGAAAAGCATGGGTACGGCTCCGTCCATATCGCTCTCAGACAATATCTGGAACCACAGACGGCACGGACGAGGGTCGGCGAGCGCGCCAGTCGTGATCGTACCGGAGGGGGAAAGGTTGCGGACGTCTAGTCGTTCTATGCGACAAGATAGACCGAGGCAGTAGAGGTCCATCATCGAGTGCACGCGGAGGAAGCGCAGGCCGTTCGCCCACGTCCCGTGCTGGGCCTGCCACAATTTCGCCCGCGTACGCCAAGTGCCCGCGATACGGAGCGCGGTCTCGTCCCGGGGGTCGAGACCATATGTAGGTGAGGAGCCGTCGCGGGCGTAGAGCGACCATAGCTCGACGTGCTCGACGCCGGGAAAGAGCCACACGAGCGGTCCCACCCAGCCTGTCTCGTCGTTGGTCAGGGAAAACCCGAAAATGGTGAGCCTGCGCACGCTCGGAAAGGGCGCTCCGAAATCCCCGAGGGATACGGGAGTGAGCGTGAGGGTGGTAAGCGTCGAACGATGGTACTGCAGAAAGGGTAGGGGATCGGGGTCTGCAAAGCTGTCGCTGGTGTCTTCTCCTGTACGTCTCGACATCGTTAAGTTGACGGTGCGGAGGGGAGAGGCGACACCGGCAAGGACATCCCGGTAGTCGATTGTGATGCTTTGCAGAGTGATAGTTCGCAAGTCTGGCAACGGGGTAGATAGAGCTAGCTGCAGCTGCGCGGGGGTGAATGTTATCGAAGCGTAGTAAAGTTCCAGAGACACTAAGTGTCGACAATGTTTCAGAAGGTCTGTGACGGCTGACACCAAATCGCTGAGGGACATCGGGCAGCGGTAGTCTGGTAGCAAGCTGAGCCGCAAGATGCGCAAGAAGGGGAAGAGATCCCTGCCAAAGCGACGGCCCGTGCTGTCTAGGTGCATGAACTGGGAGAAGGAAGCGAGGCGTAGGTAAGTTAGGGTGACGATGCCTTTGAGGATTGCGGGAGCGAGAGTATCATGGAGGAAACGGCATGTCCTGGCGAGGTAAGAGACCTCTCTGCGCACTTGAAAGCTAGCAATGTACAGCAGAACATCGACGTTGAGGTCGAGAAGTTGCATATGTGCTTCCCGCGCAGGTCGGTACTGGAGGAAGAGAGGTCGAGAAGGACGAATATTGATGAGAACGAGAAGAGCGAGAAGAGCAGATGTGGAGCAGAGGACGAGGACGAGGGGATAAGGGGGAGGGCGATGAGGACGATGAGCGTCGAGGACGAAGAGGACGAAGAGCGGGATTGCACACATCACATGATGGACGCGACTTGGACGAACGCGACAATCGCGCGCTCCGCTCCCTGGACCTCCTCCACGCCGACGCCGACGCCGACCCTCAAGGCCTCAAGAGCCTGCCTTTGTTCATGGACCCTGACCAGGCCGCAAAGCTCTCCAAAGAACGCGAGAAATACAGGGAAGGTCTGGCCCGCGCCCTCACCGAGGATGCCGATCCGCTTGCGGCATACATCGAATTCGTGAAGTGGACTGTCGACGCGTACAAAGGCCACCTCGCGCTCTCCGGCCTCCTTGAACTTCTAGATGAGGCGACACGTTACTTCGTCGACGATGCCGCATACAAGGCCGACCTCCGGTATCTGAAGCTTTGGCTGCTCTACGCCAAACATGTCGAAGATCCGACCGTGATCTACGCATTCGTACTGTCCCGGGACATCGGCAGGATCTATGCGCAAACGTATCAAGAGTATGCATTGGCACTCCATACCCGAGGAAAGTGAGTGGCTTAACCTTGATGGAGTATATACCAGATCTGTGAGAGTGACTCTCACTGAGACCAACGACCGAGAGTGAGTGGCAACAGTGAGAGTCACTATGCCGAGGAGCCATATGATCAGGTCGCGCGACGTGTCGTTTTACCAGAAAGTCTCGGCGGCGGAGAGATCTGTCCCACAGAACACATTGCGACTCACGTTCCGCGTTCTGGTGGCTTGGTCGAGTGATAGAGGCGACCAGTGGTGTATCCTGTTCATGCTGCTGTGGGGCGTGTTGCCCGCTCCAACGTGAGTACTTGAGTAACGGGCTCGTGCCTTGCGCCTTGACCTTGTGCGCTCGCCACAGTATGTAGTCGCTGTCACTGTGGCCGTCTTTGTCGCACTTGGTCACCCAAACGCAGAACATCTTCCGGAACACGTTCCGCGGAACATATCCCGCAGCCCCCAGGACGTTCTCCCATTTTGCCGCCAGCACGATGTGTTGTGTCGCGCTCGTCGAGGACGGAGAATGAGTGCTCTGACCCGCAGAGCAGCAGCCCCGCGCATGCAAACTTACGTTCTTCGGGCTCGTCGCGCGTACCCTCCCGCACGTGTGACGCGCCGCGTTGCGCGCGTTGACCAAATGTCTTCCCCGCCGCGAGGAATCGATCCCCGACCAACCTGGCTTGCGTGTTAGACCTCGGACGACCGCGTCCAGATGGCGGGCATGTTCAACGGCTTGTATCATGTCCACATAACGAGTTCGACTGCAGGACACGTACCACAGGATGAACCACACGAACGCGTCTACGACGTGAGGCTAGCGGCTGTCCACTCAGGATATCCCGGGAGCATTGTTCTGAGTGGGAGTCATTTGTCTCAGTGAAAGTCACTGTCACTGTTTTGGTCGTCGCTCACCTTGATGCATCCATACGATCTTATTCACCGATCATGCCCAGGTGGGACGACGCAGAGAAGATATTCCAGCAAGGCATCAAGCGGCGCGCGAGACCACTGGACCCTCTCAAGCGATGCTACGAGGAATTCAAAGCACGCACACTGGCCCCTCCCCGGAAACCATCCACCGAGACCATCTGGGTGCAAGCCCCCGCTGAGACTCAGGCTCTTCGCCGGAATCCGCTGAAGAACCATCCAGCAGCGTCCTCTTCCGCCCCGGGGCCGTCCAAGAAAGCCTCCTCAAACCGCCTGCCCCCGGTCCGTCCACCCCCTGCGCAGCCTCAGCAGCAGTTTTCTCCAGACAACCCCTACGGTGCTATGCTTGCACCACCCGCGCCGGGAAAGCGGCCAGAGAAGCTGCGGTTCAATCTCTCATTGCTGTTCACCGAAGAGGGCACAGAGTACAGCACGCAGGAGGCGCGCGCCCGCTCCATGGGTCTCCTGGGGAAGAAATGGGGCCCGCCCCCAGAGGCTACACGGCCTCGCGTCGCATTCTCTGGCGCAGACGACGGCAAGGCGGGCACAACGAAGACGATGTCGCGACAGTTTGCGGCAGGTGCAGAACCGACAGTCACGCTTGCAACGAAGGAGGCGCTCGCAGACGTCTTCGGAATGTTCAACTCGCCTGAGAAATCGTTGCGCTTCGGTGTCGTGGGCACTAAGCATGCGCCGGTCAGGAGAATCGAGCCTGTCACCCCGATGCCTATGCTACCACTCGCCCGGGCTCTCAGCAATGAGAATGCGAATGCGGATGTGGCATCGAAGACCCCCAGTAAGTACATGTATGTGCGGTACGGTAACTTGATTATGAATTACATCTTTGCAGCTTTCAGACCATTTGTTGACGAGAATGCGCGAAGGGAAAATCAGACTCCTGGACCTACACCAAGGGTAAGCATCGTTCACGGACAAAGAACGCTATCTGACTCCCCTCAGATTCAACCTTTCGTCGACCCAGAGAACGCGGCCAAGCCAACATTTACACTAAATCCGAATCGGCCTGCACTCTCCCTCAAGGAAGCTGCCGCATCATCATCCGCCACCCAAGACGAAAACGCTCGCAGTCTCAAGAAGCTTGTCATCCATACTGATAGTGACGAGTCAAAGCCACCCCCGGTCTTCTCCTTAACCCCCGCTTCCGCAACGTTCCAGCGTCCGCAAGGTCGTTGGGACATCTTCACAGACGACGCAACAAAGGCCGGGAACGAGAATATATTGCGTCCCGCTAGTGCGGGTGCGTCGAAGTTCATGCCGTTCAGCGATGAGAACGCACCAAGGGTTTTCAGCCGCCCGGTGCCCAAGTCCGAGAACGCACCCGCACCCGCGCCCGCACCTACGTTCACACCGTTCGTCGACAAGACGGCGCCGCCGAGACAACCACTGTCGTCGTCTGCGTCCGGTCGCGCCGTGCTGGGCGAGCGCACGCCTCTTTCTGTCTTCGCGCCACCGCTACCGCCGCCTGTTGAGGCAGCGCCCGGAGATGAGACCGTCCTGGAAGACGAGGGAGAGTATAATCAGAAGACAATCCGACCAGAGACGCCCACGACCGAGTCCGAGAGCGACGCCAGCGCGCGCGAGCGGTTCCTGCTCGAGCACCAGCACTCGCGCGACCCACTGACGAGCGAGAGCTCCGAGGACGCGGACGACGACCGCTTCGAGGGCGAGAGCTACGCGTACGATGCGGACGCGCCCGTTCCGATCGAGGGCGAGGGCGAAGGCGGCTACGAGAGCATGTTTGACGACTACGATGGGGAGGGGGCCGACGGGTACCGCCCGCCGCTGGGCGGTCGCTTCGGCCAGTTCGACGTGATGACCCCGATCACGGAGCGCACGGCGGAGTACACGATGAGCACCCGGGGCGGGACCCCACATGGGCTTATGGTGCATCGCGACGCGGTCGAGGCGGCGGTGCAGCTGGCTGCGGAACTTCAGGACGATGTAGATGATGATGAAGAGGACGACGGTGGGATCGAAGAGCGCACGGGCACGCTGAGCCTCGTCGACGCGCTGGGCGTCGCGTCGTCGTTCAAGCCGCCGAACCCGTGCAACCCGTTCGACCCGCCGATCGTGTCGACCCTGCTGCGTCTCATCCCGCTCGACTCTGGGTTCCACGACCTGCGCCTGGTGGAGTCGCAGCAGCTCGACACGCTTCAGAAGTTCGCGAAGAAGAAGACCCGGCGCGCGAGCGGGAACTCCACGTCAAGTCGCGCGGTGCAGGACGCGGATACGGTCGAGGTGCAGCTCGAGAGCCGGCACTTCGCCGTCGTTGACAAGCTCGGCGAGGGCGGGTTCGGGGCTGTCTTCGAAGCGATCGATTTGGACATGCAGCGGAAGGCAAACGAGTCTGACGAGTCCGACGACGACGAAGATGACGAGGAGAACGAGCACAAGAACCGTGTCGCGCTCAAGGTCGTCAAGCCCCGCAACCTCTGGGAGTTCCACGTCCTCCGGCGGATCCACACCACGCTCCCCGCGCCCCTCCGCCGCTCCATCATCGCGCCCGAGGCGCTGTACGCGTACAAAGACGAGTCCTTCCTCGTGCTCGAGCTCTGCAAGCAGGGCACGCTCCTCGACATCGTGAACCGCGCGCCCGCGGCGGGCATCAGCCAGCAGGGCGCGTGCCTCGACGAGCTGCTCGTCATGTTCTTCGCGATCGAGCTCCTCCGGCTGCTCGAGGGTCTCCACCGCGCGGGCTTCATCCACGGCGACGTCAAGATCGACAACTGCCTGCTGCGCCTCGAGGACGTGCCCGGGCCCGCGAGCGCGTGGGACGGCGCGTACCAGCCGTCTGGGGCGCGCGGCTGGGCGCACAAGGGGATCAAGCTCATCGACTTCGGGCGCACGGTCGACACCCGCCTCTTCCCCGCTGGGCAGCGCTACGTCGCGGAGTGGCCGACCGACGCGCGCGACTGCTTCGAGGCGCGTGAGGGCCGCCCGTGGACGTTCCAGACGGACTACTTCGGCCTCGCCGGGATCGTCTACTGCCTCCTGTACGGCAAGTACATCGAGGCTGCGTCCGTCGTGCCCGCGCCCGCGGAGGACGGCGACGGCCCGGTGCGTTATAAGCTCGCAACTCCATTCAAGCGGTACTGGCAGGGCGAGCTGTGGACGCGGCTGTTTGACCTGCTGTTGAACCCGACGCTCGTTCGCGAGGACGGGAAGCTGCCGGTCAGCGACGAGCTCGGCGCGCTGCGTGGGGAGATGGAGGTGTGGCTGCAGGCTAACTGCAACCGGGCGAGCATCAGCCTCAAGGGTCTTCTTAAGAAGGTCCGCCTCGCCATTCTCGGCGGGAAAGACGTGCGGTAACGGCCGTGCTTGTGCTTCTCGCCCTTCTCCGACTCTCAAGGTACACTACCTGTACAATACCCAATATGTACGCTCTCCACGACTGCACGACACCATAGAGCCCCCTTATCCCATTCGCCGGCGAACCGTACATGTCTCCATATACTCACCTATGCCCTTGTGTAACGTACCGTCTCAGTCTCATTTTCATCATTTCTGTCTCTGTTCCGTTCGATTTCACGCAGGCAAGGCAGCACGCGTAACACCTGTGTAGTGTCCCTCTGTGCACGAATCGATGATCCATTCATTATCCATCCAGACTAACCGCCGCCCGCGCGACCGACGCGGGCCATGCATGGATTTTTGCGGGCGGGGGGCTAAACATTGCATCACAACAAATTGCAGCTGACAACACATGACAAACCAAAACAACACTGGGTGGGGGAGGCGGCGGCGGTGATGGACTGAGGCTCGGCTGGACGGACAAATGGACGTGGATCGTGCGGGGGCGGGTCGGCGGGGTCGGCTGTGGCGCAGCAGGGCGGTATGCACACGGGCCGGGCCTCGCCCACATCGAGGAGTGCGTGCGCGCACTTTCGACTCTAGGGCGTAAGACCCGTCGTGTGCACCGCCCCGGTGCGCGACCCGCGCGACAGCATGTTCGCGGATGAGATGATGGTGGGCTACGTAAGAGAGAGGGGCGAGGGAGTGGCGATGACAGTGGGAGGGATGATGTCGATGGGTGTGAGCGTGGGGCAGGGAAGATGCGGCGGGGAGAGGTGGCGAGTGGTGGTGGGCGAGGTAGTGAGGCAACGGCAGCGGCAATGCACGACGGACGGACAGCGAGAGCGGACAGCACGGGTTCAAGCAGGACGCAGGGCACCTGCTTAAGCGTGGTTGCCCATCTGCACGGGCGGCGGCGGCTGCCCGGAGGGGTCGTACGGATGGGGCGGGACGCCGCCGGGGCCAGGCGGAGGCATCATCATCTGGTAGGGCATCGCGTGTTGCACTGGAGGAGGGGTAACAGAGAAGTAGCCGTCAGCGAGTCCCTGTGGGCCCATGGGATACGAGACGGGCGTACGCTGCGGGCTCTGGTGGTGGTAGTATGGGTGCGCGTGCGAGGGGATCGGCGTCGGCGGCATTGATGGGCGAGGCCCGGCGCCGTTTGGTGGGGGCGGGTACGCGCCGGGCGGGGGCGGCTGCATGTACTGAGGAGCTGTGGAGAAAATGAACAAACACCTCCGCGGGGAAGCAAACGACGAGACGTACGAGGCATTTGACCCATTTGTGGGGAGGGATACATCCCTGGAGCGCCGGGCGGCCGCCCGTCAGGCCATGCCCCAGCACCGTTGTGAACAAGATACGCACCATTTGGTGGGGGCATAGGATAGTGCATGGGCTGCATGTAAGGTCCAGGCATGTACGCTCCAGGCGGGGGCGGGCCCATCCCAGGCATCATCGGTTGTACCATCTGCATCTTCCGTATTAGTGTCAGCCACTTCGCTCTGCACACGGATGCGCAAGGCACATAGACACCGAAGGTATACGTACCTGACCAGGGTAGCCGTATGGCGGGTACGCATACACGTACCCGCGGGCCGCCGCCTGTGCGTTGGGGTCCTCCTCGTATGTAGCGGGGGGCATCTGTGGAGGGGGCCCAGGTTGCGCCATGGGCGGGGATTGCTGCTGAGGCTGCTGCTGGATCGGGGGGAACATCTGCATGTACCGCTTTCCGCTGAACGGCCATGTTGGCGCTACAAGCGACCATCATAGTCAGCCACGGCAGGACACACGAGCAGATCAAACAGCTAAAAGACGCACCGACTTGAGAGGCCTCGATGACCTTGTGGTTCTTGAAAGGGTTGAAGTCGTCCTTGATGTGCACCGGGGGCGTGCGCTTCGGCAGACGCGTGCCAAAGAAGGGGTTCGGCGGGCCTTGCGGGGACGCGGCCTCCGCGGGCTTGCCCTTCGGCGAAGACGTCGATGACGTTCCGTTCGGGTTCGGCGAGCCGCCCTGAAGCGCACAGAAGCATAATGTTAATGCACACAGACACCCACGTCGAGACGGCGTTTACGTACGGGCGAAAGAGATGAGTTCTTCGCGGTCGGCCGGAACGACGACGCGTTCACGTTCAGCCTGTTGACAGCCGTCGGCGACAGCGGGCTCGCGGCGGGCTTGACACCCCCGTTTACAGAAGGCACAGCACTCTGCGGCTGTCCCGGGCTCGTGCGCTTGCCCTTGAAGGGCGGGATCGCCTGAATAACCATCGAAATCTTCTTGTCGCCGGGCTTGCTGGGAGCCGTCGCAGTCTTCCCGCCAGAGCTTGCACTCGCCTTGGCGGCGGGCATCTGCTTAGCCGTCTCTGCGACAGGCTTGCCTGAGGGCGTGTAGCCTGCAGAAGGCAGCGGCCGTGCGACAGGGGCAGCGGTGAGCGTGCTGGAGACGCCGATCGAACGTGCGCGCTGGTCCTCCGAGTCACGAACAGTCTTCTCCTTGATGAGACGCTGTTTCTCCTCGTCCTTCGCGAGGATAGGTACGAGGTCGTCGGGAATGGGCTTGTTCAGCTTGAACGACTTGCTGAAGCTGACAAGGTCTGAGAGTCGCTTGTCCATCTCACTCTTCATCAGCGCCTGCTTCTTCTTCATCAGCCTGTCCTTCTCAGTCGACACGAAGTTCCTGAACGCGGGCACGGCATCTGCCGGCTTCGTTGCGCTGGTCGCCCCGGGGGCGGGCGAAGGGACCTTACTCGTAGTGGGAGTAGACGCCGTGGTCGGAGCCGCGACGCTGGTGCCGTCAGGAGCATTGATAGCCACCTTCGGCAGATCTCCCTTAGCAGGAGGAGTCGTAGGGGGGCCTCCCTTACGAGCACCGGGAGGAACATACGCGCCCGCGCTGCGCACAACGGCACCGTACCTACGAGCTGATCAGCACAGCCACGCAAATCAAGCATAGGGTGGAGCTCACTTGTCCTCTTCGTTCACACCTGATCCATCCGTGCTCAAATTCATGATACGCTCCTCCGCGATGTGAGGGTTGTTTACCACGGTCTGTGAGTGCGGGAACCCGAATCCACGTACGAGCATCGGAATATGTCGCAGGCAGCGGTCAGCGAACCTGTGCGGGAAATGCAGCGCAACACGAGGAGATAGCACTCACACCCATGATCTCGTTCGCAATCTGCTGCGCCTTCCGCTCCTTCTCCTTGAAGTCAGGAGCATTCCTGTCCAGCTTGGTCGTGTAAGCCTCTTCGTCGAAACCGGCCTTCACGCCAAACAACTTCTCGTTGACGGCAAATTGGTCCCAAGACCCGCCCGCGGCTCCGGCGCCGAACGTCATCTCGTCGCGGTTGCCCGGCGCAGGGGGCGCTGTGGCACCCTGAGCGGTACCTTCAGCAGCTTCAGGCTGCCATGCCTGCAACTCCCGCTCGCGGCGAGGGTTCGTCTTCTGTGATATGTCGGTGTCCGTCTTGAAGCCTGCGAAGACAGACGATCACAGCACGCGCGCAGATCATCACAATTCACATGCAGAAGAGAGGAGCACAGCCGTCAATCCCTGATATCGCGCAGGAGAGGGATATGGAATACACGCACTGTCGGCACCAGCACCGTTGGGCACCTTAGCGTCAGCTGGGCCCGACGACCACTCCTGAATGTTGGTAACAGCGATGAATTGCTGTTCCTTGAGAGGCGCGCCCGGGTTGGATATCTCCTTGACGTCCTTCAGGGTCACACCCTGCGTGTCGCCCTCAGCGCTGGTGGACTGGACTACGCCCTCGAAGCGACTGTTGGTCTTGGTCGAAATCGTGACCGTGGTTCCCTGGAACGCGGGTCAGACCAATCAAGCAAATATCCTGTTGCGGCACATGACGCAACAGACAGGTTGCACGAGAAGAGCAGACGTACCGTCAGACCCGAGATCTGCTGCAGGATCCGGGCATGGGGGCTGGCGTCCGAGGGACGGGCTCCGTTGATGAGAGGGGGAAAAGCGCCAGCGGGCTGCTGGTTGCCATTGGGAAGGCGTGCGTTGGCGGGGCCAGGAGAAAAACTGGGCGACGGACGCGAGCCCCAGGCAGGCGGACGACTGTTCATAGAAGGAAGTGATGCAGTCAGAATCGGCTATAATGCAGCGAGGGAGGGAGACGGATGCGGAAGTGGAAGTGGGAACGGAGAGAAGGGAGACAGACCGGGCAGCGGGATCGGGGCCCTTCCTGGGCGGCTTTGACTGTCTGGCTGTAGTGGCCATAGGAAAGCAAGGAAAGAGAACTGAGTATGAATGAAAGAAGAGAAAGCAGAGAAGCAGAAGAGGGAGCCGAGTGGTAGAGGGCGGGCGGGCTCGAGCTGGGCGATAACAAGGCGAGCTCGGGGTAGAAACGAGGCGAGACTCGGCTGGTGTCGTTCGTGTGGACGGGGGCGACGGAAGCTCAGCTGCGCGTGGTCTTCGTCGACGTCGTCGGGGCCGGCGGTGGAGACGGGGAGGGGAGCGTGGGGGGAGAAAGAGAGAGGAGACGGGCGCAGAGCAGGAGGGTCGGACTGAGGGAGTCGCTCTGTCCACAATTCTAACACTCGCCTCAATTAGGACCCCGGAACCCCAGCTGCCTCCCGCCGTCTCATCTTCTTCCACTTCCGTCTACATCTAGCCCCTCTCGTTCGTTACATTGATTGCCCATCGCTGCGTGCACCGACCGCCCACCGTCGCAGGCAGCTCGAGGTCGCTGCTCAGGTAGGCGGGCACAGAGGGTGGTCCGTGCTCCCGCTGCCGTCTCACAGCAGGAGAGTCCCGGGGTCCCGGCGCGTGTTGCCATTCGAGACTTGCCTGTCTTCTCGCCGTCTTCTGAACCTCTTCTTCATGAAATCCTGCGCGCGCCCAAGCGCCTTCCTCGCAGTCGGGCCCTCTACATGTGCCGCCACGCAGCTATTATAATACTGCAATTAAGGTATACATGCGGTCATACGGACGGGCACGCGTCGCGACAGTCACTGACACCCGGTCACTTTGTGGCGCCCGCTCGCAACACCTCCAAGCCGACAGTTGCGCGGAGGTCCGGGCTCCCTGTCCGCTCGTCGCCACCAGTGATCCTGCTGCATCATGCAGGGCATTGTGTCCGCACCTTGTGCAGTCGCGCGAGTATCGAGTCTCGAGAGCACCGCAAACACCGCTTCAACGGGTCACACCGATATCCATCGCGGCACACCGGTGTATAACAACCGCCACCGTACGGCATGTCATGCTGATACCCTCACCTCCACCCCCCTTGTAAATGGCCCATCGTAGAGGGCGCACAAACGCAGTGGGCTGGTCCAGCTGCATTCGAGAACCCCGAACCCCTTGCCAGAGGTCAGCGAATGCAAATGAGCCGCCTTATGCGAACCGGAACTCGTCGGGTTCCGCGCATGCCATACCACCTCCGTCCGGGCTCACTTCCGTACACACCGGGGCGCGTTACTCTTGAGCGTAGAGGCCTCGCCGAGCCTGCTCGTAGATATCTTCGCACCTGGTGAAGCTAAATCCACCGGAAGTGCGAGACCCATCTGGATTTCTTCAAAACGATTAATGCATTAAGCGTAACAAATCAACAACATAGAATACCACACCACATCCGCGAGGTCTTTTCGCGACCCCGCGACCCCCGATTAGCTTCGCTCGGCCCTCTGGTGCTGCTGTTGGCTCTCCTTCTCCAGCTCCCGCCCTAGCCCTACCAACACGCCCTGCTCCAGCGTCGTCTCCCACAGCGCAACCTTCGCACGCTCCACCTCCTTCGCCAACGCCGCCCGCATCGCGCGCGCGCGCTCCAGGACCGCCCGCTTATCTTGTTGCTTTCCTGCCGCCGCGGTCCCATGCCCGATGACGTTGCCCGTGCCCGGGATCGCCTTCGTCTTGCCCTTCGCCCGCGCAGTAGGACGTGCAGGCGCTACCGATTTGGCAGCCACGCGCAGCGGTTGTGCGGGCAGGACAATGGAAGCGTCCGTAGAGGGGATAACGAGGGTGTGCGGCGTCTGAGGGTGACCAGCAGGCGCCGCTGCGTCCTGCGGCGACAGGATCGCCGGCGTCTGCGAAGAGGGACACAGCTGGGAAGGCTGCGGATCCTGACGGTTCTCGCGTGACGCAAGAAGGTTGTCCGGGATGGCACTCGACTGTCCTGTTTCGCTTTGCGGGTGTGGGAACGCCAGCGACTCATTCCGAACATCAAGATTGAGCGGGGGCTGCGACAGCTCCTTCGTCGACTGATGTTCTTCCTGTTCGGCGGCCGTCGGAGGCATTGTTGGTTGGGCGTCCGCCGTAGGAGTCGCAGACGCTAGGAGGACCTCCTCCCAGCCGTCCGTGTCGAGGTCCATTGCCTCGTCGGCATCCGCGACCACGTCCATCCCGGCGAGCCCATCCAGCAGCTTCATGCTCGCTTCTAGCTCCTGCGGATCCGGCAAGCCCCAGTCCCCCCACGAGGGCGTCGCTGGCCCACCGTCTCCGTCTCTCTCTGCCGTATCCGCGAGTGAGGACACAGTAACGCTCGGTGAGTCCACCAGTGAAGGGGTGGGAGGTGCAGGGTTGGACGGTGACGTCGTGTGGCCGCCTACGCTCGGATGCGTCGCAGCAGTTCCCTTTACGCCCGAGGAAGTATGCACCTCGAGTACTGCCGTTGATTTAGGCACGGCGTGAGACTGTGAGCCCGTGGTGCCCGAAGCCAGAGTAAGCGCAGGACTGGAGGCCATTGGAATGTTGACCTGCACATCCAGCAACGCGGGGTCAATGAGATCGTCGGAGATCTGCGTGGGGCCGTTCAGAGTGACCGTAGACGTCGACGAGGAGGAGTCGGTATGGGAGACTGCAGGTGCAGACGTGGCAGGAGGCGGACCCATGCTGATGCTCGCTTCATTCGGATCGCCAGGCGGGAACGTGGTGAGCGTCACAAGCCAGTTGTCGAAGAACGCCTGGGTACTCTCGTCAAAGGCGGGTGACGCGGTCGCAGATGGGGCCGCGGTGGAAGACGAAGGATCGGCGGACTCCTGATGAGCGGAGGCTGACGCGCCTGAATGCTGCTGCTGTGCAGCCAAGAGCGACTCTACCAGCTGATCAAAAGCGTTCGAAGGATAGTTCGCACTCGGCACTTGGGTGGGCTGTGATGCGGAAGTGGAAGTGACAGGGACATGGGGTAGTCCACCGGACTCGGTGTATGCGCCGGGTCCGGGCGTACTTGAGCCTGGCGTCTGAGCACCGAGGGCAGCATCCTGTTGTGACAAAACAGAAGGAGGGGTGGCCGATTGACTGCGCTCCATGCCATAGTACAATGTCGCCGGTCGGTAGTACTTGAGAGCAGGCGGGATTGGAGCGGTGGGCTGTATCTGTTGCTGGTACCAGGCCTTTGTCGCGGCTTTCCGTGCTGCGTTTTGCACCAGATGTACAAGGTCCTTCAAAAGCCGACCCCCTCGTTCCTGCTCCCAAGCATTCCGGTAGTTCTCCGGACCCTGGCCCTCTTGGAAAGGATATGGTACATCCCAGTCCGCAGCACCCGCAGGAACGTTGTTCAACTTACGGCGCTTCAACGGCGGCACGCCAGATGAACTCGAAGGACGACTGTCGTCAGCTGCACTCCGGAAGGATGTGTGCGCTTGACTTTGGAAGGCTGTATGCGCTTGACCCGGACCTTGGCTCGGATACGATGGATAGGGATATGGATAGGGATATGGATAGTGAGGATAGCCAGGCGGAACCGATGCGAGGGAAGGAGAACCGGGGGCGAGGAGTCGGAGCAAAGACACAACCACAGGGAAGATGTTCTTCTGCTTCAACAGCGTGCGCAGGATCTGTTCGCTAGTGGGCGGAGGTAGTTGGGCGGGATCCGAGGGAGACGCATGGGTAGGCCGTCTCCCGATACATGGCTGTTGCTGAACCTGCGGCTCGTCCTCGACGACGATCGGGTTTTGTGCCGTGGTGCCTCGCGTATACCGGGCTTTTGATAGGTTCGCAGGATGCACGCCACCGACCATACCCGCCAGACCGAGGAGAGCCTGTTGATTTCTCAGGAAATTCGGCGGTGGAGGCTCATCCGGGGAGGGAAGAGGGATAGGCGGCGGGGTTGGCCTCGGCGTGGTCGCTTTCTCCTTACCCTTGCGAGGTTTTCGAGGAGGGGGGTCGAGCCGGACAGCGCGCGGTAGACCAGGAGTGCTCTTTCTCGAGTATGGCCCGCGTAGTTGCGACCGAAGTGAGGACTGTGTCGCAACGACCGCATCCTGTGTTTGTAGTACTCGGGGCTCGCTCGGCGCGGACACGCTCGCACTCAACGGCAAAGACGCTGGCGGATTGGTGGGTAGTTCAGCTACAAGGTGGGAACCAGGAAGTGCAAGAGCCCCCACGTTTTGTGCAGAACCGGGACCGCCAGGTAAGGCTAGCGGCGACGGTGACCTACCTCTCGCCGGCGACGATGGTGGAGAACCGAAGAGGGAATCATCATCGCCGCCGTCGTCAGAGCCTGTCGCGACGAGTGGGTCTGGGATGTCCGGCATAGCACTGAACACGTTGTTCGGATGGTTGAGCGTATGCGTTGGGTGCCTGATATGAACTACAGTACCTCGCGTGAGTGCTATCGATTGCTGGGAGCCAGAGTGGTTGGAGGAAAAGTGAGCCAGGTTGGATCGTGGGCGGTCGTAAAATGCGGAAATGATGAGACGCTTCAAAGAGCGTCCCGGTGCGAGGTTCTGAGGGATTCTAGAGGTTTGTCAAGGTGCGAACGAGGGAGGGGTATCTGGGTAGACGGAAGTCGAGGAAGAGAGCAAAATTGGCCTGCAGGTTGCGAGTCGCTCGGAAACAGCGCATAAATTTGTGGTCCGATACAACTCCGAGCAGGAGGTTGTGTCGGAAAACGAAACACTGGGCATCACTCTCAAGCTCCGAAGAGCGGCGCTTCGAACTTAAGTACCGGCAAATCTGGGGAACGATATATTGTTGCGGCCTTCTCGCCACCATCGCGGTGTTCTTGCTGTTCGCCCGTCTGCCTCAATACCCCAATGGTTCGAGTGACATTGAACCTGTGCTTGTCTGTTTAGGGCGTGCAACTCGTAAGAGCCGGGTTTATACGATTAAACCTGCTTAAACTCAATTAGCAGCTCTGCCGGCCGGCGTGTGATTACCTCTGCAAGTACTGCCACTTCCTCGACGAGAGATCGTCGCAGACTCAGCCATCATCGACTGCAACATCCCTAACAGCTTGCGGCAAGACATAAATACTCCTGAGAAAACAGTCGATTTTCCCCGGAGTTGCTATACGCGTGGTAGTCGGCGCGTGCCTGACTGTGCAGGGTCGGGCCGTTATCATCGAGAGGTGCGTCATGGGCTAGTTGTGCGATGTCCTCAGCCTCACCCGCAATTCCAGGCCAGAGCTGCTCTGTAGCCTTTCTCGTCCTCGGCTGATCCATGGCACGCCGCCCTCATCCCTACATCACCATCCCGCCCGGTGCTGCTCCTCCGTCAAACCCATCGCCGTCCGCTCGCGATCCCCCGCTTTCACCAGTTAACCTCTGGGCAGATCGTCGCTATCATGCCTACACACCGTCCTCCGCGAGCAACTCCACCTACTCTACTTCACGGATCAGCCTCGATGTCTCAACACAACCTACAAGCAGACCGGCGAGCGTGTACGAGGCGGAGACATCGCGACTCTCCTTTCCGGAACCGCAGCTATATCGCTCGTCTTCCCAGAGGTCATCGAGGTCATCCTACCGGCCGAGTAGCAGCGTAATGGGCATGTCGCACCGGAGTACCAGGAGCGATTCTGTGCTGAGTCCTGAAAGTCTGGTCACCCCAACCCAGATGGCGCGCGGGGAGTCGAGACCCCCCTCTTTTGTGGACACGCCCGAGGTACGCCACACTTCCCCAATACATCGAAACGTCTACCTACTTGCGGCGATTAGACCGCTGTCAGGGACCTCTCCTCCGAGCTATCAGACCTCACGTAAGTACATATATTCTCCTCACTCGACTGCGAATCATACTTATGCACACAGTCTTGACTCGGAGGAAGGTCTACGGAAGTTTCAAAGAGGAGAGATCTACGATGACGATCTGGAGTGGTACCGTCTCGTACCCCCTGAGGCACGCGAAGTTCTCTCCAGTAGCGAGGTCCAACGACAATCTATCCTGTTCGAGATCATCAAGTCCGAGAAGGACTACGTTTCTGACCTTGAAACGCTTCAGGAGGTGGGAATGTCCAGTTCTATGCGCTTACAGCTCCCTAAGCTCTAGCCCAGGTCTTCGTGGAACCCATCGTCAATACTTTAGCAGTCCCCCAGCAGCGCGTCAAGGGGTTCATACAAGAGGTCTTCTTCAATCTGGACAAGATTCTCGCGCACCACAAACGCATGCTCGGATCGCTGTTCGAACGTCAACGGGACCAGCACCCGCTCATTCAGAGCCTCTCCGATATCATCCTCGACAGTAAGCGAGTCACTCACACCCCACCGTATGTCGAAGTGCTCAGCATATATCCAGACAGTTTGCTCTTCCAAGATGATTACGAGGACTACATCAAACACTACCCGCTCGCAGAGGCCCGGCACCGTTCCGAACTCCGTCGGAACTCACGGTACCAATATCTCCTACAGCAATGCTCGCTCGCTCCCAGCGTACGGAAGCGCGACCTCATTACCTTCCTGTCCCGGCCTGTCACGCGTCTTCCACGACTCCTACTCCTGCTGGAGAATGCGAAGAAATACACGGAGCCAGACCACCCGGATATGGAGACGATCCCACTTCTCATAGGCATTCTGAGGGATTTCATTCGAAGCACGCAGCCAGGCATCGCTGCGTCAGAAGACAAGGTCAAGTACTGGAACCTGTGTGAAAGCCTAATATACCAGAAGGGCGAGATCATCGTACGTCACCAGTCAATGAGAGTCAATCTGAACTCACCTGATAGTTGATCAGGACCTGGACTTGTACGATGAGAGCCGTTCACTACGTTTTCAAGGCCCCTTGTCAAGACGGTACAAGTCGAACATGGACTTGCACTGGGCTGACCTCCATGTCGCCCTGCTGGACAACTATCGTAGGCCTGATTCGCTACCGCATATACTCACAATCTGTCGATCTGAGTAACGCTTCAGTGCTACTCCTCAAACCCGAGGCCCGCTCTAGCACTGTAATGAAGAACCATGTTGTGTCACGAGTGAGTACTCTATCCTCGCTCGTTCGCATTTCCGGCCGCTGATTCCCGATGCCGTAGCCTATACCCTTGGAGTACCTCCGTCTCGGCGCGTTCGATGGTCCACAAGAAAACCGCAAAGAGAAAGCAGAAGACGGCAGCGGCATCCTGGATCGCGTGCGTTCGCGCTACCGGCAGATGTACCCGTTCACGATATACCACGCGTCGTCGAAGATGAGCCGGAGATATACCCTGTATGCCGAGAGCGAGGCGGCGCGGCAGAAGTGGCATGTTGCGCTCAATGAGGCTCTGGGGATCCGACAGATCAGGCAGGAGAGCAATATGGTCAGTCGCCCTGGTTAGCTGATTCGGCGAACACTACTTACTACGTCTCGGGTGGTGATTTTGACAGCTGTTTGCGCCACACATCCTCAACGAAGGGTTCTTCAAGCATGCAGCGTTGATCGCGCCGTATGGCCTAGCAGCACACTACACGGGTAGAGTCAATGCTGCAGCAGAACTATGTGCGATAACTTCTTCTCAGTCAACTGGCAGCGTTCAGCTCACATATCTGCACAGCCAGTGGGTCGAACACGTTCATTGCCGTTGCATGCACCTCGGGTGTGTATCTCGCAAGGCGAGGCGAATCGTGTACGAGCTGTCTATCCTTCGAATCGCATATATGCGTGCTTATCAACCTCCCAGCGTTCCGCAAGGTCCTGAGCGTGCCCAATCCGACAAGCATGGTCGCCCTTGCAGCGGCAGGCAAGCTCTTCGTGCTGCATGAAGACGGCCTCTGCTCCTACTCCCTCGACATGCTCGCCCGCGCGGCTCTTGGACTCATCGATTCCAGGAAAGTGGACGCGACGAGAGAGATGATAGCGGGAGACGTTCTATTCTTCCGTGCTGGCCGAGTAGGCAATCGGTTCATGGGTGTGTAAACTTTCTCTCTGGTGCTGCATCCGAACCTTGTGATCTGAACAGTGTTCTCATCGCAGTCCTGTATGGTCAGAAGAGCTTTCTTCAAGTGTACCTGTATGCACTAGAGGTAGTGAGCAATGCGGACGCGGGCCACCCGCGTTGGAGTACGTCCGGAGTGTCGTCGTTTAGGTCGTTTGGTGATGTCAGCCATTCCGATTATCGTGCCGCAGATTTCCACCGCTGACACTGGTTATACAGCCTCTTGTCATCCCAAAAGACACATACAACATTACCGTCCTAAGCCGGCGTATCGTGATCTGCTCGGAGAAGGGCATTTCTGTTGCCGATCCTGCCAAGTGCGTTTCCCCGTTCACTGTTATTCGTTACATCCTGACACATAGTCAGTCTGAGCCTGGGCGTGAAATCAACACATCTGCCAGACTTTAGTAACTCTGATCTAAGTCTGGCCATGGCCGGTCTGAAGGTGCGCTGCGCATCCTGCAAGCCACTAGGGATCGTGCGCTGCCCCAACTCCGAAGAATTGCTCGTGGTCTATGATGGTGCGCTTTACTCACTACCTCTCTTCCACATCCTCCGTCTGACTAATGCCCCTGCTACCCCTCCTCCTCCCCGCCACGACGCGCAACAGAACTCGGCTGTTACATGGACAAGCACGGGGTACCGACGCGCGCATCCGGGTATCTACGCTGGGAGACCAAAGCGGTCTCGTACGCCCATCGCGGCGACTACCTCATGCTCATCTCGCCTGAGTTCATCGAGGTGCGCACGGTACACACTGGCAAGCTCGTGCAGGTGCTCGAGGGCGCGGACATGCGCCGCATCGACGTCGGCCTGCTCAGCCCGGACAAGGACAGCGCGCAGGGCACGACGCTCATCGCGATGCGCGGGCGCGAGGAGCAGGGGCTGGTCGCAGACCGCATCCTCGAGCTCGTCGAGACTTCGGAGCTGCGCACGCCAAGAGTGTCGGACGTGCCGGGGGCGTGGGAGGACTTCGATATATTGTAGCCGTAGTACTGGGCGTCGGGGCGGGCGAGGGTGAAATACGGGTGGATGTTGGCAGGATGGTGCTGGGATGGAAAGACGTCGTCGTATATCTGGCTATCTTATGCTTACCATAGAGTAATTTGGATCGTCTGTAATGTAGCCATCGTGATGTCATTGCAAGATAGTCATTCAGCAGCAGGCGCAACAGTATTGCCCAACAGTCGATCCCATTAATAATAAGAATAAAGAGGTACACCAGAGACCGTAAATAACTTAACTCCCTATAGACACAGCGGGGTATATCATGCAAGCGAACTAGGAGGACATCGTGCAGCGCCGAGGCTGCGTATTCGGTACGACGAGACATTGAGCGAGGCTTTTAGCTGGTGAAGACGGTCATGCCCTGGAGGTTGTCGGGGTCTGAAGCACAGTTCGTCAGCCGGTCACTCAATGTGAGCAAATGTAAGGCATACTGATGGTGATCCCCGCAGCCTTGGTGGGTCCAGAGAAGTTGAGCGAAGTGAGCTTCTTGGCCTCTCCAGGGCTATCGAGCAGGAGAACGTCGATCGAAGTCGCGTTGGGCGCCAGGACGTACATGAAGCTGTAAAGCGTGTAAATCAGCAACATGCCCACCGGAACGGAGGAGGAAGGACACGTACTCTTGGCCGTTAACGGTAGCGATGTCGTTGTCGATCGTCGCAGAGCCCGGGGCCTGGGGGTACTGCTGGACGATCGAGCCCTTCAGGTTATCGTCGACGTGCACCTCCGTGACGGTCGCGGTGCCGATGTCCGTCAGGTAGAAGTTGCCCGTCTTCTTGCTGAAGCTCGACCAGCACGTCGCGACCTGGCCGTCGATCGCGATCGCCGAGCTGCGGTTGTTGTCCTTGAGGTCGAAGATGTCGAACCCGAGCCCCGCGTCCGTCGCGAGGATCGCGTTCTTCCCCGGGATGACCGTCATCGAGAACGGCAGCAGCCCGTCCTTCGCGGGCGCGACGTTCTTGAAGTCGGGCGAGAGCGACCCGTCCGCGTTCACGTCCCAGATCGCGAGGAAGCCGGGGGTGGGCGGCACGCCCTTCACGGACGCGATCAGCTGCTTGCCGTCCTCGCTGAACACGATGTGGCTCGCGGTGCCGGCGGGGCCCGTCGCGGGCGTCGTCTGGTTCAGGCCTAGCGGGCGGAGGGTGTTCGCGATCGCGCTTAGGCCGGTCTTCTTGTCGACCTTGTAGCAGCTACGCAGCCTGTCAGTAACATATATCGAGGAGGAGCGGTATGCCGCAGACTCACTTGACACCGTTGACTTGGCCGCCGTTGAGGACACACAGGCGGTCGCCGTTGGCGTTGAACGCGAGCGACATGGGGAACTCGCCCTCCGAGGAGACGACGTCACCGAGCGGCTGGATGTTCGTCGGCGTCTTCGAGTCGATCGAAAACAAGGAGACGGTGTTCGAGCCGGCCTGAAAGAAGAAACCGATGTCAGCAATTATTGAACGGTGACAGAAGGGGTCTGTGTACTGACGTTGACAGTAGCAAGAACCTTGCCATTCGCAGACGCCTTGATTGCGCCCTGGGAGAAGAGAGCGTCGGGGCCAGTTGACTGACCATGCGCACCGTGGCCGCCCGTTGCAACAGCCCTGTCGAGGTTCTAAAACACACCTTCAGTATCATTCTATCGTGCAGGCAACCTGAATTACTTACAAGGGTACCGTCGGAGTTAATGCTAGCTGCGACGACCATGTTCTCATCGGGCTCGTTTGTAATGACTGTGGACAATGTCAGGAACGTGTTCATGTCGACCACATATGCGCACGTACAGTAAACGGCGCCCGCAGCGTCGAAGCGAGTGGTCTTCGACATCATCTTGGTCCGGCCGCGGCGGACCATAGGTGCCGCGGAGACGAGCGTCGTGGCGGCGAGAACGGAGGTAAGGACGGCGGAGGTGAACTTCATCTTGACTGATAGGAATATAATGGAGTTAAGTCGTAAACGAGAGTCGGGTACTGGACGTCCACAAATGGGAAGAGTGCGTGAATCAAAGAAGGAAGGTAATGGGCAAGATGAAGTGAGCACAGCTCCCGCGTGTCCAGGCGGCAAAAGAAGAGAGAGAGGGTCGAAAAAGGGACGAGGGCGAAGGCGAAGGGGACCGAGGGGGTGACCGAAACCGCCTCCCCGCTCCACTCTTTTTATACGCATTGATGGGACGTACCTCAACACAGTCCCCAATCTGGATCAGCCCCTGGCGTCAGCGGTGGGCGCCAACGTTGGACGAGTGCAACGGGGCTGTGAGCCGGCTGCCCCATAGCCTCACATTTCCCAATTGCCGTTGTTGCGCCCACAGGCGCGCATCCCGGCACGGAGGTAGTTTGCAGAAGGCCACATGGATACGCTCTCCCCGGCGGCATTCTTGCCAAGCTTATGTTCTTCCGGGGCCCGGAACGGGTCGAGGAAGAAGACCATCAAGATGTGTTCTGTGTTCTGAGACGGAGAAGGAGGACCAACGGGGTGGTGTCGCCAAGGGGGAGGCGGCAGTTGTGCTAATCGCTGAGTACGCGAGCCGCGAGACTATCGGAAGTTGATGCATATGCTGCTCCAGACGGCGTATGGTGTTATGAGCCAGCATTGCCAACCTCCTGAGGACCATAGGCGGCGTTCAAGCGGATGGCAGAGCCCCGCGAAAGAGATCATCTATTATGCAGCCTCGCGCTGCGAACAGCGACCTGTCGAAGCCACAGATTAGCCACAGACATGAGCTGCCAGACCATGGATGGGATGGGGACGTCCTAGGTTATCATCGATGCGGATTCTTCGTAAGCGCTTACCGACCACGTCTCTATGCATCTTCCCAAGAACGCCGCCTTGGTGGATTGCCGATTTGACGAAGGTTCGGCAGAGTGTTTTGCACTGGCAGGACTGACTCAAACTAGGCTTATGAGTTGTGATGCATCCCAGAATCTGCATACGGTTCTGATCTAGTTCGCCGTGTGAGCCCTAGGTGGTGGACAGCCACGTTCATCGAATTGCGCACCTCTTCGTTCGGAATCGTTCAAACACTCGTTCACTGGTATTCAGTAGTTCACAGAGGCATACTGTGTGCCATAGGAATTTGTTGTTGTCTTTCCCGTAGCGCATGAAGTATTTGGGGTCATACTTCCAGTGTATCTCGAGTCAGAGACATATCTATGCCGTGAACACACCGCCATCAGCAAGTTGAAGTCCAGCCGAGTCGCGCGCACACCGCCCGCGTCGGACAAAGTACGACTGCACTCACAATGATCCAGCGCCCACACATCACGACCAGCAGATGTCGCGTCTCAGTTGATCCTCGGACGCTGGCGCGGGCAGCCCGCTTGCGACCTGCCTTCAAGTTAGAAAACCGCCACGCGACCGCACGTCGTGAGAGGAGTCCAGGGCCGCAGGTTTCGCAGTCGGTCGACTGTCGACTGTCCTTGTCAACAACGATCCCCACGCGACGGGCACGCGAGCAGCCCTGGCGACCTTGTATTCAGAGCGCCGGCGCCCACAGACAGCGACGACCGTCGACAACGCGCGCCCGAGGTACAGCTGGGCACTGCGCCGGAGTCGAGCTCGCTCGCGTTGGCAGTTAATGCCATCGCGGCGGCGCGGCTGGGTGCGCATCGAGCTTCGACATCAACCACGGGCGCGGGCGTGGGCGCGGGAGGGGACTGTCAAGGGAATCAGCCGGCGAGTCCGCCTCCATCGTGTTCATGTTGGGGGTGTATCATTCCTGTCAGGGGATGTGCGGATCACTGTCGGCGGCGGCGGCGTGTCTGACGGAAAGACTTCAAAAATTCGGGTGTTAGACGCTGTCGCCGTGCATTGCCGGGGAGGGCGATGTAACGTACTCACTAACCAAGCAACCCCATCCACGTTATCGACGGAGCAGGTACTAGTGAAAACAGTAGTAAACGCAGCGTCTTTTCGAGTGGAATCTGTGGATGCATGCTATGATATGCCACTGCCGTCAAAAGTCTGCATCTATCTGGAACACATCAAACACCCAAACATACAACCCTGTCAAACATACGCACCTCACATCCACCCGATAAGCCCGAATTCCAATGCACACGATCGCATAGCCTTAGGTCATAGCGTTCATTGCAGGTATATAAACGGCTACAACATCGGTCCGAGGCATACGAATCCCAGAAGAAAAGAGTTCAAGCAGCGGAGAAAGGACTGGTCAAAGGAACTCGCAGAACACGGGTACCATCCGCCTCATCGGCGGACGGCCGTCAACGAGGCCTAGGATGTGTCACAGGAAAAAAGGCCAGCGGTCGTGGTCGATTAAAAGAACAATACACGTCGGGGGAATACGGGAGCGAAGGCGCAACGGTAGGACGACGGTGGGGGCGGAGGGTAGGGTGACAGAGCGGATAGCGTAGCGCAAGGAGGGTGGGCTATCGGTCGGGGGTGGCCGGGGCGGGCAGAGTCTCTCTGGGATAAAGTTCGAAGCACCAAATCTAGTCGTTTTGCAGCCGCGCCGCTCGCGACCGGGCAGGCACGTCCCGCTGTTTAGGCGAGGAAAGCGGCGGCGAGCGCACCGAGGACACCGACGACGCCGACCGACGCGGCGCTGCCAGAAGCACCGTTGGAGCCGGTCGCGGCGGCCGCAGTGGAAGACGAGCTGTTGAGAGAGTATGAGTACCATGACCGCGTCGAATGATAGGGACAACGTACGTGGAAGAACCCGAAGCGGACTTCGAGCCGGAAGAGGTGCTGCCGGCAGAGGTCGCGGTGCCGCTGGTGGCGGCGCCTGACGTCGCACCAGTGGAGGTCGCACCAGTGGAGGCCGCTGTGGAAGTCGCACCAGTGCTGTCGGTCGAGCTACCGCCCGCAGCTGAAGAACTGGCGGAGCCACCGTTCAAGCAGCTGCTATCGGCTGTAAAGGGAATGAGCGTCGGAAGAAGGCTTAGCAGCTATATGGGGCACATACGGCCGCTCTGGATCGTGACAGGAGCAGTTTGCCCTTGAGCACCCGTGGAGTCAGTGATCGTGAAGCCAATGGCGGTGTCTGCAAAATTCGAGGATGAGTGCATGTCTCTGTAGAGGCATTACGGTGTACTGACTCGCGGTGATGTTCGTGCTCCAGGTGAATGGACTCGACTGAAGGTTAGGGTATTGCTGCAGAGCAGTGGCGCCAGGCTGGTTGGCAGGGTTGATACTAAACAGGGCGTACGATCAGGGGCAAAGCACATTGCGCCAACTGAGAGAATGACTTACGCCTGGAAACGAAGAGAACAACCGCTCAGGTCAAATCTTCCATGTTTCAACTATCCGCAAATTTGACTCACCAAAAAGAAGGGACCTGATAAAACGAGCGACATTTAGCCTGAGATAGCTGTGAAGCTGACAGAGACACGTACCAGTTCCGCCAGTCCAGGTGATCTGGACAGGGACACACTGCGTAGGGGGGTTGCTGGCGAGGGATGAGGATAAGCCGAATGAGCGGAGATAGCGAGGACGTACGGGGTGTTGAGCGTGAGCTGGGCGCTGGTAGCAGCGACGAAGAGGGCGACGGAGACGAGGGAGGTGGAGAGCGACTTCATGGTGGACAGAGAGGAGAGCGACGAACTTGCCGAGGGTGTGGGAAGGCGAGAGAGAGAGCTGGGGCAAAGGCAACCAGTCAACGACCGCGCGCGATATATATACGCGGCGCGGGCCGGTGTTTGTTTGTCTCAGCGCAGGCACGTAAGCTGCAACGCCGGGCTCGTTCCATCCCTCCAACATTCGACACCCTTCCCCCGTCCCCCGACGCCCAATCTTGCTGCTGCGACCAGCACAGTCGTCCCAATGCACGCACACACCCGGGCGATCCTCCAGCGTCCTTTCTGGCAGTTTTGCATCGCCCGAGCATCCAAAGCAGAGCCCCGGATGGCCGCCCGACGCACGGCTTTGCTCGGCCCCAGGCCAGGCCCTGGCCATGCCGTGATGATCAGACCCGCCGCGGCTGCGCACTAGCTGCTCTCGCTTGCCACCCATGTTAATCCTCGGCGTGTCTTGGCACGCGGGGAACCTCGTCCTCGTCGCGCAGCCCACGCGGGTCGCCGTCCTCGTCGCCGTGCCCGTCGTCGGGGATGGCGACCGGCGAAGGTGGCGGCGCCTATGCTTGGCAGAAGAGTGATGCCGGCAACGGGAATGACCTCTTCCGTTCGCGTTGTACTGCGAAGACGTCATTGACGTTCCGCTCCTCCAGTGTGCTGCGTGTGCGTGCATGCATGACGAGGTGGCCTGCTGGCCCAGCCTCACCAGTGCCTGACCGCAACCACCATGTTTTTCTGCTCAACTCCACGCAAACATGAACGCTATCGAGACGCACGACAATTGTCACGTCCGCAGCCGTCGGAACACTGGATTTAGTGCGGCCTTCGGCGTCAGTCATTCCGCACGCAGAAGGCTCGAGAGCATCCATAATTATCTTGTGCTATTCACGGAACAAACCCCCACCTCGGAGGCAGAAGTTTGCACATAGACCCCGAGTCTGTGGTGCAAATTTGGCGGTTTATGAGGTGTGGACAGTCCTAGAAGGAAGCAAACAACTGTGAGCATCCGAAACTTTAGACAATGTAGAGGGCTAACTTGCATTCGTGACCCACGTAGGCGTCATAACTACGGACGAGCATACCGACGACCTCCGACGGCACCATCGGGTTTCAATCCAGACGAGACATGAACAATGACAAGGAGAACCCGGAGAATGCTCCGGGCGTATAGGTGAACGCCCGGGAACGCCCCCGTCGCTGAGGCTTATTGCGCTTCTCCCGTTCGGATTCTCCGAGTTCGGTCGTCTTCTAGAGCCTGTCTACCCAGTACGTCCTAGAGATCCTGGTCACCTCATTGCACTCAAGGGTCTCGTCATTCATCGGTCACTGCAACAACACTCTCCGAAATATACTCGATGTGTAATTCACTGCATAAACCGCCAACGTCGTCCACCACGGACGAGTGAGTGCTGGTGAGGAAGGGCATGAGAGATAATGGGTAGCCACCTGATACTGACCTTTGAGAGACTAAGTAGTTGTAAGTAGGCACGATACGCCCTACGTAGTGCAGTCAGAGTTGGAGCTACACCGCGCGAGACAGACTCGCGGTGTATGGTGTCCGGGGTGCCAGGTGGTCTCGCACGAACTGGCGTTCGTACGCCACGGGCGAGGCTCGTGCTACCTTGAAACGACATAACGCGTCTGGCTGCAGCTTGCTCTCGTCGAGTCGTCTATCTAAGCCACGTAATGCTCTATACGTATGGGTAGCAAAGTCATTAAATAGCCCTCGAAATTTCACCCACAGCCCTGTACGACTACGATCATGCCACCCCAATCGATTCCGCTCATCCTTCACCGTCCCTCTTGGAGGTCTGCAGGTCAACTTCCACGCGCAGCAACGCGCGCACGTTCAACTACGAGGTATGTCGTCTATTACGCGTTCGGCCGCTCCGCATCGTTAACCCTCTGCGCAGGCGGAAGACGTCGGTTTCGTGCCGGCCTTCTTCGACACGTCGAGAAAACGGGCGACACCACGCTCCGCTTCCTCGAGATCTTCAACACGAACCACTTCGAGGACATCAGTCTCAGTGAGGTGCCTCGTCCGAGACTTACTTCTTCAATGTGCGAGCACACCGAGCGTCCAGCTGACTTCGTTCTTCTTGCCCTGCTCCACTAGGATCCGCAGCGCGATCTGCCAGTGGTGCGGAAGGGTGCGTGGGCTCGCGCGGTGACAGATATCAGCTTATTATGTCTCTATGGTGAGTTCATCTTCCGTCTGCACAGCAGCTTGCAGCGAATAACACCATACAGGGCCCGAATATGACCGGCAAGGCCACAGGTTGCCCCCCCGGGCCTGGCAGCCTTATGGTAAGCATTTTCTGATATTGCGCCAGTATGCTCAAAACTACTCTTGCATCCTTCGCAAATGCTCACCTGTTCACCCCTAGGGTCCACAAGCTCTCAACACAAGACGGCAGCTGAGAGCCTGACCGGTCAAGCGAAGGATGGTGTCGTATTCCGGGTCGAAGTTGGAGGATGGCGAGTGCGCTGCACTGCGCAGGACGGGTCAATGGTCGACCAGGCTTCGGGCTGTACTACTTATTGACATGTACGCGTACTACGTAGTATTAATCAATAGCCTATTTGTGGTTATAAGTAATCCGGTCCAGAAACGTCGGGTCCTAGGAGCGAGCCCAGAGCAATCAAGGCTCTTTCCCTATACGTTTGCCTGCTTAGTCCTTCTAGTGGTCTCTCGCTCGTAGTGCGACTAGGCCGCCTCGCGTGTTGTTGTGTCAGCTCTGCTATATGATATCTCCACCTCTTGTCCACACTGCTACTACCACGCGCCGTGCACTATAGCACTGGCCTTACTGGGCTATCTCGATGGCCTATAACTACCCGATACCCGGTAACGCCGCGCGCCCTCAGGTAAATTTGCGCTACCCTACCTAGCTCACTAGCCACTAGTATTAACCCGCCTTTGTAGCACGGTCACGCCGCATGTGTGCTAGAAGAGGGTTTTACGCAGTGATTTGCATGATCGTTGGTCAAAATTCAGGCCGCAAGTAGTATAGAAGAACACGAACAAATGCTGTGCACCGAGCTGTGTGTTGTTGCAAACCAGGCTTGTAACCCGGTCCTTAGTTGAGACACACTAAAGAGGCATGGTACATGGAGGGACTGTCATGGCTCATCCCGGAAAGGTATCTTGCGCCTTGTGCAACCTTCGCAGTCAGTGGTGACGCAAAAGGCAGCTCAGGACATGAGGTATACATTGAAAGCCCTGATCCCGGGCGTGTTCTAGGCGTGTTCGCGAACGAGTAAATATACATATGGCACAGCAGTCTTGGTCCGAGATAGTTCGGCGGCACTACAGCAGCTCGGAGGGTGTAAGAGATGCTCTGGGCTCCAGGTCAATCGAGGCATCCTTCTCAGGCGTCCCGCCTTCGAACTTTTCAGCAGTCCCTGTCCTCCTCGTCCTCGTCGTTCTCACCAGCCGCGTCCACCTCCAGGCCGTCGTCGTCCCTATCCAGCTTCTCGAGCTTCTCCAACATCTCGCACACCACGCCCAGCGCGATCAGCCCAAAGCTACGCGCCCCAAACACCGACCTATTGCGCATCCCATAGTCCCACGCGAGCCACGCCCTCCGCAGCGCGCCTACGAGCTCCTCCTCGCCCGCGTCCTTCGCAGTCGGCGCGCGCAGCCTTCCGCGCTGGATGCTACGCACGAGCTGCCCCGCGTGCACGCGCATGCGGTGCATGCGCTCGCGCCGCCAGCGCGCCTGCGTGCACTTCGCGAGGATCGTCCCGATCGCGACCTCCTCCTCCGCGAGGCGCACGTCTGCGCGCGCGGCGAGCGCGTGCGTCAGGCAGATGTACCGCAGTTCTTCCGCGTAGTGCTGGAAGAGCGGCTCGAGCGCGGCGACGTCTGCGTCTGTGTTGAGCTCTTGACCGAGGCGGCGCAGGATGGCGGGGCGGAGGACGCGCGAGATTGAGTCGGAGAGTGGGGGTTCGAGGACGGGGGCGCCGGGCGGGCCGTTAGGGTAGGAGGTCTCGGGGGCGTGTAGGGGCTTGATCTCGAAGTTGCGGAAGAGGGCGCCGAGCGCGCGCGTGGACTCGTAGTAGTCCGACGGACGAGGGTCGTTGTCCTCCGACTGAGCGAGATTCGTCAGCGTAGTGATCAAGGAGGATGCAAGTGTAAGCTTCACCTTCTTCCAGTCAGGCTTCGCGCGTATAAGGGGCTCGGGCATACTCTCGAGGTTCACAGGAACGCCGTTCTTGGGGTAGTCGACCGCCTGGCTGCAAAGCCGTGCCAGGACCATGCAATCTTGATCGAAAGTGCCGTACTATGAGACGTCAGCAATCGGAAGTTCAGCCACACAAGAGGGTCATTTACCGATGACTGGTCTGAAAGCACGAGCGGTTAGAAGATGTACAAGGATGGGTCAAATTGTACTCACCAGCGATCTTGAGGTGCTGGTCCGCTACCAATCCCTGCACGCAAGTCAGACGAAGCTACGGGAGAGCGACAACATGAAGGACGTGCCATAACATCGGACTGCATGTACTCCAGGAGGAAATTGCAAATATCGTCGATAGTGCTAGGGCGCCCAATATCCCTAGGGTCTCCGGCATCGTATGACGCGGGGTCCGCATTGGTCGTCGGGAGCAACGTCGGGTCTTTAATCACCAGAAATTCATCGCTGGGAAGAGGGAAGTCAGATATCATACTGAGGACCCGTCAGAGGATGAACTCACCCATCGACGTCTCCGCCCGCGAGGCAGGAGGCAAGGGACCGCTCGCCTGAGTTCTACGTCAGATAAGGGAAGTACGTTGCTCTACATCAGTCTACGCACCGACAGAGGGGAGAACGACAACATTTCGGAGGTTGCGGAAGAGGCAGAGCTTGTCATCCGGTGGTTTCCCAATAGCCCTTACGCGCTGGACTGTATACACGACCGTGTCAATGAGCGAGACCTTTCATAAAGGACACCAAAAAATGCATACCATCTCCGGGATGAATGTGGGGGGACCGCGAGATCGTCACTTGGCCTAACACATGTCTTTAGTAGCATGATCCAATGACCCGCACGAGGGAGCGATGATAAACGGACCTTTAACATACAGCGGTTCACCGCCGTCGGGCTGTTCAACGCACGCTATCGTCCATGTGAGAATCACAGCAGCAGCCGTGGCCAGTCCGAATGGAACGTACCAAAAATCTCGCCCATCCCGAGACAAAACACCTCCTTGTCCTTGTACTCCTCCCGCTGCATATATGCGGGCCCCTCGTCTGCCACCCCGACAAGCTGGTGTGCGTTCGGGATCGGGATACGCGCGTCGTGCTTGATCTCGTGCAGGATGTGGTGCTGCGCGTACTTCACGAGCTGGAGGATGAAGTCGTTGTCCATCACATCTGGGGAGCCGGCCTCGCGGCGCATACACATCCCCGCGCGCCTCAGGTGTTCCAGAATATGGCGCAGACCGAATGAGTCCCCAAGGGCGTGCTTCCTGAGCAGGTTAATCGTCTCTCCCATGGAGTCGCTCGCGGTCACGACTACCGCCTTCGCGAGGTTCTGGAGCTCGAGCATGGCCTCCTTACGGACGCCGAGGTCCTCGAGGACCATGATGAGCGGTCTGTGGTCGTCTGTAAGCTACCTGGATGGAAATCTATGTGCAAGTTCGGAGTACGCACCGACAGAGCCTTGCGGTGCCGGGGTAGATGAAGGCCTTCGCGATCTCTATCTCCGCGTCGGCCTCGTCGTCCGCGTGCGCCTTGAACTTGTTCATTGTTGGTCGGAGGCGCATATACACGCCCTCGAGCGTCTCGTCGACCACCACGATGCCTTTGAACCCTGGGAAAACGTTAGCACATGCGCAGAGACGATATCGGACGACCTGAGCTGACCGAGAAAACGAATTTGATACTAAAGACACGATATGAGAATGTGTATTGAATGAGCGCAGGAGGACATGCGTACCGCTGAGGGTTTGAGCGTAAGCTTCGCCTTGTCAGGCTGCGCTTTCACGAGCACATCCCAGATTTCGTCGCGCAGACCAACCGAGATCGTACCCTGGCCATCGGTGTGCCAAAACGGCTTCTTTCCCAGGTCCGCGAGCTGGTCATCCCACTGGTCCCTGCGGATGCGCACAGATGGGTCGGTGCCGCTGAATGCCTGTGCTATACGCGCAGCATATTTGGAGGGAATCGTGTTGACGTTGGAGAAGTTGCCCAGGCTGTCCCGGATCCGGTCGGGGGTCAGGAGGCCCTCGTCAGGGTGCTCGAAATCGCTCATGAACCACGTCGTGTGCTCGCGGAGTCCCGAGTTGGAGTACCCGAGGAATCGGAATCGGCGGCCTGCGATCTCGAGGCCCTCTTTGAGGATAGTCCCGAACCTCTCCTCGATCAGAGATGCCGAGTTGACCTGCAGACGATGGAGTGTTACCAAAGCACTGCGAGACTGTACACCAAGCACGTACCTCTTTCGGCCACCGGAAAGCCATCCTATTTTCGTCGCGGAATTCGACTCGGACAAAATTCTCCCGGTAGTCGTGGTACTTCCGGACGACGCGGTTCGACTGCGTGTCGTACGGTCCCTCCAAGAGTATTCTCGTAGGCGTCACGATGACGTGGAAGCACTTGAGCGTCCCCTTGCTCTCGGGCACGTCGGCATCCTCGCCCGACAGCGACTCCTGCACTTCGCGATCCTTCGCCAGCGTATTCTTGAAGCACTCCACGACGGTCTCGCTGCGCTGCTTCGACTGCAGCTTCTCGAAGAAGTGCCGCAGCGCATCAGCGGCGAAGTCTGGGTCCTCCTGGTGGAGCTCCTCGACGTCGGTCCGTAAGTCGAGCATGTCGCCCGTGTTCAGGAGGCCGTTGCGGAGCAGCGCTTCGAGCTGAAAGGCGACCGGCCACTCGAAGCGCATGATCCACGATCGCACGGCTCGCATCGTCTCGGGCCTGTAGAACCCGCAGACGTCGGTGTCGATCTGCACCTTGCCGGACGAGCGGACTCCCGCCTCGTAGCAGAGGGTCTTGAGGTCCTTCCTTGCGCTCGGGTCGTTCAAGACGACACGGAGTTGGAACGCGAATGGTCCAACGGATTGGTGCGGTTTGTCGAGAAACGTCAAGCGTTCTCGGAAGCCCTTGTTGTCCTTCTGGTACTCCCCTGTATATGTGCGGTACATCTGCTGCCGCTCGAATCGTGGAGGACAGTACAGGTCGAAGCAAACGTCTGGTGAGTCCATGTCAGAAAAGATCAGATGTGAGCCATATTGAGCGAATCAGGCACTAACAGTACTGCCCCGCGGCATTGACCCCGTATGCGACCTTCTTGATGTTGTCGGTGTCGGTGACGATGTGGGTTGAGTTGTATTCCGTGACGCTGTTGCCCATCTGGAGGCGCTGCTCTCAGTACGAAAATCGAGGCAATCTCTGTCCAGACTCGCCTCGATGCGCAGGAGCTTGTGGTTATAATCAAAGCAAAGCTTCCCAGCGAAGGTGTCCGTCCGGCGTATCTCGTACTCGTTCGAGAAGCGCCTATTTGCCTCCGGAGGGTCGTCCGGGCGGCGGTAGTACACGCCAAACTGTATCGCATCCAAAACAATACCGATTTGGCCGATGCGACCAACCAACACCGCGCGTTCCTCCTCGAGCGTCGGATCGATGTAGGGCGTCTTCAAGAGTGACTCTACCATCGCCCGAGAGGGCCGCTTGTCGTTTGCACGGAGCCAGACTCTCCTGCCGTCGACTCTCACGTTATTACCCCTTTTAAATGCCCACCGCAGGAAGTCGTCTCCGAGCTTCCTGTCTGGGACGATGAGCGTCGCGGTTCCATCGTTGGACAAACTGCCCGGGCCGCCCTCTTTCTTGAACTGGACCCTGAAATTCCTAAGTCCCAATGTCAATCAAGGCTTATCATACGGGATTTAGAAGCACCTACACACGCCGTGACTTGTGCGCGTTCGGATTGTAGAAGAGTTCCGAATGCAATGCTTGGGCGAAGCCACGCTTGACATCCCAAACTGTTGCCGAGTAGTTCAGATCAGAGACCTGGATCTCCATGGCAAATGCAGAGCTAGGGGGTGAGATAGAGTGAGTGGTGAGTACGGTGGCAAGGGGCAGGTAGCAGGTTGAATCAAGGGCCGGGCTTTATGTTGCCTGCAGCACCAGTGCCAAGTGGCGCATACAAAGACACTTGTCTCATGGAGCCACGAGGACTGCTCCGGTAGTAGCGCTGCGGCATTAACGCATGCGCGAAGGCCAGAGCGATTCCACATAGATTCGTGGGGATGGTGCTGCGGTGATGTGCAAAGTGAAGTCGGATCCGCCGTCGCTGGGACCGTGGCCGGCGGCTGCAAATGAGTCCCGAAATGGAAGGTCTCGTAGTTCACGTTCAACTACCGTACGATACAATGCCAGCAGAAGTAAAGCCCCGAGAGACCAGTACTTACCATGCACTCAACATCTATTTATGTGGTCGGTTCAAAGAGTAACAGAAATAAGGATATCTGGGAGAAATTACGGAGTCACATACAGTGCGGTAGCAATACATTTCTGTTCGTCCTAAACTGCTTTATCAGCACTACTCCGTCTGGAAAACGAGACATACGCCGTCGTCTCCTGCGCTGACGACGACGCTACCACCCAATCCCAGAGTGGCGTCCAGGATCGGGCCATGGTGGCCCTTGTGTTCTCGTACAAGGGTTCCAGTCCGTGCGTCCCATGTCCTCAGCACCTTGTCCACGGACGCTGAGACGATCAGGTGGGCCTTCGGCGCGGGAAGATGATGCAGAGATGTTACAGCGTCCTGAGAGAAAGTAAGTTATGGCAAGCCATGACCTAGAGGGAACGAAAACTCACTTCATGCTCTAGTGTTGCACGCAACCTCATCGTGCTGAGATCCCAGATACACGCTTTTCCATCCGTAGCTCCAGTAACCACGACGCCCCCGGATGCCGGGGCAGATCCAGACAGCGGCCCAGGCGTAGCGAGCTCCACGAACTCGACCGCCTCCACACTCTCGCCCTCCTGGTGGCCAGCGAGCGCTCCAACGACATCGCCCTTGTTGAGGCTGATTACGCGCACACCGCCAGATGCACCGCCGACGACCGCGAGCGTAGAGGCGGGGTTGACGGCGATGGAGGTGATACCGTCTAACGCGAAACGCGCGTCGGTAGGCGTCAGCTTGAAGACAGGTGATGGCGAGCGGGGGTCCCAGTACATGAGAGTTCCTTCGGCATCGGCGGTGACAATGCGTTTCCCGTCTGGCGTGAAGGATCCGCAGGTCACAGGCCCCATATGGCCCGCGAAGACCTGCATAGTGTTCCCCGAGGGCACTGCGGAAAAGATATTATTAAAGGCGCGTTACGGCGTGAGAGGGCTGCTGCTCACATTGCCAGAGCCAGACCGTAGTGTCATTCGAACCTGCAAGAAGAACGTTTCCTTTTGGATGCCACCGCAGCCACTATAGATGATAGGAAGTAAGCGATCCCGTCGGCCTTCGGAGCTGCAGCACATACCATGACCTCATCCGGACCTGTGAGCTCTGTGAGGAACTCCCATACCCGCCAGTTCTCCTTGCCAACCCTCCGCCATATCCGCACTTTTCCGTCCATACCGCCCGTCGCGACAAGTTCGCCATCGGCATTGAATGCAGTAGAGGTCACACTGTCGGTATGGCCCGTAAGCTTCACGAGCTCTTCGCCGGTCGTGATGTCCCATAGGTATCCAAGATCATCCTCGCCTCCGGATGCAGCTACGGGTGCGGTAGGGTGAGCAGAAACAGCGAATACCGAGCCCTTGTGACTGGGGAAGTGCTGCGCCGAGTTGTCTTCGTACACGATCGACTCGTCCATGTATTCCTCGCCTCCTGCTCCGCCTTCCTCATCGTCATCCATGGGGAAGTCGCCGCCCTCTCCGCCTTCCTCAAACTCCACGAGGACATCGTTGGGGTCGATGAAGTCTTCATCGTCTGCACCCTCGGCACCCTCCTCGAAGTGCTCGTCTTCGACGCGTTTTGAGGCCATTTGGACAGAGATCGGGGAGAGAAAAAGACAGATGTTGTGTGTACGCCTCCCTGACAGAACGGCCTGATGGTTATATAGCCTGTGCAGACGCGAGAAAGCTTAGAGATGGCTGAGTAAAGCAAGAGTCTGCGTTACTCACTCATCCGGTCCCGCACATTATCTTGCGAGATTTTGTCAGATCTGATCGCGAGATTCCCATCTCCGGAAAAGGACCACGTGACCTATACACGCGACGCGGCGTGTTGGTTGGCCACCGGGCGTGGCAGCCTGTGCTCGTCTGCACCGTACCGTCACTGGCCGCCGCCGAGCCTCGAGGAGCCTCGAGGCTGAAGTTTTCGCGATGTTGGCACGCACACTAGGCAGGTATTTACGTCTTCCAAAATTCGGCCAAACTGAACCAGGTCAGCTCTGAGAACCCTACGACTTACCTCACTCGCATACTCAACCGAATGCTGGCAGACGAAGGAGAAGGAGACCATGCAGATGTGACAGCTTCAATCGCAGATAATCAACCATCGACGAGAAAAAGGGACACACAAACGATCTCCAAAACACCTGCGGCAGCAAAGGGGGCCACCCAAGGCGATGCTCTAGACAAACCTGACGGTGTACGGGTCTTTCCTCTTGAGTCTGCTTCGTTCCCACAGAACCCTCTGACCAGCTGGGGTATATAGTCTCGTCTGACGCGGCTATTCTCGAAATCTGGGCCATCGTCGCCAACTCTATCCGATACGCCGCCATCTCCCTCGTCTCAGTCCTCCTCGAGCTCTATGCACGCAGACTCCAGCTCCGATCTCAAGCTTCCGCCCAGCTACGCCTCGGATGACGGAGACATCTTCCGACACTGTAGACCCAAGGGGTTCTCCACGAGGAAGGCGAAGTGGATGAGCAGGTATCGCTGCGACAAGTCGCCACCATCGGAGCTCCGCCTCATCACCTGGAACGTGGACTTTTCGACCCCCAACTGCGAGGCCAGGATCCTTAAAATCCTCTCCTACATCCAATCCTCTGTGCTCTCCTCGCCTCCTGAGCCCTGCTGCATACTCCTGCAAGAGCTTGACGCCAAAAGCTTCCGCGTCCTCCTCGCCAGCGAATGGGTGCGCAAGAACTTTGTTATAGCGCCGGACACCACCCAGCTCTGGGCCTCATTCTACGGCAACGCGACTCTCGTCTCCCGCAGCGTCCCTGTCCATCACGTCGTTCGGTCGATGCTGTTTTGGAACACCAACATGGGTCGACATGCTCTCTTCGTCGACATCCCCCTCCGCTCCGCCGCCACGGGCGAAACGCGAGTCGTGCGCGTGGCGAACACACACCTCGAGTCTCTCGTTGATGGCACTAAAGCCCGCCCAGCCCAGCTCAAAGCCATCGCGGAGGTGCTTCGCTCTGACGAGGTCGACGGTGGCGTCGTGGGTGGCGATATGAACATGATCGGGGACACAAAGGACCAAAACATCCACGTTGACGCGGGGCTCGAGGACGCATGCCTCTTCCCTGACGAGGTGGCGTCGCATACATGGGGTTATCAGCCCCCTTGTCAGTATCCGGCACGAAGGCTGGACAGGGTGTTCTTCACGGGGAAAGGGCTGCTCGTGGATTCGGTGGAGGTCATCGGTAAGGGGTTGCGCATCCCGAACGGCCAATTTGCGAGCGATCATTGCGGTCTTTCTACTACCATCTCTTTCACAACGGCTGAAATCTGACGACATTTCACGGTTCCGTCTCCCTATGTCTGTGTATCCTTGTCGTGCTTTCCAATCTGCAACATACCGCTTTCAACTTTGGATGTCCCTTGCTTGTATACCTTTGTAGCCCTCGCTTACGTCTACGTTCCTTGGTTTTCTCATCTTTCTTTGTATAGATCGCAACGACATGCTGCTACCAGATGTATTGCTCACCAAAATAGGTATTCTTACTACCTTCCTCCTGTATCGTTTTCGTCGTCTTGTAGCAGACTAGTATCTTTCCTTCTACCTCTACATCTCCCCTCGTCCGTTCATATGCGCGGGTGGCGGCGAGCGCTTCCATCATGGTCAGTTTGTTTTCTGGATGTCAAACTTTACTAGTACCGCTCAATCAAATTCAATGATGCAGGTCACGATGCCCCACTCTATTCCCCCCGCGAACCGGAGAAGCGTCAGCTGTGTCTGTTTCCTTCTGCCCCCGCCGCAGCAGAAGCACAATCATATGCCACATGTCTTCGTACGGATCGATGCCCGCAATGCAAGCTAAGTTAGGAAAGCTCTCCATGTTTCCGTGACCTGTGGCGAAAGCAGACGGCTCTGATCATTAACTTCTCATCTGCAGAACCTCTGCTTACCTTCGGAAAATGGCGGGGTGAGTACTGCCGTGTTCGTCTCTCGTCGTATTATGTGATGCCTTGCTCACTGCTCTACAGGTTTGTGAAAATTGATCATCTACATACAAACTGCTACGGCAACCAGTATCAGCCAGTATCACGCCCGAGACCATCGTGTGCTGCCTGATCGCTGCAGCGCTGCAGGGCCGTCATCATCTGCTTCACTAGCTAAGCGATTTCTACGTGCGAAGTTTAACCGCAGCCAACCAGCCCTTCCGAACACAACCGCGTACGGGTGACATCAGATGAGCCTAAGTTTCACACCCTCCCCCGGTCTTTTTCTGCTTCCCCGGCCTCTTTCTGTGTGTATCAAGGAGAAGGCGGTCGGGATCCCCTGGTCGGGTGCCCCGCATTACCCCAGATATTCTCCAGATCTCAACGCCACTAACCTTGAAAGGGACATCGGGTGCGGTGCCCCCACGGAAGCGCGAGAGCAGCCTTGAGAAGAGCCGTGCTCACATGGGTATATAGCGGACGTCACGTCTTGTCGGCACGCGATGGTACCCTCCCCCCCCGTCTACCCCCGCGCGTACGAACACACGGCGAATACCACCTCCGCGAGGATGGCCCCTACGGAATGGACGGTCGTCGACTTTATACACCGAGGTCCGTGGTGGAGAAACCATGGTACGTGTTTCACGACCGAGTTCCGCTCATGCGTCTGTGCTGACCGCTCTCGCTCCTTAGGCATCCGTGTCCTAAACCTGCTGATATTGATTCCTCTTTTAACGGCTTCTATCAACGGCCTTGACTCGTCGTTGGTGAATGGTGCGTTAGCCGTGCCATTGCTACCTCGCGCGCCGCGCGCCCTGACATATATTGCTACAGGCCTGCAAATTCTACCCTCTTGGCAGGATTTCTTCAAGCACCCCAACGGAAAAACTCTAGGCATGCCGCCCTCACCGCGCACACCTTACCCTCCCTAACACCATCCACATTGTGACAGGTCTCATCAGCGCCGCCCAAGTCATTGGTTCAATCGCTGTAAGACCGAACGCCTGCCCGCCGTAACCACGCGTATTCATATCCACGCGTCATAGGGTCTCCCACTCGCACCGTTCGCCGCTGACAGCCTAGGCCGACGACCAACGCTCTTCATCGGGGCCCTCGTCATGCTCGCCGGGGTCTCCCTCCAGAGCGCCGCGTTCAACATCGGCATGTTCATCGGGGCCCGCGGGCTCAGTACGTCACGCCCTTCGCCCCGTCCGCGCCTTCTCTCACTCCGCACACGTAACAGTCGGCTTCGGACTCACGTTCGCGCTCAACGCGGCACCCCTGCTCATAACGGAGCTCGCGTATCCGACGCAGGTGCGGGACGCCGCGCTCCCCGATTTCTAGCTCGTACTCGATCGGCTGACGCGCCCCGATAGCGCGGCAAGTTAACGGCCATGTACAACGCGTCGTGGTATTTAGGGAGCATCCTATGTAAGTGGTCTTCCGTCTGTGCTCGTGCAAGTCAGCTGACGCGGCCGCGAACTTCGAAGCTGCATGGACGTGCTTCGGCGCCTGGAACGGCGCGGGGACCTCGCCTTGGTCGTGGCGCGTCCCTACGCTCATACAGGCTCTTGGGCCGCTCATCCAGGTGTGCTTGATATGGTGCGTGACGCGAAGACGGCGTGTTGGGGAACTCCGTTGCTGACACCAAGTTCAGGATCGTGCCCGAATCGCCCCGGTTCCTCGTCGCGAAAGGCCTCGTGAGCACATTTGCAGATATTCACCGTCACCTGCGCAGCAGGGCTCACCCGTTGGGCTTGTAGGAAGGACAAGCGGCGGCGGCGCTCGCACGGTTCCACTCAATGACGGGTGACGAGCGCGACCCGCTCATCGTGTTCGAGATGGCGCAGATCCGGCACGCGCTGAAGATGGAGAAGGAGGTCGTGTCGAAGACGTCATTCACCACGCTCTTCGCGACCCCGGGGAACAGGAAGCGGATGTGCATCATCATCGCCCTCGCCGTCTTCTCGCAGTGGAGGTCCGTGTTCCATTACGTCTGGTACACCGCATGTGTATGTTGACGCAAAGCACCCTGCAGCGGAAACGGTCTGGTCTCGTATTACATTAACCTCGTGTTGGAAGGTGTTGGCATCTCCGATCCGGGCACGAAGGCGGCCATCAATGGAGGACTTCAGGTTCGCGACGTGCTCATGTTCCCTCCCAGCGGCTGATTTATCGATCTTCCATGAAGATATGGAACTTGATAGCAGCTATGGCAGGCGCGCTGCTGGTAGACAAGCTTGGCCGAAGAACACTCTTTATTATCTCAAATATCGGCATGTTAATCGGTATGTGTATCTCCTCGTTCGCGCAACTCCAGTTCTCACGTATTACCGGCAGATTTCGGCGTATGGACGCTCACCACCGCTCTTTTCCGAAATTTGGACGACACAACGGCAGCGAAAGGTCAGTCGTACCGCCGTTCGAATCATACGCGGGACTCAATGAACCTATCATCTAACTACCATTCCCTTCATCTTCATCTTCTACTTCTTTTACGACATCGCCTACACCCCCATGCTCATCGCATACACACTCGAGATCCTCCCGTTCAGCATCCGCGCGAAAGGCTTCGCAGTGATGGTACAGTGCACCTCTCACCGCCCCCAAGTCGGACAAGACTGACACTGAACCGGCCAGAACTTCGTCGTCTCGCTCACGCTCGCGTTCAACCAATTCGTGAACCCATGGGCCCTGGACGCCCTCGGCTGGAAATACGTGCGTCCCCTCCACGTCGGACACCCGCCCGCCGCCGCTAATAGACAACCATTCGCCTTATAGTACCTCGTCTATTGCGGCTGGCTGATCGTCGAGCTGGTCTTCGTCGTCGTCTACGTGATCGAGACCAAAGGCCGCACGCTCGAGGAGACCGCAGCGCTGTTCGACGGCGAGCAGCAGCCGCAGGCGCTCATGCAGACGGGCGGCGAGGCCGCGACGATGTCCGCGGGCGTCCCGCGCGGGCTCGCCGGCATCTGGGTCGAGCAGGAGAAAAGCACGGTGACGGACTTCGTCGAGATGCGCGACGCGCGGCGGCCGCAGCGCATTGGGGAGTGCAGTACGTGGGCGGCGGGGGACGCGGGCGACGATTCTGCGAGCTCGGACGCGAGCGCTCCGTCCGTTTATGCGGAATGAGAGGGGACGTTCTGCGTCTTTATATACCATGGTCTCGGCATTGTACTTACTAGGGACCATCGGATTGTGCATCGTACTGTTGTTGTTGTACCAATTGTCATGATATCGTCCGCAATGTATACTAGCTCTGCACGTCATCCCTTACCCAGACCTGCAGCCCGCCGTGGGGACAGGTGAACGTGGCCCACCCATGCGCATCGACGCGGACAATTTGGTCCTTCGGCTCGAACAAGGACCGGTACTGGACGTCAACATTGACCTGCGGCCCCGTCAGCTCGCATGCACCCGCAGAACAAGCGGAACCCCACACCAAGGTCATGTCCATCCGAATCGTGTGCACCGGGACTTCTGTCGGTTCTGCATCTGTATCATCACTTCTCACGTCCATGAGCACCTGTCCTTCCCCCTCCCAAGAGAATATGGCAACACGCACCTCTCCTGCTCACTCGGACGGTCAGCGTTGCTGATCAGCACGGCGCAGCTCCCACGCGCGTCGCCCCGCCGCACATCGCCCCGCCGCGCAAAGCCGACGCAATTCGCCTCCTGAAAGTAGTCCGCACGAGACCCGTACGCGAACTTCCGCCGGACGTCCATCAGCTGCCGCACGCCCTGCGCCACGCGCTCGTCGTAGCACTCCTGGTTCGGGTACGTGTCCCCGTAGAAGACGCACCTGCGGGGGCAATCGGGGGAAACGCGCGATGAGCGGGGGTGATTGGCTCGTGAGAACGGGGGCGCACGTACGGGTGGCCATCGCCATAGAGAAGGATGAGCGCGTACGCCTGCAGCTTGAATGCGCTTCCGACCTGCAGAGGGGGATCAGCACACGGTGCGCATGGGGAAGGGAAGCGGTGCCGGAGGGAAGGGGGTGACGCACCCAACTCTCCAGTGTTTGTCCGATTTGCTATTGGACGGGACCGTGAGTGAGGTTCGGGAGCGAGGAATCACCTGGCAGTTACCGTGCTGGGAACACGGGTTATTGCGGGCGGTGGTTGTAGTGTGTGGGGGACTTACTCGTGATTGTCGACGAAGGTCACTGCGTCACCAGGCCGATACTTGAGGACTGTGCGGTCGAGGATCTTCCTAAGGTCGTACCGAGAGCCTGCTTTGCTCGCATCGTGCAGATTGTAGTGGAGGGGGACATCAAAGAATGTAACCTGTTTGCGAGTGCACGAACTTAGCATGAGGGCAAGAAACATCGTAGGGGCTGCTCACAAGTCCTTCAAATGCTCGAATGTACGGCTTGATGAGGTCGATGCTATGCACAGCGTCAGGGAGACGCGGAACATTGTCGTGGCTCTACTCACTTGCCCGACCAATACTCAGCGACAGAGAACAGGTCAGGCCGATCTGAGGTCTCACGAACATGCTTGATCTGTCATCCACTCGTCAGAAGCGCACCACATGAGCGTAACAGAATACGTACAAACTGAAGTAGGAACCGACGATCCATATGTTTGATGGCGTCGAAGCGGAACCCCGCACCACCGGTAGTCTGCAAGCATGGGATTAGCCACGACTCCGGCTCGCGTGGGGTTCAGAATATACCTCTAGCACCCAGCTGCCCCACGTGAAGATATCATTGCGCACATCGGGATGTCTATGGTCGATCTGTAGTTGTAAGTAGACATCGCGAGTGCTTTGAGAGTACTCACATCTATTCCGAGAAGGTAGTCGTAGTTCCCTAGCTCCGTGTCGACCCACCGTGACCACCCTTGATGCCCTGGGCCTGTGATACGAAATACACCCTTCGTGCGAGTCCGGTGATCCCAATCAAGTCCTGTAAATGTGTGATCAGACGTATATATGTGCTCCGATAACTATATGCGCACCTGTGAAGTGCTGGTGCGTCCATTTGAAGCTGCTGTACTGCGTAACGATTAGGTAGCCCTTGGTTCAACATATACGGACGACTCACCTTGTCGCCTCTTCCAAGGAAGTCGAATGCTGTCCAGCCCTGTGTACATTCGCTTAACTTCGATGGGTGTACAGGGACACCGACGCCTTTACCTCCATCTCGCGCTCCGGGGCAATGTCCTTCAGGCGATTGTTTGGATCAACAGCAACAGCTGTGAACTTCTCTGGCCTGTCTGCACCTAGTTTATGCTAGTCGCCGTCAGCTCCTGCGAGTGCGCAGAAGGTACAGACACCTCACGTTCAGAATGGCATCTATGAGGACGTCTATGCCATGAGCTTTCGCCGCTGCTACGGCTCTAACGAGTTCCTCTTTGGTTCCCCATCTTGTCGCGATGGTCCCTTTCTGGTAGAACTCTCCTAGATCCCACTAGGGCCGATGAGTACGTCATATTACTGCTGAAGTGCTGGAGCCAACTCGGGCGCATGGCTCCTGCATTGCACTGCTCCGTCTGAAAGGGCATATGATGCCACGCATCACAGCATACACGCGTGTATTCTTATGATGTTTGCGGGCAGATCGCCATGCATAGAACATGCTCACCAAGTCATATGCGTCATAACCTTGCCCTTCCTGCGGAATGCTCAGAACTCATACCGTCACCAAGTATGAGCAGGAACCCACCTTTCTCATAGCTTTATTCGGAGGTGGGAGCCACACCTGGGTAACGCCCAGTGCCGCCAAGTTGGGTACTTCACTCTCAAAGTGTCTCCACCAGCTCATCTGGGGGTGGCTGCAGTCCCAAGTAAAGAACTGGAACTGCGTCACTGTCAGCTGCCGTTCACAGTGTCATAAACCGCTCAGAACACTCACCACCAACGCGTTGTCGTCACCGCCATTCGGGCTGAGCCTCATATGAGGAAGTGCGGGGACGGGGTACTTCCAGAAGGTGAGGGTCTCCCAGACCTGGAGGAGGCGGTCGGAGAGGACATCCCAGATCATATCAGAGGACTATCCCAGAAAAACGAGGTGATGGTCAGGTCGGCGGAAGATCCCAGGGCAGGCCACTCCTTCCGACGCATCCCTGCTTGTCGCCGTCGGACGCCTCCACCCGAGACGCGCTCCTCTGACGCGTGTCAGGTGCGCGCCCCCGCCACAGCGGAGTCGCAATCTTCAGGTGCCGACAGCCTCGCCCTATATAAAGCCCGCGCGCCGACTGTCGTTCCACACAACGACCACCACGCGTCCCTGTGCTCTATGTCTGCGTTTTGCTCGACGCTGGAGTATGGACAGGATGCGCTTCTTGAAGCTCCGTGGTGGTGCGGATCGAAAAGCCTGCTTAATCGCTCTGTCGACACAGCACCTACGTCGAAATGGAGTTTCATGATTCGGCAACATCCTCTCTTACACTTGTACTCGCTTGTAGTGTCTCTCTGCAATGACATCCCGTGCTTCTTGCAACTCATCTGGCTGATTGAATGGATGTGGGCTGCCGCAGAGACGTAGGTATGATTGTCCCGGCTTGATTTCCTTGGTTTGGACGTCCCTTCGAAGTAGAGTACTAGTCATGCGTTATTTTCGGCCGCTCGAAGTATATGGACAGGATCAGCTGGAGGCATAGACTCATGACTTGCGCCGACGATGTACTATCATGCTTGCTTGATGCTTGCATACATGACTTCAAATATGTAATGAAGTTGTCTTGTGAATAGGTTTCACTATTTTGCCCTAGAAATGAAGGTAACGGCTATACAATCCAAACTCTGCAAAGCTAGTAACGCGTTGTAGTCACTCGTGAACGTTTTACATACAAGATCCTCATATACATGTGTTGTGCATAGCGTAGCGATACCATACAATTACTCAAACGGGTATGGAGTAGTGCCTGATCTCCAAAATGTATCATAGCTGCGTTATATGTTCAGTGTCATCGTCATGTCAAAGTAAACAGGATGGGGCTTACCATAAATCGACTATCGAAGACGACTAAGGCTACCAAGCGCAGAAGAAAAGCTCGGACGTGGTTGAGGGGCGTCGCCCTCCTTGATGGGCGACAAGACCGTCGGGATGTTCAGTCCGCCATCGCCGGGCTAGTGTGGATAGCATAGAATTAGCACGGCCCGGAGAATCATGGAGATCGGACGCGAAGTTACGACGTACATTTCCTAGGTCCCACTGGAAACTCGTCGGTTGCGCCGCGGCGAACATGTTGATCTTCCGTTTCTTCTTCTTGGGCACCCCTTCGCCATTCCCTTCGCCCTCAGGCTCAGCATCGCCGCCGTCACCGTCACCTGCTCCCGAGCCCGAACCGCCTTTCCCAGAGCTGCTAGCTGCCAGTGACGGTCGCCCGGGTGGTCTGCCCCGTTTCGCGCCAGTCACGGTGGCCTTCGCAGCGGGTTTCGCTGCGGCAGCTTCGCTCTTCTTGGGCCTACCACGCGGTCGCGGCGCCGGCCGTTCCTCCTCCTCCTCCTCCTGTTCGTCAGCCTTCTTCTTCTTCGGCCCCTTCTTCGGCGCGGGAGCGTCGTCCTCGTCGGCGGTGCTTGCCTTCCGCTTGCCCTTCTTGTCCGGGGCACTCGGCTTGGGCTCGACGATCTGCACGTCGCTGTCGTCCGCGTCCGCGGTGGGCTGGCGCTTGCGCGGCTTCTTCTCCTTCTCCTTGTCTGTGCTCTTGTCCTTCGAAGGCTTCCGCGCTGGCGGGTCTGCCTCCTCGACGTCAGACGAAGGGCGCGCGCGTTCCTTGCCCTTGGCTTTGGACTTCGGCTTCGGGGGCGGCTCGACTTCCTCGATCTCGTCGTCTGAGTCGTCCTCGACGGGGGGAGGAGGGGCCTTTGACTTTGGAGGAGCCTTCTTCTTTGGGGGCGGAGGGGGAGGCGATTCTTGCATCACCACATCGTCGTCGTCCACTGGCTCAGGCTGGTGCCGCGTAGGCTCTTTGGACTACGGTAGCGCACAAGACAAACGGTATAAGAAAGCGAGAGTAGGCAGGATCATATGAAGAGAAAGTACCGCTCTGGGTGCCTTAGAAGAAACGGCGCGTGCGCTGCTCTGCGCCTCCGCGAGCTTCGCCTGCGTGGCCTGCAGCTCGTCCTCCAGCTTCTCCTGCTGCGCGAGCGCATTTGCGAGGTCGGCCTGCAGTCTCTCCGCGTCCTCTTGCGCCTCCTCAGTCGCTTTCTGGGCCGACCGTCAGCACATACGCACATCACACTGACTTGAGCACTGACCGCGTGTGCCGTCCATGACTCCTTGTACTTGTCGACCTTGCGCTGGAGTTTCTGTACGAGCGCGTCCTGCGCTGCCTTCTCCGCCTCGCCCTCCGCTTTCTCCGTCTCGAGCTGCTTGACCTTGACCTCGAGCTCGATACGTACCTTGCGGAGTGATTCCAGGTCGGCGTTCTCGCGGCTCTCCAGAGTCGTCCATTTGTCCACCTGCCGGCGGAGAGAGGCCACCGTGGCTTCGGACTCGGCGTACTTCTTCAGTAGGTCGTCATGGGTGGATTTCAAGGTGTCGTATTGCAGTGATACGCGCTCGAGACTCTTGGTTGTCCGGTCGGAGGCCGCGAGGAGGGTTGTCCGTTCGGCGCGTATACTTGCAAGATCCGTCTGGTAGACAGAAGGCATTGTTGAGCGCCGCCACCGTAGATATCTTGAACACCATTGTGTTGCAGACGCACCTCAGCCTTCTCTTTCTCCTTGAGTGTCCTCGCCTGTTCCTCCGCCACCTCGCCCAACTGCTCGGCGAGCTCAGCACACTGCTGCTCCAGCGCCGTCGCCGTCTCCGCCACCCGCTCCTCCAGCTCCTCCACCAACTCCTCCTTCTCCACCGCCGCCTCCGCCAGCTCCCTTTCGAGCGCCGCATTCCGCTGCTCCAACTCGATCTCCTTCGCCTGGAACATCACCAACCTAAAATCACGCTGCATACGCAACAGCCGCTCCGTGCGCAGCGCCTCCTTCGCCTCGAGCAACGCGCCGCGCGCGCGGTCGAGGTCGTCGCCCGTGCGCAGGTGCGCGATGCGGTGCGCGATCTGCAGCGAGTCGCAGCCCTCGCGCCACTCCGCGCGCTCCGCCTTCCAGCGCGCCTCGATCTGCGCGACCGCGTCGTGCGCGTGCGCCTTCTCGGCCTCGACGGCCGCTTTGAGCTTCGAGATGGTGTGCTCGAGCGTCTTGTTCCGCGCGACGAGCTCGGAGATGTGTTGCTGCTGGTTGATGACCATGGCCTCGTTAGGCCCGACGGACTGGCCGGACCTCGAGGGCCCGTCGCGCATCATCGTGCCGACGGAAGAGAGGGCTTGTGAACTGTCGTTTACTGGCAGAGGAGAGAGGTCGCCGGAGAGGAGCGTGCATAGAAGTGATAGAGTACACAAAGAACAGGAAGGATATATCCAAGAGCTCCCTCAGCCGCAAGCCTCCCGGATTCTGGCTTGGTGGCTGTAGGTTGGAGACAATAAGTACTGGCAGTGCAGTTGGATCGGTAAGTAGGACTTTCGGCAGTGGCAGGTGGTGGCTCTCGATGAGTGAATATCGCTGGTGTCCCGGCGCTCATGCCATCGAGGACGCGCGGATGTCGCGCCGCCGCGCGCCCGTCTGGAGGGTGTCAACGTGGATCGTCGATAGCTCACTCAATACTCCATAGAGTCCACATTCTTTTCATATACAGAGTCTCTTTATCGACACGGAGGGCACGGTGCAAAAATCAGAGCGAAATACGAAGGTTGAGTGAAGGTCTCCTCGGGAACCTGAGCCACACGATGTTGGTTCGGCGCGTCGCGTGCACGCGTTCAGCGCGTCGATGCGTGACGGGCCGTACACGGCGAGCCAGGGTGGTGGTGGCGAATTGGGGACTGCTGCAAATTCTCTAGCTCAAGTTAAGACCATCGTGCATGGAACCGGCGCAGTAAACATTAACAGGATCATACAAGTCGTCATTCTGTGCTACAAGAAGGAGGTCGTAACGAAAGCAAGAGAGTAAGGGTACAAACATTGAGCACAGCAGATAGAAATAACCAAACGATACAGCACGTCTAGACCCAAGAATTCCGTCCAGCATACATTGAAGCGACCTGCGCAACATCCAACGATCAAGCCACACCCCACCCCTCGTCGTCTCCGTCCGCTTGCTCTGCGGTGGGAGTACCGGGAGTGTTGTCATCATCGTCCCCAAACGTGAGTATCTTGCCTTTCTTCTTCGCGGCCGCCTGGGCCTTCTTCTGGGCCTTGGTGAGCGGCTTCGTCGGAGCGGGGGCAGGAGCCCCGGAAGGAGCACGAGAGACGGCGGCAGGGGTCGCCGCAGCGGTGGTAGCAGCGCTGCCCTTCTTCCCCTTCTTGCCTTTGGTGACGATGGGGCCCCACTCGTCCTCCATCTTCTTCTGCTCTTCCTCCTCCTTCCGCTTCGCCTCAGCTGCCTCCTCCTCTGCCTTCTTGGCGGCCTCCTCCGCCTCAGCCGCAGCCTTCTTAGCAGCCTCCTCCTCCTCTTCCTTCTTCTTCGCCTCAGCGGCCTCCGCGTCGGCGTTGTTCGCAGCGGCGGTGGCATCCTCCTCAGCTTTGTGAGCATCAGCGACAAGAGCGGCGGCAGCAGCGCCCTCCTCCGCGGTGGTCGCAGCAGCGACGGCGGCGGCGGCCTCTGCTTCAGCCTTCGCCGCTTCCTCCGCTTCCTCCACCGCCTTCTTAGCGGCTTCCGCGGCGTCCTCTTCGGCCTTCTTCGCTGCAGCGCCTGCTTCCTCTTCGGCCTTCTTTGCATCCTCTTCAGCTTGCTTCGCCGCCGCCTCGGCCGCCTGAGCGCGTTCAGCCTCTTCCTCCGCTTCCCTGAGCTTGCGCTCTTCTTCCTCTTTGGCTTTGCGCTCCTCGTCCTCCTTCGCTTTCTTGTCTGCGGCCTCTTTCTTCTTGGCCGCCAACTGCTCCTTCTTCGTCATCTTCTTCGGTGTCTTCTTGGCGGTCTCCTCTTCCTCCTTCTTGCGTGCCTCCTCCTCTGCTTGCTTGCGCTCCTCCTCGGCCTTCCTCGCGGCCTCCGCTTCTTCCTCCTGCCGCTTCTTCTCGGCCTCCTCAGCCTCAACACGCAGGCGCTCCTCCTCCTCACGCTTCACCCGTTCCTCCTCTTCGCGCTTCCGCTGCTCCTCAGCCTCGCGCTCCGCCGCGCCGTTATCCACAGGCGCCGCGGCCGGCGTGCTGCCCCAGCCGAACGACCCAAAGCCGCTCGTGACGTTCCCAAACGTGCTCGCGACGGCCCCGAACCCGCTGGCGGGCTTCCCGAATCCGCCAAACCCAGTCCCAATGCCTCCGCTGAGGCCGAGGTTGGACGTCGCAGGGTTGCCCCAGGACGGCCCGGAGAGGAAGTCGGAGAACATGCCTGCACTGGACGCGGGTGCGGGCTCGGGCACGGGCGTCGTCCAGAGATCTGCCATGGGGGACATGACTCCGGCTGGCGGAGGAGCGTCGAGTTGGTCGGGAGGAGGTGGAACGACGAGCTCGTCGGAGAACGCACCCGGAGGGGCCTGTGTAATATGTTAGATGCTGCAGAGCCGTTAGAGGTTTTGTCGAGAACTTACATGCGTGATCTCCGTAAACAGCGAATCGTGTCGCGAGGGTGTCTCCACAGCAGGAGCAGGCGCGGGTTCCGGCGCAGGGGCAGGAGCAGGTTCGGGTTCGGCCGGGGGTGCGGGCTCTGGTTCAGGCTTGGGTGTCAGTGAGCGGGAGACGACAGCGGGCGTCGCCGCCTTGGGCGTAGGAGCCTTCGAGGCCTTCGGCGTAGCGGCCTTGGACTGACTCTGAGGCGTGGCCGCCTTGGACTGGCTCTGCGGGGTCGGGACCTTGGACGTCGCAGCGGGCGTCGGGGCCTTCGAACCCCACGTCGGTGTCGGAGCCTTAGACGCTGTGGGAGTTGGAATCTTCGACGCGACGGGCGTCGCTGCCTTCGAGGCCGCAGGTGTTGCAGCCTTCGATGCAGCGACCGGGGTCTGTGGTACTGTCGGGACGGCAGGCGGCGTCGGCGCCTTGGAGTGAGCTGGGCTGGCATACGACACACCCGACGGCGTACGGGCCACCATCGGCGGCGTGGGTGCCTTCGAGACCACAGGCGGCGGGGTCGGCGGCTTGGACGCCTCCCTCACAGGCGACGGCGCCTTCGAAATCTCCCTCGGCGTCGCGGGCTTCGTCTCGTGTCTCGGCGTGCTCGCGAACGCGTTGAACGGCGGGTTCTCCGCGAGCGGCGAGGACACGGGCGGGGCGGCCGCGCCCCAAATTGAGTTGAGCGTTTCGCCGAGGCGCGTGCTGCCGCTGCGGCCCGACTCTGCGGAGCGGCCGGAGACGTTGAGCGAGCGGTCGCCCGTACGCATGGGCTCGGGGACGGCGGTCGACGAGCGCGGGGTGTGGCTGGAGGTTGCGGTGGGCTCGCGCGATCGAGCCTTGTCGGTGTGCCGCGAGGTGCTCGAGGAAGTCGAGGTAGTACGCGTGCGCTCCAGCTCGAAGCTGCGTGGCATGGGCTCTGGGACGCGGGCGACCTCGGGGATACGCGGGGACGCCTGCGCGGAGGCGCGCGTGCTTGGTTGGCGTGATGGTACTTGGGAGACGGAGCGGGATGCGTATTTGTCCGACGCAGAAGAGAGAACGGTGACGTTGTCCTCAGGCGAGCTGTCTGGTTCGTCCTCTTCTGCCCGGTGACCGCCTTCATTGTAGACGATTGATGCGGGGCCGCTAAATCGTGCAGCATTAGATCGCGTTCCGATATATGAAAGAACTAAGACACTTACTACTTAGTCCGTCCCTGAAGGAGATCCGACAATCCGTCAGTGAATGCTGCTCAACAAGTTTGACACGAGACCACCCACATTGTCCACCCACTTGATCCTCGCCTTGAACTCCGTCAGCCCAAAGTGGATCTCGATGCTGAACACGATCGTCCAGTACATCTTCTGGTTCCGGCCCTGCTTCGCCTGCGCGCTCCCGGCGAGCGGCGACAGGTCCGCGCGCACGTAGCACAGCGTCGAGAACGCGTCCGACGAGCGGTGGATCCACTTCGGGACCGTGTCGCCGCCGCGGTAACACCACACCTCGACCTCGAACACGGAGAGCGTGGACAGGTTTGTCACCTCGGTGCAGTACTTGCGGCTGAAGACGTTTGACTCCTTCACGCGCACGCTCTGTGAATCAAAGATGTGAGCGATCTCCATAGTAGTATTCGAGACGAGCACGAACCCTGGCGAGAATGCAATCGAATGCATCAGGGAGCAGCTTGGGCCCGGAGGGCATCTCGAACAACCGATGTTTGCGGGCAAGGTGCTCCTCGTCCTTCGGGTCGAACTCGCGCAGGTACTCGACACCGTACATGAACTTGGATATCCGCGCCGAGACATGGTGGTCACAGTAGAATCCGATCGCACCATCTGCAACCGCCTTCGATCTGCAGACGTACTGTCAGCGCTGCCGTCACCGTATACAGGAGTGATACTTACGTCTGTGTGTCAGGCCTGCTGACGGTGATGTGGTAGCGCGAGAGGCGCTCTTGGAGCTGACTGAACAGCCACGGGCTCGCCGCGAATCCACCGACAAGCCAGACAGACTGCGGTGCACCATCAGAACAGCTGAACCATACCGGCGCTAGCGAATTTGAGTGCATACCTTGACGGCCCCGCCGGACGCGTCGATTTGTGTCTTGATCGAGGTCATGGCCGCGTCGATTGACGGCTCGAAGAGCGCGGCGACTTCCGCACTAACAAATGATGTTTCTGTTAGCATACTACTGTCCATACAACCAACAGACAGCGCTCACCCGGTAAGCTTCAGCTGCCCGCCTCGAATCCCGACAGTGAGATCCTTGTCGAGAGGCGATCCGAAGGGTACGAATTGCAACTCCTTGTTGTCGCGGAATAGACGTTTCGTCGTCTCATCGAAACGCTTCGTGATGTGGTCCAGCGCGTCTGACGTGCCATATTTCGAGCTCCTCAGTTTCTCTGTATGTGCTGATTAGTGACTCTAAGAACATGGCGCGTAGCAAGAATGCTCACCCTCAAAGAATGCACGAGCCCTCCGGCTGACGAAGACGGACCCAGCGAACACGCCTATCCTCATACATCAGTACCCGCAGCTTCGGCCGTAGAGAGTCTGCCACTCACAGTCTGGAGGTGCGATTTCCTCGATCACGAGTGGAGAACTCCCGCGAATCGCGTAGGAGCTGATATCTAGCGTGCCGCCTCCAGCGTCCGCAACGATGAACCCGTGTCCTGACGGATTCTACGCCACTTTCAGCGTACCGCCACAAGTCAGTGACCGCGCAGTACTCACCTGCAACACATCCGCGGCAAGCCCATTCAGCACGCACGCGTGCAAACTCGCCTCTCCCTCGGTCACAAACCGTATCCGCGCCCGTCCTTCATCCGTGTCGGGTATCAGCCCGCCGTACACCGCTGCTCTGCGCATCTTCGACTGTTGCGCGCCCTCCCATCCGTTTGGGTGGCTGAGCACGAACTGGGTATCGTTCTCGACCGCATGCCAGAGCGCGGGGCCGTTTGCGTGGGTATCGATAATGAACGAGCGCGTACAGCGGAAGAGATATGAAAGGAAGTCGCCGAAGACGTCGACAGCGGTCTTCCCCAAAGGTAGTGGAGCGAGGCGCATGCCGTTCATCTTGAGCTTCATGCTCTTCGGTCGTAGCCGTAGCTTGAAACTGCGACAAGATTAACATGGCGAGGCGCGGCATAGATAATAGCATGCTTACAGCTCGGCTTTTGTCCACATCTCATCCTCTGCTTCTGCGACGATGGACGCGTTCTCCGCCTCTGCACCGGCGGCCTTCATCTGGCCCTCCCTGTCATAATACATGATGGAGGGTATTTTGGAGTTGCCGGCGACATGTTCTTGTCCAGGGAAACTATTGTGCGAGCGGTAAGATCACAGCAGATTTACCGCAGCATGTATTGCTCACCGGGTGACACCATGGATCTTGGGGACCTCCCCAGGCTCAAGGATGGCGTATGAGACGCCGCTGAAGGTTGTCCCGACATCAAGAGCGAGTACGAGGCTGCGTGTTGTGCCAATGTATGGCTTGCGAGTACCCGAGGCGGGCTTCATGGTGAGCGATCAAGAGAGGGAGATTGCAGCCGGCGGACGGAAAGGGTGATAACGGGTAGATCGGGTCGGTGTGTGGGAGAGGGAGATTATAAGGAAGCCCGGGAGGGCTGGTGGGGGACGGAGGAAAGCAGAGAAAACACGCGGCATGGTGCTAATTGATGTCCTTCCAGGACGGCGTGAACGCTCGGAGACGCTGAATCGACGTTTTCGGGCAAGGCGCGTTGCTTACGTGAGGAACACGCCTCTTAAACGCGGTTGTGGCGTGCCTCCTCCCCCCGCGCGATCATCCGCTGCAGACGCGTTTGGGCAAGCCGCGGACGGCCAGGGCAGCGACGAGTCCTCTTCGAGGGGGATGACGATCACGCCGAGGCCCTCAGCCAGATATCGGCGCATTATCGCTGGGCGATGCTGCTCCGCCATCTTCATTTCGCCAGTAAGAAGTGCATCACATTCAGCACTCTGCGCGGACAGACTTCTGCGCACATCATAGAAGCCTAAAGGCGATGAGTCGATGACGGCAAGAGCCTGCAGGATATCCAGGATCCGGAGTACTCACAACACAGTCATCCGTTTCCTGCTTCTATCACCGCAGCGGCCGTCATGACCCTTATGCTAGCAAGTACTGCAGCGGGCATCGGCGTATCCCAAGGCAGAGTAGGTGGGCATATATAGAGGGACGCTGCATATATGCTGTCGCTGCGGAGATGGTGGCAGGAGGCAACCTGGACGGCGACGCGAACATGGTCCGGGGAAAAGGTGATCGACGCTCGCGACTTCCTGTCAGAATCCTGTCTCCGCATCTCCTGCGGTAAAAATTCGTCTGGGCCCCTGTATCAACTTTAACCTCTCCCCCTTGAGCTCATGTTCTCGAACCTGTCTTTGGCGAGTACGTGGCGAGCTGCACGCGTCGGTAGACCTCGGGAGGCACGCGCGTTCGCAGACCTCCAGCATGTACACCGCTTCTTCCGTCACATTCACATTCAGCTGACATCGGTTTTTCAGCTACCTGCAGCAGACGGGATGCTCCTTGCGACCCTGAATGCGAACTATCATGTATATCATGCAGCGTTCCGATAGGGTCTTCGAAGCCCACGACCACAGCTTCAGGCTTAACTTCGGTAGCCTCGCGCAGCCCGCATATAGGCACGTAGTTTTGTTAGCCTCATTTCAGGCAATCTCGGTGTGAGTTTATACCAGCTCAAGATATATCCAGTATCGGAGTGGTGCGGTATTCTCATCATAACCAGCCTTGAGCATTGGCACGGTGGCGGCAGGATATGCAGCACGCATGCCATCGAAGAAGTCTTGCACATGGGTGTACACACCCTTAACCTACAAATGGCCGCAAGGGTTTCTAGGTAAGCATATGTATGCCATCTCACATCGCGCACCTTTGCTCATCTCATGCCAGGATGCATATATGTATACGTAGCGGCATATCGGGCTCCCTGCAGTCCCAATCGGCTTTTTTTGTCCGCAATGTCTCTTGATTTGTCGAAGTATATCCGTGGATTTGTGGATGTGGCTCACAACCCAGCACTAGCCATCAAGGTATTTCCATCGCACAACGAAGCGGAGAGGCAGGTCAAAAGGGCGGAGACGCCGACAACACGCGTTTATGATCTCCGAGCAAGCGCCGCCACTGAGCTGAGTGACTGCAACCGCGTGCCGAGAAGCTGGTTCCGCACCAACCACGACTGTCTCTCGCCGCGTCTGCTCTGCGCATACATATCAGCTCTTGTCGAGCGCACATCGTAAGTCACACTCTTCCCCCACTCCCATCCACGTCGTCATGATGCGTCTGCAGGTCTCCACCGACACCACCGTCGAGTTCTATACCCTCCGCGGCGGCGGCCCCATCTTATCCGCTGCGCCCCAGTCTGCACACCCTCGCCTCCGCATCCACGCCTCCCCCGAGCTCAGTCCCGTCGCTGACCCGATCGCTAAGCTCACTCGCGAGTGCAGCGCCCTCCGCATCAAGCTGGCCACCGCCGAACGCCGCGAACGCATTTCCCAGTACGGCACACGTACTGCCCCTGCCTCTGCTCGCACACCTCCCCAGCCCCAGCTCGCGCTTGGATTCGAATCAGCTCTGTCTCAGCGCGACCCAGCACGAAGCCACATCCACTCTGAGGTCATGAAGCTCGCCGAGCGCTACAAGGCGCTCGAGAAGACGCTCCGGGAGATGCAGGATAACCTCCGGATGAAGGACCGCGAGATCGAGGCCCTGCGTACGGAGCGCGATCGGCTCATCGCCGAGCGAGACGAGGCTCGCGCGAAGAGCCGCAACGAGAGCGTCGAGCGCGACTACGACGATGGGGGCAGCACGCTCAGTGGGAACGGGCGGGGAGCGGGTGAGCGTTTCTCTCGGAATCGGGACCGGAGCAGGACCAGGAGGCATACACGACGTTCGGATGACGCGCCGCCGGTCCCGCTCGGACCTGCGATGAGTCTGGAGGCGGAACATTACGCGCGTGCACGGAGCATGGACGTCTTCCTGACCAAGACGGACGGCTGGTCCGGTGCGCAGATCATTCAGGCAGTCGACGACCTCAATGCGGAGATCAACCACTTTGCCGCCGCTGCCACCGACTCGTGCACCTTCGCGAAGCGGTCGAGGGCGAAGGCGGGTCTCGGCGTCCCTCCTGAACTGGAGAACTGTACGCCATGGCTCGGCCCTGGGCTGTCGCGGATACTCGCCGTTCGCGACCACGCCCAGGATCCCATCCTTGTCCAGCTCGCACTGCAAGCAAGCATCGCGACATGTTGTGCGCGTTCATTATCGTTATTCTGTGTTGGTTTCCCCTCGAAGCTAGATGCCCTTCTGACTCGTATACTCGCGCATATGCAAACCTCCGGTACGTCTACATCCTTCTATCATCTTGTGCTTTTGTGAACTCGAGACACAGAACCACAAGCTACCTCTTCTCGATGGCGCGCGCTCACTCACCGCTCAATACGCATGCTCTATCCCGGCTTGGAAGAATACGCCGTAACGGAGCTGGTCACGACGATGCTCCGCTGGTCCTCCGCGGTCTTCATCCTCTGCGGCTCCGGCAACGCACCCACCTCTGACTCGTCCCTGCACGCGCAGCTGCGCCGCATAGCCGAAGCCGTATACAAGCTAGCGCGCGTCACCCGCGAAGATATCCTCTCCACGACGTTCGAGGTCCTCGTCGTCGACGGCGGCAACCCGTTCGAGCCGGGCCGCATGCTCAACAAGATGCGCGAAAACGAAAGCGACGAGCACCTCTCGCCGCTCGCGCTCCTCGCAGACGCGGGCCTCGGCACCGGGAACGGCGCGATGCTGAACGGGCATGGACACGGGCACGGGCACGGACATGGCAAGCCGCACCCCGAGGACAGCGGGCGGGTGCTGTGCACGACGGAGCTCGGGCTGCGCTGTCTGACGCGCCGCGACGCGCGCAGCAGCTCGGGCGATCCTGCCGAGGCGGAGGCGTTCGAGAACAGGATGCTGCTGCTCCCGAAGGTCCTCCTCGACTCCGCGATGGACGTGATCGAGCGTGGATGACAGACACGCCCCGCGACCACACGGAACAAGGCCCGTCTCTTTTAGACCGGCGCGGCTGCGACGGTGCGCTTCCCACACCGATATATCGAGGGAGAGGACATCCGGCGCAATAGACTGGGAAGGCCGGTCGAGCCCCGTCCTACTTGGGCAGGGATGTTGGTGCGTGGATGCTCGCTCTGCTTTCGGAACTGCAACTGCTATGACATGTCTGCACGTGTATTCGTATGCTGTCTCCTATCGCACGACCCCGCACATTAAAGACCGCTATTTCTGTAGGTAGGAGCGGGCCCGCACCGGATATGCGGGCGCGGATATTGGCCCGGACTGTAAATACCAACTGTACATTACGAAGTGCCCGCGCATGTAATTTAATTGTACGATCAGGAGAGACACATTATACATATTTGATTAGGTGCGTCAATGACCGCTACAGGATGCTTCCTTCCCCTCCTTGTTACTGTGGGGCCAAGCGGCGTGAACCTTCCTGCGAGCTGTCCGTACAAACTGAACGGGATCATCCCATATAATGATCAATAACGTACAAACGACAAAGCTCCAACCCCAAACATCCTATCCTAAGTACACCTAATGCTACAGAAAGTCTATGTATTGCACACTCAAATGAGCGAGACAACAGCTCGGGAATATTTGTAGGTCTAACAGCAGCGACCGCTTAGTCCGCTTAAGCGACGACCTTAACTTCTTCGTCGACACTCCTCTTCTCCAAATGCGACGAGCCCTCGCTCCGGGACGTGTCCTCCGCCACATCCTCGCTCGTGATCGCCTCGGGGATGAACGTCTCGTGCGCAGGGAACGAGAGCGACAGCACTGTGTACACCACCGACGCGGTGGTGAACTGCATAACAATCATCAGCATCTGGCGTTTGTATGTGAGGAGTGAGCAAGACGCACGCCGAAGAGCCACGCGAAGTTGTAGATCTTCATCGCGCCGCCGACGTTAATCTTTGGGTTGATGGACGAGATCAGCCCCGGCAGGTTGGGCGGGACGGAAACCAGGATGGCTGCGACTGCTCTCCAGTTCTGTATGCCAAGCAGAATATCGTGAGTGCGACGCTTTCAGCTGAGGCTATCTGTAACGCTTACGAAGCCATACGAGTACCGGTACCGTCCATGCGGCTTGTACATGGCGGGCACGTCGACCTTGCCCTTGTGCACGACCCAATACTACACGCAAACCCAAGTCAGCCTTCGTCGCATACCGAGTCAACACTCCGGGGATCGCCACTCACATCCGCAACCATGATCCCCGCAAACGGCCCCAGGAAGACCGTATACCCATTCATGAACGACAAGAAGCCCTGCGCGCTCGCGAGGATCTCCCAGGGACACAGCGCCCAGCCGCCAAGGATCGCACACAACGCCTGCCCGCGGCGGATGTTGATGTAGCGCGGGAAGAGCACGGTCATGTCGTTCGCGGCGGAGAGCGAGTTCGCGGAGATGTTCGTGCCAAGCGTCGCGAGCACGAATGTGAAGGACGCGAAGAACGCGGCCGCGCGGTTGTCCCAGCGGTCGATCAGCTGCAGCGGGTCCCACAGCACCGCGCCGTAGAGCGTCGCGCCCGCGGAGGTCACCGCGATACCGATGAAGCCGACGAGCGTGAATGCGACGGGGATGATGAAGAGCTGGACGTATTGCCTGGCGAACAGAACAGGCGTCAGCACGCATATGGACTGCAGGGGTGGAGTCGGCTCACGCTCTCTCGTTCTTAGCGTAACGCTACATACGAAAACGGTAAACACGGTCTCTGGGCGGCCACGCGATGTGAGTACTCACAGTGAAATCCGGAATGTTGACCGCCAGCGTCGAGTAAATCCCCAACGCGCTGTTCAGCGCGCTCAGCCATGCGTATGACATCGCACTCCCGGAGAGAGTGCTGTGCTGCTGGAAGAGGCCCGTGCTGGACGGCACCTTCACAAATGCCCAGATGAGCATCGCGAGCCATGCGGGCGGAACAACGAAGGCTTTGATAACGAAGAGCCAACGGATCTTCTGCGGAGAGATGAGCATCAAGGGGAACTATCCGCAGCTCGAGTCAGTTTATTTTCCTCTGCGCGTGAAGGAGTGGGTAAAGCGCACCTGGATGAGCCAGTACAAGAAGTAGCACATCATCCCTACACGCACGCGCGCACATCAGACAAACTGCCCGTCTCTTTTCGACAGACAAAACGACTCACCGACAGTTGTGATATGCGAGCTCTCCGGCAGGTCATTGTGCAAGTGCGCGAGGGACGGCCAGATCGCCTTCAGCATCTGGTACACGCACTCCGAGCCCGTGTATGTCTGGATGCCGAACCAAAACATTGAGAGCACGACGCGCGAGACGACGGAGAAGTAGCTGAACCAGAACCCGAACGAGGAGCGGTTCAGCACGGGGAAGCCGACATGCAGACGCGCGCCGATCGTCCCGTTCAGCACCATCACGAGCGAGATGATGATGTGCCCGAGCGCGATTGCGGGGAGCGCCTGGCGCCTGGGGACGTCGGGTCAGCATGTGTGTATGGAGTTGGTGAGGTGAGGGTGGGTTGGGGAGTAACCAGCTCAAGTAAAAGTGAGAGTCGGAAAGATGTGCCGAGTTTCACTATTCTGCCCTTTCGGGTATGCAGAGAAGACGGCCACTCCCGCATTCCCCAAAAAGCACAATAGTAAAAGTCGGGGTATTCTTCCGACTCTTACTCTTACTGGACTCGTATATTCTCGGGGGGATGCGACGTACCAGGAGAGGCCGATTGCGAGCATGCTCGAGGCAAGCTCCCACACCGCGACGTTCGTCGCGTCGGACACCCAGTACGCGATGTAGTTGAATGTCGACCACGTCCTCTATAGCAGACGCGCTGTCAGAGACCGTATTCTCCTACTCTCACTGTGCATGCGGCCACTTGCGCCCGCGTGCAAACGAGAGTACTCACCTCCTTCGGAGGGACAGGGTCCATATCCTTGTTCGACCACCTGCTATTCGGCGCGAACGTAGACGGCGTGGGCTCGAGAACCCATGCCTCCTTGTGCGTATACGCCCGCGCGCTCTGCATCGCAGAAGAGAACCGTGCAGACATCTTGATCGTCGGTCGGTGTTCAAATTCCAATCACCGTGCGGGGTACCGTCGCAGGACCTTGGCGTCGAGGCGGCGTGCAAGTGGCAGCAGACAAGCACTCGAGGCGGAGCGCACGCCCACGCTCGAGGTATATATGCAGGTTATCATGCCCCGGGCCTGGAAAACTTCGCATGCGGGGCGAGAGCTGCCACAGTATGAGTCGCCAAGGCCCCGATGCCGTCTCTGCGAAGTGCGGGGGCGAGTTTGATAAGTCGCTTGCGCTGATAAGCTGCTGGGGCGCCCACACATCGAGATAAGGATAACGTATAGGATAACGTACGGAGCGTTATTTCCGGGTAGGGCGGAACTAGGGAAGGCCGACGGAACCGGTGGCGAAAGGGCTGACAGGAGTGCAAAACATACCTAGGAAGCGAATGTTGAGTAGAATTTAAGCAACAAGCACTGAGCTTACCATGGGTAAGGCACGATGCCATTGGGGTTCCTGGGAATTCACACCCTCAACACATCGGAATGAAAAGCATTCCAGACGATAGACAGATGTGCACCAACCAAGCCACTAGTATACACGTTTACAAACGAACGCTTCTAAGACAGAACATTGCCACCGATAAGTGTTCCCTAAATGCACACGAGAGCGCGGATGATAGACGCAGGCACGCCGGCCCCGTCCCTGCTCGCCGGACGCCTCTATCCATCCAGGCGAGACCCTGTTTGTGTCACACAACAAGCCGGACGCCGTTCCATGGCAACCTTAAGTTTCGAGTTCTTTAGAGCGACGCGCCGCCGCAGGTCTTGATCGTCTGGCCCGTGATGTACTCGCCCTCGTCCGAGACGAGGAAGGAGACGAGCTTCGCGACGTCCTCGGGCTCCTGGATACGCCCGAGCTTGATGTCCTGCTTGACGCGCTTCGCCTTGGCCTCTCCCACGGAGATGCCCTCCTATGAACCGTAAAAGCGCGGTAAGTAAACGGTGACATACACGCTAGATAGGGCACGTACGATCGCCGCTAGCTCGCGGTCAATGTGGTCCCACATAGGGGTGTCGACAATACCGGGGCCGTACGCTGCAATAATGTAAACACAAGCGGAGTTAGCGGGTTACATGCGAGCTGACCGTTGACACGGATGCCGTGCTCGGCCCACTCCTTCGCGGCCGCCTCGGTGAAGCCACGAACGGCGAACTTGGTTGCACCATACGGCGCGAGGTTCTCGGCGGTACGGTAGGACGCGATGGAACCAGCGCCGATGATGCGTCCGCCGGTACCCTGCTTGACCATCTGCTTCGCGGCAAGGATGTGGGTGTTCATGAGACCGAGCACGTTAATGCGGACCTCGTTCTCGATAAACCTGTTTAGCGTTCATGAGTACATGTCTGGACCCAACAGACGAGGGAATGACGTACTCGGGTGTGCACTCAAGCAGAGGCTTCACCTGCGTGACGCCGGCGTTGGACACGCTGACGAAGAGACGGGGGCCGAGCTTCTCGACCGTCTCGGCAATGGCAGCCTCAATCTGCTTAGGCTGCCTAACATCTATAAATTAATCGTAAGCAGGTGTACTGGTCCAGTGTATGGATATTTAAGCATACCGGCGAAGACACCAATGGCCTGGCGGCCGTACGCCTTGATCTCTTCAATCACCCCATCGAGCTTGGCCTTTGCGGGCTCAATGTCAGCGATGGAAATGTCGTAGCCGTCGCGCGCGAGGCGCATCGCGATGGCACGGCCGATGCCTTGGCTGCCACCGGTGATGAACGCGATGCGGTTCAAAGAGGCTTTGACGGGAGAGAGGTTGGCCATCGCTGGGGCTCTGGTGGGGGGCTTAGGATGCGGTTTTGGGGGATGCGATGCGGGGTTGGGGGATGCGTCGGCCGCGATGGTCCCTCCGCCTTTTGAGGGCGTGCTGGGACGGACCTGGGCCGGACCGCCATCATGAGAAAGAGAGGGCGGCGGGGGATGTACGCTGGCGGACCGGGGAGGTACGAGGGGGCGAAGTCATGGGATGGTCGTTGTACGCGATCAAGAGGTCATTTCCCTCCCCAGACTCGCCTCTTGTGTTCTCGCGCCCCGCGGGGTAGGCGTGGTCCGACGCCCGATTCGGAGCTTCGGGCCTGATCGTCACATACCGCGTCGCATAACGCTCACGTGGAGACAGGACGCGAGGCAGCGCGCACGCGAGCTCGCCGATGCTACATAACAGAGCGCGCCGTCTTCGAGGTCGTGGGCATCAGCTTCCATCAGGCTGCATGACGGCCACACAAGAAGGTTGAGAACTCACCACACTAATACCACATGAGCGTGGCAGAGAATATGGCAGCGGGAATGGCTGTTGAGCGTCACGGCTGAATATATGCGCTCGGTTTGCCGTGTCGTGCGTCGTGCTAACAGCGACCATGAGTTCCGGGTACAGTTTCCTTTGATAACTACAAACGAAACATCATAGCGGGGAGATGTAGAGGCAGAGAGACGAGGTATGAGGTAGAGGATAGGGAGAGAGGGCGAAGGAGAGGATGAGAGTCGCGAAGAGCGCGCTGCGCCAAGGACGTTCTGCAACCACGGGCGCTTAGGGCCTACATGCACTTGGCCGCCCGCTGCATCCAAATAACGCGTTTTGACGAAACGGCCTTCTCTCTTCCGATCCGCTGATGCACCTGTGAACGTGTTATCACTCTGGAGCTTGCTACATAGCCTACCGGCCATCTGGCTATCCAAAGCAAACCCTGCCTTTTGCTGATGCTAGTACTAGTCATTTTCCTTAGACAGTGTTTCATTCACTCCAGAGTAGAGTTCTTCTCTCTTCCCGCTTTACGTCTAAGGCACGTTAGAAGCTGCTCAAGCTTCAAACCTAACTGATATTTCAAGCCGTGCGCCCTCTTCTCTCCTCCCACCACCATCAACCCAGGTCTTTTCTGCCAGCATGCAATCCCACAAACCCAAGCACTGGCCATTTGACACCCGGCTTCCGGAGAACTCTGAGGAAGAACGGTTCGCAGAAAGGACCATCGCCAGCATAACACGTTTGATTGCCAAGCGAAGGCAGGAAAAGCATGCGGCAAAAACACACTGCACCTTTTGCGGCAAAGATGCCGACGACGCCCGGGGTCCCCTCAGGAGATGCATGCGCTGCAGGTGCGTCAAATTCGTTCTAGTTGTACAGGACAAAATTAATCATCGTCGCAGAGCGGCGCACTACTGCGATCGAAACTGCCAGGTCTCGGATTATCAGGCTCGTCACAAAGACGAGTGTGTTAATTTTGTGCACCCACCTACCACGGACGGATTCCTCACGAAGCCCATCGCCGGCGAGCGGTACCCCCCACAACCCGTCTTCGCGCACTCGCACTCGGATAGTGTTGGCTGTTGGGTCACCGTTGAAGGCTGTATCGATTGCAAGTGCGTCGAGTTGACTGCGCAATACCGCTCCAAGTTCTGACCGTATGAACCCGCAGCTTGCGGCCCCTGATAGACCCTCTCGATGTGGCCACTCCGCTCGACAGCCGCAAAAAGCATTTCGAAGAGGAAGCCGGCCGACGGACTATCCGCACTCACAAAGCTCTTGACCTCAACTTGCTCGATCTGCGTGTCCTCGTGCAGAACCGGCGCACGGACAAGACGCCTATACTCGTGTATGGCGCGCGCGCACAAGCTGAGGCCCTGCCTCCCATGGCCTTCCATGTGCTGCGGGGGGAGGCGGAGGGCGAGAACATCAATAATTTCATTCAGAATGGGTGGGTTGCGGCTGGACATGCCTCTTCAACGGTGCAGTGACTGATCTGTATGTACGACAGAATGCGTCGTGTGGTTATGGGCGTCGCAAAGGACATTTGGGACAAAACGCCCCGTGTTAGAATCTGCTCCATCAACGGCGCCGAGGTGAGCCATTGGCCGTTAATTTTATTTGTCTGTTCTTCAACATAGTCCGCCCAGTTCAAAAGAGGCACACGTAGGCCGGTAAACATCAAGGACACCAAAGAGGCCACCATCCTCCTCCACCCAGGAGAATATGTGATCCTGCACCTCCAGTTCCGCGTCGGCGACGGCCAGACGGTCACGAAAGACTGGCAGGCCCTCAGTACGCTCAAGACTGTCTTCATCCCTTGGGTGCTCTGGAATGGCATCTCCACGCCTGCAGCGCCTGCCAGTCCCGATGACGTACATCTGGTGCGGGCCTCGTTCGACCAGCGCAGGGTGCGCGCATACTTCGCGGATTTCATCGAGCATGGCCAGGACGCGTTCGTACGGAGCCACTTCGGTGACGTGTATGCGGATTTGTTGCGGATTGCGGACGAGGGGGCGGAACGAGAGGGCGAGGCAATTTTTGCAGAGACCGCAAGAGGAGAGGACGCAGGTGAGATTGCGCAGATGCTGAGGGAGATGGGAATGGACGACCTCGCGGACAAACTCGTACGCGCATCGCGGCAGTGACCGCGACTCAGTCCTGTCTGCGCTGCGCCTGTGGGCCGAATGCGAGAGACAATCTGCTTGTCGTACAGGGACTGCGTCTCCAGAGATGCGCAATGCCTACGTGGAAGGAATGAACGTACGGTATCGGACAGTGTAACATAGGTAGGTAGTGCTCTTGTGTCATCGTCAAGGTTGTCACTGAACCTGCTTTTGCCTGCCAGATCCTTCAGCTCCCTTAGGTTTATCATTGTAGGTTGAACGTCTAGGCGGAGCCCCCAAGTTTCGGAGACACAGACGACGAGGATGGACCATCGAGTTAGGCCTGATGGCCGTCACGTACCACGTCGTATCACATCCACGTGAAGGGAGACGCGAGATAGTAGTCTCCCATTCGTGTTTGCCAGGGGTAGTCCCTCTTCCAAGTACGTCCAAGGCACCGCAGAAGCTACTTAAGTGTCAAACCTAACTATATATCAGGCGTTGGGTGCTGCGCACGCCCTCTTCCGTCCTCCCACCACTATCGGCCCCAGTCTTCTCTGCCAGCATGCCACCCGGCGGACGTAGGAACCGGTATCCCCAGCTGACGACCCCCGAGGGGAGACAGTTCATGGCTACCGTCGATACCGGCTTCGCCAGCATACGACGCAAGCTCAACAAGCAAAAACAGGAATACCACATGGCAAAGACACACTGCACCTTTTGCGGCAAAGACGCCGACAACGGTCCCCTCAAGAGCTGCTCGCTGTGCAAGTGCGTCGCATTTGTTCCACCTTATACACGTAAAATAATCAATCGTCGTCATAGAGCGGTGCGCTACTGCGATCGCACTTGTCAGGTGTCGGATTACAAGGCCCGCCACAAGCACGAATGCGCCAACTTTACGCAGCTGCCCACCACGCCGGGAGCATTCCTTACAAAGCCTCTCGCCGGTGAGCGGTACCCTATCCACCCCCTCTTCGGGCACTGGCACGAGGAGGGTGTCGGCTGTTGGGTCACGGTCGAAGGCTGTATTGATTGCGAGTGCGTCTACTTGCCTACGTGACTTCACGATTGCGCCCTAACCATTTCAACTCGCAGTTTGCGGCGCCTCGCCGACGATCTCGACCCGAGCATTCCTCTGCAGGACCGTGGAGAGCACATGGGAGGAGCCGCCGGTTTCGAGACTATCCGCACTCACAAAGCTGCGATGCTCAACTTGCTCGACCTCCGCGTCCTCGTGCAGAACCGCCGCAAGGACAAGACGCCTGTGCTCGTGTTCGGCTCGCGCGCGCAAGTGCTCAGCCAGCCGCCGCTGACGTTCGCCGTGCTGCAGGGCACGGCCGAGGGCGACAACCTCGTGGGGTTTACGCGAGATGGGTGCGTCTCAGACTGGGCGTGCTTCCTTAACGGTGTAGTTATTGATAGCGTGCGACAGGGTGCCCCGTGTGGCTATGGGTGTCGCAAAGGACCCATGGGACAAAGTTGCCCGGGTGGGTATCTCGAACATTAATGGCACCGGGGTGAGTCAACTCCCGCCTTTCCTGTTCGCAGCTCCCCGACCTTGATGTGCCCAGGTCAAGAAAGATGCGCCTCTGCCTGCAAACATCAAGGACTTGAAAGAAGCCACTGTCCTACTCAACACAGGGGACTACGTGATCCTACATCTGCAGTTCCGCGTCGGCGACGGAGACGTGATCTACAAGGACTGGCAGGCTCTCAGTGCAGTCGAGGCCTTCTTCATCCCCTGGGCGTCCTGTGACGGCACCTCCATGCTCCCTGCGCTCGCCGCCTCCCTGCCCACAGCCCAATCGCCCGCCGCTCGGGACGACGGTCCCGTCCACGGGCGGCTCATGCGCGCCCCGATCGACCATCACGCGGTGCGCGAGTACTTCGCCGATTTCATCGAGCGCGGCCAGGACGCGTACATGCGGAGCCATTTCGGGGACGCGCACGCGGCGATGCTGCACAGCGCGGAGGAGAGCGTGGAGATGATGGGCGAGGCGTTCCTTCAACAGATCGCGCAAGATAGGAACACGGTTGAGGTGCTCGCACAGCACCTGCGGGACGTCGGAATGGTCGAGTTTGCGGACAAGGTCGCGCGTGCCGGGCGGCAGTGACTGCGAATCAGTCCTGTCGAACGTGTGCGCCGCGCATATAATGGAATCATGACCAGAAATTTCGTTTCTCATCTTGGACTGCCCCTGAAGGCCTCACGTTCACGTGAGATTGGACGCGAGGCCAGTCACCCGTTCCCGTTAGATTCAAGTAGTCTCTTTTCCAGGTACGTCCGACTTGAATTCAAGGCACGTCAGAAGTGACTAAGCTTCAAACCTAACTCTTTACCAGGCGTTGGGTGCTACTGTCTGCTCTATCTTCTCTCCTCCCACCCCCATCGACTGGGATCCCGGCATTCCCTGCCAACATGCAGTCCAGCAAGAGCAGGAACCGGCACCCCCAGCCGACGGGCCCCATGGACACGTTCGAGGCCACCTCTAGCGCGGGTATAGCCAGCATGAGACGTACGCTCAATAAGCAAAAGGAGGAAAAGCGCACGGCCAAGACGCATTGCACCTTTTGCGGAAAAGACGACAGCGATGGACCCCTCAAAAGCTGCTCCCGCTGCAAGTGCGTCGAAATCATTTTACCCTGTACATGAGAAAGGAGTACTTAACCGTTATCGCAGAGCGGCGCGCTATTGCGACCACACTTGCCAACTCTCAGATTTCAAAGCCCGCCATAAGCGTGAATGCGCCAACTTTGTGCACCCGCCCACCACGGGAGCATTCCTCACGAAGCCCATCACCGGAGAGCAATACCCCTTACACCCCCTCTTCGCGCATTGGCACGAGGATGGTGTTGGGTGCTGGGTCACAATCGAAGGGCGGATTGATTGCGAGTACGTGTGAATCATCTATGGACTTTTATGCCTTTATTCTAATTGTACGAATTCATAGGTTGCAGTCTCTGGCCGACAGCCTCGATCCGACCGAGCTCAGGGACCGGCAAAAGCGCATGATGGTCGGGGGAGGGATCGCCGCCCGCCAAATGTTACGCACTCACAAAGCTTCTGCGCGCAGCTTGCTCGGTCTACGCGTCCTCGTGCAGAACCGCCGCAAGGACAAAACTCCTATACTGGTGTTCGGCTCGCGTGCACAGGTGCTGAGCCAGCCGTCGCTGACCTCCGCCGTGCTGCGGGGCACAGCCGAGGGCGACAACCTGGTGAAGTTCACGCGAGACAAGTCAGTTCCACTTGGACGTATCTGCTCAACGGTGCAGCAATTGATCGTGTGCTATAGGGTTCCTCGTGCGGCCATGGGTATCGTAAACGACCCCTGGGACAACGCGCCGCGGCTGAACATTTCAAACGTCAACGGCCTCGATGTGAGTTACTGCCCATCGTTCTCATCTACGGCTCGCTAACACGGTCGCCCAGGCCAAGAAAGACGCACCGCTGCCCGAAAACATCAAGGACGCGAAAGAGGCCACGATCCTGCTGAACACGGGGGAGTATGTCATCCTGCACCTCCAGTTCGGCGTCGGCGACGGCAACACGATCTCCAAAGACTGGGAGGCGCTCGGCGCACTCGAGGCCCTCCTGCTCCCTTGGGCGCCCTTGGACGGCACCTCCACTCCTGCTGCCCTCGCCGCCTCTCTCCCTACAGCGCAATCCTGCACCTCAGGGGAGAGCAGCACCGTGCGTGGCCGACTGCTGCGCGCGCCGTTCGACCAGCGCGGGGTGGACGAGTACTTTGCGGATTTCATCGAGCATGGCGAAGAGGCGTACATGCGAAGCCACTTCGGGGACGCCCGCGCGGACATGTCGCGCCTCGCAGACGAGAGCATGGCCGTGATGGGCGAGGCGTTGCTCGCGAAGGTCGCACAGGCTGGGAACACCGATGTGCTCATACAACGCCTGAGGGACTCCGGCTTGGGCGAGCTCGCGGACAAGCTCGCGTCGCGGCAGTGAGCGCGACTCCATCCTGTCGGGGACGCGCGCGCCGGGGTGGGCGCGACCTGGGGCGAGAAGACTTGGTTCTCGTCCTGGGACTAATCTGCGAACGAAGCGGTTAACCATGGTGGACAAGAATCGTATGCTGTCGATCAATGTAAGATAGGCAGTGGTTTTGTGCTGTATCTGTATCCGTATGTCCTTGCTGCTTCCTAAGTTCCACCATGATCGGAGTTGTGCACCCCCCCACCGGACTATGTTGCACCAATGATACTTCAAGATTATCATACTTCAAGAGTTTCCTACGTATTATGTAGGTCAAGGACGGAGAAGGGGAGCAAACACGAATTGATGGTCACGACCGCGTCGCATCACATTCACGTGGAGGCAAGATCGGACGCGAGCTCGAGGCAGTCACTTTCGTTTCCGTGGTCTGTACGTTACGGCGTAAGCGGTCCCTCTTCGAGTCTCAGTTCCGCCGGGTATGTAGTAAGTACGCCCAATGCATGTCAAATTACCGAAGCCCTAAGCCAGGCTAGTACTCGTACTCTTGACCAGAGGAAGTTGGGTGCAGTGTACGCTCTCTTTCTTCCTCCCACCACCATCAATCGCGGACCGATTTTCTGTCGCCATGCAGTCCAGCAGCAGCATGGACCCGCGCCTTGTCCAGCCGATGCGCACCATAGACACGTTCGAAGCCAGCGCCGGCGCGACACTAGCAAGCATAACACGTACGCTCAACAAGCAAAAAGAGGCGAAGCGCCAAGCAAAAACGCACTGCACTTTTTGCGATAGAGATGACAGCGACGGACCGCTTAAAAGCTGCTCGCGCTGCAAGTGCGTCAAACTCGTCCTACCTTCCGCGTGAAAATGAAGTAACCATCGCGGCAGAGCGGCGCGTTACTGTGACCAGGCCTGCCAAATATCGGACTTCAAGGGGCGGCACAAACGCGAGTGCGCCAATTTTGTGCACCCACCGACTACGAGCGCATTCCTCACAAAACCCATCTCCGGGGAGCGGTACCCCTTACAACCCGTCTTCGCGCACTGGCACGAGGATGGTGTCGGTTGCTGGGTCACCGTTGCAGGGTGTATCGATTGCAGGTACGCTGACCCGAATACCTTCGCGGCACCGTGCTAACAGTATAAAATTGCAGCTTGCAGTGCCCGACGATGCCTCTCGACCTGGGCATGCTCAGGGACCGCCAACAGCGCTCTGCAAACCGCGAGATTGTCCACACTTACAAGACCGCTGAGCGCAGTTTACTGGATCTCCGCGTCCTCGTGCAGAACCGCCGCAAGGACAAGACACCTATACTGGTCTTCGGCTCGCGCGCACAAGTCTTGAGTGAGCCATCGTCGACCTCCGCGGTGTTGCGCGGTGCGGCTGAGGGCGATAACAATGTGAAGTTCATGCAAGACAAGTGCGTTCAGCTCGAATATCTCGCTATGCAGTAGCTGAGCGTGTGCTACAGAGTGCCTCGTGTAGCTCTGGGTGTTGCAAACGACCCTTGGTACAAAGCGCCGCGGTTGGGCATCCCACACATGAACGGGGCCGAGGTGAGCCACCTCCCACCTGTCTCATTCGCGGCTCGCCAATCCGATGGACCCGTATAGGTTAAGAAAGGCGCGCCTCTACCCGAAAACATCAAGGACCCCAAAGAAGGCACAATCCTCCTCAACACGGGGGAGTACGTGATTATTCAGCTACAGTTTCGCGTTGGGGACGATGACAGGATCTTCAAGGACTGGGTGGCCCTCGGCGCCCTCGAGGCCATCTTCCTCCCTTGGGCGCCCTGGGACGGCACCACCACACCCGCCGCGCTCGCCGCCTCCCTACCCACCGCACAGGTCCCCGCCAGCGGGGCGGAAGGCAGCCGGCTGTTACGTGCACCGTTCGACCAGCGCGCCGTGCGCACGCACTACGCGGACTTCATCGAGCACGGCGAGGAGGCGTATATGCGCAGCCACTTTGGGGACGCGCGGGCGGACATGTCGCGCAGCATCGATGACATGCTGACCATGATGGGCCGGCTGTTTGGCTGGAACGGCGCGCAAGGAGAAGACACGGAGCTGATGGAGCAGCACCTGAGGGATATTGGTATGGGCGACATTGCGGACTCGTTCGCGTCGCAGCGGTGACTGCGAGCCCGTCCAGTCACTCGAAGTCGTGTGCGCCGCGGTTGTGACTTGGGGCAAGAAGGCTTGTTTGAGTTTCTCGTCCTGGGGCTATGGAAGCGGTCAGTCATGGTGAGCAAAAGTCAATATATGCTGTCGATCAATGTACTCTAGGCCACGGCTTTGTGCTGTATTTGTGTGTGTACTACATCCTCGGTGCTTCGCCGCAGATCCCCTTTCATCAGAGTCACGACCGCGTCGCATCACGTTCACGTGGAGACAGGACGCGAGGCAGTCACGCGTCCCCGTTAGTCCACCATTTCCAGGTACGTCCACGGTGGTCGGGCTCCGGACCCCAGCAACTCGTCACCAGCTGGGCGGCGTCGGGTGCGGTACGCTCTCCTCTTCCCTCCGACCACCATCGACCTCGGTCCTCTCTGCCGACATGCAGTTCAGCAGGCGCAGGTACCGGCATATCCAGCCGACGAGCCCCGAGGAGATGCTCAGGGCTTCCACCGACGCAGGCATGGCCAGCATGAGGCGTGTGATGAACCAGAAAACAGAGGAGGAGCGCATGGCGAAAGCGCCATGTACTTTCTGTGGCAAAAATGGCGGCAGCGGGTCACTGAAGAGCTGCTCGCGATGCAAGTACGTTGAGGCTACTTTCCGTTATATCCGGACAAAGGGCTTATAATCGCTGCAGGGCGGCGCGCTACTGTGACCAGACCTGTCAACTCTCGGATTTCAAGCCGCGGCATAAACGCGAGTGCGCCAACTTCGTGCACCCGCCTAACACAAGCGCATTCCTCACCAAGTCAGTCGGCAACGAGCGGTATCCTCAGCACCCCGCCTTCGCGCACTGGCACGAGGATGGCGTAGGCTGCTGGGTCACCATCGCTGGTCGCATGGAATGCGAGTATGTCAGTGCTAGTACCTTCGTGATGCCGCGCTGAACGCAGAAGTTCATAGCTTGCACTCCCTGACGGAGAGCATGGACTCCGATCGAAACAGGGAACGTCAAGAGCGTGTGGCGGCCGGGGGAGCCGCCAGCCGCCAGATAATCCGTACTCACAAGGCTGCCGCGCGCAGCTTACTCGGGCTGCGCGTCCTCGTGCAGAACAGGCGCAAGGACAAAACGCCTATACTGGTGTTTGGCTCGCGCGCACAGGTGCTGAGCCAACCGTCGCTGACCTCCGCGGTGCTGCGCGGTACAGCTGAGGGCGACAACCTCGTGAAGTTCACGCGCGACAGGTGCGTTCAGCCTGGCTCTCCCGGCGGTGCAATAACTGAACGTGTGCCACAGAGTCCCTCGTGTAGCGCTGGGCGTCGCGAACGACCCCTGGGACAAAACGCCCCGGCTCGAGATATCGCACATCAACGGCACCGAGGTCAAGAACGACGCACCCCTGCCCGCAAACATCAAAGACGCGAAAGAGGGCACCGTCCTCCTCGCCCCGGGCGACTTCGCGATCCTGCACCTCCAGTTCCGCGTCGGGGACGGCGACACGATCTCCAAAGACTGGGAGGCCCTCGGCGCGCTCGAAGCGCTCTTCCTCCCCTGGGCGCCCTCAGACATCACCTCCCCTACCTGCTTGCCCACGGCGCAGGCTCCCGCCAGCGGGGCGGAGGGCAGCGGGCTGCTGCGCGCGCCGTTTGACCAGCGTGGGGTGCGCGCGCACTACGCGGACTTCATCGAGCACGGCGAGGAGGCGTACATGCGGAGTCACTTTGGAGACGCGGGCGGGGGCGGGGGCGGGGGCGGGATGAGTCGTGCGGAGGGGATGATCGCGGCGATGGGCGAGATGCTGCTCGGGCAGGGCGCGCAGGTGGGGAACGCGGATGTGCTCGTGCAACGCCTGAGGGACGCGGGGATGGGCGAGCTTGCGGACAAGCTCGGGTCGCGCTGAGGCATCTGTCTCTGGCGTCCCGAAAATCATCAGTCGCTGCTACAAGTTTTGCGCGAGTCGAGTACATAACCGCACGAAGCACCCCCCCCCCATTATATGCGTCATTTACATACCAGAAGCCACATTTGAAGCACTTGTCCACTCACCGGTATGCACTCCAAAGCGTCCCACCTACAGAGTAGATGCTCAGTTACCTCCCAGATCACGCCAAGTACCAGTTCAGACCAGCCAACACGGCAAATAACAGGAGGAGTCACGCATACGCGCGCGGACAGATAGCATCGACAAGAACGAGTAGTGCAAAGCTGGTAGTAGTAGTAGTAATAGGTACTCTCGTGCGCCGTGGGCTGCAGACCTTACACAAACAGACGACCGAACGGAGGGGATCTCGAGACAATGGGGCGCCGCCGACAACGCGCGGCGTCGTCCCCATGGAGCGGCGCGTCAGGCTAGCATGGGCAGAGAGAAAACGGAGATTGTAGAGGGGAGTGGAGAAGGGCGGGGCGGCAGCGCGTCGAGCCTGCCGGACCCCGGGAGACCAAGGGGTATCATGTACGGGCGGGCGGGGCGCGGGCGGCTTAGTGCGCGTGGCGGCCGGCGAGGTGACGCGAGTGGTTGCGCTTCTTGGCTTGCGCGGACTCGGTCGTGCGGGGTTTGCTGTGGAGGAGGTCAGATACTGCTAGGTTGTAGAGTGGAAAGGAAGGCGACACATACCACCTGCGGGAAGCGGAGGCGGTGGGCTCGGTGGAAGTGGTAGCCTCGCTGGTCACCACAGGAGCGACGACGCTGTGAGCGGAGAATGGATCAGCACAAGGGCACACAACATGGAACGGAGACAGCGCAACATACATGGAAGTTGGGGCTTCCGATGGGATAGTGGTGGAAGGAAGAACCGTCGTCGGCTCGGCTTGCTCAGACGTCGGAGGGGCCGCGGTGGTGGGGTCTGCCTGCGTCGTCGTCGGGCTCGCCGGAGCCTCGGTGGTAGCGGGAGGCGCCTGTGCGGTAGTGGTCGCCTGGGCCGTCGTGTGGGTGGAGGACGCCGCTGTGTAAGTGTTCGCAGAGCCGGCGAGGGAAGCGATGACACCGTCCGCAAAGATATCGTTCTGCGCGCCGTCGTGGAAGCCGTAGAGGTCGTTGTAGTAAGGCGCATGGTAGGTGTCCTCAAACATCTGCGGTGGGGTTTTATGTGAGCATGTGGGCGCGTGCGGTGTATGCGTGCATGGGAGGATTTACGTTGTTGCCATCCTGCTGGTACCAGTACATGGGAAGCTTGGCGTTGAGAGTGCAGTTTTCAGGCCTGGCGTCGGGCAGACCGTTGTCGGGGTCGGGGCCGCACCTGAGAAATATTCGTCAGTAGGAGTCCATTTGGCAGAAGTGCAGGCACTGACCTGCGTGGCAAGGCAGGCTTGCCCAGGGGCTGAGTACCGACATCACCGGTAACTTTACACTTGAAGGCGTTCATGTATACTGAAACAAGCACACATCTGGTTAGCAACGCGGGGTGCTTCACCGCCGCCAGGACGCCAGGGACGCACTTTGTTCGGCACCGCTATCAATCTGGGGAAGCGAACAACGTCAGCCACGGACTGTTTCGGGAGCGAGGCGGCTGGACGTACAGAATGGATCCAGAACCAGGCGCAGTGGCAGCCGCCCTCCGGGCACGCCGGGAGGCTGGGCACGTCGAAGGCGGTGTTCTGGTACCAAACGCAGGTGTGGTTGACGGAGAAAATGGTGAAGTCGTCGGGCTGGACATCGTGCACGTCGGACTTGTACGCGATAGCAAGCGCACAACCCTTCACGTCGTCGATGCCGGTGGTGTGGTAGGCCGAGGTCGGGGCGCCGACACAGGGCGAGTCACTGCCGTAGCCGACATCTCCACTAAAAATACGCAGTCGCGTTAGGAACTGAACGATGTCGAAGAGTGTGTGCGAAGACCTACCCTTGAGAGGAGTTGTAGTAGATGGTCGCGCCCTTATCGCAAGACAGAACGGTGTTAACAGTTCCGCCAGCTTCGAGCTCGAAGAAATCACCCTCGTTGGGCGGGTAGTCAATGTGACCATGCTATAGAGCGTTTAGCGAGCAGTACGCGAGGCGCGCGGATGACAGGTACTCACGAACCACCACTGCGAGAAGGGCATGTTGTAAAGCGGGACCTGAGGACGGTTGTCGTAGGAAAACGTCGAGTCGGTCACGTTGAACCCATACATAGACGGGTGCCAGATCGCTACGGACGAACAACATGAATTTTGCGCTGTCGCGCGGGGCAGAATTTACTCACAGACATGAGCAGACGCGCCGGACGCGAGCGCGGCCACGAAGGCGACGGAGGTGAGGAGGGAGGGAAACATGGCGACCTCGGGCGAAGGAGTGTCGGTAGAAAAGAGCGGCGGGCCCGCGGTGGGCAAGGAGGGTGGTGGGAGGAGAGAGGGAGGCGGGGGAGACTGTTCAGCGGCGGGGGCTCGAGGCCGGATGTTTGTAGACGGCGCGCCAGCCAACGCTGATAATATTTGGTGTGTTCGCTACTTAATTAATCGCCAATCGGCCGGGGCGGCTCTTCCGTCTGTGCTTCGATTGCCTTTTGCGCCCATGACGGCATCACAACATGGCCCATCGCCTTGGTTACCCCGCCGCCTCTTCTGCGATAGCCTCGACAGCATCACGCAGCTTCCCTCTGCGCTCGCTTCCACGCATGCACTGACGGCCGCTCGCTCTCGCCGTCTGCCTCGGACCACCCAACACGTCGCACAAGCTCCTCACCGCCCGGCGTGTTCATCAGAGCGGGTCCGGCAGCGGCGCACATGCGAACCTCGAGGCAGACCGCAGACTGCGACAAGCTCTTGAACTGTTTGCCGGGGCGCTAAGACATCGATGACGAGATGCCACGGCCAAAGAATTCAGGATGAGCTTCAGCGTCGGTAGATACGCCCTAACGAAGATCCTCGTCGAAATAACTCAAAGGAAGCAGAAAGAGTTGGGGATGATCGCAGTAAACCTGCGCGAAAAGACTAGCAGATATCGGACATCCCAGCGACAGATTGTCAATGTTGTGGATTGCCCGGCCACACGAGAAGTGCCAGGCACGATAACGTCAGAGTAGGACTCGCCATCCCGCTTCGGGAAGCGAGTGTCTTGAACGCGACCCGTTCTTGACGACATCAGCGTACTCAGCGGGTTTTGGAGAGCCTGTAAATGCCAAGGGGTTACAAGACGCTCCGGTGCTCTGAAGTGGCGGCCAGAGAAAGACATAGCCGGGCAGCAAAACAATCCGCCTTACATTTAGACAAGCCTGTGGCAAATTCACGGCAGCCAGTCAAGATGGCACGATAAAACCCCAGATTAGGGCTTCGGGATGATCCGATGCGGCCCGCGCCAGACACAAGATTACCTTACAAATAAGCGACGCCTTAACGGGAGGGCTATCCAGCTCACCTCCATCAACACACCCCCTCTCGATATTTTACCTTCTAATTCGCACACAAAGGGCGTCCCAATTCCTCCGCCTCAGATATCTACAGTTCGGTGAGCTAATTTTAATATCTCTCTTTCTCTCTTCGAACCACGACAATGCATACCTTCCTCTCGTCCTGAAAACACGACGCTATCTCTGTCGATGGCTCTGGATTCCTGTGAAAACGTGTTACATCCTTCAAGTGGCTCAGCAACGTCTGCCTATCGAGAGCGGCTGTCACGGGATGGATGCGAGATGCGACTAGGTTTTGGAAAGTGAAGATTGCGGCCTGTCTGGCCGTAGCCCCGCTGCAAGGTCTTGAGAGGGCGTGCTAGGATGTCTCACAATCTGAGAGGCAAGCAGACATTGTTCAGAGCCTCGTTGAGGTCACATAGAATGACCTGCATATGCGAGCGATGCCCGTCCGACACCCATAGCAGCTTTTCATCGTGAGACGAGACTGACAATGTCATCCAGACGTGCACAGCGACCACGCCCCCGAGCAAGCACATCATGGCGGATAACAACACGATCCACAGCCTGACAAGCACACTCGCATCGCAGCCCATGTCCACTCAAGGCAGTGAACAGCAGCATCCTCAGCAGCAACATCCCCAGCAGCATCCCCAGCAGCATCCCCAGCACATCGCCAACCCCGCCGAGCTTCAAAACCATCCCGGCATGCCGCCCATGGGGATGGCTCCCCCTCCCCCTCCTCCTCCTGGGCCGGTGGAAGGTGCGAGCCCTGAACAGCCCGTGAAGCGCAGACCCGGGCGCCCGAAGGGCAGTGGCAAGAAACCCGTCGACCCCAACGCCCCGCCGAAGATAAAGCGGCCCGTCGGTCGTCCGCGCAAGGACGGGCTTCCCGCCGGATCTGTTGGGACGCGGAGGACAAGCCGCCCGCGCAAGCGTCCCCCCGGCACGTTCGCGAGCGGGCCTCACGAGTCCACCCCGGGCTTCGGTTATGGGGTAAGTGCCCTGTGCGCTCTTCAGCAATTGCGGCGTCTGATCGAGGTGCGCTCTGCCCTCCCAGGCTCCGTTCGTCGCCGATGCGCAATGGGGCTCAGTGTCCGCACCGCCCTTAGGCCGTAGTGTGAACGGCCGTCCGCCCATCTTCCCGATCGACCCCTCGCTCGAGCAAGATGACTGGGCTGAGATGTCGCGCAGCCGCCCCGATAGGTTCCTGCACGCCCTCGTCTCTGCCCTCGAGGCGCCGAACCCCGTCTCTGGGGCCGGCCCGAGCATCGAGGAGGCCTTCAAGTCGCACCTCGTCTCCCTCGCGCCGAACAGCAAGAGCCAGCCGTCGATCCCCTCGCTGTACTCCATCCTGAAGACGTTCTGGCTGCCGTCCTCGCCCGTCTACTTCTCGCTCACCGCGTCGGCCTCGACCGCCCGCACGCCATCCGAGCACCGGTTCCTGTACTGGGATCCGCAGCCGCTCGTCTTCAACGGCATCTGCTGCAGCGCGTGCTCGAGCCCGATGACGAACCGTGGGCGCATCAGCTCGGGCCCGATCAAGGTGTATGACCTGGGCAAGCCGTTCTTCGTGATCGCGTGCGAGTACGTGTGCACGAGCGCGATGTGCATGGCGGCCACGGGCAACCAGGGCCGCAAGTTCGCGAGCACGGACGCGTCGATCCTCCGCGCGCTCCCGTACAAGCTCAAGGACGAGTTTCCCGCGCTGCTGCTCCAGGGGAACCCCGATCTGGGCAGCGGCCCGGAGGTGTGGAACTGGCACGGGATGGGGGTGTCGGTCACGCTGTATAATATGGTGCGCGCGAGCCTGCACGCGGGGCTGCGCAAGGAGGCGATTCTCGAGATCATTCGCGCTATCCAGCTCGGGCTGCCGGATTACGACCTCGAGGCGTTCAAGCGTGAAGAGCAGGATCACTCCATGACCGTCAATGGCGTGCAGGGCGAAGACGAGGAAGAGGAAGACGACAGCCATGATGTGCAACAGGTCGAGGGCGACCTGGCGGCGGAACAAAAGGACGTGAGTAGTCTTGCTTTATTCTTCGCGATCCGGCGTCACCTCACCTCGCAATTGCTGGATGCGCAGAAGTCGACTGAGGAGTATCAAGAGGCCTGGAACGCGAATAGCGGGGTCCCTGAGGCGAACGGCGCCCCGCCGCCGCACATGTCCCCAGAGCAGCCCCAGGCAGGGCCCAGCAACGGCCAGGACCCGAACGCCAACCAACAGCAACAACAACAGCAACAGCAGCAGCAATCGCAGAGCGCGAGCGCGCCGCCCCCTCCCCAGTCGCAGGCGCCCCCTCCCCATCTCCCTCCGCACTACGCCTACCCAGGCCCCCACGCCCCGTACCAGACGTATCCCTACCCGTACCCGTACTGGAACCAGCCGCAGCCGCAGCCGCCGCCGCAGCCCGAGCCGTCCGGGTCGCTGAAGCGCACGTTCGCGATCGTGGACGGGACCCCCGAGCCGAGCATGTCCGAGCCGCTGCACAAGCGGATCCGGCACTGCTGCAAGTGCGGGTCGAACGAGTGCAAGGGCAAGGGCGGGCGCGCGTTCTGCAGCAACCCGTGCCAGGACTGCGGGAAGCTCGAGTGCAAGGGGCGGAACAGCAAGCGTCCGGACAGGACGTGCGCGGATGCGTGGCCGTGAGCGGCGGCGCTGAGGTGGTGATGAACGAATGTGGGCGGTGGCTGCGTCCATAAACAAGCTATCCCGGGACTACGGTGCATATGGCGGACTTTCTCTGCAATAGCCCGCTGCGCCGGTATTTATCGCGGTATACTCCGATTTCAATTTGCTGTAACATTCTGGGTCGACGGACCGCGGTGTTGTATTACTAGCGCGATTAACCTTGTTTCTGTGGCATTCATTCATTCTTTTTTTCATTACCGGACAAATACACGCGTTAGGTAACTGTAAGCCCCCACGTTTGAGGTTAGAGTGCGCAGGCGCCGGAGCTGGGCGCGGACGAGGGCGGGCAAGAGTGACGTCAGACGGGAGACGAAGGCGAGGGGTGCCCACAATCCACCACACCGCCCTGGCCAAAAGGCCTCTGCAGAACATGCGCCACCTCCCACTTTCCCCGCTGCCTCTCCCCCCCCTCCTTATACCTCCCAATTATCCTCGACCTCCCTGACCATATCATGTCGACCCTCGCCATCAAAGCCGGCAGGAAGCTCTTCGAGCGCAACCTGGAGCAGTACCAGCCCTCGGACCCGATGTACGAGACGTACACCGATAAGAAGGGCCGCCAGCGCAGACGCAGGGTGCGTGCCCTTGTTTTTCCCGTCTGTGTGGTGTGTGCTGACGGACTGGGGTGCAGCGCGAGAGTCCGCCTGGGCTGTCTACGCGCGATGCGAAGATCCTGAAGTCGGTGCAGCGGCGCGCGCATTATCTGGATAAAGGCTTCTCTATATGCGGGCTGCGCTTTGGCTGGACGTTCGTCATCGGTGCGTCTAATGTGGGGCTTTGTACGAGCGGAGAGACTTATCAGGTGTGCTTGTTAGGTATCATACCTGGGGCTGGAGACATCGCCGATGCCTCGCTCAACTACATCCTCGTCGTGCGCAAGGCAAAACAAGCCGAGTACGTCCGTCTTCCCACCTCTCCCGCGACTCCCCTAGGACAGATGCTCATGCTCACGCTCCCGCCCCACAGGATCCCCGGCTGGCTGCTGCGCCAAATGCTGCTGAACAACGCCGTGTCCGCCGCGGTCGGCTTCGTGCCCTTCATCGGCGACGTCGTGCTCGCGATGTACAAGGCAAACTCGCGCAACGCCGCGCTCCTCGAGGAGTTCCTCCGCATCCGCGGCGAGGAGTTCCTCAAGGCCGAGCGCGAGCGCGTGCAGGACCCGCAGACCGTCAAGCCCGGCGCCGGCCGCGAGCCTGGGGAGCACGTTCCCGGCAAGCAGGAGCGATCCGCGACGGGGTTGGGGTGGTTCAGGCGCGGCAGCAAGGGGAGCAAGAAGGAGAAGAATGGCAAGGCTCCGGCGGCTGTGGGCCCCGCGGCGGGCTCGCCGTCTGCCGATAGGGGGCGGTTTGTCGAGGACGTCCCGCCGGTGGGAGACCACCCCAAGCCGCTGTAAAGCGTTTTGGACTGCGTTGGACTTTTCTTTTGAACGGAGCGAGGCACGGTGTATGATTTAGCCTTAGTATACCCACTCTGACCGCTTTCCATCTTATAGTATCTTGCTGCTAAGAACCTTAGTACACATACCTTCACGCCCCGTCGTCGTAACACACGTGCCCGCTCGCTCAGTCTATGGATCATTTTTGTCTATGTTTTCTTTGATTCGAAACCATGATAGTGGTGACAATACAAGGATGGGTGGTTTTAGAGATCGACGTTCATGATCCCAAGCCCCACCGCCGGCAGCTGCGGGGTGATGATGTCCGCCGGCAGGTGGAAGTAGCTCGCGGGCACGTCCTCCCTCTCCGCCGCCGTTGCGCGGAGGGGCGCCCCAGGGGTGCGACGCAGCGTCGCGGGGTAGACGTGGAACGGACTCAAGGGCGCGTCCGCCTCGAGCACCCCGAGCGGCGCGAAGCCCAGCCCGAGGCCGACCACCGTGGTGTGGACGACCGCGCGCGAGCGCCGCTGCGGGAACAGCGGGCGCGGCGTGCTGGGCGGCGGCGGGAGCATGCTCGGGGACGGCGCGCTCGGGAACGCGGAGCGGGAGAGCGGCGACGCGGGGGTGGGGGTGGAATAGATGATGTGCGCGTCGCCGTTTTGGAGGGAGAATGCCGCGGCACGCGTGGTGCGCGGGGCAGCGGGGGCGCTGGAGGGGCCCTTGCGCTCGTGCCCGAGGGCGCTGCGGAGGCGGCGGAGGCCTGCGCGGACGTGGGCGCCGGCGAGGCGCGCCTCGAGCTCGGCCTTGTTCGGGCGGTGGGTGGAGGAGAAGGAGAGGAGGGATGGGGAGGGGAGGAGGGAGGGAGAGGGGGCGGCGCTGAGGAGGCTGCGGGTGGTGAGGTACGCGGCCATTGGTATGATGATGAGGCAGGGGTGAAGTGTGGTGAGAGTAGGCTGGTTGGTATGAGGATGAGGTGTCTGCCTGCAGTGGATGAAGTGTGTTTTGGTGGGGACTTGTGCGTTCAGAGGCCCTCCTTATATGCACTGAGGCCCACATCCGATGTTGGTCGCCGTCTCGCGGTGTTTTCTACGACTTTCGTCTACCGATGGCGCTGGAATCGCGAGTGTAGCAGAGCCGCACTCGCACTCCCATATCCGGCCGGTCTAGACCATGTTGTGTGGTACACACAACGGTGGGGTAGCGGCAGTCCCAATCCCGATGCGGTTCCCGTCGGGGCCGCCGGTCCCGATCACAACGACTACTCACCCAAGTTCGGATGTGCAGGCTCGACGAGCGCTTGATGCTGTATCCGTGCAGACACTAGTGTACACTGAGAGGGCCTAGGCAATACACGGCGGCGTAGGAATGGACTTGCACCGGAAGTGTCGCTGGATCTCGCCTGGCGGAGTCGATTTGGTTGCAGCGGGCGCATAATAACAGTAGGCCAGTCTGGCGAGACCAGTCTAGCCTAGTTTCTAGGGATCTAGAGCGAGGCAGCAGTGGTCAATACTATACATCGGCTTCGTTCTTTGCCTAGGTATGTCATATGTGAAGTCGGAGGCAGCGTACCAGCCACTTCGGTCTAGTCGCCGTCGTCACCGTCTGCTTCGGTCAACCATTCTGGGTGCATACATGCACACAATAAGTCGATGAACTTAATGAACCAGTCATCAGTGCTTGTACACAACGCAAGGATACAGGATACGGTGCTCACCAGATTAGTGGCGCTGCTGCATGGTGGCAACGTCGCGGAACCGTTTACGATGTTATGTCTTGAAGGCCAACGTCCTATACGGGTTGCTGGTGGTGCTCCTGATGCACCAAAGCTCTTGAAGAGTCTGTCAGTCGATATTAGGGGAGTCGCAGGCCGTTGCGAGTTCTGGTCTGTGACATCGTGGTCAATGAACAGAACAGGAAGCAAAGAAGCGTCGGTAGAATGCCACTAAAAATCCGCAGCAGATGATCGACAGTACTCTTTCTTCTAGCTACCTTGACCCTCTCATATCTGCACGAGGCTGAGCTCACAATATTATTGCACGTTGTACGCTGTATCACAGAGGACGTACCCATTGTAGGTGTGTGCTAGCCGAGTCCAAGCTTGAGACTTCCCAGTGAAACCCATGCAGGGCGCATTCGCAATGGTTATATGCATGTGGTACTGACTTGAACCTCTCCAGTCTATACATATGAAAGTCACAGTATATCTTGAGATATTCATTTGCCGCACTAATGCGTGTCTTAAAGCTGACTACTGGACAGTTTAAGAAAAGGTGTCTCATCTGCCGGACTCGATTCCTCCCACTCACGAAAGGTCCTCTTGGGTGGCCTGCCACGCCTTGTAGTATATCTCCAAATGGTCGATCAGCCCAGCCTTCCGCGGGCGCCACCCAAGCAGCGCGCGACCAAGGTACGGGCGGATTATCGTCGTTGTGGTAAGCGCGCGATCAAACACTGAACATTCGCATCCTCATCAGTACCGCTGAAAGTCGGAGCCACCGAATCGATACTCACAATTGGTAGGCTCAAAGTACTGGTACGGCGCTTTCGCACCAGAGACCTCGACGAGCCGCTGCAAGAACAAATCCGTGCTCTCCGTGACGTCGTTCGTCCCGTCGAAGATTTGCCCCTTGGACACCGCCGCCTTCTCCGTTGCAAGCACATACAGCTTCGCAAGGTCATCGGTATGGATAGTCGCGAGCCGCCCCCCGGGGGTGCCCGGCCACGCGACGACACCCTCGCGCGCGGCCCGCTCGAAGAACCGCGCGAAGAGCGACCCGGAGCGGCCGTACAGCAGCGACGGCCTGATGACCAGCCCATTCACGTCCGTGCTCGCGATGACGCGCTGCTCCTGCGCCGCGCGCCACGAAGTGAGTGCCGGCGCACGCTCCGTGTCGGGCGCGGTGCTGTCGCTCACGACCTCGGTGCGGTTGTCGCCGTGGATCCAGGTGCCCGACGTCCAGATGTAGGTGAGCTTCGGCGCGAGCGCGGGGCGGTGCGCGTGAACGGCGGCGGCGGTCGCGCGCAGGAGGAGGTCGGACGTGTCCTTGATGTCGCTGCCGCCGACGGCGTCGATGATCGCGTCGAGCGTGGCTCCGATGGGGAGGTAGGCGGCCGTGTCTGCGACGTCCGCGACTATGGGAATGACTGAGGGGCAGGTGTGTCAGCAGGCGTACCACGCTCTGGAGATAGAGTTCGAACTTACTCTCTTCCGCTGCGAGTCGCTTCGCCTTGGCCGCAGAGCGCGTCTGACCGTACACAATGTGTCCAGCGCGCACGAAGGCCTGCGCGATAGGCAGCCCGATGAATCCGGTCGCGCTGAAGGGACGTTGTCAGAGAACGGACTTGTGCCTGGATGTGAATGCTGCACTCACCCAATGATGAGAACCTTCATGATGGTGGTGTGTGCTAAAAGTACGTGCGCGTGGGAGAGGGTGTATAAACACAAGTAGATAGGTGAATCGGAGAGGCTAAGTAGGTTGAGCCGTCGCGTTCCCAAACAGCTCACCCTATATACGTCCGCGTGGAGTCTATCCCATGCCCGGCGGCGGATATAGCACAATATGTTCTGTGCTTCAGCGTCGTGTTCAGGGTTCCGTCTGAGTCAGACATTGCGCCATCCGTGGACTCGTGTGCTCGTGGGGAACTTATAGCGCTCCGAAAAGAATGGGTTCTTAACCAAAAGTGATCGATGATTGGGCGTGTGCATATCACAAGTTATTATAACGATACCAGATGATGGTAGGTCACGGACTAACTGTGGGTCCAGACGGGCGCCCGCATTCGGAGTGCGCACGGTGTCTGAGGAAGCGGTCAAGCCTAGCGAAGAGCCGCAGGCTCACTAATGCGCGACTTGGACCAGAGGCCGTCGGGAATAGCATATAGATATGCATACCCTGGAGTGATACACCCGTCATAAGGACGGCTGACAGAGCATCGTGAAACACCCTGCAGAACCAGAGAATATGCAATACCTCTAACTAGGAGACGGATGCAAGATCCAGACGCACCTAATCGGTGCTACACGTCGGAGGAACATCCACCAGCACCCCCGACGGCGGATCTGCTGTCGCCTCACCAATAGTTACTAGTGAGGCGGGTGCTCGAGTCGGTATGACAGGTCGTGGGCGGCGGCGTGGAGGGCGGGCCTTTGTTCTGTTTAACCCAAACCCATGCCTAGGTCAGCGCGATTGCCAGTGATTACCCGCTTTCGTGTCGGCTGCAGGAGTGACAACTGAGGGAAGCCTGATCATTTCTTCTCATGAATGCAAAAAATGTGTGCTGACACGTCTCGCCAGCGAGTATATCGCTGATTTTTGCGGGCGAGTTGAAGAAGGCCCGGCCGCTTCATCTCTTGGTGCGCATGCAGAGGTACCCCATCACGAGCGAGAGGAGGCTTATACACGCGAGTTACTGACGAAGCTCTCGACGATCGGCCCCAAAGGAGGGCCATTGCTGCCCTTCGCCGGACGCGGCTCCGGCGTCGAGTGGGTGGCATTTGGCAAGAGACTCTGCGGGACGCCCAGCGCGCCCACGTCGTATAGCCAGTACGACGGGGACACGCCAATGGGTACGGTCATGTTGGCAGGACCCGCATACACGAAAAAGTTGGGGATGGACGGGGAACCGATGGTCTACTCGATCATGGTACGCACCACGCTGTGCTTGCAAAGCGCGAGCGGTTTGTTCACGAAGACGAATACGGCCACCCGTCTATACATTCTTCTCTCCTGTGTGAAAGGCGAGCAGAGATCCAGACTGAGGTATCCGGCGCAGACGTTGTGTTCAGGGGATAGTAGCTCTTGTACAATGGGCACGAGTGCCCGATGGCTTGAGATACAGGCTCAAGATCGCACCTGCGATAGCTTCGTAGGCAGAGTGATAACGTGCTTGAAGCCTTCGACGGTTTGACTGGCGAGACCACCAATCCAGGACACGAGTTTGCAGGGGTCGTCCGTGCCGCCAGACACAGATGCGAGTTCGATGTGAGGACAGCAGACAGGCGGGGTAGGGAGGAAAGGATGCGAAGCCATGAGCGAGCGCAGAGAGAGGAAATGCGCGCAAAAGGGAAAGGAATATTGATCGGAGCGACTTATTCGGGGTGCAGTTTCGACTGAATCGGTACGAGCCATTGCGCGTCTTGGCCGTTCTTGTCCTCCTCCATCGATGCGCCCCCCATCCACCCCAACCCCACCTCAGTCTCGTGCATGTCGACCCGTCTTTGCTCACTGGGCCACGAGGATAGGAAGAAAGCAGATACGAGCTAGATGAAGCCTAGGACAGTAAGGCGCTGCTTGGAGAGCTCTAGTGCGTGCCACATGGGGGAGGTTTGGCCGAGTTTACCATCGTGGACCGCGGGTGGCGGAGGGAGATCGGCGCCTAAAATTATAGGTCAAAGATTGCGTCGACCGTCGATGCCGGCGTTCGCAACTATAGTGCTGGTGACAATGCATTGCGTTACATCTTAAGCTGCGTCTGAGGGAGCTGTGCGCCACATGTGGCATCGCCGCTACGACGACGTTAATCAGGTGCGTGCAAGACAAGCACCTACATACACCGCTCATCACACACATACAGATCTGAATCTGAACGTATCGCATACGCCAGCAGGCCGCATGCGTACGTTCGTGGATTCTGGTCTGTACGTATATCACAGACGGCGCAAATTCTTTCTCAACATACGTTGGGAGACTTGCCTTATATGGACGGATTTTGCGGGGACGAGACGAGGATGCTCTACTGCCCCGCCACTACCTTTTGCTATCGTCAGCTCATCAACACAGACGTTGGAGCTGCCTTGCAGAGCAGAGGCCCTCGAACGCAGACGATAACGCGTTAGGCTGGACAAGACTAAGTGAGATGAATAACGAGAGTCCGAGTCCAAGGTCTGTGCGGGATGCTGTCCGATGCCAGTCCTAGTATATCACCCTCTCACACACCAACAGAAGACGACGTGAAGCATCAGGAGAACGAAGACAAGTGCCCAGAGTCGGTACACGCATGCATGCGGGGGTCTGTAGGCGTGAGCGGCGGGGTGCCTACAGATCATTATCTCAAACTCTCAGGCCCCTCAAGTTTCACACAAAGTGCCCCTCAAAAAGTCGCTCAAAAAGTCAACTCCTACGTTTATCAAGGCGTCAAACGGGCGGTTAACGGCTCTCACGTTAACCATTACCCGCATTTTACCACATCGGTCAAATTGCCTAACATGGCCAACGACGCTTCCTCAGGGCGCTTCTACGCGTTCACCACAGTCCCTTCTGCGTCTCTCTCGCCCTCTGCGGCGTCCCCAGACCCCCAATACTGTCCCGACACCTCTGGGTCAGATTCTGTCTCAGACGAAGATAGGGGTGCCATCGGGCACTCGTATCCAGTCGAGCGGACTGCCCAGGGCCAAGACATCTTCCGCGAGCCGTTTGGGGCTCAAGATGTTAGTGGATTCCCTCAGGATCGTCTCGACCCTGCTTCCGCCACCATCTACCTCGACGACACCTCCTACCTCTCTACTGGTTTGTTCCGTGGCCATCCAGCCTCAAACTTCCTCCAGGCCGCGCCTAATGTACCCTTCGCACACGCCTACGGCCATTTCAACCCCATCATGCCTCCTTCGATGACTTCAACGACGCCGCACGATGTACGCCACCCTCCCTCTTATCTGATCTTGTCGGTGCTTATTCCACTTGGTTTATAGACACCTCTCAGTGGAGACAGTGGCGACAGCAGCCCGGCTGACTCCAACGGGAGTGGTGGGACCAACGCGAGCGGCCACCTGAGCGGTAGTAGCCTGGAGAGCGCGTCGAGCGACGCACCCAGCTACTACACCCATGGTAGGGTCTCCGTCTATCAGGATGATTCTGTATCGGGCACCCTCCAGCGCGTTGGACAGCCCTCTTCGTACTCTCAGGACCATTATCCTGCTTACGACGACGACAATCGCCGTGTTGGCATGGAACATGCACGCTTTGGTACGGACCCCCGCCAGTCCGAGTACTCATACTATCCCCCACGCGCGAACACTTACCCCCCTGTGGGAGCACACGGAATGGCGCCCGGCATGGATTCTCCCGAACAAACACAAACATCTAATTTCTCTTCCCCCGACCTCCACATGATGCCCATGCGCTCCGACGACTTCTCCTACGGACGTGACACGGGCAGCGATACCGTTGTCCCCGGCCATATGGAAATCGTGCTACCTGAAGCCCCCGCCCCCCGCCACCAGGAACCGCCGCCCACTCGCAGAGAGAACGTCATGATATTCTCCGGCGATGATGCTATGTTCGAGGTCGACGATGATGAAATACGGCAGCTCGTCGGGCTCCAGCCCCACGAGGAGATCAGCCTCGCAGCTCTCGCGGACCCTCCCAACGGCCGCCGCCCCGGGCAGTCCATCCCCCTGCTGTCGCAGCTTGCCATCCTCGGCAGCCCCCAGAGGCGGCTCACCTTGCAGGAGATTTATCGCACGCTGGAGGACAGGTTTGAGTGGTTCCGCCTCAACAAGCACGATAAGTCGTGGCAGGTGCGTCACAACCTTGTATCCTCGTTTGCATTACCCCCTGAAGTTGCAATATCCCTGTAGAACTCCATCCGCCACAATCTCTCGCTGTACAAGTGCTTCCGCCGCGTGAGCAAGCCCATCACGGAGCCCGGCAAGGGCAGCTACTGGACTGTTGACTACGCTGCGGGTGCTGGCACGAAGCGTCCCCGCAAGCGCAACAAGAAGGGCGGTGCAGCCGGCAAGAGCCAGGAGGAGACGCAAGAGGGAGGTGAGGATGAAGGGGGCCCCAGCCAGGCTGAGCAGAGCTCCAAGCCCAAGTCGCCGACGAAGCCGCCTTCCAGCTTCTCGCATAGCATCCCGACTGCAGAACGATACCGCCCGTACGAAAGCTACAAAGAGCCCTCCCGTACTCTCACATCCCGGCTAGAGAGTGATTACAGGAAGCGGCACCCGAATTCCCCCCGCTTGGCTACGCGTTCGAGTCTTCGTGGATCCGACGCTGAGTACTCACGCGCTAGTGGCAAGCAGAACGCCCGCGGCCGCCCACAGATGGAGCAGGGTGTACGCTCGTCGGAAGGGTCCTATAGCGGACCCGCCTTCGGAGAACCTACGTTTAACGCGGCGCTATTCAGGAAGACGGCGGCCCTTAGGGAGGCGGCGGCACTTAGGGACTCGGCGGCACTTAGGGACTCGGAGCCAGCGGCATTCAAGGATTCGGGGAGCTCCCTGAAGACACCCTCCACCACTTGGCCGATGCCTGGCCCTAGCCAGCCTCCGATGTACCACTCTGATCCGCTTCAGTATCGTTCCTCTTCGCACTCCTTCTCCTCCATGGATCAGCTTCCGCCACTGCAGAACTTCCCGCGCCCGCGCCCTCAGCCCCCCTCCCGCGCTAATACCTTGCCCACGAACATAGCAGAGGCACTAAACGAACAAACATTCGCCAGGCCCCTGCTGCCCCCTCCGCGCGATATGTACGACCAGGCTCGCAACGACTACAGCCGCTTCCCATCGACTCGGTCCTACCAAGGGCACCCAGAGCAGCACTACTCTTTCGGACCGACTCGCTCCTACACCGGGCAGTCTACTACGGATTACCACTCCTTCGCTTCGCCCCCAAGTCGGCCCTACCATGAGCCGCAGACTGCTGCCAGTGCCAATACGGAGCACACCCCGCCCTTCGAGCAAGGCTCGTCCGGGGGCGGCCGTCACCGCGAAAGCCCCTCCGAGTCCGAGTCCTCTCACGACTAGAGGCCGCCAATGACAATGAATCACGCCATAGACGAAGCGGCGTCCCGTGGTGCGCGCTGCCATGGCAGTCGCGTCCCAGGGTGGCGACCGCAAGACCCCACCGACGCAAACAATAACGAAATTCTGTGATGCCACGCCCGTCCGTCTTCCTCTCTGGACTGCTCTCGAATCCCATGCTCCCGTCTCGTTTTTGTTTTGTTCCCGCCCTCTCGCTCTTCACCCACAAACGCATACATGGTCTCCCGCTTTTGTCTCTCGTCGCTCTCCCCGTGTTCTGTCACGATGGTCTGAAAGTAGCCGCTCTGTGCATAAATCGCGCTCCCCCTCTCGATCGTCTCCCATGTCTATGTCTGTCTCTCTCCCCACTCAGTATATAGGTCTAGCGTATCGTTTGTTGTCCTGCTCTCCATTCCGTTGCGATGTTGTCCTTGTGCCCGCTTTAACTTGCTGTACGAATATCCCCGAGGTGCTGATTCCGTTGACGAGAAATTGTTTATGACGAGCGGGCCGTGCGCTGCATGGCCTGCGGCATCGCAATACAGTTATACACCCTATCTGATGGTGCGCGACGAGGATGATCAGCCGGCGAATACGCAAGCGGTCGCACTCTTGTCATTGTGGGTGCCATTTCGGTCTAGCTCTTTCGCGCGCAAGTCTACTCACACGGCCCCACCAACCACGGCCACGACCGTCCTCCCGTCCCCCTTGGCGTCCGCCCCCTCCGTAGGGACGTCGACGATCGCCGTCCGGAGCGTCTGCCCATCCAAAGCCTTCCGCTTGTCGACCTCGGCGTAGTACTCCTCATTCACGGGATCCGCCCCAACCCACTTCCACGCGCTCTCGCGCACGAAGTCCGCGTACGACCACAGCTCGGGGCTCAATTCGCTCAGCGCGCCCGCGTGTATGTACGTGTGCGCGGGCACGCTCGGCCCCAGCGCGTTCAGCGGCGGCAGCTCCGGCGCCACGCGCGGGACCACATATTCATCCGTGGCGGCGTCCGCAGGCGCGGAGGTAGGGCCCGTTGTGGCCGAGAGGGGCGTGAGGGGCCCGAGCGGGTGGACTCCAACGATGTCGCGCGTGTATTCCTGGGAGGGGAGGGGGAAAGGGGGTGTCAGAAGTGCGAGCGGGGCAGGGCCGGGGCGTGTGTGGGCGTCGTGGGCGGTGGAACGGTGCCAGGGGCACGCGGCCGCGGCCGCCCATCGATCGCCCCCCGGAGATGAAGGTACCGTGCACTTACGTTACCCTCGAAGAGGTCCAGGAGGGCGACGTCGCTGTCGTTGAGCCCCTGCACGAACGTTCCCCGGACGGTGCGCTCTTCGGGCGAGAGCTCGCCGCGCCCGGAGTCGAGGAAAAGCGAGCGGCTCTTGCTGTATGGGATCACAGCGGGGTAGTCCGCATTCTATGGTGCGCTCATGTGAGGCTGTTCTGGCCGTCAGCGGAACGCGATGGGTGCGTACTTGAATTTTGTGGCGCGTGTGTTCCTGCAAAAAGAACCGGTGTTCAGCGCGAAGCTCTGGGTCCGGTGACCCATTCCGAGTGTTGTTGACCGCCGAAACGGGCTCAAGGCGAACGATTTATCAGGTTCCCTCGGAACCAGACTGCTTGGGCGCTGCGCGCTGAGAACAAGGGGTGATCGTCTCATGGCCGTCGGAGGTAGTCTCATCGTGCAGACCATCGTCCCAAGGACCGGCATCCTTGGATCGATGGCCGTGATATGAGGCTGGGCTGTGGGCAACGGGGACTTACGAGCAGGACCGCGGGGCAACTTGTGAGTTGGCTGCCCTCGTGCCCGATGACTCGCCGCAGGATCGCGGGGTGCATGAGCGTGCCGTAGAAAAAGGCCGAATACGACCGTGACATTGATGCGGTTGGGCTGTGATTTGGTGAAGCTATTGGTGGTGTTGGGGTACTTGGATCTATCTGCCTCCGCGGAATGCCAACTGAGCGTTAGTAGCTTTAAGGTGTGAAGAAACCAAGGAAAGCGCGGTGGCCGATGGCCTGCGAAGCGTGCTAGTTATTAGTCCGTGGATAAGATAAGCTTGACCATGTGGGTCGCCCGCATTACAGGGCTGGCATAATGCCCTAAAAATCAAAATGGAGAGCGCGCGGTAGATCCAACAACGAAAGGCATCCTGGGCATAATATGCAGATACCTACCGATGTTTTTGTGTGCACAGGATGATGGGGACTCGGGAGAGCGCCGCCGCGCGTCAACGGACGCGTCCCCTCATCGCCACAGACGCCCGCAGAGCTGGACGCGTTATTTGTGTCTGTTTATATCGAGTCAGGCCGGCCGCAATTGGTCTTACGCTCGGCTAGATTCCAGAATCAATCCGCGATCGAGTATACACCTTGCCTCCGTTCCTCTACTTGCTCGTCTGCTCGTCTGCACTGTCCTATCGCATTACCTAGACTCTACATCGCTTTGGAATCCACCCACACACCACTGGTTCAGAACACAATGGCCCAGAAAATCCGGGAGGCCGAAGGCCTTTTGCGCGCGGTGCTCAAACCCGGAGAGACCATGTGCGCCGCTCTCTATGGCCTCCGACGCCCTGTCCTTGACCTATACAACACAGCACCCCTGCGGATGGGGAGAAGAATGTTCTGATCACCTCTGCGCTTCCCTATTGCAATAACGTACCCCATCTCGGTATGTCTGGCTTCTCGATCTATTCAAGTCTTCTCGTGCCGAACTCTGCCAGGAAATGTCATTGGAAGCACACTCAGTGCCGATGTCTTCGCTCGGTACGCGTTTGTATGCACTAATAGTGACTATATGCTTACTTCGTTATGCGCCCTGTAGCTATAGCCGTGAGTGTCCATTGCAAGTAAATCTGCCGGCGTCTCACGCGCCACCGCAGGCACTCGGAATCTGAGGACGCTCTATATCTGCGGGACCGACGAGTACGGCACCGCTACGGAGACACAAGCTCTCAAGGAGGGCCTCACCCCGAGGCAACTCTGTGACAAGTACAATGCCACCCACGTCGAGACGTACAAGTGGTTCGAACTCGGGTATGGCGTCGGCGAACTCGCTGCTTGCGCAATACTGATGCCTCATCAGCTTTGACTACTTCGGGCGCACTTCTACTCCCCTCCACACCGAGTTAGTCAGTTATCACCCTCGCTCGCGTGCGCTATCTCACATACTTCAGGATTTGTCAAGAGATCTACCTGAACCTGGCGAAGCATGACTATCTAGAGCGCCTGGAGAAGGAGCAGACCTTCTGTGAGAGCTGCAACAAGTACGCGCTTAATACGTCCAGGAAAGTGTCTGGACTTACAGACCTACAGGTTCCTCGCAGATCGCTTCGTCGAGGGAACATGTCCCCATTGCGGTTCCGACGTCAGTCACGACGTGCGCCCTATGCGCACTACTTACTAAAATCTGTTACCTAGGATGCCCGCGGTGACCAGTGCGATGTATGCGGACGGACGTTGGACGCGGTCGACCTGATCAACCCCCGCTGTCTCGTTGACAAGAAGCACATGGTCGTGACTCGCACGACCGCGCACATGTACCTCAAGCTGGATGCTCTTCAGCCAAGCACGGAAGAGTGGATAAAGCAGTCGTGGAAGGCGGGCAAATGGTCACCCAACGCGGTGATTAACGGAGACGGCGAGCTCATCGACGCGCGACTAAAAGGCGGTCTGCGGCCGACTCCGGTCACACGAGACCTGTCGTGGGGTGTACCTGTCCCGCATGTTGACGGAGCGGCCCACGAAGGCATGGAGAGCAAGGTGCTTTGTGAGTCTATCTACTATGCTCTCTTGAGCCTCGACGCTTACCATCCGTTGCAGACGTTTGGGTATGTTGTGGCGATATCGTATACCCTTCTACGCCAGCTTATGCGAAATGCAGTTCGATGCGTGCATCGGGTACCCGAGTATCACCGCGAACTACACGCCGGAATGGAAGAAGTGGTGGTTCGACCAGAAGAACGTTAACCTGTACCAGTTCATGGGCAAGGACAACGTCTACTTCCACACCATCTACTTCCCCTCTGTGCAGATTGGTGATGGTCGTCCATGGACTAAGCTCCACCATCTCTCGACAACTGGTACGCCTATGCCATCCAATATATCCAACTTCACTGGCTCAACAGACCCTCAATAATAGAATATCTGAATTACGAGGGTGGCAAGTTCTCCAAGAGCCATAACCGTGGCGTGTTCGGTCCCGCGGCAAAGGAGACTGGTATCCCTCCGTCGGTTTGGAGGTATTACCTGATCTCTACAAGGCCAGAGACCGCCGATTCCATGTTCTCATGGGCTGACCTCGTGAGTCGCACACCACCTGTCACTCTACACATGATTGCTCATGCACCTGTAGATCGCCGCGAACAACAATGTGCTTCTGAACAAGTACGTACGACCGCCATCGATATGGTATCTCTGCTGAACATAGTGATTTAGCTTCGGAAACTTCGTAAACCGCGCGTTGAAGTTTGTCGTGTCCCAATACGACAGCGTCATCCCCGACGGCGGCGACGCCCCGGGCCCGCTCTCCCCTAACGACGCGCACGACGCCGAGTTCATCACCGACATCAACAACCTGCTCAAGGACTACATCGACGCCATGGACCACGTCAAGCTCCGGCTCGGCCTGCAGATCGTCATGCTCATCTCCGCGCGCGGCAACCTCTACCTGCAGTCCTCCGGGCTCAACAAGGCGCTCATGGCCGAGAGCCCGCAGCGCTGCGCGCAGGTCATCGCGCGCGCCCTCAACCTCATCTACGTCCTCGCCGCGCTCATCCACCCGTTCATGCCCGCGACGGAGGCCCAGCTGCTCGCGCAGCTGAACGCCCCCGCGCGCGCGGTGCCCACTGTGCTCGCGCACGACCTGCTCGCGGGGCACACCGTCGGCACGCCCGAGCACCTCTTCAAGCGCATCGAGGAGAAGATGGCGGACGTGTTCCGCGACAAGTTCGGAGGGAACGCCCCCAAAGAGGATGCGCTCGCGCAGGCGGCGGACGCGACGCATGTCGTGCCGGGCATGTCGAAGCGCAAGGCCGCTGCCGCGAAGAAGGCGGCGGACAAGGCCGCGGCTGCGGAGAAGGCGGACGCGCCGAAGTCGGCGGAGGTGCTCGCGTGGGAGCAGAAGGTCGCGGCGCAGGGCGTGGTGGTGCGCGAGCTGAAGGGGAAGCCGAAGACGCCGGAGGTGGAGGCGGAGATCGTGGCGGCGGTCGAGGAGCTGAAGAAGCTGAAGACGGAGCTGGCTGAGCTGGCGAAGAGCTCGGAGTAGACGCAGGAAGCGTAGAGGAAGAAATCTAGTATGTAGCATTGTACTATTGCAACACACAATGTATAACGCGTTTGCCGTGCTCAACCACGACGAGACGCGAGTGAACAATCTGTAGGATGTCATTTATCTTGGGAGAGCATACGAACATACATGTACGTCTACTTTCGAATAATTCGACACCATACGCAAGCAAGCACAAGGGATATATCACCGCCTCCGTACATGCGAACGAAGGTAAGAATACGGCGGTATTATCAAGCAGAAGGAACCATAAAGTATCGCAGAAGGGACTCCATCCATCTGAAGACTTGAGCTTCCGACCAACTGGTCGGTCACAAAAGCACACAGAAAGACAAGAAGATCCCGAGAGGGAAGGGAGGATCCCCCGACGACACAAGCCTGTACTGCAGCGGCATGGTCATCGCGTCCCCGTGTTGCGAGCAGAGCACAGGGAGCAGGGGCGGCAAAAATAAGATAACCAATGATGGAGGCGGTGCCTCCATAATAGTGGTTAAACTATTAAGAACAGATACTACACTTGATCTAAGCCAATAGGCCAGAGTGGTGAGGAGTCGGAATGTCTGGCCGCGGCTTATATACGGTGGAGAGACATCGTGCACGGACCATGATCAGAGCGCGTAGTGTACTTTAGGGCAGGGGTGAACTAGCATAGGCGTCGAGGACGGATTGGGATAGCGGCGGCTTTAGATCCTAACAACTGCAAACATCGTCTCTCGACCAGCCACCACCCGCTCGGGCTCGCGTGGCAAACCAAGTTCCGTTTCACGTTTCACGGTCCTCTTGGCCCGAGTATGTATAGTTCATTAGTGCGCTGTCTTTTATATCACGAGCTGCAGCGATTTATGCAGACATTTTTGGTATGACGGAGTGTCGTTGGCAACGGCGAGCCTAAGGTTCCCCACGGTGCTTTACATAGCTCGCTGTCGCTGTCATGCAATTCGATGTTGACTATTCAAAAGTGGCGTGAACGCTACTTGTACAGCGTCAGCGTTGCTAGTCAGCAACTCTCTCGGGGTGTCACGACCTCATTTGTTTGGGCGGCTCATCGACGTCGTGTGCACCACTCTAACTTGACGCGACGCCTACACAGGTCGTCGGCCTCCTGAAGGTTTAAATCTTGCTTGAGCTTATGACAACAGGATCTTAGGTACGCTCAGCTGTAATCTGCATCAAAAGCTGCGCTAACGAGTTATCGCGACCGCATTTCTGTATATCAGTGTAGCTGCCTCCCACACGAGGTCGTTGGCTACTGCGTTACGGCTCCCCACGATGTCATCGACCCAAACGTCCAAAGAACAGGGCCCATCTGAGAAATTCCACGTCTCTATACCCTCAGTGACGCCCAATTGGTCTCTTGATGCGTGGAAATATCTGCCGTCTGGGCACGGAAAGCAGAAACCGCCGCAAGGCTGGCCGGTCATCGTCATGTAAGTCTCCACCATTTCGAATCATATCAATATCGCTTTAAAGGCGAGATGACAGGGCACATGGAATCTGCTCGAACAAGCTTATGGGTCTTGAGCCATATGCTGAGGTGTTTGCGTCCCTGGGGTATGCGGTCGTGATCTTCGACTACCGGCGCTGGGGTAGTTCAGGTATGCGCTGTCGATCGTTGCAACCGTTGCCTCATACTGATACTACTTGTTATAGCCGGTACTCCTCGTCACATCATTTACGTCTCTGAGCAGCTGGATGACTACCGAGCTGTGATCAAGCACTGCCGTCAGCAGTACTCCGAGATCGACCCGCAGAAGGTGATATTGTGGGGTACAAGCTTTTCTGGTAAACCTTCCACTCTAGGGTGATTGGTACCCGGCATCCACTGATATACTATTCCAGGAGGACATGTCGTGTCGCTAGCTAGCGAGGTAGAGTGGCCACGACATCACGAACTCGCGCAGTGTTGACTGGTCGTGCAGAAGAAACTCAACATCTACGCTGCTATAGCGCAATGTCCATATCTTGGCACCGGTCCGCCGACAAAGCTCACGTGGACATTTGTCAAGACTATGTGGAAATGCCTGCAAGACGTGGTCAGACAAGCCTTTGGGCTGTCCCCCAAGTACATTCCTGCCGCCGCCCAGCCAGGGGAAGTGGGGTATATGAACTTGCCGGGTGCGAAGGACGGCTTGTTTGCGCTCGTTCAGGATGAACGGTACGATATATCTTGTCCCGATACACGCATTCACTGAGCACCACCACAGCGATTTTCCAAACGAGGTCGGTCACCAGGCCCCGCTCATTGTAACTCATGTGTTGATGGTCGGCGCAGGTTTCCGCGTCAAGCCTCTTTGAACTGCCGTTCTACAACCCCAACGCCTCTGGCGCACAGATAACGTGTCGCGTGCTTGTTATTGCAGTGGAGCATGACACTCTGTGCCCGCTACGAGCAGCGACGGAGCTGCAGGCGCTTTCGCCTCGCGTCCAGCTCGTACGCATTCCATCCGGTTCGTACTGCGTCGATGTGACAATATGCCACGGAAACTGATGATGGGGGATGCGTTCGTTACAGGGCACTTTGACGTCTATCCGGGATGTCCTCATTACGAGAGGTCCTTGGACACTATGAAAGCCTTCCTACTGGACGATGATCTAACTGTCTAGGTCGACCCATGCTGAGAAGTGTATGATAGTAAACCTGTACGCGTAACGCTGTGCGCACGATCTTGAAGTGATTTTGATTCTCGCGATTTGTGAACACATGCACTTATATCCGATACGGTAGTACGGCAGGCTACGCTCATGCCTCGCCGGATGATTGCCTTCGAGCCTCCACCTTGGCGGCCGAGCGAGGTTGCTCCTCGGCCAATGGCGCCTCCTCCGCCCCTGCGGGCTCAGCCGCTCCTCCGCGCACCGCCAACCGTTGTTCGAGCAAGTATGCAAAGCGGACGTCGCGAAGTGTGATGCCCGGCTGCGCGCGAGCACGCCGAGGCTCCTCGGCGTGGTGCGCTGGACGCAGCCCCGAATGGGTGTGCACCCTGACGACCATCGAGGGAGGATCCGGCGTTATTTCCCGCCAAGCGTGATGCTGCAACGTCGCCCGACTAAGCACTCAAAGACACCGCGTGCGGAGGTGGCTATCACGTACGTTTTCGCTCTGGGTGATGTCCAGGAGGTCAAGTTGGACAAACACCTCCAGCGCGTCGAGTGTCGAGAAGGCGAAGCGCTTTACCAGCTCGGGGGCGGGTTTCTTCGCGTGCTTAGGATCGGATGGCTGCACGGTCCATCCTCGCGCGTATAGAACGGGCAGGTAGGTCACTATCTCTTCGTCTGTGAGGAATGGACACGGAAACGGGGGCGCGGGAGGGAGTTGAGGGAAGTCGGGCTCGGCAGTGCTGGAGTCTGGGGGAACGGTCAGCAAAGCGGCTATGTAACACGTTTAATCATCCCAGGGTCCAGATGGCTTGTTGGACCGCTCATGGCCCACACTTATAGTATTTAAGAGAGCTTCAAGGCATACGGGCTGCTATCGCACGGTCATGCATCGCGATGCGTGATGTGCAGTTCTGAGGCCATTAACCACGGGCTCCAACTCACCTGAACTCTGGCGTGTTAGCCCACTCATTGTCCGAGCGATGCTCATGCTCGTTCTTGTGTAGGGTTTAAAGGAGACATGGCTCGGGTTCCTTGCCGCCAATGATATCGTTGAAGTGGCTGGACGCGCTATTGAAAGCGCGCGGACATGACCGAAGGAAGCTACCGTGCGACGTGTTGCGAAACTTGCTAGGATATTTGATGAATGTTTTCCCCATGACATAGAACCCGGTGGCATTGCTGGTAGGGGCGGTACAGGCGTTCTACGCAGCGGCTTGTAAGCTTGAGTACTACTGGAAGCCTGTAAGAGAGTTTCAACCACGTCTGCCGGCTTAAGGAGATTTGGTGGCAGCGCCCGGCAAACGCCGGCGGGAGACACTAGTGACTGGGTAGTGGTACTACTACCAACTCTGAGACGACAGATCATACTTGAAAGACCAATCAAATACACATTAAGACAAGCTCTACAGCTGGAAGAACATAATCTTACAAGCCCCAGAGCGTAAGTCACAGTAGCATAGTATGATAGATGTACATCAAGCAGTCCGAGTTTACTTATGTCCGTGAAAGTCCGGGTTACCGACGAACACCATCCCTACCAGTACTGGACAGCCCCAGGTCACCCACATTTTGACCTCCCAACTAGTGCGTCCACGGTCTGATGCGAATTGCTGGAAACATCTCCAACTCCCCCTCTACTGACCTCCAGGCCGCGCACCGAGCATGGCCCGAACAGACCGACTCTAAAATCCTTCACCGCCGGTGCCCGTAAGCATCATACGGCTCCCCGGGCGAACCAACCCCATAGGGCGAGCTCGTCGGTACCGCCGACCTCGACGGGCTCCGCGCATGCTCACGCGAGTACCCTCTCTGCGGGGCCTGCGGCACCGTGAACGCGTTCGGGTTCCACTGCCCCGGGGCGAGCTCGGGTGCATATCCGCGCGACGAGGACGCGACCTGGGGCGTCGGCACGTGCAGTGTGACGCCGTCGAGCTTGACGGTCTGGCTGGGGCCGCCGCGGAGGGGCAGGTTGTCCGAGTCGTCGTAGACGAGCGCGGTTTCCGAGTCGGTTTGCATGCCGGCAGCGGCGAGAGCCTTGGCTTGTCTGTGTATGGGAAGTGGGTGAGCGGGTTGAGCGAGTGAATGGGAGCGGAAGTGCGTACCTGGCCTTGCGCCGGCGGTAGACGACTTCGGGCGTGATCTTCTCGGTCTGGATGCGGACGTAGCGCATCGCGAATATGGTGGTGGCAATTGTGACGACGATGACGACGGTCTTGATTGTCTTCGTCCGCGAGTCAACAGTGCCTGTGATACGAACGAATGAGATCGGGTCACAGCTCGCCAAGTCCAGCAAACGTACCGTTGCTTTGCGCAGAACCTAGATACACAGTGGCGAGCTGCGTCGGGAGGGAGAGGACCGCGGCACCGAGGAACGTGAAGACACTCATCCCACACGTCGCGAACACGGTGGTGGTGAGATGTCCAGGAATAGCGGAGTATCGGAGGACGACCGCCATGACAAAACCACCCTGACGGACGACCTCGGCGAGCAGTCCGTACCGCAGTTTCTTCTCTTCCCACCCGCGGCTACGAGCCGTGCAGAAGTACCTGAAGACGCTGCGGAGAGAAGTAGCTGTCAGCTGCGGGATCAAGGCGGTCGGGCGCAGGGAAGCGGACGTACAAGTAGTTGATAAGTTCGCCGATGATGGTGCCTGCGGCGACAATCGCAAAACCGATCCAAATGCCCCAGACATCTCCGCAGAGGATAGCGATGATCTCGTGTCCGAACAGCTAAGGTGGATGAGCGCGTCAGTATGACCCAAGGGTCGCATATGGTGCTCGAGTACTCACAGGAGGGAACGACAATATAATCATAATCGCAATGGGGATTAGCCATCCTCCCGGCGTCCTGAAAGCCTTATGAGTGTATGTTCGAATCGTTATAGGACCTTACGGTGCTCACCTGCGCATCCAGTCGGCGAACGGCCTCATCCAGTTCACGATATTCTGCTGATAGACAACGAACAAGACGACGAGGGCGATAATGGCGCCTGTGATAACAAGTCGGACTGTAAAGAGCCATGGTCAGAGGTAGGCATAAATGTCCGTCAGCGAGTATACATACTGAACTCCTTCCGATCCTTGTACGTCTCCGGGTTGAAGAGAGACCGAATGAACCCTCCCTTCTTTTTCTTCCCGGGGCTGAGGGCCTCTGCTTCTGAAGGGGTCGGGCTCGGAGTGCGGGTGAGATTCCGGACATCTACCCTGACGTCGTTTTGCTTGTTGCGGTCCGCCTCGTCGGTGACCGCGTAAGTCGGCGGGTACTCATTGGAAGACCTGAAAGAAGATGCAATGTGAGTGAATTGTGCGCGAACGCTGAGTACTAGATGCACGTACGCGACAGGCATTGGAGGGAGTATTAGAGAAGAAATGTGTGCGTAGGAGCAGGTCTCAGACTCGCTGACGATGCGCGTAGAGTAGCTGGAGAATGTGCGGACGCAAAAGAAAGCGGGGTGGGTGCGGGTGTCCACCGAGAATGTGGTGGGTTTCGGTGCAAACACATCCAGGCGAGCCTTATAAGTGGACCGCAGCCTGTGAGATAGAAACAGAGATGCATCGCCTCCTCGTCCATCCTCCGAGACCAAAACCGCGTTATCGACGCTTGCCGGAACGGATATGTATCAGGAAGCTCAGCTGATGTCCAGACGGCGTTCGCATTGCTGTGGAAAGGAACGAGCAAGCCGGCGGCATCGGTGGCAGAGGCGGACGGGTATGTTGCACGGGCGCTGCGATCAGGATTGCCCCGCGGTCCGCAGGTGCGCTTGCACCCGGGCGCTCCAGAGCGCACGGTGGTGGCAGTGCGTGCAACACACCCGTCCACCGTCTCTCCTCCCTCCGCCCCGACGCCACTCCCGGATGCACGCTCCCCGTCCGTCCCCTTCGCGACATCGAACCTCCGAGCTGGGTGCTCGGGTGCGTACTTTGCATTGCCCCTTCGCGGTCCCGGAGGTGGGTGAGCTTTCCGCGATCGTTACGTCGGTGCATTGCGATCAGTCTCAAAATAGTTTATCGCATGTCCGCAGCTCATTCGGGGTTAGCGACTTAGCATGCGCAACTCGTGAATTCAACATGGATTTTTACCATGTACCACGCCTCCCGGTGACGCTCACGGCGTCCGCGCGATCCATCGAAATACGGCGTCTCGACGAAATTGCCTCTCTTACATCCTTTGGACATGTATGGATGGGCGGATTTGCATCGCCTGTCGCTCAGCGCTCATGTAAGATTATTTTTGGGTTCAGAAACCACGAAACACTCACGCTGTCGGTACGAACCCAACTAAACCACCTCCACAGGATACGCCCTACCGTAAAGGCGTCAAATGAGCGCGATCAGTCGCCGCTCTTTGCAGACTTCCGGAGCGGCTGTTTGTGACAGGTCTTCCCTTCGGCAATGCGACAATGCACTGCGGAATGCATCCGGGCTTGTGAGGCTCTCGTTCTTAGGCTATTGTCCTGCAGCGTGCTGGCACCAGGTGACGACGGCATTGTGGACGTAGGTTTCTTCTGCCGCACGAACGCTGCCGCCATAGTCAGACTCGTCGCCGACCAGAGAAGATGGAGGGAAGTCACGACGGTCGCATTTGCGACTCAGCAGCACGCTGCGACTAAACCCCGAGCGCACGTCTAGGAGAAAGGATGAAAAGTGAGCACGCGAGTCAATGGGTGGACTGTGGAGGCGAACCTTTGCAGATTATCGACTGATGACCAAATGCGCGATGAAGCTGCGAGAGATGCGCACCACCGTGAGTTCAGTCAACGATTATATTCGGCCGAGAGGTCCAGAACTCGTCGCCTATGATATCGCAGTGCACAAGATCTACTGTAGTGCGGACTCGTATCTTCGCTTTCTTCTCTTTCTTGCCTTTCGAAGTTTGAACTTGGGGACCCACTACCGATGGAGCTGAAGGCTCCTGCGTTTCCCCTGGTTCCGTCTCGACCTCCCCAGGTATCTGATTTGTAGGTCAATACAATTTGACTTGCACAAACGGGGAGACCATACCTCGGTTCTAACCAGGATGCTTCCTTTGCGGAACCTGGCAGGGAGATCGTTATAGTTGATCCCGAACTTCGAGAACATTATCTCATGTTTTGTGGCGGATACGGTGCCCTGCAGGTACATCTTAGCAGATTGACATTAAGATTGTCATGGAACGTACCCTCAAGGTGGCATGCGCCTCCGTAGTGGTCTGCCCACCCTGCAAAACCAGCGCCCAGAATACGGTGTTGTACATGTTGTTGATGTGCGCTTCGAAATGCTCAGCCGGTTGTGAAAACCGATCATGTTGAATGAGAAACATACTGTCTGCTTGTCGCCATGAGAAGTAGTCGCGTACGGCCGTTATCGATGGATAAAGCACTATGCGCCCGTCAAATGACGGGCAATATTTGAGGGGGGTGTCTGGCAAATATTTTGGCCAATTGAAGACATATGATGAGGTGAACAGCGACGTGATCGTGCTGAGTATCTTGCTCTCGCGTCGATTGTACAGCGTCGTGGACTTGCGGAATAGAAAGCTACCCATCGCCAGTCAGAAACAGAATCTCGATCAATCTGTGTTCCCCGGTACCTATACTCATCAGATTCGCCAAAGGCGAGGACAATATCTTTGAATTCGTTCATTACGTCCCGAGCAGCGTGGTCCATCAATTGCAGGGCGCGTTCATCGTTTGGCTTCGCGAAGTCGTGCTCCGCGGACAACCTGGCCAAATCAGCACGCATTCGCCTGGCGTGAGCATAACTAACCGATGGAACGCGTGCCCATCGATCCTCAAGACCATGAACGTCTCGGGCAGGAGGGGGTCAGGCAGCTCGAAATTGCGAACATAGGCGAACTTGCTGCCGGCCATGCTGCGTCCTGCAACGATTCCTCCGCTATCAGGCATAATCGCAGCACCACACCGAGCGACGCACACGAGAATATTGGCTGATGGTGGCGGATTTGTGCTAGGCTGCCTCGGGTGGGCGGGGAGGACAACACCGCCTGGTAGCGGCGTGGCGGAAGGCAGGGTTTCCAAATGCGGGGTGCTGTGACTCGGTCGCCAACCCCAGCCCTCAGCCCCGTCACATCCCCACACAGCGCCCCCCGAGTCACCCCGACGCTTGCTTTCTGACCATCACCATCGCCGCCGCCAACGCACATCGCACTCCCGCCGACACCCTCAACAGCGACGACATCCACAGCCGACGATCATGAGCAACAACTCCGATACCGCCTACCCCGACTTCTTCCGGCGCCGGACCCTCGGGCGCGCACCGTCGCCCCCCACATGGGCGTGCTATGAACAGATCCCGTATGACGACGATTACAGCGACAGCGAATCGGACAACAACTCGTGCTCCGAGGACGAAGAGGACTATGAGCATGCCGCGTCGGACGGGGAACGGCCCGGTGCTGTCAACGAGTCTCGCCCGCCACCCGCCGACGGAGACATGGAGCTCGACGAGGGCGACGAGCCAATGCCCTCGGACAAGGTGGCGGAGCTGAAGAAGGACATCAAGGGCAAACAACGCGCCATTGAGTCGCACTATGAGAGTCCGAAGCGAGAGCACAGAAAGAAGCACCGCCAGCCGGTCTTCACTCTGCGGCCCATTCTCACTATCCAGAAGAGCCAGGGCTTTGTGTGGAATCAGGTACGCCCGTCTTCAGTCGCTATCGTGTCAAGATCGGGTGCTCAACAGCATCCCTCCAGGACCTCTTCGTCCCGCCATACATCAAAGACCGATGTTCGTTCAGTCCTTTCAATTCTGTCCGTGTCGTACTCACGTTAGATTTGGATCTGCTCGCGTGCTGTGTGCACTCCAGATGTCGCTTCAACCTCCCCCTCGAACTCTCGCGGATTCGTCTCGTCGTCCGTGTCGTCCACGAACTCGTCCATGATGGACTACGAGGTCGAGGTGGTAGAGATCCGGGTCAGGGAGGGGGAGTTGAATGACATCATCCCTTGAGCGGCCAGGCCCCTGCATATAGCCGGCGAGCTACTGTAGCTTTTCTTTCGTTCACTGTATCTCTGCGTGCTAGACACACCCCCTCTATCCCCGACCGCATCACCCCCTATACCTTTGGTTCGCTATCTACGACACACTTCTCGGCTCTTATCTCAACGCTTAACACTCTGTACATTGTCCAACGTCGTACTCTCATAGAAACTGCCTGCTCCATCGTCTGCCCGATAATGTTACACTTCCAGTACATGCACATCCTCCGCCTGCGGCCTCGCGCGCAAAGGCGCCGTTTTCGAAACGAAAACATGCCGTACTCAAATGGCAGCCAGAAGCTCTTCATCGAGGTCCTTGTCGACCTCCTTCAAACGGGCCGCTTCCTTCTCTCGCTCCCGCTCTTTCTCCTTGACCGCTTCTTGCTCCCGCATGACTATGTATGTCGGTGTGATGTTTGGCTTGTAGTCCAAGTGCCGCTTGACGTAGAAGCACATGTATGCTTGCGAGTTCAAACACGCACCCAACGTCGAGTGCGAGACCCTACATTAACGCGCGTCAGCACCGTGGCAGACAGCACAGCCAGACATGATGCTCACTTGTCATCATCATACCGGTACCACTAGAAGACAGCAGACCCAGTTAGAAAATTGATTTCGAGACGTGATAGAACCAGAGCACGGACCTCGTCGTGCGACCGCGCGTAGCACGTGTAGTGCCCGTTGTCGATCTGCCCCTCATGGCATACGACCGCGAACAGGTCGTATTCGTAGAGCGTCTCGGGGCCGAGGCTTCTGTCCCTAAATGCGCGGAAGCACGGCGTCAGTGGGTGCGACGCACACGGGGCGGCCGCCCGGCGCCGTGGACACGGACGCAGACGACCCGGGGACGCGGACACGGAGGCGGAGGAGGAGAAGAAGGAGAACTGACGGGATGAGGCTCGCCGGGGACGCGGACGCGGCCCCGCCGTCCTTCAATAGCTCCTGCTTATGCATGACCAGGGTCGTGTACGGCGCCATGTTTAGCGACGATGGGAAGCGGACGCGCGCCTCGATCTTGCGCGCCGCGGACCTGTCCACCGACTTGTGCTCGAAGCGCTGTGAATGTGAATATGAATGGGGCGGGGCGCGGTGAGCCGGGCGCGCAGCGCAGGGGTGGCCGCTCCCACCTTGAACTGGAAGCTGAGAACGGGGGGCAGCTTCCGGATGCTGAGCCGTTTGCTCGCCTGGGGGCGCTAATGTTAGCGGCCAGTCGGAGGGGCAGCGGGCACTGCGGGGAGTACGCACATGAGATGCCTTGCCGCACTTTTCGCAGCTGTAGTTGTTCGGGCCCAGCTTCTCCGGATGGGTGTACCTGACGTCATAACAGGGTTATGGGAACGGAATGGACGGAGGAGAGGGAGAAGGGTTTTACCTGCGTAGACACGACGCGAGCGTGAGATCCTCGCCGCTCGTCTCTCCCTTGAGCTCGAGACTGATGTCGAGCATCGGATCCGTCTTCTCGGCGACGTTGCCGCATCGCTCGCACTTGACGTCACTCTGCAGGAGGCCGGCGAAGGTCGAGTGGATGATGCAGATACACTGCAAGGACGTCGATCCCCTTGACGTGGCGTGGATGTGGTTCAGCGCGGTGATGAAGAACTCGTGGGCATCTTGCTGGGCGTATCCGGACATCTCAGGGGACGTGCGCCACGTTTTTGCAAGAAGCTCGATGGGACCATATGGCGCGTTGTTCTCGGAATAGACCTGCGGGTGCCCGTCAGCCTTTTACGCACACGGTCGGGCGGGATCACAAAGGAGGCAGACAAACAGACCTCCGCGAGCAGTTTGTCCATTTCACACGACGTGCAGTCCTTGAGCTTGCACAGCCGGCTGTTGTGCTTATCCCCGAGGTAGTAGTTGCGGAGCAGCGGGTTTGCGATGAACGACTGCAAGATTACGTTCATGAAGCACGTCTGCCCGAGGTTCAGGAGACCGCGGCGGCCTGTCCCGGAAGAAGAACGGGATACGGTCAACGGATGCGGATCACGACATCTGACGGCGTACCTTGACAGGGTGTAGCAATCGCGCCTTCGAGCGCGGCCTGTTCCTGTCCGTTCGGCTCCCAAGGTGTGAACGGCTCTCTCAGCCGTTTGGACACTAGACGAGTGTGTGAGCGCGGTGTGCGCAAATAGCCGCCCTGAGAAAGCGTACCTTCAAATGCTGTGGCCTTCTCTTCTGCCGCGATACTGGTAGCTCTGAATAGGCGGTTGAAAGTACCGTCATAGACAAAATCGTCGCACTCGATGCAGAACACATAGCCTGTTTTTACATCGGCACCTGTGAGCACAATGTTAGTTGAACGGTTTGCTCTAAAAATGCGATGCAATTTCTGGCGCGATCGCGGCAAACATTCCACACCGCAGGCAAATAACCATGTTCTTGTCGACGACATACTGATATCATCGCGGGAAGAGTTTAAATGAGCTTTGTATGTATGTGATCGGAATATCGTGAATACATGCTGAACACATGTAGTTTTCTTCAGTGTCTCAAGCATGTATTCACGATGTTCCCCACTGTACACAATGTTCTTTGTATTTTCGAAGCATGGCGCACGGCGAAACAACGTGGTGGCATTCTTTCAGTCATCACCGTTTATCAAAATGTTTTATCAGAGAACATGCAGATATGCCCGCAGTGCCAGGATAACAGGACTCTAGATAGGCCCAGGAACTTGAAGCATAAGTGTGTGTCAAAAATCTCTTTGTAAGGGGACAAAGGATCAGAGACAGTTATAGTTTGCTTCACAATCTTAAAGTCTTTCGGGGGCCATGATATCCTGCGGTGCTTGTCGTGTGATACCCCAATTGCAGCCCAGCGTGTCACACGTGTGTCGCCGGAGGCCGCCGTCCGTGTAACATGACGGGCATCTCCCGTGGCTCTGGTCGGGAATAGGCTAGGAGCATGACCTGAATTGGTCTCCTGGTTCAGGACCGAAGACAGGCTTGGAACCAGGACTGTAGAGAACTAAGCGGCATATAAAGCCTTTTACTAAGCGGAATTGTGGACCTGAAGTAGCCTAGTAGCCAGGCTATTGACAGGAGGCCAGCTCGAGTGCTTTCCCAAGCCTGTTCAGCACCGGAACCCGGACCAATTGAGCGTCGTGTAAAATCCCGTCACACGTTGATAGCATGAAAACGTATGGCCAAAAGTGGCACCCCTTTGTCTGATTGCCCCATCCTGATTGCGTTCAAAATGTAACGAGGAGACCGCGTTACATGTTGATCGCACTTTGAATGCAGCGTGTGATCAGTGTGCACCTACGGTGGCACAAGGTGAGACACCGAAAGCACACTCGGGCTTTGGCAACGACGTGCTTTCGGTGTGACATCTCGTTACAATTGCGCGTCGCGTTCAAAATGTGACGAGGAGACAGGCTTGGGAAAGCACCCGAGCTGGTCTCCTGTCAGTGTGTGCGGCAGCGTAAGCGACTTACAGAAGTCGTGACCCGTGTCTTGTAGGTGCTGTTTGATATGTCCGCCGCTCCAGCACGCCGCAGATGAGCAGTGCAAACAGGCGTATGGACGCGACAACGAAAGTCCACAAAGGCCGCAGTCGGGAGGAGTGATCTAGAGTCGTAGCCCTTTGTCAGCACATATGACGGAGGGGACTCGAAGCCTCGAGCTCACCTTGCGACGCTTGGCAGAGTATGCAATGTTGTGATTTCGATGCGTGTTCCACGACACCACGGTCTTATATCTGTTCAGTAGCGCCCCGCGCTCGCTGTCGTCGCTGAATACCGCGGCAAGGTGGGGACATTTGCCAGGAGATCCTGCGTCCGATTCGAACGACATATCCGAGCGAGCGGTACTTTTGAGTGCGTAGCGACGCGAGCAGAGTGTCTGCAGATAGCGGTCGTGGGTGAGTGTGGGTATGTCGCTGCTGCTCGTCGAACCGTCGCGGAGACAAATGCCACCCAAATGCGGCGATTGGTGTGTGGCACGTGGCACGTGGCTAGTCGGTTAGCGCAGGCGCCCGTGCGCTCGTCCATCCAGCTCGTGGTCGCTTGCCTCTTGCCTCCTGCCTCCGTCCTTTTCCAAGCTGCATCCTCTCTCTACTTTCTGGACTAATTTCTCTCGTAATCGCGCTTTCGGAGACTCGTGGATCTTGCTTATTTTACACCTCACTTGCTGCTGCCTACCGTCTCTTTTACGTGTTGGCTGTCTCTTATTGCCTGCAGTCCGACTCGCTCAACCTCAAGCTGTCTTCTCCGTCGCTTTACGCCCTCTCCTCTGTTTGAAATGCTCACAGAATCATGCTGCTTGACGAGTAAACCACGCGCCATAGACAAGCTAGAGCAAGAGTCCTTCCTCGATTCTCTCCCTTGTTCACACCGGCCATGCATATTCTGCGGTGTATCCAAGGAGAACGGGTTCAATGTGGTATGGGAGGTACGTTGCGGGTGCTTCGCGGATGTAACAGCCTCTGATATTGTGCAGAGCGACGACTTTACGGTATTCACAGATATTAATCCTTCTGCACAACATCATCTGCAGATTGTCCCCAAGAAACACATAGGTAACCTTGCATCTTCTCCGATAGTAAATACTATGGTTGACAATCGTGTCGTAGAGAGCGTGAAGAGTTTAGATGCCTCCGACGTCCAAATGGGTATGACGACGTCATGTATCGAAGTTTTGTCGCTAAGTGTTATTGCAGTCAAAGAGATGCTTGAGATCGGACATGAAGTATTAGACAAACTCGATGTCCCTCCTCATCTTCGACGGTCAGTCTATGTTCGTCAACAAACACCATGACCGACGCTTACTCGAACACAGGCTAGGGTTCCACGTGCCTCCTTACATCTCGGTTACACACTTGCACATGCACGTTCAGGCCCTGCCTTATCGAACGTTCCTGCGCCGCATGAAGTATCCTATCGTCCGCGGACGAAATGGTCGTGAAAAGGGTATAAGCTGGTTCGTCGAAGCCGAACAAGCCGTCCACATTTTAGAGAGAGGATCTCGAATCCGCATCTTGTCCTGTTGAACCTCACGCCAAGCTTGCGCCACACGTACATAACGCCCAATACTACACGATCTTCCATGTGACACAGCAATCACCGAGTCTGCCTCACACACATCGGCGCCGGAACTGCCACCGTGAGCACCTCCTCCGTTTGCCATCACGTGGTTGGGCGAAGGCTTACTCACAACCTCCTGCAGATGTCTTGCTTGCGTGAATTTTCATCTTTGACGGTAGGCAGGCTTCCTATATCTGCGAAAGGCCGGCGAGGTTGTTGCCTTCCTTACGAAAGGCGCCCTCAGAGAACCTCCTAGAGCTATCATTGACGTATGAGAAGCAGATATTTTGCGCAAATTCGCCGCTCCGGGCGAGACCGAGCATGACTTTGCTCGCGCAGGCAGCGCACAATCCTGGCGCGACGCCGTTGTCGTTCTGTTCTTCTCACCGCAGATTATGTGTGAAACTCAAAGCTTCTCCCGCTATATTTAGTCGCCGCGATGGCGGAAGTGGTCTTCCATGGGAACCCGCCAGAGGCACGTCGCAATTAGGCTCCTCTTCGAATCGGGCCCGACTCCCGCACGAGAGTTCTCGGCCATCCCAACCCACCTCGGGCTAAGGAATGAGAACGGAGAATGATAACCGCGGCTGGGTACCTTATACCGGCACCATGATCTCATGAGGTGAGTGACTGCGCCGGGTTTGGTATGAACCTTTACAAAACCTGACAACTGGGGTCCGGATTAGCGAAACGTCATCCAGGCGACGCGTGTCGAGTCTATACCCCTGTGAGATCTGCCATCGTCAGAAGACACATACCGCAGATACACAGACACGGGCCGCGCCCAGCACGCGGTCGCACGAGTTGAAATTGTACCCGGGGCCCTGGATGCTACACCGTGTCACAAGGAGCGAAAATGACAGCGCGTCCCTTCCTCCGGCGGCCTGAACATCGCGGTACCATGGTACGGCAGAGAGATGGCTATCAGTAGGCATTTCGTGCCGCGTTAGTCGACGTAACTCACTCCGTTTAAGCCAGCGCTCCTCTTACTTTGGGACGCACCGTGGCACCGCCGTAGCGTCAAAAGGGAATAATCTGCACCGTTCGATCTGACCCAGAAGGCGGGTGCCCAAACTGGCTAATCAGGTTACGATCCCCGCGGCCGGCAGTAGGCACCCGATCCACGTCCTCGCGTCGCAGAGGATGCAAGCCGAGGTTACGATCCTTGAGAGCGAAGTCGATGTCTGGACAGCAAACAGGGTTCTAATGATTGGTCACGGCCGGCATGGATCACGGCGCGCTCATGATGTTATGCGGAGTTTCGTCAGCGGTCCGCGGCTTGAAGATCACTTCCACCCTCATCCCCTCTGACCTATCAGAACAGGAGGATTACGCTGCAGCACAAAAGATCTGAAGATCGATCCAGTGGAACGTCGTGAACTGCAGAGCGACACATTCCGAAATGGCCGGCGCACATTGGGGAGGGAGTCATCGACGCTGCCTCCTGACAACCCGTGTTCACTATCCATAAATTACGGGGATAGCATCCGAGAGCCTCCTGCGGCAGATGCGGAACTATTGTCGTCCCGTAGCGTCAAACTTTGAGGTCGGTTCCTTACGAGACTGCTATAAAAACGGTCTGACCTAGCCGTCGAAAACAGCAGCCCGGGTCCCCCAATGGCGCACACATTCCTACCGCTCGCCTACGCTTTGCTGCTCTCCGCGACCGCGCTCGCTGCCCCGGCGGTGAGCGTGTCGTCGGACGCCAGTACTGCCACCGCAGCGGCCGCCGCACCCGCGGAGACCGTACCGCTCGCGAGTGACAACGCGAACGGTATCCTCTGGCTCCCCGACACCAACATCATCCCACAGGCTATGCGCGGCCCACTCGGCGCCAATATCCTCGGCCCCCAGAACATCCCCATCGATCGTCAGAACGCCGACCTCTTGGCCCCTCCGACGACCGACGCTGGTAACGTGTACGTACCCCGCCCCTCCCGCGTCACCCCGTGCTGCCGCTCATTTGTCCACGCAGTCAAAACGCCAAGTGGCCGTTCAGTCTGAGCCACAACCGCCTGCAAACCGGCGGGTGGGCGCGGCAACAGAACCGTATGTTGATTGTACCTCCTTCCTCGCGGAGTGTGCTGACAGTGCGCCGCAGAGGACGTCATGCCTATCGCTACATGTAAGTGCGCGAACGTCCAAATATAGCCGCCGTCTTCTCATGACTTCCTCAGCCATGGCGGGTGTGAACATGCGTCTTGAAGCAGGAGCCGTCCGGTAAGTGCTCGCTTCCAAACCCAACTTGCGCCACAGACACAGACGGCTCATGTTGCCCGTAGGGAACTGCATTGGCACAAGACCGCTGAGGTACGTCGTGATATAATCATGGTACCTCAATGGTACTAAAACAAGCTCTCCAGTGGGCATACATGATTAGTGTTCGTCCACTTTCTTTAGGTTTGCTATATGAGGCTGACGCGTGTCTACAGGGCTCTGCACAAATTACTGCCGTCGATGCCGATGGTAAAAACTTCATCGGCAATGTTGTATGTCATCTACATCCATGACATGGCTCTCATGATGTGGCTCACGACATTCTATCAGCGTCAAGGGGACCTATGGTACTTCCCTCCTGGGATTCCCCACAGCATCCAAGCACTCAACGACTCGGCGGCCGGCACCGAGTTCTTGCTGGTACGTGCAAGCTCACTGATGATCATGATGGTGCACGCGCTGACGGCCGGACGCCTAGGTGTTCGACGACGGCGCCTTCAGCGAGGACTCCACGTTCTTGGTAAGCCGTACATGGAAGCATCCAACCTAGTACCAAGACAAACAACACACGCCTACAGCTCACCGACTGGCTGGCACACGTTCCCAAGGAAGTCATTGCCAAGAACTTCCAGACGAGCATATCTGCCTTCGATCACATCCCCGCCCAGCAGCTCTACATATTCCCAAGTAGTGCGTCGCTAATTATACGCCTCCTCTACACGCCTAAAGGCTAATGACGACATCATAGCCCCTCCGCCCGACAACAACCAGGTACCCAAGAGCCCGCAGGGGACGATCCCGAACCCCTTCACGTTCTCCCTGTCCCAAGTCAAGGCAACAGAGCTTTCCGGGGGGACGGTCAAGATCGTCGATTCATCGACCTTCACGGCCGCCACTGCGATCTCCGCGTCTGAGATCACTGTCGAGCCCGGAGCGATGAGGTACGCATACGCGCTCTTATGGCCGTTTCCTTAACGCCCCTCTAACGCCGCGCCGCGCCCAGGGAACTCCATGTAAGTCGGGATTAGACTAGTGCACGTGGGGCGTGCATATGCTCACGGCCCGCAGTGGCATCCCACCCAAGACGAGTGGACTTTCTTTATGTGGGTGTTCCTGGAATCTGAAATCTGAGATCACATGTGCTCACGCCCGCGGCGCTCCTGTATACAGTAGCGGACAAGGTCGGGTCACCCTCTTTGCGTCGAGCGGCAACTCGCGGACTTTCGACTACGAGGTGCGGTGCACACCCCCACGCTTATTTACGCGAGATGCTCACCGCAGGACTGGCAGGCCGGTGATGTTGGCTTCGTCCCAGCATCCTTCGGTACGTCCCAGTTATTGACGACAGTTGTGTAGGAGCTAGACTCACCTTCTCGTAGGTCACTTTGTGGAGAACACGGGGAACACGACGCTGCATTTCCTTGAGATCTTCAACTCAGGTGCGCTCTATTCATATCTCGGAATATGAATACTTTCCTAGACGCTCACTGTCTCATGTTCAGGCCGCGTGCAAGATATCAGCCTCAGCCAGGTATGCAGCCGGATGGCCGTCTGATTCGCGACCCGATCTGACGTGTTTTTGCGACAGTGGCTGGCCTTGACACCGCCGGACCTGGTGAAAGCTCATCTGCAGATCTCCGACGAGACTATCAGCCACCTGAGCAAGACCAAGCCGATTGTTGTCGGCCCACAGTAAGCGACGAGAGGAGCTTCGCTGTGTGGTCGTACCATTTGGATCGGGGTTGAATGAGTTACGAGTTCGCGGATGGATGTCATTATTTAGTCCAACGACTGGATGAGTACTTACGCAAGAATTAACGGCATAATGCACGCAACTTATCATGATATCACCTTCCCCTTGCCTGCTCCGCGAGTGCATGAAGTAATGCGAAGATAATCAACGGCCATCGCGAAACCTGACAACACAGGACATCTTTATCGTCATACTGAACTACATCGAAGCGCTGCCACCACCAATACAATACATAGAATAGAGCAGAATCATACGAATACACATGAGATGCTACAGGAGGCTACGGGATGCATACAGTAAGGATCGACCGCCATGCGCGGGGTCGAGATGGAGTCCGCTCATTTGCCTTTCTTGCCTTTCTTCTTCTTGCTCCCTGATGCTTTCTTACGCTACGATAAACACGCTTTAGCACGTGCGTCCATGAGGTTGTACGAGAATCGTTCGAACCGACCTTGCGCTTAGAGGTACCGGCGTTGGCACCATTACTGCCCTCCGCCTTGTCGCCCTCCGATCCCGCCTCATTATCATCATCGTCACCACCTTCCTCTTCCGCCTCCTCCGGGTCCGCAGCTGGCCCCCCAGTTGTCGGCGACGTCACGACTAGCAACTCTCCTTCCTGTACGTTCGCCTGCGCGACCTGCGCGTTCCCAATAGTCTGCCACCCCGCCTCCAAAGACCCATCGGCTTCTCCACCCTTGCCAGTCTCCTGCGACTGCGGCGACTCCTGCTCACGATCCAGAAGCGGCTTCTCCAATGTCGTCGGGGATACTAGAACCATGTACCCCTCGACCTCTTCTTGGGTCTCTGCGCTCGCCTCGACGGCGGGCTCCCCACTACCCGGTGCATCGGCAAGAACAGGATCGGCGTGATCGGCAGGGGCCTCGCCGCCTTCCTGCAAGACGCTTGAGGTCATGGCGTCCTCGACGTGGTTCGCGACATCCTCCGCGACGTCCCCCTCGACGGCAGAACGGGCCTCAGGCTCCGACACCGGCGTCGACGTTGGGTTCTCTGTGGAGTCGCCTGCGGTCTCAGTCGGGACTGGAGGCGCCTCGCGTTCCACCGGGGATTGCACTGGCTCAGAAGCACTTCTAGGGCCCGCAATACCAGACGGCGAAGGGAGCTGCGAAGTCTCTTTGGAGGGCGTTGCACTGCGGCCCAAGCCCGAAGCAGCGTTCGAGAACGAGAAAGCCAGTGATGAAGGCGAGTAAGGGGATTTGGCTCCAAACCCACCGAACGACGAGAGCTTGTTGGCGATGGACATGCTAAACGAGACAGGGGATGTCGTGGATACAGAAAGCGAGGGCGGGCTCTGCATGTCGAACGCTCTCCGTGGTTGACTCGCTTCACTTTCCGCTTGTTGCTGAATGGGAGACGATGGCGAAGACTCGCTGGGCGTGTGCGTGATCTGCGATGAGGCTGTTGCCGAAATCGGAGCGACGGTCGTTTGGGGGAGCGTGGTACGGTCATCTTCGCCGCCATCGTCTTGGTGCTCGTGTTCCGCGTTGGTGGTGGACTGAACCGTCGTATCGCCCTCCTCGGGAGTGACATCGGGGTTCGGAAGGGAGTTGTCGGCGGGAGTCGCACCGGACGAGTGCTGTGCTCCCGTTGTATCATCTTCGGCATCCCCGACGGGCGTCGTTAGCTGGGCGTCTTCGCTCTCTGCAGGGTTCTCCGAGACGAGCGGTGGCTCAGCTGCGGGAGACTGCGACTCGCCATGCGTGTCCTGAGTCAATCCCCGCTCGCCCTGGGTATCTTGCGTCGACAACGACTCGCTGGGGGTATCACCAGGCAGCGACTCCTCGCCTGGTTCCGCAAGAGCAACCAGCGCTTGTTCCTGAGACTCCGCATGCTCGCTGGCGTCGTGCTGTCCGTCTTGCACCGCTGTGGCTTCGACGTCGGCAGGGTGGGAGTCGCCCGCGAGTGCGGGCTCCTCCAGGGTCTCCGAGCGAGTCGCCAGGGCAGCGTCGGCTTCGCCCGTCGTCTGTACGTCTCCGGTCACAGCAGGGCTATCCGAATGCTGGCCCTCCTGGTCCTGTCGCTGTTCCTCTACGACCTCAGTCTCTGTGGAGACCTGCGGGGTTGCCGACCCTTTAGGAACAAGAGTAAGATCGTCGGACAAAGCCTCAGGTTCGGGCGTCTCCTCCTGGGGTGCCTGGGCGTCCTCGTGTACGGTGGTGTCGGGACGCGCCGCGCTATCCTCTGCAGTGTGCTCCTCTGCACCAGCCGGGGGCTGTGCTTCTGTGGGCGCATGGTGTTCGGTGGAAAGAGGCTCTTCAGTAGAGGCGGGAAGCTCCTCAGCTGGCATCGCAAGAGACTCCACAGCTGTCGCAGGTGGCGTTTCGGTCGTCGCGGGAAGTTCTCTAGTCGGGGCGGAGGGCTGTTCATCCGTGACAGGAACCTCGGCGACAAGCTCCTCCACCTGAGTTTCCGGCTGAGCAGTCGCGGTCGCGGACGAATCGTCATCGGCCGCAAGGTCGACTTCACTAGTGGCGCCGGTCTGAGAAGGCTCCACGGACTCGAAGTCGTCCCGAGAGCCAAATTCATCGTACACGGGGACCGCGCGCCGGTGCTCAGAGTGCTCGTCCTCTTCGTCAGAAGACAACACATCTTCAGCGGGCGCGTCTTGGACACCAACCTGCGCTGCTTCCGTTTCCGCAGCGTTGTCGGGCTCGATATGCGAGATGGAAACCGACTGGTCCTCAGCCGTCTCGTCTTCGCCGAACTGGACAAGGTCTTCCGGCCGCTCTGGCTCCGTCGCTTGTTCTGGCTCCGCCTCTTCCTCCGGCTCCTCCACGTGCTCGGGTGCGGCCTCAACTGGCGTCTCCGCCTGCTGCCCGCCTGTAGTATCAAGGCCCAAGGCGCCACCGGGTGGCGGGAAGGGCTCGTGCTCGGTCTCGTGGGTATCTGGAGGTTGCGCGTCTTCCACAGCCTCCTCTGGGCCGTCGAAGGGCTGCTCTTCGAGCGCCCAGTCGCTCACTACACTCCGGGCAGCATCATCATCGTCATCTTCTACGACTTCAGGCTCCTCCGGTGGCGGAGGCGGAGGCGGGGCGGGTTCCGGAATGTCGAGAACCGCCTGGAGCTGCATCGCGTTCATGCGTCGGGGGGTGGTGGGGGAGACGGCGGGTCGGATGTGAATGGCCAGGTCTATGACTTGCTCCTGCAGCTCAATGTTGCCGTCGGTTAATCTGTACATGCACGCGGGATAAGACCATCGGAGGCGGCACTGAGCGACGAGCACACACACCTAGGGAGCTCTTCGTCGTCCATTTGTAGAAACCATAGTGCCACTGGGGTTAGGCGGAACTGTCTGATCAGGCCGAGCAGCAGCTCGGTGGGCTCCGGCCTGAAATGTCTTCTCGCGCATGTTGCGAGGTCCTCATCCGTCCACTGCTCGGGATCACGCTAGAGAGTAACAAGCATCGGTCTTGCGATTCTCCGTTGCGATGAGGCTGGGCTTACCGGTAGTCCCGACCTAGATGAAGTATTGATCCGCACAGGCTGCATGGCCTGCCGTGCTCCCCTGGTGCGCGGAAGCCTGCTGAACGTCCATGTCACGCGACTATAAGGTGGATACTCACGATGGATTTGGGCGGGATGTAGGAAACGCGTCGTTGGCTGAGCGTTGCCGAGGTGAGTAGAGGTTGAAGGACGGTCGAAGGAGCGCTGCGAGGGCCATGATGCTACAACCACGAGAGACGCCCGTCAGGCTGTGGCCACAGGAGCGCAGAGGAGCGCAGCAAATAACGTACGTTCGTCCCGGCTCTGGTCAGAAAGGGGGATTGTTTTGCTCGAGGGTGGATAAGCAGCAAGGAGATGTTGGGCAGAGATAGGAAAGAAGGGGGTATATAGCAGCGGATGAGGGGAGAAGGAAGGGTGCAGCTACCGCAGCGCGGCACGGACGAGGAATGTCGCGGCGAGGCCATGTGTTGTAGCGTCAGCGGGCATGAGAACAGGGAGCTACTAATCAGGGAAGGGTTCAGAGGGCGAGATCTAGGCAAAGAAGGCGTTCATATCGCACCTCAGCTGCACGCCGAACTCTATCCCACCACAATGGCAGTGAATGCTCCGCCCGCGCAATCCCCTTCCCCGCCCTCACTTCCGCATCCACGCGAGAACGCGCGCCGCAGCGACCTCCTGTCCCAATGATGATCAACGGCCTTTTTCTCGTGGAGATCTCCTTGCAATATGCCACAACTTTGGGCGAGCCTGCGGTAGCTTGATCATCTGGACTTCCTCCTGCGATGAGCGAGTGAAACACGAGGCTGCAGCGTTGCAGGCAGTGGAGGCGGAGAAATTGAGAGGCACGGCATATTTGGACAGCGCAGGTCGTGGTGGACAGTAGGAGAGCGCACACGAGGCAAAGCCAGTGCAAAAACGGAGTGTCTGCAGACGTGAAGGGAGGTGGTGAGCCGAGATGATTTCGAGCAGCGCTGTGCGCCCCAGCGCTCCGTACGCGCTCCCTCCGCGCCACCCTGGCTCCCGGGCTAGCCCAAACTATTCTTTGCATTTGACCACCATCTCAATTCACCAGTCTACATTGCGTATCCCTGTGCATGTCCTCTACTGTTAAGAAATCGGCCTCCACGCTTCATGAGGGTGTCGACCGTCGAGCATCTCAAACGGGCTCGATGTACATACCAAATCATGCCTTGCTCGCGGCGCGAAGCAGCAGGTAAGTTCATATCCGTCTTCAGACCTTCGCGATTCCCGATCTCATGGAGGCTCTCCAAAGAGTGTATAGATTAGGAGAAAGTGGCCTTCTATAGAGACCCCCGCGATGTACCTCGGTCGAGTGCACAGGAGCCTTCGACAGCAAGAAACGAGGCTGACTTGCTCAAACTCTGTCGCATGCCTGGCACTGGACTCGGCCTGGCTGGCAATCCGAATAACTCTGGGGTCAGCCTCAGCCGCACTCGCAATGGACTGTGCTCTTCTGTACCCCTTGGAGCTTTTCGACCGTGACTGTTAAGCGCAAACGGCCGTAGCTTGCCCAGCATCTTCGTCTCGCTCATCATGACGAGCTTCTTTGCTGCGGCCACGCTGTTCCTCACTGGCACTGGCAAACGTCACACCTGGACGCCGCCCCTACCATCACCATCACCTGCACCGGACAACAGGTGGCTCAATTCCGATCCTGGCTCGCGGAACTGCCTGAACCTTCGGCACGATACGTTGTTGGACGCTGATTTACCAGGTTGCTCTACTGCCTGCAACGGCGATGCGGTATCGTCTCCCTGTTATGTGCTCACTTCTGGTAATATTCCTGATCTTTGGAACACATCTCCTTGGCACTGGCGAGTACAGGTTGCTAAACACTGTCCCTCATAGATGGCTCTCCACAATCCACAAACAGCAGCCCGAGCCCTGCTGACATGGACGCGGCCACCTCCCCGACACCGACAACAATTTTGAGCATCGACGGCGCGACATGCTTCTCACCCGACTGCGACCATTCCTACTGCTCGCCCCCACAACTGCTGTACTCCCCTGCTAGCTGCTCTTCCATCGCGCTCCACACTCCACTGCCAACCACGGGGCCGTTCAGTTCAATCCAGCCAAATTCTCCCGATCGCTTGCTGCTCTCCCCGACCGGATTCGCCCCATCCAACGATAAGCCGATCTCCCTGCTTCCTGCATCCGCTGCCGCCACCAAGAGCACACTTGCGGAGCGGCGGGGGCTCAAGGGTCTCGCCCTCCAGAGCGCCCCCGCTTTCAGCCCCATCATCGAGCTCAGCAGCGACACATCCACACCCACACTCACGCTCACGCCCACCTCCGCGCTCACCCCCCGCTCGCGCCTCCTCTCCCCACGCACTCCCGACAGTGCCTCTAGCTTCGCACAACGGCTCGTTGGGCTCATGCGCCCCGCTACGCCAAACACCGCCAACCCCGACTCGCCCGCGGAGCGCGAGTACTTCGAAGACCCGTTCGGTCGCGCGGCACCCCCGTTCTTCGACGACGCGTACTTTTTCGGCGCGGCACCCGACCGCCCGCACCCGGATCTGTTCGACCTGTCTGTGTACAGTACCCCGCCCGCGGGCGCGCCGCGGAGCTCGAAGACGTGGCCAGCGGCGAAACGTATGAAGACGCGGCTCTGGATCGATGCAGTCGATCTCCTGGAGCCTTTCCCCGGCTCCGACGCGCACCCCCTTCCCGGCTGCGCCACCCGCGCGGGACCGTCCGTCCATTCCACCCGCGCGCGGCTCGATCGCGATCGGCCCGCTGCCCCTCGCGCAAACGCCGCCCCCTCTGCCGCCGCGCCCCCTCCTGTGCTCACGCTCGCGCTTTCGCATTTGCCCGCCGCGGCGTCGCCGAACCTGCGCCCGCTGCTGCTGCCGCAGAAGTTCGCGCGGCGGGAGATCGCGGACGCGCAGTCGTCCTCCATTCTCCAGCACGCGACGCCCAAACTCCGCCCGCTCATACTTCCGCAGGAGCTCGCGCGACGGGCGACGCACCCGCAACGCCGCGCTCGACCCCGTCCTCTTACCTTTCCCTCTACACTCGCCCTCACGCACAGGAGGGCGCTCAGCATGGGGACCCCCTTTCTTCCCTCGAGCCCGAGGATGTCGATTGCGAGCACCAGCACGGGGGCGTCGGAAGCCGAGATCGAGGATATCATCAGTGGTGAGAGTAGCGGAGATATGGGGCGGCGGGGCGAGGATCGGCGACAGTCGCAGCAGCTCGACGAGATCATCTGCCTCCTCGACAAGTCCGGCGTACTCGAGGGGCTCTGCGAGGCGGGCGACGAGCAAGAAACGGCTGACTCTGAGGTCACCTCCCCCTCCCCGTCGTGCGACTCGGACGACAACGAGAGCGCGGGAGTCGCGACGCCACCCTCGCTCGTGTCGCGGCCTGGGAGCTCGTCGTCGTTCTCCTTCATCAGCCAGTCGTACGCAAGCGACACGGAGGACGTCGCGGAGAAGTCGCGGAACCTAGAGGACATTCTCGAGCTCCTGAACAGCCCGGACGGTGGCATCACTTGCAGGACCTTCGTGGAGGCGCCAGCGATGGAGGGCGAGTCCGAAGACCTGATATGCGCGTACGCTATGTGAGCAGAGCGGTGGTAGGACGCCTTTTGCTAGGCGGTCCGGAGGAGTATTCCGTCAGGGCGCATTGAACCCAAGTCGGCATGGCGTTGTTGTATTTCTATTTGCGCATCATGTATTAGCTTGCTGTATTCTGCTCTAGGTGTTGTATGTGTCTATACTGTATCATTCAGTGACTCTTGATAAAGTTCGTTACGAGCGCCTTGAACTCGTTTGGTCTGTGAAGGTAATCAGCAGGGTTAACACCTCAGGTCTAACAGCATGCCATACCGCTCAGAGTGCACTTGAGAGAACAGTATCAGCCAGTAGAACGATAGCGGGAGCGTATATCTCGACTCACCCCAGTGACTAGCGTCAAGTTTCTCAAGCACCATGTTCGGGAAGAATGCCTTCGCGATGTCAATGTTGTGCTTGTTTATGTATCTGTGAGGTCTTCAGCAAGGAACCTCTGGACCGTCGACCATAGATGAGTACGCACTTGCTCTTCTCGCCCTTGATGAACAACGTCGGACCCTCCCACGTCCGCTCTCCAGGCAGATATGGGAAACTGCCAAGTTCGGGTATGGACTTGCCCAGGAGGTCGACCGGTATGCGAAACTTCAGCGGGTGCGGGTGGTGCGCAGTCGGATGCTCGAGGTTCATGAGCAGGAACGCGCGCGTCATCGTGTCCTGCGGGGGCACAACACGCGAGGCTATCAGCACTAGGCACGCGTGCGCTGCACGGCCGGCACCGACCTGCTCGACGTCTTTGAGGATCTGGTCCGCTTCGCGCCGCGTGTTCACTTGGCTGGCTTCGACCTGCTTCATGCCACGGATGTAGGCTTGGAACTCGTTCGAGAGCGCGCCGCGTGCGGGTGCGATGTCCGCTACTATGAGGTGTGAGAGCAGGTCGGATGGTGTTTCGGGATCTAGTGCGACGGTCATGGCTACCTTGCCGCCCCTGATGGTGTTGATATTTCGGTCAATCGGGTGTTACGGGGCGCGACGTGGAACCTGCGCACATGGAATGCCCGAGCAGGGAGATGTTGGTCAAGCGGTGTGTGCGACAGAAGTTGAGCACGTCAGTGGCCATGGCTGAGTAAGTGTGTGGTTCTGCATGCGGAGATGTTCCGTGGTTTCTGAGATCCTAGGCGGGTTCGAATGAGCTAGATTCGGCGAGGTGAGCCATATGTACTCACCAAGGCATAGACCGGACGGTTGATCTCCTTGACGAACGCCTTCGACAGAGAACCCCAATTCCTCTTCGTACCACTGTATACGACCACAGTCAACACATCGATTCGTCTGCATGAGATTGTGCGCGCACAAAAGGCCATGCAGGATGACTAGCGGGTTCTGAGTCTCATTCCCGTCTGGCGGTACGACCTTGTCAAAGTGCAGCTCGATTGGCTTGACTTGTGACGAGACCGCCCTGGTTTGTAGAGTTCCACAGCGCACTCTTCTCGCCTGAAGAGCGTGTCTGTAGAGCGTCGAGGCAGACGGGGTTGGTCGTGGCATGACGGTCGGCGGAGGATTTGTCCGAAGCCCACCGCAGCGGTGACGCAGGATGAGTAGGACATGGTCGGACTCTACTGATAAGATAGTGTGCTGGCGTCTATCTTGCTTCCCGCCACAGAATCACAGATAGCCAGATCAACGCCTGAGCCTGCCCTAAACCGCGCGTGATGAAAACGCGTCTCGAATTTTTTGACACTCACTCGCTCGTCGTTGTCCGCGACGCCCGCCGCGCGACATCGGCGGGGCATCTCTCTCTGGTGAGTCTCGTTTTCCTGCGCTCTTCGACGCGATGATATCTTCCATTTTACTTGGAGTGACCTGCTCTACCAAGCGGTGTTCGCGATGACCAGCTTTTTTGTCATAGTTACACTGATCGGTTTTCCGTCATGCTTCACTGCTGATTACTGACTCTTTCTCTCAGCAGGATGGCAATATACATGCTTTCATGGGATCTTCGGCGTGTTAGACTGCGGGACGAAAAGTAACTGATACTGGTGAGTTTCGTCTTCTTCGTTTGTCGTTTCGTCCTCGGCTTCGCGACGAGATGATACCAATCAATTCAAACTAGAGTATCTGAGGGCCTTCTGGTCCGATGCTTTATAACATCTGTCAATCCACTGATCTTTTTGTGTTATTGATGTGTTTACGGACTGTTCGCTGACATGGCTTGCTCTTCTAGATATTCTGACAGACTTCGTCACTCTTGTCCGGTCAACCAATGGTGAGTACCCGTTTCCGTCGCATCTGCTGTGATTCAATTAAGGAATTACCGCCTGATCGTGTGTCTACGGACCGCGAGTTCATGATGACAATTCCACGGCTGTATTTTAATACTATGAGCTTCTTCGTGTCTCCGTTTCCCTACATGACGCTTACGCATCTTCTTCCCCAGATCACCCTGGCTGTAACCGTCGCTCGCAGCATATCATCGGAACCTTCTATCTGGTCAACTGTGAGTGTCCTTTTCTTGTTCTCGTCTCTACATGATGTTATTATCACGACGGTCTTCGTACTATCACTGCCGAAAATGCCCGCCACAGCTCAAAAAATTCGGGCACCCCCATCTGATTCTTGTTCGACATGACGTAGAATGTTTTGCTCATGCCTATCTCCACAGATCGTCCTGTCCACGGGCATATTACCGGCGTGTCGGTATGTTGCATGGTAAGTGCGCTTGTTTGGTTTGTTTGTTTTCGTTTCGTCGCGGATGAGCTTTATTCCTTCATAATATCAACTAGAAGCTGTTGCTGAGCTGCGGCATTGATTGATAAATTTAATTTCTGAACTACTATCTTCTGCTTGCCTTGTATATTCCAGTTCTGACTCTTCCGCTCTGGTAGATTGCTAGCCACCGTTGTGCAAACCATACAGAACAGTACGTTACTTCAGGTGCGTGGTGCGTCTTCCCATGCCTCCGGTAGTACATGTAGACAGCCGGTCAATGCTATGAGTGGTTCCTTCTTCATCGCGTGTGAGACATCGGCGCAAATGCATTCCCTCTCCTTCTAGCTGCGCAGTCCTCGGTGCGAGTAGTCGATTTTTCTCCAGCTATCTGCTGAAGCGGATTTCCAGACTGCGACTCGCGAGGGTGTGTGAACCTTGCAATTTGTCTCAGCGATCGTGAACTGCGGAAGGCGTCTATCATGCGGTCCTACTCCCTCGAGAGGTGCGTGGTCTGCTCCCGTGGGCACTGCTTGCAATTATTTATAAGGAACACCCAGGTGATCATCGGTGCTTGAGCTAGGATCAGTGGCCTCAAACACAGCACCTATTGCAGGTAGCCACACGAATGTCACGTAGCATACCATGGGATCAAGTCGGGACTCCTGCTCTGGATCGTACAGGCGACAAGGCACCCCGCTCTTTCCCCAAGCTTACTATCTTCGTAGGTAAAAAGTGCGCAGCGTCCATGAGCAAATAGCGGCGAACACGGTTAGTAGCACGCTAGATGCCGTCAAGCCCGCTCTCACTCATACGGACTTTCTAGGCGTCCACCTGGGAGTTCCCCTGGTGGTTCAGGCGTGCTGTCAAGCGCAGTCCCGATGTGTTCACGCCGCATTTCGCATCTTACGCCCACACACGTGTACGAACGGCGGCTCCATCACATGCCGGAGGAGCGTAAGAAGGCCGACCTCGAAGGCTTTTGGACGGTCCTCCGTCAGCAATCGGTTCGTCGTGGGCGGCGGCACGGGAAGAGCGCAATCATGGGGCATCGTTTTCCATGTGTGCCCATTCCTATCAGCCTCCTCCGCTCCCGCTCTCGCGCCGACTGGTCACTCCTCGCACCACGACCCCGACCTTCCTGGAGAATGACCTGCCGGAATCTCCGGGCGCGGCGTGTCACCCTCCCGCAGCGTGCACAGGGCGCTGTATAAAATCGTGCAGAAATGGCTCCTTTGGTGCGCATCGGAGGCACACCCATCCACATCTCTCATGTCTCTTCCCACCGCTCTCGCCCTGCTCGGGCTCGCTATCACCGCTGGGGCTGCCTCGGGGCCCACCGCCGGCTCCCAGAGATCCTGCTCCTCCTTTGGCCCAACTCCCCTCGCTGGCGTCGCATTCACTGGGACCACGCACTTTGCCGCTAACACCCGTGTCAACATCTCGAACGTCTACTCCAGCATCGACGAGACCAACCTGCCTGCGTTCTGCCGCGTCGAGCTCGTCGTCACCACGAATGCTACTGCAGGCACGACCGCGCTCGCCGAGGTCTGGCTGCCCGACGACTGGAACGGGCGCGTCCTCACTGTAGGGAACGGAGGTCTCGCCGGAGGAGGTGCGCCACCACCGATCACACGACTCTCTACGTGACTGCAGAGCGTTAGCTGACTGCCCGCGCTCCCACCCGGGACCCCATCTACAGTAACCGTGACGGAGCTCGGACACGTCGCGATTCCGCAAGGATGTGAGTGCTATTCCTGGCGCGGCTGCTCGTCGCGGAAATAGCTCCAGCGAAGCCGCGGGGGCGGAGGCTCATCCGATTATCGCAGTTGCGGGAATCTCTACGAACACCGGGCACGACGGCGACACGGACGACGGCGAGTGGGCCGGGCCGCACAACGACGTGAGCACGCGCGAGAAATGTGGATTTAGCTCGGCCGACGCTTATCTTGCTCGATCTGTGCCCTCCCTGTAGAACGCAATCGTGGACTGGGGATGGCGCGCGCTGCACCTGAGCGTGCTCGCGGGGAAGCGGATCGTGGAGGAGTACTACGGCACTGCTGCGAACAAATCCTATTATCTGGGGTGCTCGACGGGTACGTCGCTCCGTGCTCGCCGGCCGCTCGCACATTCCTGACGCGTCGCGGGACAGGTGGGCGCCAAGGGTGTGTCGTACTCTGGCTGCGGATTAGGCAGGCGAACTTAAACTTGGGGTGCGTGCAGGCTGAAAGAGGTGCAAGACTTTCCAGACGACTTCGACGGCGTCGTAAGTTCTAGGCCTTCCGACGGTGTCTTCCAGTCTGACCGGGGGTACGTGTCTGCCGCAGGTCGTCGGCTCCCCCGCAAACTGGCAGACGCATCTGCAAGGATGGTCGATCCACATGAACCTGAACACGCAGCCCTCGACCTCGCCGCACTTTATTACGGAAGACGTCTGGAACGACGTGCTCGCGCCCGAAGTCATGCGCCAGTGCGACGCGCTCGACGGGGTGCGTGCCCTCCATATCCGCGCTCGCTGTCCGAGGCGTCCGAGCGCGCTCTGACCACCTGATGCAGCTATCCGACGGCATCATCAACGATCCCAGAATATGCAGGTACGCCGTAATAAGCTCAAACTCATGGCCCACACCGCTCGGCTAACGCAGTTCTCGAATTCGCCTTGGGGTCCAGCTTCCGCCCCGAGACGCTGACGTGCCGCGCCGGGCAGAACGCGTCGACGTGTCTGACGGGGGACCAGATCGGTGCGCTGCGCCGCATTTACGCGGATTACTACGAGGCCGACCAGACGTACGTCTTTGGGGGGTACTACCCCGGCGGCGAGACGGAGTACTACAAGGGCCTCGTCGGGAAGAAGCAGTTCGATATCGGGCTGGGCTATTTCCAGTTCATGGTCCTGAAGTATGTCAGCTACTACTTCGTTCCTTCTGTGATATCGATGGTTAACACGTTGATGCAGCGATACCAACTTCAAGATTCATGACTACAACGCGACCGTACTTAAGATAACAGATAGAATCGACCCCGGGCAGTCGAACGTGAGTATCTCGCGTTTCTTTCTTTCTTCTCAGATAGCAATGATAGCAATGTCTAACAATGCACCATGCTAGGCGATCAACCCGAACCTAACCGCGTTCGCGGGGCCGCAGCACAACGGCAAGCTGCTGCAGTACGTCGGCTGGGCGGACCAGCTCATCAGCCCGGGCAACAGTATCCACTACTATACCACCGTCGACGAGTTCACGCGCGCGAACACTACGATGGACATCGACGACTACTACCGCCTCTTCCTCGTGCCCGGCATGAACCACTGGTGCGCCCCCTCTCCTTCCACTTCCGCCTTTCTTCCGTCGTTCCCATCTGATCCGTCCGCCTCCCCTCTCTTAGTCACGTATGTCGCGCAAGCGGTAAACCAGTATCCGCATGTGCAGTGAGGCTGACAATTGCATGTACGTACAGGGCGGCTTCGCAGCAAACGCGTTCGGCGCGGTCGAGCAGGCGTCCAACGACAACCCGCCGCTCTCGTTCGACCCGCAGCACAACATCCTCGCCGCGATGGTGCAGTGGGTCGAGGAGGGCGTCGCCCCAGACACACTCACCGCCGCGAACTACGTCGGGAACAACGTCTCGAACGGCGTCGGGTTCACGCGCCCGCTCTGCAGGGTGCGTCTCTTCTCCTTTTTCTGTGGTGGGTGCACTGACGTGGAGATATGGTGGTGATAGTACCCGACGACGATCCGGTACAAGGGCGGGGACCCTGACAGCGCGGACAGCTTTGAGTGCGCGTAGGGCGGGGCTAAAACTTACGGCGAGATAGTCGGGGGGCGGAACGCTAGAGGTTAGCTTGCATCGTGGATGTGGTTGCAGGTCAGAGATGTATACGTTTCATGGATTCCCTTTCTCTGTATATATACCCGGGTATCTTGTACACTGTATCATGCGCTGTGAGGACCTGTATTGCAATATACCACTGATACACGACATATGCATTTTCAACCTGGCCCTCAGGTTCGAACGATTGAATTGAAGAGGAATCGAGCCTGAAGTGCCACCAGTGCTGCCATAGCCTTCGAATATGCCCAATGTCGCCACGCAAGACACTATCTCACCACTCCAAGCGATGAGGCAAACATGCTTGCCATCACTTTGCCATCTCGATCGGACGCTGGGAGAAGCTTAAGCGCGCAGAACCCTTGTCCGATTTGTACGGAATACGCTCTACCTGCAACCACCACCTATGCCTCGATTTGCCTTGCAGCTTGTACCTTCATGCTGATATCGGCGCGTATTTCTGCGCTTTACACCACATTTCCCAAAGTTCCTCGCTCCAGTTTCCCTCTGGGTGGGGTCTTCGTGGCAAGAGGGACTCACTCAGGACGCGACGGTCTGCCCATACCTCCCCCAATCCCGGTCATCCAGGATGCCGCCCACAGCGCAGAAGCGCGAACCTGGATCCAGAGCTTCAAGATGAAAGACATCCCCAGGCACGCCGTGGAGCTCACCTTCTCGCGAAGTTCTGGGCCAGGCGGCCAGGTGCGTCGATCCAGCCGTACGGATCCGAAGCGCGGCGCATATATGTAACGCACACATGCGCGCAAACAGAACGTCAACAAGGTGAACACAAAGGCGACGCTCCGCTGCCCGCTCGACACGCCCTGGATCCCCCTCTGGGCGCGCGAGCACCTCAAACACACCGTGCGTCCTCCTCCATTCGAGCTGATGTCATTCCGCTACAACTTGAGCTCGTTCCGCAGCCGGCGTACGCGTCGTCATCGCAGTCGGTGCTGATCACGTCCACCGTGCACCGTTCGCAAGCCCAGAACGTGCAGGACTGTCTTGCCAAGGCGAGCACCCCCCTGTCGGCTCCGCCCGCGCTGCATTTAGCTCACACGTTTCGATCGTCGATCGCTGCAGCTGCACACCTTGATCGTGTCCGCCGCGTCCGCGGGTCTGGTGAACGAGCCGAGCGAGGAGCAGCGGAAGCGGGTCCGAGACCTCGAGAGAGCCGACAAGGCTCGGCGCCGGCTGGACCAGGAAAAGCGCAAGCAGGTCAAGCGCGGTCGATCCAAGGGCGGCGACTGGGACTGAAACCACGCCAGCCGGGATCGAGTTGGACTCCGCCACGGCCATGCGCCGCGCCGCCTCCGTCGTCCTCCGCAGCACACAGCGCACTAGAAGACGCAACCGACGTCCACGAACGTCCGATAGCAGCGAGCAGTGGAGCGATGCAAGGGATGGTGGCAGAAGGTACGGGCGCCTAAATCGCCGGAGATGCCGACGCGAGGAGGAAGGAGTGGAGTCGTTCAATTATGAGAGGCGCGGCTGCCAAACTGTGTATGTTCCTCCATGGACCCACCAATCGTACGCCCCGACACACTCCAGCTTGACAGCCTATCGATCATGTGACGTAGTGCGTCTCGATTGCACTCGGGCCCTCCATGAACACCGTCAGCCTCCGTTCCTACTCACTTAAGCCCAGCCCCGCGCACACGACCGAACCGCCACCCCATACCTCTCTTCGACCCCCCGTCACCGTCCGTCGCTATGCCTATCCGCGGCCGCCAGCATGCAGCGACCCCGGACCCCAACTTCACCTTCGGCTCGCCCCCCAAACTCTCGTACTTTGCGGAAATAAAGGACGACCTCTACGCGGCGTCGCTCGAGTTCGTCGGCACCACCTTCTTCCTGATGCTCGCGTACGGCGGGACACAGGCGGCGCAGGGCGAGGCCCTCGCGAGCGGCGCCCAGCACTCCACCATCGAGCAAGGCATGTACATCTCGCTCTGCTTCGGCTTCTCGCTGCTCTCCTCCGTGTGGCTCTTCTACCGCGTCACTGGGGGGCTCTTCAACCCGAACGTCACGCTCGCGCTCCTCATCACGGGCGTGATTGGGCCCGTGCGGTTCGTGCTGTATTGTATAGCGCAGCTGCTCGGGGGTATCTCCGCAGCGGCAATAATTCTCGCTCTCACGCCAGGCCCGCTCGCGTCCAAGTGAGTACTGCGTGCGCGATCACATTGTGGACCCACGCTAACTGCGCGCGCGCCCGCATCCAGCACCTTCCTCGCGAACGGGGTAAATCGCGCACAGGGCGTGTTCATCGAGATGTTCATCACGACTGCGCTCGTCCTCGCCATTCTCATGCTAGCGGCGGAGAAGCACAGCGCGACGCCGTTCGCTCCGGTACGCACCACTCCGCCTTTCCACGCCAAGGCGTCGCTCATGTCCGTTCGCAGGTCGGGATTGGTCTTACGCTCTTCGTCTGCCATCTGTACGTGCGCCGGCGTATCGTAGTACCGATGTGTACTCACCGCTGATTTTTCTTCGCAGCTGGGCGGTATTCTACACTGGGGCGGGGATGAACACGGCGCGTTCGTTTGGACCCGCCGTTGTTACAGGATTCCCCTATGACAGCCACTGGGTCGTACGTCTTTCTCCCTCTTGAAAGCACACACCCTCTCACTCCCTTCTCCCCGCTAGTACTGGGTCGGCCCGTTCCTCGGCTCGCTCCTCGGCTCCGCATTCTACACCCTCCTCAAACAGTGCGTCCCCCCCTTCTCTCACCCTTTTCCACGCGACTAACCCATGCACCACCCACAGCATGAAGTACTGGCGGCTGAACCCGGGGCAGGAGAGCATCGACCCGCGCGACTCCCCTGGGGATCCGGTCACGCACATCAAGTCCACCGTGCGCCGCTCGATCTCGTCCGCGAGCCGCGGGCGGAGCCGCAGCATGGACGCGGGCGGGGGCTCGGGGCAGTTCTCGGAGAAGCCGGTCGCGCCACATGAGAATCGGATGGGGAGTGCGGGGGGCGGGGAGCCGTCGAGGGGGCGGTTGCTGAGGCCGAATGACAGCGCCGTCTGACGGGGCGGAGTGCGCTGTGCGCTGTGCGCTACGAGACTCTGACGATTGACACGACCCTGATACCATGTTTAATGGGCTAACGATGCCCCAAGTAGTGTACCTTTATTCAGGAATGTATCATCATGCAGCCAAGGAGCTCAGAATTAGTTGTCTGCATGACACCTCACGCTGAACTTGTTCTCGATAAAAACGCTCGCGTTTGAACCGCTCGTAAACCGTCTACAAGACCTAGAGAATGCGAGCAATGCATGTGCAAGCTGTGAATGCCGCGTACACATCCCGCGCAAACCAAACCTTTCCCGCAGCGTATACAGTGCCATTCTCGCGACCCACCTCCGGATCCCAGCTGGGAGTACCCAATCGACACCTCATGGTCCACGGCCGCGCTGGACATCGAGTGATGCCGGTGAAGGCTCGCGACATGACAAGGCCTCAGCACTCAGCGGGGACATTGAACGCATTCCGTCGACCCCAACATTCCCCCCACCGCCGTCAGCCTCCCCCCGTCGCGTCCCCAGCTCCACGCGCGGTTAACACTGCCAACGCATCTTCTTGTCGCCGTGCAGCCACGACATATGGAGGGTTGAGCACGCCTACCGATCTACTGCTGCTTTGTGTGTGTTGCTTCGTACGCGCAGTCATGAGGACTGCGGACAGATCAAGAATAAAACAGTCTGCGCCGGGCTCGAACACCCGGTCCTTCCACCGTGCAGAGCTGATTGCCACTCCGCCAAAAGTGCATTCGTGTTGACCGCGCCGCAGCAATGGAGAAGCGTCGGCAGAACGTGTCAGAGAGTGACGCAACAAGCTGCGTCGCGTTCTAATAGCCGCCATCCCGGACGGTGGCGAGCCCGTACTTGAACACAACGCCAACGGCTCTCTTCTGCACGTTCTTGCGTCCTCGCCGCCAAAATGGTCCAAGTCAAGGTCTCCGCGGCCAAGCCCACCTCCCTCGCCCGCGATCTGCCAACCTTCATCACCTTTGACAAGCCCGTCGAGGACCACACGGTCCGCGACCTCAAGAAGGCCATCACCGCAAAGCACCCCAAGGTCAGTAACGCGCCTGCCCAACGATATCCCGCGCGCTGACACAACGCGCGACCTGTGCACCGGCAGTTCCACCCCTCGCGCCAGAAGCTGACGCTCAAGGGGGAGAAAAAGGCCCTCGAGGACGGCACGAGCCTGAAGGACGCGGGCGTCGTGGACGGCGCCGAGGTGACCGTGAAGGACTTGGGCCCGCAGATCGGCTGGAAGACCGTGTTCCTCATCGAATACGTGCGTAATGCTCTCACCACAAAGACAGAGAACGCGCTGCTGACCTGGCCCGCACGTCGCGACGGCGCGTCCAGGTGGGGCCGCTCATCATTCACCCGCTCGTGTACCACTTCCCGACCGTGTTCTACGGCGGGCACGTCCAGCACAGCGTGCTACAGAAGTGAGTCCTCGTCACGCGCATCCCTCTGTTGGCGCGTCAGTCGGATGCGGAGTGCTGACTTTTGACCGCGGCGGCAGATACGTGTACGCCGCCGTCATGCTTCACTTTTTCAAGCGCGAGCTCGAGACGCTCTTCGTGCACCGGTTCTCGCACGGCACCATGCCGTTCACAAACGTCTTCAAGAAGTAAGCACCAACACAGAGCAGCGCGCGCCACCGCCGCCTGCCTGCTTACCTTCCCTGTCTGTGCGCCGCGCGTCTGACGCACCCCCCGCCCCAGCTCGGCCCACTACCACCTGCTCTCGGGCGCGCTGCTCGCGTACTCGGTCTACAGCCCGTCCTTCGCCGCGACCTCGCCCTACATCCGCGGCACGATCCGCGAGAACCCGACCTTCCTCTGGGCGTCCCTCGCCGTCTGGCTCGTGCGTGCCCCGAGTTCGCGCCCTTGACTGCTGGTGCTGACGTATTGTGCTCCCGATTCTGCTCGCGTCCGGCGATATCGCGCGCCGCTGCTCGCCCGCGCGCCCGATCGCAGTTCGCGGAGCTCTCGAACCTGCACAACCACATCGCGCTGCGGAACCTGCGCCCGGCGGGCTCGACCGCGCGTGCGATCCCGCGCGGGTACGGCTTCGCGCTCGTCTCGTGCCCGAACTACTTCTTCGAGACCGTCGGCTGGACGGTCATCGCCGTCATGACCGGCAGCTATGCTGGTGCGTGCTCTCCCACAGACGGCGCAAGGTGGACGCACGATTCATCCCCACCTCCTCCCTCTCTATCTCCGTAGCGTGGCTGTTTTTGGTCGTCTCGACGTACCAGATGGTGGTCTGGGCCATAAAGAAGCACAAGAACTACAAGAAGGAGTTCGGGAAGGCGTACCCCGCAAACAGGAAGGCGATGTTCCCGTTCATCCTCTAAAGCATCCTCGACGGACGCGCACCGCGCAACCCGCACGCGTGCCATTGGCTGCTCCCCATGCTTCACCTCATTGGCTGCTGGGGTTCTCCGACTTGTACCTACTACTCTAGCTCTTGGTTCACGCTGAATTACGATAATGCCGACACAGTGCTGCTGCTCTAGCTACCTCCGCGCGCGAACAGTGCGCGAACGCTAATGATTACGGGATGCTATAGGCCAACCACATCTCGCCGGCCGCTTTTGCGTCCGCGTCCAGCCCCGTGCCCACCCACCCGCTTACGAGGCCCGCGACGGCGGTCTTGACGAGCCAGCCCGCGATGATGATGATCGTCGTGAAGACCGGGTGGCAGTCGAGGACGACTGCGAAGGTGGATGCACCGCCGGATAGAAGCGAAGCGAAGCGCAAGCAAGTGTGTGTCAGTACAGCACCAACAACCACCGCTGTCCCGGCGAGAAGGCGGGAAGGCGCAGGGCGAATAGAGTGCACGCACCTCGCAGCCCGAAGCCGGCGGCCATGCCCCCCAGCACGTTCCGCACGACCCACGCGCGGTCGAGCGTGTCCGCGTCCAGCAGCGACAGCGCGCCAGTGATGAGCGGGTGCTCGAACACCGCGTCAGGGTGCAGCGGCGGTGGCGCGGCGTGTACAGCGGTGGGGCCCGCGTCGGGGTGCCACACGGACAGGCAGAAGAGCAGGAAGAGCTTCGTGAGGGACGAGTAGAGCAGCGTCAGCGGGACGTGCGAGTACCTGTGTGTGCGCACGCGCACGCGACCGTCAGCAAGCTGCGTGAGCACACGGAGGGCGCTCCCGCCGCGTCACGAATCTTCCGCCCAGGCGGAGCGCTGCTGCGTCGACGCGATGGCGCGCCCTGCACGCCGTCAAACCACGGGCAGGCAGGGCCGACGTGTCGCGCACGCCGCCGCCCGGGTGCGGATGGCGACACCGCTGTCGACGTCGATGTGGAAATCGACGCAGACACGGATCGTCGCTCGCACGCCTACTCGCCCAAGCTTAGACTCGACCGGGGACGCACCTGAACTGCTCCCGGATGCCCGACACGGGCGCCTGGGCGGTCGGAAGGGCCCTTAGCACGGCGTAGCAGGCGAGCACAACGCCCGCGTGAAAAGCCGCTGTCTCTGCGCGGGCACAATAGCAAAGGCGAACTGGTGTTAGACATGTGCCTTAATTGAACACGGGCGCGGGGCGAGCGCGCCCGCTATAATTATAGCGGGAGCACACTTACCGAAGAGACAGCCCACGAGGATACGCAGGAAGCCGTGCAGTGCGGCGCGACTCCAGGCGGCCGTCGCGGCGGTGTCACCGGGGTGGGGCGTGCGCGAGCCTGGCGCGAAGCTCCGGTCAGCTGCGACGCGGGAGCCACACGATATATTGGTGGTGAATGTAGTGCGCGGGAGCTCACTATTGATGTGTGTCCACCGGATGACTGTGCGAGGTGTCTCTATCAGCTTCGCTGTGCGCGCACGATATAGTACGAGGAGATCAGGGCCTCACATGCGTCGACGCAGATCAGGGCCGCGCCCAACTTGAATATGAGCGACCACCGATCCTAGGGAGAAAACATGGTGTCAGAGGGGCAGCCCCGTTGCGCGACCATCGCGCGAGACGCACGCGCTCGCTGTGTCGCTGCGGCAGCAGGCTGCTTCTACTGCTGGCGTCGGGCGGGTTTGTGCTAGTGGGCGCCTTGGGGTCGCCGGCCTTCCGGGCGCCCAGGCCGCGGTTGTAGAGAAGGTGGCGATAGACGTCCCGTTTGAGCAGAATCAGATCGAGGAGGAGCGTGAGAGTGTCGTGCTCGACGTATGGGTCCGCGAACGCGTGGCAGGCGGTCTGTGCAAGGGCGAGACGCGAAGGCAGATTAGCATCGTCGTCCGAACAAGCGAGCGGTTCGGATATGAAGCTTTAACGGGCTAAATGAGGACCCCCTACGCTGTCCGGACCACCGGAGGGCCGTTCGGGAGGCCTTGAGCACAATCCGGACCAAAATGGCCCATGGAGGGTCGCCAAGCTGTCCGGACCAAACGGACCCAAAAGGGGTCCGCCGGGAAAAGGCCTCAGTAGGGATTATCGGGGCTCCTGCTAAATGCAAAAAGACAGAGGCAAACAGCAGAGAGACTGACGCACTGCTCCAAGCGGAAGTTGTACGCCGAGTCGTAGACGGTGTACAGGTACGCCGTTGGCTCCGCGCAGCTGGTGCAGATGGGCATCTTGGACGTGAATCGACAGGGACTCTCCCGGGTACGGTTGACGTTGAGAGACCGCGTCAGGCTTCGGGTGGTGGTCCGAGGGTGCGTCTCGAGACAATAGCAGGACGCTTTGTTGCCGAGAAGTACTTCGAGAGCAGCGGAAGTGAAAGCGGGTGGGGTGGGCACGTTTTGTTTTGTTTCGAGGGTGCTGTAGTCCTGGCGAAGACGCGGGCTTCAGGAAGACGTGAACTTGGTACTCTTCACAGCCAACCTGAGATAGACCGGTAGTTGGAGAACCAGCTGGTCAGTCTCCTTCTCACCGGTGATTATTCTCTCAACCGTTGTTGTCCGTACCGCTCACCGAACGTGTGGGGTGAGTAGTCGCGAACTAAGATGTGGGCGGCGAGTAGGCGCCCGGCGTGCGAGCCACAAAGTACGATAGGCGCCGTGGTACTGGCGGTGCCCGGCAGCGAGCGCACCGATGCTACCGTGAACGACGATAACGACCTCCTCCTCACTCTCGGCATCCCTCTTAGGCAGTCTGCAACACCGACAATTTGAACGCTTCTAGACTCTGTGTGACTCCCACCTGAGACTCTGCTCGACCCAGCCGTTAGAATGCCTCCTGCAAGGGCAACATCCTCGGCGCGCGCCCTCGAGGCCATCCTGCCTCTGATCGCCTCTGGACAGCCGTACGAAGCCCATCAGAAAGCGCGGACGTTCGCTTCGCGTTACAATAAGTCAAAGCAATACGACACCGCCATCGATGTCCTCTTCCAGTCCGCGAGGGAGCTCCTCAAGGCGGGGCAGCAGGGTAGCGGTACGGATCTCGCCGCATTCCTCCTGGATGTGTACGAGAGCAAGGGCGAGACTGTGAACGACGAGAGCCGGGGTCAGTGCCTGCATATCTCCTTTCCGCGACTATATTCACCGTGCTGTTCGGACGTACAGGACGCCTCACCCAGCTGATCGCCCTCGCGGGCCCGGCTGGCTCCTGGCGCAAGACGATTATCGACAAGTCCGTCGCGTAAGGCCTTCCATCTTACTTGCGCAGCGCGGCCTCCTTGACAGTTCCCAGTTGGTCCGCGAAGGTTGGCCCACATCCCGCTGGCGACCCTGATCTCCAACACTATGTCGGCGAGCTTCTATACAAGGGTGCGTCCGTCCGCCCGCCCCGGACATATTGGCGCTGACAATGTCCTTGGCGTTCGCACCTCTAGAGGGCAGCTTCGCCGCCGCCGAAGTGCACCTGCTCGCGGCGGGAAAGCGGGACAGTGCCCGCGTGCTTGCAGAGATGTTCGTCGAGTGGGCTGGTCCCGCCGCGCCCGCCGGACCCTTCGCGCTGCGGGGGATCATACCGTAAGCGGGCGCGCCTCGTCGCAAATTACCGCCGCTTCTCATCCGTTATGCCCGCAGATACCTGCAAAATGGGAACATCCTCGCCGCGCGGACGTTCATTGTGCACTTTCTCGCTCAGCTGAGCGCGCGCCGCCCGAGCCTGCTATCGCCGCACCAGCCCGCCCCAATCCCCGTCGGGAAGCCTACGGAGGCAGAGGGGCAGCCGGACGAGATCGTGTTCACGACGGAGCCGACGCTCAACTTCGCGCAGCTCGCGGTGCGCGCGTGCCAGCGCGCGCAGGGGGACAAGAACAAGACGATGCGCGAGGCCTGGGTGCGCCTCTGCGGGACGTACCAGAGCAAGGCCGGGCCCGTCGCACACAGAGAAGTGCGCAAGGTGGGTAATCGTGCTGCGCAGAGTACCGGCCGCTCCCAGCGTCGCCCTTCCGCGTTTACACGACCACACGTCTCGCGCCGCCTTTGGGCGCGCTTCTGAGAACGGATCGTCCTCGCTGCCGGCGGGGGGCCTTCGCGGCCCACCCTACCTGTACATCGGTGCATCCGATACGCGGGGCATCGCCCACGCACACCTGCGCGGCTGCAGCCAGCCCCGCAGGGGTGTGCGCCAGACACGCGCGCACACCATCCATCTCGGAGGCTTTCTGGGCGCCAGATCTGCCGTTCGCAGCTTCTCTGCTCGCCCCTGCCCAACCAGTGCTAATGAACACCGGGCTTCTTGCTCGCCTCAACGCATACGGTTCTAATGCACTTTGTTCTTGGCTGACACCGCGCTCTGCCCCTGCTCTTAGGCGCTCATCGAGATCGCGGAACTCTACTTTGCAATACCGCCGCCCCGCGCGCAGCAGGCGAACCCGCTGGGCGACATGATCTCGGCGATGTTTGGGGGTGCCCCGCAGGGCCCAGGGCCCGCGCGCAGGGTGCTCGCCGCGGCGCCGCCGACCTCGACGCCCGGCTTGGACTGATGGCAGGGCAATTTTTCCGTGCGGCCACAGGACAGCGCCTTGGGTGGAGCATATCCGGTCGGATTTGGAGAAGACCCGGAGAATTGGCAGTGTGCGCCAGCGGTGGGCGTCCGAGGTGGGGTTCGTGCGTGGTTTTCGCACTGATGGCCGCGAGGCGTATGTTTTTTTCGGATGGACGAGGAAGCTTCTACACTACGATGTACTCGCTCGGCTAGCCCCGTGCTCATAAAATAAAAGAGGACCTATGCGGAAGCAGTGTCACGCTCCCCTCTTACGTTCGTGCTTGGGCTGTGGGCAGGAAGCTCGTGGGCTGACGTTGACGTTGGCGTATGCAATGCGCGCGTTCCATTCAGGGCCGCACACCTTGTTGGACGAACATGCGGGGTGGGGGGCACATTGCTACTGGCCACCGACGGCTAGCCACGGCCGTCTCGGGCAGGTGCAGCCTCCCAGCTCGCGCCCGGGAGTAATAGTAACCTTGCGTGGACGCAGTGCATACGTTATCACTTGAGTGCGCATCGGCCGTCTATTCCGCGACGCGCGCGGTGTCAAACTGCCTACTACTCCGCCCGTCGAGCTCGCGCTCTGGTTGGACCAAGGACGGGCGCGGGGCCTATAATTCTGTCAGCGGTCAGGGCCGCTGCGGGCCCGGGCGGGTCAGACGTACGTCGCTGAGCACAGTCCTGCATCCCATCCCATCCCCGACGGCGCGCCAGCCCAATCATTGTCGAGTGTCACGTCGCGCGTGCGCGGCTTGCGGCGGCGCCTTCCGTGCATGTGTCTGCCCCGATGCGTCGGACCCATGGAACGTCCCCGCAGCCGTGTGCGACAGGCAGCGTGCACCCGCGCCACGCGTCCTTTGTGGGTGGCCCGCTGCGATAGGTGGGAGATTGGATGCCTATATCGGGACGGGCTGAATGAATGGAGGCGTAGCGGCGCTGCTGCCTCCCCGCCGGCGACGTACGGCATCGACCAAGGCGTGTGCGAGAGCACCTCGAGGCAGCTGTCAGGTGTGGTAGGGGCGAGGACAAGTTGGGCTGCCTGGCCGTCGCTTCTAGTGGGGCAGGACGAGAGTGGTGGGTTGCAGCCCAAAGCAGCGCTGCAGCGCAGCCGGAGCGGAGACGGGGAAGCGCGAAGCTGGAGATGCGGAGGGCGCGCACGTCTCCCGCGCGAGTCGCTGGCGGCCATCGGACGCAGCGGGACGGATCTGGACTGGCGGCGTTGTGCGCGTGAGAGCGGTGCGTGAATGCTGGCGTGTTCGTTGGTGTATCGGGGTGGGCAGTGATAGTTCTGTCTGGAAGTACAGCTAGAAACCCGTTGGAGATTTTTTTTTGCGCTCAGTTGGGAACCCGTCTTCGCCGCAGCCAGCTTCGGAGAGCTGATTTCTGAATGAGCGCGTGACTGCAGTTCTCTTGAGGATGCGGCTACATACCGGTTTGAATCTATAGAATCTCCCCATCGTCGAGAGAAGGCGATTGATTTGCTCCCAGAATTTTTGAATTGAGGGTGGATGCGCTTTCAGGCTGAAATCTTTGATCACCGAAATGACGCGACTCAGGATGTGCGCAAGGCGCTATAGCAGCCTCGCGCGCGAAACGAACGGCTTCGGCACCGTCCCAAAGATCTATCAGGTGGAGCCTTCTGTTCTAGGGTCCTGATTTGGCGCGTCGCGCATGAAATGGTGATACTACGCACATGTTGGGCTCGCGCAAAAAGACCCGCGCCAGTATGGGCGCCTATTCCGACATGAACGCATTAACGCAGAGAATCGTACCAGCACTGAATGGATACCGAGTGACATTGGGAGCCCAAGTTCCGGAGTGCAGGCGTTGAATACGATCCCGCGGAGAGTGCGAGGGCGCGTCCACAGAGTTTGCCAGGTGGGGTATGGGTAAGAAATCCGATACATAGGCAGGAGTGGCTGAGCTCACTTGAGTGTATAACGAAGATCCGCCGTTTTGCGTTCAGAATTTGCGATTGCATTGTGACATCGCGCTTGTTGTGGTTGCCAACTTCCATGATATTTTGCAAGCGCGACACGGCATTCTATCGACACAGCGGAGCCGGACACGGTGGAATGAAGTGGCAGGCACACCCCCGGACTTGATGTCGCGCATCTGTCCGCCAAAGACAGCTGTGGTTGCGTGGTTGCAAGGTTGCGCACATGATATAGTGAAAAGTTGGTGCCTTGAGGCGTAAACCAGTGCAAGTCGGACGTGCACGACCGCTGTCACGTCCGCTCATCCTGCTCATAGTCGTCTGGGTATACAGAAAAGGTAGGTACATACAGCTTCCGCAAGGCGATGACACCAATCTGTCAGGACCGGACTGGTATCGCTATCCACTGCCCGTGCTCTTCCTCTGCGGGATGGAAGGGGACTGCGGGAGGCTGGGCGGCAGGGGCGGCAGCGGTACAGCAGGCGTGTCGCTGCTGATGATATCATGTATGGAGGCCTCCAGCGCGTCGACGCGGCTCGACATCTGTGTCACTGCATGCGACAGGTATCAGCCGAGGTAAGCACGGAAGGAGGCACGGAGCATAGAGGCACGGAAGACGGGTGACGTACTGCGATCGAGGATTTGGGTGGACATATCATCGAACTTCTGGTCGAGCTGCTCCAGCAGTGATTCCACCTGGAGAACGCAGACGCAGCAGCGAGAAGGGCCGCGGTGTCCGACCAGACGCGTATCGGATATAACATCAGCACGGACAAGCACTGGTGGAGGGATCACCGCCGCGTACAAACGCCGTCAGCTCATGGGGGCTCGATATGTCCGGCGGGTTCGGCGCAGGTTTGGCGACCGCTGTGGACGAGGAGGCGGTGGACAACGTAGACTGCGCTGTGGCAGGTCTTGATCCGGGTGCAACGTTGAGTGGGAGGGCAGGGGTGGAAGGCTGCGGGGCCATGAGGTACGAATCCGTTCGCGAGGTGTTTCCGGTATATCCGTCGGTGAAATCGTCGGGGTTAGAGAGCTTGATGCGTGTATAGGAAACCAGAGAGTACGCGAGGTGAAAGACTGAGACGGAATGGTGGTGGTCGACGTCGGGATGATGGATAACCGCGCCGCCCAAGCGCTGCCATTCACCGACGCTGTCCGCATAGACGCCCGTCAGTATACAGGGTCGCGGAGTGCATATATTAAAAGCGGCGACGGGCGGGGTTCTTCTGGCGCGCGGGGCATTGAAGCGGAATTTGATTAACACGTGGATGCTTGTGCGCAAATCGATGCTGGACGATCTCACGGCTCCGCTCCTCCTCCTCTCACCTTGTTGTGGGCCGCTGCAACGGAGATGATGGTATCGACAACGCCGTCTGAAACACGCTAGAGCCCCTATTGTCTGTTCAACATGGGGATCTTCCCGCAGAACATATCGGCCGGCCACGCTGCACATCCGCCATCTTGTCAATCTCAAATCTTTGACGAAAATGCAACATCTGACGGGGGCGCGGCGCCCACTTGCTCCGTCTAATCTTACGTGTTCGGCACGCTCTTTTGTTTCGACGAGTCAGCGGTGCCATATATGGGAATGCAGCCCTCCGAAGCACCGCCCGCCAATATTAAGCAATCAGTGGCCGCGCACGCCGTAAGTAGGCAGAACAATTGCAACCTCTCGCTAACGCCCATATTCGTTCAAGGCGTGTCAAACTCTCTAAATCGGCCTCAGGATGGTTAGAGTGTCCATCGTCGTGTACCCGAGATCGTGCACACGCGTCCGGACATCGAGCACGCCTCTCCCGCCGTTCTCAACCCTCACCCGGGCCTCGCGTGCGGTCAGGGTCGCTAAGAGCTGAGAGCTTATTGTCAGCGCGCCATGCACGTCCGCGGTCTCCCGCCGTCAGGGCGGTCGCTATTCGGCAACCGCGCCGGCTCAAGCTGGCTATCTGGAATCCAACTGGCGGCTCCGTTCCCTTCGCACAGGGAGGTACGTGTCCCAGTCTAGTGGCCTTGTCCAGCCCACCCCAAGCCCCGTATACCCCGTCTCAGCCCCTCTTGTCAATATCGAATGATGCGCTAGTTTCGAATGAGAATGCTCCGGCGTACATTGCAGCGTCCGAACAGCTCCTGTGGTCCCGGGCGCGGGTATTGTGCACTGCGACCCCGAGCGCAAACGTCGTCAATTCTTCGAATATTGATACCCGGCGATCACCCTTGGACCCTTGACAAATTTGGATCATCATACATTGTCGCTTGACAGATTCCTCGCGCCTCGTTCACGAAACAATACGGAACATTTGCCTCCCTCCCCCGGTGACTCCGCATCAAGGCCGCACGGTATATAAGGCCCGGGCGGGCAATTCCCCAGTCGGTGTGGCACGTCGTTCGCTTCTCGCGCTCCTTCCTTTGTACCCCTTGCTCACATCCTCCGCTCTGTATTGTACACCCATGGCTGTACGCGCTGCCGACACCCCCGCCGACGCCCAGATGCCCGTCATCCTCGCTTTCCCTGACTTCATCTCGCCGGTCCCGTACCCCCTCCGCTGCCATGCACAGGAACGCGAGGTTTCGCGCGAGTCCGAGGAGTGGCTTCTCAGCATGGCGAACTTCTCGGAGAAGCAGCGCGCCAAGTTCCTCACTCTGAACGCCGGTCTCCTCAGCGGCATGTGCTATATCGACTGCTCGTTCGATGAGCTCCGCGTCTGCACCGACTTCATGAACTTCCTCTTCACCCTCGACGACTGGACAGACGAGTTCGACGTGACAGGGACGCGCGGCCTCGCGGAGTGTGTGATGAACACGCTCTACTGGCCGCACACGTACTCGTCGGATACCGCAGCGCACAGGCTCACGAAGTCGTAAGTCGCTGTGCTATGATCTCCTATGATGACCGGGGCGCTCACGTGCCTCTCCTTCTTTTTGTTCTTGCATTGCCTCGCGGCATTAGGTTCTGGGTGCGCATGCAAGAGACCGCAGGCCCTGGTTGCCAGCAGCGCCTCATGTCCACGCTCGACACCTACTTCCAAGCAATCATGCAGCAGGCGGACGACCGCGGCTCCGAGAACATCCCTGAGTTGGAGGAGTACATCCTGCTCCGCCGCGACACAAGCGGCTGCAAAACGGGCTTCGCGTTCATTGAGTACGCGGCGCGCATCGACCTCCCGGACGACGTCGTCGAGCACCCGATCATCAAGGCGCTCGCTGACGCGACGAACGACCTCGTGTCATGGGCAAATGTGAGTGCTGAATTGCTTGGCGCTAAAGCGTGACAGAGCCTTACGGGACGTTGCCTCTCCAGGACGTGCTCTCATACAATGCGGAGCAAGCCCGCGGCGATGTAAGTCCCCTTATCGCCTGCTCCGCCGCCCGCCCCCGAACGCAGCTGATGGTCCGCGGGGATGCTGTTGATAGACGCACAACCTCGTCTGCGTGCTCATGCACATGAACGGCGTTGACCGGCAAGACGCGATTGAGCTCGCCGGGGAGCTCTGGACGAAGACGCTCGAGTGGTTCTTCGAGTGCCGCAAGGTCGTCCCGTCTTGGGGCGCCGAGATCGACCGGCAGGTCGCGCTGTACATCCAGGGGCTCGAGGACTGGATCATCGCGAACGCGGAGTGGAGCTTCGAGACGGAGCGCTACTTCGGCAAGGACGGCCACGCCGTGAAGAAGTCGCGCAAGGTCGCCCTCCTCCCGCAGCGCGTCCGCGCATGAGCGCCCTGCGCGCGCGCTCATCGCGCCATTTTTATTATATCTGCGGCTCGAAGAGGTGAGCGCTCCGGCTGTCCGGGCATGTGCGTGGTGGCTGACGGGTGTGTGGCAGCCGCAGGATATTTCAGAGCTTGGATAGTGTACACTCTAGCGAGGAAGCCTACTATCACCCTAATGCCTGCAGCGGGCCAACCTAGGATAGTAGTGCGCGGTATGCAGTTAATGACCCCCCTTAGACCACCCACCAGCATGTATCGTTTCCGTAGGCCCCTATGCGCGACCGTTCGTTCGTTACTACGCCCCTTCGTGTTTATTCGTTCTTTAGCTACACACTACGAGACTACGTTCGTTTAGTACCTCCCACCTGTAGCACCATATCGCCTCTCTTAGATTAGTACTCGTCAATCAGCAATGCGATTTGTCTGCTGCCTACTGTTCGGGAGCGTGTCTCGGGTGCGGTGCACAGGACCTTGTTGGCTTTGCGAATCAGGGCGGGTTCCATTGTGAACATGTCGCGCGTGTGAGCGGGGGTGTGGTCGGATTGGACGGTGCTCAGGCTGGCAGATGGGTCGCGCTAGGTGGGTGTGTTCCCCTGGGGGTCTGGAATGCTGCTGCGTGTGTGGTGCGGCCGCACCTCTGCGGAACGATCCACGAAGCTGGGGTCAGACCCGCACCTGAACTAGCCTCTTCGATCCCAGTTCGCGCTCTGGGAGGTGAGAGGAGGAGGGAGCCGGGGGCGGTCGAGGCCAGCGCAGGTCGGGGGCGCGGGCCGGGAGGCGCCGGGGTGTGTGTGCACGAACGGCCGGAGTGGGCGGGAAGTGCGCTCGGTTGGCTCAGGTCCGCCTCCCAGGAGCCCTGGAGTCGTCAACTGCTGCCTAATCCTTTCTGCCAATTTGTGTGGTGCCCGCGCATGTCACCGGTATGAGCACATCCCATTGCGCGCCGCCAAGGGCTCGGTTCGCTGCCCGCCCCCTGCTCAAGGGCAGCTGCCTTCCCGCGTTGGGCCAGGTGGATCGTCGGCCGTGCCCACAGGCACACGGTGTCCACCGACGGGCCATCGCCGACCGCTATCAAGCCATATAAGTTCGTCAATGCGACGGTAAGCATCACCACACAGGCTGTTTCCATCACGCGGCTTTCTGACCAAACGTACAAGGCGGCGGCGCCTGTGCCAGATAGAATTCGGCTCGTAGACGCGCGCCCCGCTCTCGGATATCGAGCAGAAGCACCCTCTGCGCCGGGGGTGCTAGTCTGCCCGCCATGACAGAGTGCACACAGCGACTCCGCCGCTGACACCGCCGAACAGGGCTCTCCGCTTGCGCAATGAAATGTCGCGCCTCGGCCCGCTCAATCCCCCGGACAGTTATTCTGTGGGTGGAGAGACACGCCGCCCCCGTGGGGTCCGGGCACATACCTATGCAGTAGCCTGTACTGCGGCCGGTGCGAAAAATACGGCAGGATTGGTCCCTGTCAGGCTGCTTCGCCCCAGACTTTAGGCACACGGTTCGGAGTGTGCAGCTGTTTGCGCTTCCGGAAGGGCGCAGCCGGACGAGCCTCCTGCGGCGACCTGGCCTCCTTTGTCGCTTTCTCGACGCGACGGCGATGACCCACTCTGCTCGCTAGACTTCTCGGCTCCTTTGCGCCGCACTGTCGAGCTCTTCTCCCTCGACGGCCAGCTCCGGCGGCCACCCCGCGGCGCGCTCGCTAATTCACCAAGCGTCTTCTCGCGTGGCTGCCGCTGCCTTCGACCCGGATCTTCACGCAGGGGTCAGCTCATGCCCGGTATACGCCAGCGACACTTGGAAGAGACGACCCATCCGCAACTTACCGCCGAACGAGAATGACAGCAACGCTTCGCCGCCGAGTGTTCTGGGAGGGGTCATAGCGCAGGCTATCTCCGGTGAGTATCCATCCCAATCTTCTCGCCCTAAACCCCGCTGCTGAGCGTACACTATCTAACTGAGTTTAGCACACATCCATCCTCGCGAACCTACGTCAATGCGTCATCACCCGCCCACCGTTCTCCGCCGGCACGCCACGCACCCGGCATGCCCTGCGACGCCCTGCTGCCGTTCAATATTTATCCACATCACCAGACTCGAGAAGTGGGCCTCTTCCTTCAAAAGATCGTCGTGGCCTCCCCCCCGCTCACATGCTGTAAAGCGACCGCACCGTGCCACGGACGGACCCTCTGACGACGCCCCTTCTCGACACCATTCGGCCGTGTTCCTCAGGATCGGTTATCGGCACCCATGCCGTCTGACCAACGCTCAGGGCTTCGTAGCTGCGTGGGTGAGTTCTTCTATGCTTTCTCCCGACGAGCCCTTATGCACGCCCACGCTACGCCATTTCTTCCTGCTATTCTCTTGATTCGTGCGCTCATCGCTCCTCCGACGCAGCTGCGGTGGGGCCCTTCCGGGCCTTCGCACCATATCGGAAGCCATCAGCTGCTGAAGAATACACGTGTATCAGTCGTGTACCCGGCCCATTTGCACCCCGACCGCCAGACGAGGCGGGCGGAGTGCGACTCGCCTCCCCACCTACCCACCGCCCGATCCCAATCCTCCTTCTCCCGCGACCGTGCACGGGCCGAGCACAGAATCTGCGATCGCTATCGTCGGCAGCCCATCTCGGAACGATCTCCAGCACCCCCATCGTGCGCCCTGTCGCTACACAGCGCTACACACGCCCATGGCCGATCGGTCCTCCGCGAAGCAGCGGCGCCCGCATCGAAACGGCGACAAGCTCGCTTTGTTGGCAGCCCCTCGTGTACGATGCATCCCCCTTTGCCGTCAGCGTTACCTAAAACCACCCCGCGATTGCCAGATTCAGCCCGCGAAACTCGGTTGCCGCGTCGAAGCTTTGTGGCGTCCTCCGTGGAGGTTCGCGGACCGCTGGGCATCGGGGGTTGTGCACGCAACCCGATAGGCAACCCGGCCGCCGTGCGAGACGACTTCACACCTCATGTAGGTTTGGACCGCTTGTACGTCCTAGAGCCGGCTGCAGAACATCGCAGTACGTTGTCCCTTCATTGCTCCGTCGTGTGCGCCCGAACAGGCCGTCCACTCTGGACGCCGAGGCACCCCCTGGGCCCTAATTGCACGATTGGGAGCCGAGGGTGTTCCCCGGCGCATCCTGATAGCCCTTACATGCAAGCCCTGCATTTGGCAGAATACGGAACCACGCGCCGCGTGGTTCCTGTTGGTTTCTGTCACCCGCGAGTGCCAGGCCGCGCCCTTCCGCCACGGCCTGCTCGGTTGCTGCTGCGTTACGGAACGTCGTATTGCGCCCGTGACTCGCGTTCCTATCGAGTGTGGGCGCTGTGGCGCCGTCCAGCACTCGCCTGATCTCTGTGAACCTATTCGAGATGCTAGTACTGGTCCTCGCCCGCGTGGTCTACGCCGTCGGCGTCGAGTCCGAGATCAATGGATCGCACCGTGAATGACAGAACCCTGTGAGGCCTCTACAGTGTGCACGGATCAAACTTTATCGCCCTCGGGCGGTAGTGGATGCCCGCTGTCGGCGCCCCCATGTTCGTCCACAACTACTTGGAACATTTTTGCTCCAGCCCGCCCGTGGAGCACGTCCTCTGTCAATATCTCCTCGATTTTCTCCCTCCTGACACTTCGCGGGGCCGCGCTGCCAAGGCAAGGTTGTAGCTGATCCAACCGCGCTGTGTCAGCGAAAGGGGCGCGGGAAGATGCCGTCCATCAAGGGACAAATTGGTTCCGCGAACCATTTGGTCCACGAAGAAGTCGGAGCCGGTCGTTCTCTCCAGTTAGATTTTCGTCGAACGCGGTCCATTGCACCCGCACCCACATCGCAAGTCAATCTATCTTTTCGTACGTACGGCATATTCGCGAGCAGCGCTGATTACTTACGCTACAGGACTCTCTAGAGGTGCCAGAGGCTCTTGGCAAACCTGTCGCGTGTGTCGCATGCTGGCAAGATAGCCAATCGATGTGCCAGATGCCTCCCGACAGACGCGATCCTCCTCGTCGGGTGCGGGAACGGGCGTGTATGTTTTCTCATCCCCGAGACTTCCCTCTGCACTTCTCGGACTCACCCGGAGTCAGCAGGCCAGATGATCCAGCCCGTTCCTGGTGGAGCCCGCGCAGCCAATAGTGCCCTGTCCTAACGACACCGCTGCCACGAGGTTCGACCCGTACCTCCGTCCACCCGCCCCCAGCACGTAAGAGCGGGCGTGGTCGGTGTCGAACGCGCTCTCAAATGGGGTCGTCGGCCAGCGCCCCGTCGGACGACGCCTATACCGATGATGGTACCTGCATTCCCCGCGCGCACGCCCGCGCGCGTCGCGGCGCCGGCGGAGTAGGTGCAGTCTATCGATCGTCCGTCGCTCGCGCGTGCCAACGGGAGTCAGCGGTCGGTAGGATGGTGATCATCGCGACAACGTGGTGAGGATTCGAAGGTTCAGTTTAGGCATAAGGCTGCCACTTCTGTCTTTCCCGAGCACTTGCAGGCTGTGTCGTTAGCGGGGCTCTTGATGAAGGAGCCGAATAACAATCGGGCAATGTGCTGCGCAAGCGGTTGCAGGCGCGGGGCGCGGTGCCCCCAGGCAGCCCGAGGACTTCGCTGGGTTTGAAAGTACGCGGACCATCTGCAGTAACCTGGAGGAAGAGAACATTGCGCCGATCTAACCGCGTGGGCAGGAGACCGCTGGGGCGCTGGGCGGGAAACCTGATGGTCAGTCTGCAATTGAGTTAGTGAAAAAAGGTTTAGCGGGGTTTCGGCATGGAGAACAAGCTGGAACAAGGTTTCGTTATCGACACATCGATGGAACGTACGGAATGTATTGGGAGGGCTACTGCAACCCCCAGGCGGTCGCACCTGCCCAAACGGCGGGGCAACAGCAGTTCCATAGTGCCTGTGTCTCCGTCTCCCCGCCCCAAATTGGACATATAGGGCCCTTAGACCTGTGCCCAGCGTCAACCTCGTATCTTCCGGCCGGCCCATGCGAGGGGTTTACTGTAATTAGCAAAGGCGTAAGGTTCACATCCATGAGAGGGTAAAGACAACCCCAGCTTCTCTTCGGAATTGGGTGGGCGTTCTTACGGCAATATGTTCGACATACGGCCAGGCAGTGAGAAACGGGGTCCAGGTGGCACCGAACCCATCCAATCGGTCGAATGCGCGACTTGGTCCCTTCCAGCGAGGCGTCCTGCACATCTTCGCGATGCCACGCGTCTGACCCTCCATGTCATCGTTTTGGTGCATGTGGCAACCGGTGCAGCTCTCGAGCTAGTTCGACGTTGTTTAGTATTGATGGGAAGAATTGGTTAGTGGAGTACAGCACTGCGGGGGGCACGTTAGAGCGAGGGTATCACGGATCGGTGTTCACAGAAGCGCCGCGGAGTCATCCAGCAGGCAGCCTGTGGGGGCGCAGATGAGATCGGCATGGGCATCGCGGTTTTGGGCACAGACTTTGGGCGCGGGCGTGACTGACGGTCGGGTCGTGTACCTAGGAATTCGGGCCTGTACGCTCCCAGCAGCTGTATTGTGTAAATGGTGATGATGCGCATCATGCACTGATCGATGTAACACGCACTTCCCAAAGCAACCGTCGAAGAATCCGCCTGTGACTGAAGACGGACCAGCTCCTTAAAATGCAGGTCGCGCTGCTCAACCTACGACGCTCCGCCCACCCCACTCACGCACCTAACGACTACTCATCGCCACCAAAGCAATGGCCATGTCCACCGACATCCCGTTGTTTGAAGGTTTCGTCGACACCACTATGGACGCCCTGCGGCTCATCGAGGTCAGCGTCCGAGCCCGTTTGCCGTCTCTACCAGTCGCGCTGACGGGACCCGTGCCTACGCGCTAATTTCTACGCGGGCTATTGTCGACCCTCAGGCAGCGCGCCGGGGATCGATACCCCGGGTCACCCGACGGCTGAACGACTTCGAGCGGAGAACGATGATCAAGAGCGGAGCGGTGTTCATATTCAGCGTCGAGGAAAGCGGCATCAAACGCTGGACGGAAGGCCTAGCGTGGTCCCAGTCCCGGATATCCGGAAACTTCCTGGTGCGTCCTTTGTACCAAATGTGGAATCGTTCTGACTGTTCGGTCAGCTCTACCGGGAAGTCGCGGATCGGAGCGCACGTACCGCTCACCACTTCGCGGACCTGCCAGGGTATTCCCCCGCCGGGCATATGCCGGAGCCGCACCTGAGCTACAAACCGCGGGGTTTGATTAAGAAGGTCAGACTTCATACTTTGGCTAGGTTCACAAGCGCAATCCTGATCGCAATGGTCAGCAGACGATCACGGTCAAGATTGACGGCTCCGACTACCACCTCATCTCCTATTACACCCAGGAGGATCTAGCTGCCGGCCTTTTACGAAGGCCCACAAGCCGTCCAGATCTCATGTCGATTGAAATACCGCCGGAGCTCACGCGGTCGACGAACTTTCGTTACCCGCCCAACCTTGAGGAAGCCCACGACGTGAGCACGGGGAATTCCCATAGGTGTGTTCTTCGGCGCAGATCCCAACCTAGACGACCCCCCACTGACGCTGTTACGTTGCGGTGGTGGTCAGAAGTGACAGAGATGCGATAGATAATCAACCAATCCACGCACCTGGCCCACACTCGCCGCCCAGCCTACACGGCGGTGTCCCGTCCTCTCCAGTGGGCGAGGACTCCTCGGGGATGCCACACGGGCACTTCGCACGTCATAGCGGCGACCCGTCCAGCTACTACTACCATGGCCAGACGCGCTTGGGCTCGCTCGACACCGCTCTCGGCGGCGGCTCTCCCCACGCGCAGCCCGCAGTCTCGCCGCTCGTCGTTCCAGCCCAGCACCGAACACACCCTTATGCGCGCAGAAATGGGGGTCCGGCCTCACCAACTTCTTGGCACGCCTCCCCATACGACACGATGACAGCATCGACGGCCGCGCCGGCGATGTACCCTAACACCACCTACTCTGGCGCCGGCCACCTCAGTCCCACGTACGACGAGCGACGCGGGAGCAGCTGGACTTCGCACGCCGTAATACAGTCCGCCATGCAGCCGGACGCCCATCGGAGCATCGCTGAAGGAGGATCCGATGGGAGTCCTACCGCAACGTCGTCGTGGTCTCCCACAGGCTCACCCATTCACGGTCCGTCGCTCGCATCTGCCCCACCTGTCCCCTTCTCCACGGCAGCGAACTTGCCAGGAGGCCGAGGAAGGGACCACTTGCGGACACGCTCCTACCCTTCCATGCAGTGGCAGTACGACCAGGCAAGCGCGCTCCCGCATTCATCTCAGGGGCATCACCACCCGGTTCCCGCGTACCCCATAGAACGCGGGCCCCCAGCGGGGAGCCTCGAACATTACCAGCGATACGGCGGCGGAGATGCGGGACATTCCGGCCGATAGTAGCAGCAGTGTGGGGGACGTAAACGGACTCGGGATCGGACACGCACCGGACGGACTATCTCGATACACAGGACTTCTTGAGCAGGCTCACGGGGTCGTAAGCGCATGTCGTATGCAGCAGTTACATTACCGAATGATGCATTCGCACTCCAGGAACGAACAGTCCCAAACAGGAGCGGCCGCCGTCAGAACAGAAGAGTCGCGACGCCGTCTCGCAGAAGCATGTGGCGGTTGTGATGCGTCAATTGAGTCCTGGAGCCTACGAGCTGGCAGACAAGGTAGGAAACCTTTGGCAGTCCGGACGACGTCACCACTAAGTGTTCCCAGCGGTCTGCCGTCGCTCGATGAACCCTCGAATGTTAGCGTGGCCTTCTACGCTGCCGAAGAAACACCGTCGAGAGGCGTTCTCCCATAAGACGACGTCGAGTTGCTTCGCATAGTTGAGGACGTATTCGTAGTCGGCCTGGGAAGCGAAGGCGGTATACAAATACCCTGCCGACAGCCAGAAGATCAGTCCTCGTGCTCGATGACGTCGTTGAGCTTAAATGGCAGGAGTAGTGACCTTCTTGCGACTTCATGCGATTTTTCTCAAGCTCCCAGAGCCGGATTTGATCCTGGACGGTGACGGGAAGGAGAGGTTGCTGAGACGAGCTCGTTCAGTGCCGTCTCCCGGTAAGAATCGACGGCGACTTTCAGCACTCACATTCTTTCGCATTTGAGGGTGCGCATGTGTGACGAGGTAGCTGATGATCTGGACAGGCAGACGTCGGCAAACCGTCTACGGCATGCAAGGATACGGACATGCTTACTTGGTCGGCGGTAATGCCGCTGGCGAGCGCCTTCTTGACACTATCGCGCGTTATTGCTCCGATAACGAGGTTTGGGAATCGCGACTTGAGCGTCACGAACAGGTTCAGGACAGCAATCTGTAACGGGTTATCTGTATTTCCGTGACACTCAGCGCTCATAGTATTACGGATTGGGCGGCTCACCTGTATACGCATACAGACGGTAGTTGGTCTCAAGGACGATGAACCCCTGAGCGTGCGATCCGTCCCCCGAACCGGCAGACGTGGGAAGTGGGGGGGATGAAGACGTCAGCGTAGTGGCTAGTCGAGTCGGACTGAACCTCCGTGAAGTTGGCTTCGGCACATCGGGGGAACGTTGAGTTATTAATAAGTGTAGAGAATTGGAGGCAAAGGTGCTTACCGTGCGCTGCTTAATCAGCCCATAATCGCGAAGGTCGTCAAGCATGGTTTTCTGAGTGGGACTCAGGTTCTCCGTGGAATAGTTCTAGGAACGTTAGACAGGGGTTATTGCGTCATCTTCGCGGGAGAACGGCCACGCTCGAATACCTTCCCTAGCTCAGTCGTGGACAGCATCAGGAGAAAGCTGATCACTTCTACAAGATCCATTTGTCTTTCCTATAGGTGGCTCTGCTTCTCAGACGCAGTTTCAGACTAGGTTGGATGGAACTGACCTCTGCCATTTGGAGGTACTGGAGCAGTAGTTCCCAGAGTTGGACGTGCGGCGGATGGAGAAGGAATTGGAAGCCACCGGACGTAATCTGCAATGCGCCGCTACTCGCGCTGAATGACGCGTTGGAAGGAAAGAGTAAGATTGGACTTACTGAACCCGAGCCATGAGGCCACTTCTTTCCAGCAGGTACAACACACCTTTGGACGGCTGTGAAGGGAACTCCCCCGTCCCAGACGAAACCATATAGTACAGGATAGTCTGTCCCCGAGATCAGCCGGAGGTAACGCGCTTAGCGGTGCGAATGTACCTCCCAACGCTCAAGAGCATACCCGTCCAGGGCATCGATCTCTGGGGGAGGATTTTTGTCGTCGTTCTCTATGAGTACCCCGAAACTGCCGCTTGTGCCACTGCAACAAAGCGGTTACGTGTAGGAAAAGTTCGCAACTTTGCACACCAGTACACACCCTCCGGTGATCGCTTGCCGCAAGCCGGATTTGAAAGTGGGGTTCAAGGAGTGTTTCGAAGTTGATGGTGGCAGAATATGCAACCGCGCCAATGTCGACAGCGCGTCTTGGTATGGTCTACAGGATGTCAGTTAAGCGATACGCAATGCATGCACCCGAACCTACTTCTTCCCCTCACGCGTCACCCACGCTGCCATCGTTGACGGGGGTATTGGCAAATCGAGCCACAGGAGGTTCATGACGAGTTGTCGTTCCAGGGGCCGCAACAGCCTAAAACCGGGAGTTTGAACTTGGCCACGAACATTGATGACTCCCAAGACTCCCACCTAAAGATCGAGAGACAAGCGGAGGGTTTCTGGTACAGCCTCGTCAACATGTTCTGCGACTGCGACTGCAGAAAGATGACGAGGCTATGAGACACATCCTCGGTCCCCGCGTTCGCGTCTTTGGTGCCTTCCGCTGCGGCTTTGATGGTGATTGACGGCATGTCGGAAGCCCGACGATACGTACAGGGCAGCTAGGGTATATTCAGTAGCAATAAATGTCTATAAATGCGTCCAAATGAGTTTCTGATAAGCTGGAAAGCACGAATGAGCGGGAAGATTCTCACCGTGATGACGACGAGAGCAAACCATGAAGCACACCAGAGGCGCCCATGGCACACTTGCCTTTGCACCGCCACCCCCACGTGCGAGCTTCATGCGCTTACGCGTTTAGACGCGTCAGCCGCGTCCAGGACCATACGCGTTCTCTCCTTCCACACGTCCACCACATCCGAGCAAACGAGCGATACAGTCACTGAGTCGAGGAAAAAAGATGGCGAACAACTCTTTACACACCGCGGCACTGAACAGTACGTTACTCACATTCGATAACCCGAAGAGCCAGGAGCTCACGTACGAGTTCGCAGAACAGTACGGTCTAGTGCGATCGTTGGTTTCTCAGGACCCAACCCTTGTGAATGCGGTTGATGAGGTATAGCCCGAAGATCTTCTCGCGATCTATACTGTGCGAACTTCTAAATGCTCCGCAGGATGGACGCACGCCTCTCCATTGGGCAGCGACCTCGAACTCCGTGGATATAGCCCGCTATCTCATAGATCAGGGAGCCGACGTCAACCGTGGTGATAGTGGCGGCTGGACGCCTCTCCACATTGCTGGTATGCCCGCTACATCTGATTTTCGTACCGGTCATAGACTCGTGTGCCTTTGCGCTAACCTCCGTTTCTTGGCTAGCGTCTGGTGGTTTCGAGGACGTGGTCACGGAACTACTGGGTTCTGGAGCAGATGTGAATCAAGCAAACGCGAAGGGCCTCACTGCTCTGTCAGCTTCAGTTCCCCGTGCGACGTGGCCGGTGCTAACGCCCTGACACAGGCACTACGCTGCTTCAAAGTCCCGTGTCGAGGTATTCCATTTTCTATCTTGGCATCAAGCTGAACCCACGCTCACATTTCCGCAGATTGGAAAAGTCCTGATCGCACGGGGTGCGGATGTTCGTGTTCTTTACGTGGGTCTGTGCTGCGGTTACTCACGCCCTCCCAGATCAACGCCAGAGATAAAGCCAATCAACTGCCTTTGTCGGTGACCAGCCCCTAGGTGGTAACCATGACGCTCAGCTAAAGCGGAGTACCCTCACAGGCATAGGGCGGCGACTACTGGATCTACTGGATTCATCAGCCTCCTTCTCAAGCCGTCGGAAGGGTCTCCGAAGGCGCGCCTGAACACCGCGGACCGTGTCGGTGCGTCTCCGCCGCCACTGGCACACGCAAATCATCACCGAGACTGACGCCCCCGGCATACAGGTAATACGCCGTTGCATCTCGCGATGGAATCTGCGCACGCAGAAGCAGCCTCCCTACTAATCGAGGCAGGCGCAGATCGTGAGCGGGTAAGCATGCGGTGGTGCGCGCGGACTCCGCCGTTGCTGACGCGATTCTCGGTCAGACAAACCTCAACGACGAGATGCCCGAGGACATGGAAGGTGTGGGCGGACAGGAGCAGAAGCGGGCCCGGGCATACGTCAATGAGCGTTGCGGCAAACGGTGACCGGCCATTCAACGACTCGCAAGAGCAGTCCGCTCTCTCGATCGGGCTGAGTCGCCAGCAAGTAACCGGAAGTGTAAGTCTAATCCTGTACTGTCTACTGTATCCAAATCGGAATCTCGGTATCTATCGTCCACTCGGCCAACACCTTCGCATGGGACCTCTGTCGAATAGACGAAAAAGGTGCCCATCTATACCAACGGCAAGTTACTGGGACGGCAGTGTAACTGCATAGAAGAGAAGGCTCGCCTCGACCGCGAGAGCAGCCGGAAGATCCCAGGGCAAGCACCTTTTGCGCAATCGGCTCGACCATCAGGTTGCGGGGATCTGGCTGGATGAAAGTCAACTTGACAGACCGGTCCTGGGCCAGCGACGCCGCGCGGCGACGCTGCAAACGGAAGGTGACTTACGACGGTCGTCGTGCTTCGGGAGGAGTTTAACGAGGCGGTGTTTCTTGACTGACAAGCCGTCCTTGCCAAAGTACCGCGTAGACTCGAAGCTCCAGTGGAGGGAACCTACGATCCAGTTCTGCAGGCCCTGGACGTATGTCGCAACGTCCCTGTCGATCTCGGGGCCCCAGGACGGGAGCAGCCTTCGATCTTGCTCAAAGCGATCGATGGACGCTTTGCACAGGACTCCGACGGCGTCCGCCGCTTCTTGCAGGCCCAGGTCCTGCCGGTGCATGATCACGGCGATCATGTTGTGGGAGTCCCGCCGAGCCTGCTCGACGTTATACGAGAAGAGGTCCTGGCAATCAATCACGCATTAGCTGTGTATAGGATTGCAACAACCGCGGACAGCCGGTGACAGACGTTGGACCACGTTACGAAGGAGTTCGTCGCTTCTTCCAGAGCACGGATCGTGGGATGCGATATGACTTCCTCCGGAAGGTCGATGCCCGCGGCATACTCGATGAGCGCGAAGCACGGCTTGCAACCACCCGTTTCCCACCGCAGCGCAATGTACTCCTCGAGGGTAGGCACGTCTTCACGCGCCCGGTCCCGGGCCTGTTGGGCAATCGCCTGGAAGAAAAGGTCCATCGTGTGTATGAACCGCTGCGTGCACCCAGGGCCGGCGGTCCGGCGACACCGGCTAAAGAAGCTGAGTGGTCCAAAGTTCAGCCTGCCGGTGAGCGCCTGCTTTGCCTGCCCAATTTGAACATGCAGATCCTGACGCACCTTTTTGCCAGCTTCCCTGCAGCCTTGGAGGTCTGGAACCCCACGGGGTCATCGAGCGCACACATCACGCACTGCGCGAGTCCATAGTTGTCGTCCGCGTCAAACGCGTCTGACCAGTCGTCCAGGGTGAACAGGAAGCTCATGAAGTCCGACACGACCTGAAGCTGATCTGCCTCGGCATCTGGGTAGCATACGGCAGTGAGTAAGCCTGCGCGCAGGCCTAGGAATGCTTCCTTGCGGGTCGTGGAGAAGTCAGCTTCCGCGAGCAACCAGGACTCTGATGTTCGAGAGACCGTCGCCGCATGTTGATTGAGCCGTTGCGGATATGGGCAGTGGGAGACGAGATCGGGAAGGATGAACTTGCGAGGAGCCCGCGGCATATCGAGAGCGATCGTCCTGGTGCGAGCAAGCTGGTAGCATAGAGAGCACTTATATACCTTCAGCGCGACGGCCTGCCGCCACCGGTGCCGACGGGGGCACGCTCTTCAGGGGAATCATAGCCTTTTGTCTTCTCGCAAAACTCGTGGTGTGCACGCAGCGTTGTGGCTGTAGAGCGCGCCAGGATGGAGAGCGCGGTGGACGAGATGCCACTGCAGCCGCAGCATTGAGAGACTCCGTAATGAGAAGCATTGGAACGCGTTTGCCTCGTATCTGAGCGCCGGTCTGCTTTGATGAACCTTATGATAGGTACATCAGCATCTCATTTCTACCGTGATGAACGTACTCACTATGTTTTCCTTTGTCTTCAGCCCTTTGTCCGCATGGTTTGCGTCCTGCAAATGCGGGGCATCAGCCGGGATATTCTGGCCAAACATACCCGGGGATGTGTGGGAGACGGAGAGGTAGAGGTATGTGAAGGTCCGACGTGGTACTTGATCCCTTTTGGTAAGTCCAAGTGAACATCATGAGTTGCGGTAATCCGGGGTTCCAAGAGCACACCATTACCAGCGTTGCCGCCGATCGGAGTTGAGGCCAAGACATCGCAGGCGCAAGCCCGGATACTAGATATGTTTTCCGGCTTTCCCAGGCTTGACCGGGCGCCGCAACGATGTCTATACAGACCATGCACAACAGGTGAGGCCGGTTGAAGGTCGGAAGTGCGAACCTTTCCATTCACCAGGCACTGAGGCCATGTATTGAACGCTGTCAGGGAGCGCATGTAGTGCAAGTGGCTATTTTGGACAGCCAGAGGATTGCAAGATCGACACTATGAACGATGCCTCGCAAAAGCCTGCTGTTCGTATCGTGAGCCAAGGGCGACCTAGACAAACTCCTAACAATCAGTTGTGATTAAACAATACTCAGGGCTACACGCACCCGCAGGCATTTCAAGGCATTGCCGAACATACGCCCTAGGCGCGACACGGATAAGAAAAGCTGTGAGCACGAGGTTTCGTGTACCGCGCCGAACCGAACAGTGAGCCCCCAGGGTCCCGCGCCGTGCATCGGACATACACTGCGGCTAGCCGCTATCGTGTATGCACCGGTTCCAGAGCATCCGAAGTGCATTGTAGCGCGTGTACGGCGGCTTCGAGGACCAGCGCGTGAGCTGCATCTTCATCAAGGAGCCATGTCAACGGCCCGTCGGGACCAGAGCGACCTTCCAAAGGGGCATAGAGAAGATTTGTGCGATGTCTGGTGACTGTTGAAACGTTCAAGGGGGGACGGGGTCTAGCGTTCCAAGACATGCCAAGGTGCCAGGGACGGGTGGTTTGAATGAACAAGAGATCGCAGCTCCCCATGCGTCCCTGGAGGGTGCGAGCGGCGTACTTTCTTGAGCCGTATGTAACTCCCCGATGATGACGTCTGGATCCAGTTGAGTAAAGGCACATATACGCACATAGAGTTTCGGAGAAGGCAAGCTCGGCGCGCATGGAGAGGTTCATCAAGGTATGGATTTCACATGCATCCAGTATTTTAGCTCAAGCGTGCACATCCTGCAGTAGCGGCGATGAAGAGATATTAAGCGCATACAGAGAGCGGCATCCCTTTCTTGCGCATGCCAGTCATAGAGGGGAGTACGTAGAGCGATGCGTAGATGATCGTAGTTGGCAGACAAGTCGGTGCATGGGCGCTACATCCCTCCTTAGACACAAACCTTCATGTCGACAGCCCAGCACCAACGATAGACAAACCCACGCCGCTAGATCTATGCTAGCCTCGCAAACTTGAGTTAAAGATAAGTATCTCACCCCTCGCAGGGGCGGATAGAGGGAGCCAAGCGAGCATATTTCCAACGGTGAGTAGAATCGCGCCCGGCTGTCCAGCTAGTGGCCGCCACTTACACGCTTGGCAGAATTAGACACTATCGCTACTGGACAGAGCAATGCATGGGAAAGTCAGTCGCCTGATATCAGCTGTTATTTGCGACATTCGCTCCGTACCCTCTTCATCGTCTTGCCTGCTCCCTACACATCCTCAAGAAGTCCCCGGAAATGTCGCTACCTGAGTATCGGTCCAGTTCCGCAGCCGCCTCTCAGCTGGACATAGACCAGTCCGCGCTTCCGGGATACAGCCGCACGACTATGACCGTTTGGGACGTCCCTCCGGCGGAACAAGAACATCAGTATCACTTGACGGACAAGAAGACCGGAGCGCAATGGCTCACAATGACAGTCATGAGCCGAGCAAGTTCCGCCAGTGAACAGCCCACCTTCTATCAAGGCGCCAATATTGCGGGGTCTTTGAAGCTTGATTTGGAGAAAGAGGTTCTCGTGGATGAGGTCACCCTTGCTGTGAGTGCGTCCGCCAAAGAGCGCATCCTTCATAGTCCACGCCGTGACTCGAGCATAATGTTATTGCATCTCGTACATCTTCCCTGCACCTATCTAATGCATTCAAATTGCAGCTATACGGACGTCTCAGCATCTTCTCGCACTCCACCTCCAACTTCTTCTACACCTCGAAGACGCTCTATTCCGCAGCCGAGCAAAGCCCCAGCGGCTCCCCCGTGACCTCTCTCTTGAAACGCGGCAGGCTCCAAGGGCACTACGACTGGCCATACTCCGTGCGACTCCCAAAGGGCGTCAGCATCCTCTCTGCGATCAACGACGGCCGGGCAGAGCGCACAAATTATCGCCTACCGCCCAGCTTCTCGGACAAGCGATTGAATGCCCATGTGCAGTACACGCTCGTTGTCCGCGTCACTCGCGGCGGGTTCAAGGGGGGCAGCAAGTGCGCACTGGCCGTCTAGTCTTGGTGGCTGGCTTGCTGACTGGCATATAGGCTCACCGTTCCGCTCAATTACATACCGCTTGCGCGGCCTAGCCCGCCTAGCATCCTCAGACAGCTTGCATACCAGGAGGACCATCCGCTTGTAGGGCCCGACGGCGATCCGGATGGCTGGAAGGCTCCCGAGCCTGTTAAGATTGAGGGTTTCTTATTCAAGACCGTCCGCGTTCGAGCAACATGTGACGTACGTTCTCAATCTCTGGCTTTGGTCGTGGAATATACTCATATAAGCTACAATATTAGCTACGCATCTCGAAGCCTGTTAGTGCTCACTACGTGTCATTAGCACGACTCACCTGATTATTCCTTGTAGCTCTCATATACCCGCGGCGGGCTTGTTCACTTGCTCTGCTCCATACGCAGCGATAACCAGCAGTTTCTCGACCTCGTCACACCTCAGTGCATAAACCTGGCCCTTGTCCAGCGCATCACCTTTGGCGAAGCCGCACAGAAGACACGCTTCTCCGAACGGCTCGAGGCGCAAGCGACTATCAAAACAATCGAGCGTGCCTCCGCGTCGTGGTGGCGAGTGCCCGCGGTGGACGAACCGGGGGTGAAAGCGTTTGCTGGTGAACTACGGGTTCCCGCAGAACTTGCTCCTGCTTGTCAAATCTTACACTATGGCCACGAGGTGAGTCCCTGACGCTCTCCTAAGCCGTGCATGTCTGACGCTGACCATCATAGTACGAGCTGATCTTCCGGGGCCTTGGCGCAGTAGGCTTTACCCTGGTCACAGAGTCGAAGAAGCCGCTGTTGGTGGAGCCTATCACTATCGTCACTGCGTTCGCCCAGGCGCCTCGCGCTCGGTCCTATGTCCCGCCTGAGTACGCGACGAAAGCAGAAGGGCATTGATTCTCGCAGCCGGGCCTCATGTAACATATCGCAGTCTTTCTGGACCGGTTCGTGTGCATTGTAATGTTGTTGTACAAATATGATGTATAATACTAGCTGTTTTCGCCTATTCACGGGGTGTTTGTAGGGTCCCAGTCGGTCACCAGATCTGGGAGGCTGTCAACACCCTTGCATAACCTTGATGTGCGCGAAAATGCTTACATTCGTCCAAGGCGTCCAACTCCGCAATCTCTTGGTCGTTCAGCTCGAAGTCGAAGACTTGTAGGTTTGACTCGATCCGAGCCTTGGATGAGGACTTCGGGAGTGGGATGAACCCCTGCACCGTCGCGAGATTGAGTGAGTCTGCTAGATAGGGGTACGTGGGACTTACCTTCTGCAAGGAGTAGCGGAGGAGGATATGAGCGGGATCTTTGCTATACTTCTTGGCCAGCCCGACGATCTTCGGGTGCCGGAAGCGAAGGCTGCGCACAAGAGGGGCCCATGCCTAGAATAGGCATTGGTTCAGTTGGAGCCCGCCCGTATAGGCAGAGAAGGTGCCTCACCTCCAGTGCGATCTCGTGCTTCTTGCAGAAATCGACGATATCTGTGCGCGTCATAAAGGGGTGGAGGTCGATCTGCAGTCAAATGAGTGATTCACGCGCCATCCTGCATTTCGCCAAGAACGCCGGACCTGGTTGAGTGCAGGCAACTCGACGCCTGCATCGACCATCTCCTGAAGGTGCCGCACGCCGTAATTGCTCACGCCGATGCTGCGCACCAGGCCCTCAGCCTTGCCCTCCACAGCCGCCTTCCAGCTGTCCGCACGTTTCTGCGGGCCGCCAATCGGGCCATGGATGAGGTAGAGGTCGATGTAGTCGAGGCCGCACTTCTTGAGCGACGTACGGAGCGCGGCCTTCGCCGCGCTGTACCCGCTGTTGCTCATCAGCTTCGTGGTGAAGAAGACGGCCGCGCGGGGCGTGCCCGTGGCGGCGCAGAAGTCGCGGATCGCGCGCCCGCACTCTGCTTCGTTGTAGTACCACTCCGCGGAGTCCTGTGCGCGCACGGGCCCGGGGGCCGCCGTTCGTCAGCAGATGCCCGAGATCGTGCGGTGCGGATCCGCGCGCGAAGGCGGACGGAGCCCGCTGAGGGGGTGGGTGCGTACAATGTGGCGGTAGCCTGCCTATCGGGGGTGCGGGCGATCGTCGTCAGTGCCCTCGTTGTGTGGGTTAAACAGGGTTATACAGAAGCCCACCTCGAGAGCCCAGCGGACGGCGTTGTAGGCTTCTTTGCCTTCCATCTCGTAAGTTCCTGCGAAGATCGCCGGTCAATGAACGAGTGCGGTCTTGTGCGCGGCCTCTTGTGGGGCACGCACCGAAGCCCATGAGTGGGATTTCATTTCCGTCCCGCAGCTGGCGGGGGTGTAGTCAGTCGGTGTTTTGTCCGTCGCTTGTGTTTTGGGGTGGCCGCCAGGTCCGTGCAGAACTTACCTTGAGTTTGGACTCGACCGTAAGCGCCATTGTGTTCTTGGTGCTGAAATGAGTGGTTGGTGTGAAAGATGCGATTCCGCGTATGGGTCGCAAAACGCAGGCGTGTTCCAGCGGATGACGTGGTATTCGGAGGCGATAGCTGTTATGCAGCGAGGAAATTCGCAGGGTCCGCGAGTTCCGTGTCAACGTGCTGTGGATGAGCATGTCTCGCTGCCACCTCTTTACACCATCTGGGTGTTTGGCTCGAACAGCAGTGCGCAAGAGGTGTAAATTTCCTCGATGTCCTGGCAATGTCAAACATATGTCGCGGAATATTGTCCAGTACTCCCTCAGCGCCCACGTGGCCTTTGTCCCAAAACGGGTGATTGTTCAGCGTACGCTGACACGAAGCGCCCGTCAGTTTCCACCCCACTCCCGCACCCCTCGACACCTCTCGACATTCTTCTGCTTTTCTGTCGACAATACCCCTACCTATACACCCTCGCACTCAGAGTTTAACTCTATTATGGCAACAGTGTCGGCATTGCAGCCGTCACGCGTTCCAAGTCCGGAAATCATCGACGTCGACGCTCTGGAAGAGCTGGAAGAGGAGGGCGTCGTCTTCACTGGATTTCACGGGCACCCCCGACAACTGCCTCCCCCTCGGCCTTCTGCAGGCCCAAGCTCTGTGGCCCATCACCCTACAAACGATGAAGCCACCCTTCCAGGGTTCAGACGTCGCTCGCCAAGGCGGGCGCCTCGAATGAGCAGAAGCGCCCAAGCAGGCCCCTCAAACTCAAGTGCAGCAGGACCCTCCGAAGTCATCGTGGTAGACAGCGATGAAGAAGAGCCATCGTCAAGTAGTAGGATACGCAGGAGGTCTTTCAGTATGTCCAAGCAGCCGCTTGACTATGCATGTGGCTAACCGATGAGCGAAGGAGTCGGACCTCGTCCGCGACTGATGTCTCCTCCCCCGCCGGTGGCGCAGAGAGGGCATACACCTGGTGTGCCTCCTTTGCCCCGACATCTTGCGTCGCAAGCCTCCCTACCCAGACGTAGTCGCGCAGCCGATGTTCCTCCTCCAATTCGGCCAGTCTCTCAGCCACTCGCCTTTGAAGCCGGGCTGCTCCCCATCCCCCCACCTCCGCCGTTCCCAGCAAACTTTCCACTACCACTAGATGCCGCCCCTCGATCTCATCATCAGCCTTCGATGGGTTTCGGCGGTGCTATGATTGCGCTGAACCGCCAGAACACATTACAGGAAGCCAGTCGTGCGAATCAGGCGAGGGAACGGGCCCCTCGGGGGTTCAATCTGCCAACGTTCACAGAAATGTTCCGCCGGATGACAGGGTACGCCGGAGAGGAAGATGACATACCCGCACGTCCAGAGAACCCTTCGCGGTCGTGGAGGAACCGTGTGATGCCCTGGTACTGGGAGGACGCCGTCGCCGACCCAGAGCGGGAGCTCTTCTCTCCCTTCGGAAATGAGGACGCATGGTTTGGCCTGCCAGACCGTCTCGACGCGCTCCGTCCTGTCGTCGGGCGGAACCCGTACATCCCCAAGGCCGAAACCGTCCCGATGTGGAAGCCGGAGTACACGCACCCTAACAAGATAGCGCCAGGCTTCACACACGACTTCGCGGCGCCAGACGACCCTGCTACGCAGACGTCGGGATCGTCGTCGCCACAGACGGTGATCGTGCTGGACGACGAGGCTGGGCCCAGCAGCGGGGCGGCGAGCGGGTCTTCGAGTGCCACCGCGGTCGAGACTACCCTTGTATGCGCACGCTGTCTTGACCCCTTGGTGCTAGCACCGGCAGACGGTTCGTCCGAGGAAGACGTCAAGTTGCGACGAGTGTGGGCGCTCCGCTGTGGGCATATGCTCGATGGGAAGTGCGTCGCGGCGCTCATGTTTCCCCCAACTGCAACCGCAGACCCAGGGTCGACGGAGTCTCCACAGCAAGAAGACGAAGCCAGCGTCCGCAGCAAAGGGAAGGGCAAGGCACGCGCAGACCCGGAGCCGCCCGCTGCCCCACTTGAAGAGCAACTCATTCCAACGGCGGAGGTAGATGCAGCCCCCGCGGACAGGAAGGGCAAGCGCAAAGCCGTCGAACCCCTCGAGCCGTCGGAGTCCCCCAAACGTGCCGCGCTCGCCGCGCCCGGCGAGCCCGCTGACGCTGACGCGGGCAGCAACTCCATACGGTCACGCCTGCGCTCGCGCACCCGCGCAGCCGCCGACGTATCTCCCTCCTCCGCGCCCGCGGCTGGCCCAGGCGCGCATGTGATGCCTGCGGACGGGCTTTTCCCTACTACTCCGCCCCGCCGCGGCCGTCGGCGCCCTGGCGTGTTCTCGCGCCGGGCCCACCAGCGTGGAGACGAGAGTCCTCGTATGGGAGGGAAGGGGAAGGGCCGGGCGGCGAAGGTTGAGCGGGCGCGCGTGGTGGAAGCCGAGCATGAGTGGAGGTGCTCCGTCGCCGGATGCGGGTGCGTGCATTATAGCGTGCGTGTGGAAGGTGTGTGGGTGAACGATGAGGGGCGCGGGCCCATAGCGCTGTTCGTCTGAAGAGCACGGGTCTGGATGGTGAGTTGTAGGAATGGAGTGGTCGTCCGACTCTCCTCGATCGGTTGGAGCCTCCTCGGTCGGCTGGAGATCGCTGTCGGACAGCGTTGGAGGCGCTTCGGCATCGTCGCATCGTTTGCATCAGGTCGTTCGCATCTCGCATCGTCTGGATCGGTTCGTTCTTGGGGATCTCGTCTCGCATAATATCATCGCATTGTTTCCATTCTCCTCACCCTTCGGGGTCGCCCGGTAAGATGCCTCTCATGAACATGTGCGACGGCCGTCTGTCAGCCACCTGGGCCGGATATCATCTAGCTGAGATCCGCCTGCCAATCGACGGACTTTGCTTTCGAGGGTGCACCAACGCAGTTGTTTCCAGCTACCTGGCTATTGGTGAGCACCCTTCTCTATCTTTCCGTGTGGCTGACGGTCTCCGTCTGCCAGATGCCGTTTGGCCCGCATACTGCGCTACCGTCGCCCCACATGCTGCGCTACCATCGCCCCTCGGACATTAGTAGGCGGCGACTATCGTGAGCTCTTCAATCGAATGTCGAAACTTCTGTGAACTGCTTGCCATATTGTGATGCACAGCAGGGCTCTTCTTACGATAGCGATTTTGCTTTCATCTGGTGAAGATGATCTAGGGTGGCAAACCTTATGTATGTGTATATCCGCCAATTCCTCAACTTTGTTGTGTCGTAGCTAATGCAACAAATCTGGATATGCGGCCGCCACGCCACGGGCAGTCCGCAACATCGGAAGGCATTTCAGTATGAACCTTCACAGCATTACGTGAACACCTTTGAACGGTTGTTGGCACATATTGTTCCACCAGAATGCCCATCCTCACCACTATCGGACGGTATGATATGTCGGAATGTCCGTTGACGGTTGTGCTGCGGCTGACCGCTGCTCGCCGCCGACAGCGCCTCCTCCCTCGCGCGTGCCTGAAGAACACAGCCCCTGGGCGTAGCGTGAGCCTCATTGAGAGGACGGTCCAGACCTCGGGTCCGGCGCCGACTTCCTGACCTCCATCCTCATTAACGCCCCCACGCAGCAGCGTGACCTGCCATGCCTTGTGCGTGGAGAGCTCGTGTCGTCTCCGGAGACGCATTGCAAGCTCATGGACGGACGCGTGTCGACCTTGCAGGGCTTTGGGGTCGTTCTCCCTGGGCAGATTCGCAGCGTGAGCGACGGGTGTCCGAGCCGACTGCCAGCCTCGTTGGATATCCGCGTTTCACCCCCGCCGCGCAGCGACGGCGTTGCCGCGAGAGCTCGCCCTTTCTCCTCCTCTTTCGTCCGCTCTGCTGCCACCTTTTGTCCTATGCCCTTATTCCCCTGCTGAGTTCCGCTGCTTTCTCCCGCTGTGTTTGTTGTGTTACGACCCTTCACGACCCTCACCGACCTCGCCGTGCCACTCACGACATTCACGATCCCATTCAAGCCATCATGAAGACCACTCCGAACTCCGCTGTTGCCGCCCAGCGCCCGCGGATCCTGCTGAGAGAGCTGAGAAAGCGCAGACACGTTCGTAGACCCACCCTTTGTGCGCTCCGTGCATGTGCAGAGGCTGACAGGTGCTGCTGGTCCTGCAAACAGCCCCGGCGGTCGGACTCGCTCCCATGCCTGCAGCTCGCGCCTGAGAACCGGCCGTATTTCGTGTGCGGGGCGTGCCAGTTCCCCAATGTGCTCTGCGAGCTGTGCCCGTGGTGCCTAGCTCGCTGCGATGCCGCCGCGCCGGTCGCGGTCGTCGTGACAGTGCGCCGGCGGCTGAGCTCGCCGACGCTGCTCAACGACGCGCAGAAGGCACAACTCGCGCGGATCGAGAGGCACGGCGCGCGCGCGGCAACGCGGAAGCCAACGTCATCACACGCTTGCCGAAGTGACGAGAGTGCTCCCGATGATCTACGCGAGCTCGGCGGCTGTGAAGGGCAGCCCGAGCCCGCCGCCGTCGATCGCGTCCGGCGTGCACATCGCAACGCCGTCCTCTACTCTGCGGCAGACGTTGTTGCTACCGCGACCGCGGTAAGCATGTCCCCCCCGGGCTGCGTTGTTCTCCTTTTGCTCACTGGCTTGTGCTGCGCAGGACTCGAGCTTGCAGCCTTTCCTCGACGAAATCACTGCGACGCACCTGGAGAACCTCGAACTCGAACAGAGGCCGACGACCGTGGTATCGCGCAAGCCTTCGCCCCCGCTGACGCCGTCTGCACGACCTTCACGCCCTTGTACGACCACGCCACGAATGTCGACGCGCGATGTCTCCGCAACGGAATACAGTGAGCCTCGCACTCCGCCCTCAGGGCCTCCCTCTCCCCTACCCCACACACCCTCTCTGCGTCGCAAACGCCGCATGTCTGTCCTCCGCCAGCGATCGTCATGCTCGCTGCGGCGGCGCGCGACCACCACGGGCTCGACAATGAGCCATAGAAGATCAGACACGGTGCCCGCGACCCCCACTTCACCACGGCCGAAGGCCCATTCCGTGCGTTTCAGCTCGCCGCCGCCCGGCTCGGACCCGGACATGATCCCGCTCGGACACCCGCAGCGCCCGCTGTACACCGCGATCCGCAAGAACATGTCAAGTCCAGCACCGAGCGTCCGCGGGAGCCTGGACGCAACCTTCGATCCGACTCTACTCGAGCGCGGAACACGATCGCTGGACATACCTCGTTTTAACTCCCTTGGGCGCTCGTATCTGAGCGTGGCGGCGTATTCGCGCCCGGTGCTATTTCCGCCATCTGCGAGCGGGTTTTCCGTGAGCGGAGAGACGGAGCTGCGTATGGACCTCGCGCGGAGCCGGTCGATGGAGGGCGTGCCCTCAGACTTCGCGTTTAGCGAGGTGAAGCCGGACGCGTCGCGGATGAAGGCAAAGATGAAGAGCTTTGGCAAGACGTTGAAGAGCCTCCTCAAGGGCAAGATTTAGAATGTGCGCGCGGAAGATACCCTCGCGCTACCCGGATGGATAGAATGATTGGATGATATACTGTTGTGCGTATCCACCTGTCACTCATACGGCTGCCGGCGCTGAACTAGTGCGATCGCGTGCGCAGGGAACGTCGGGGGCTGGTGCCTCCCGTCTCGATACCTCCTGATACCTCATGCACATATGCTTCATGTCACATACCCCATGCTTACGACCCCTTGCAAACCACGATGCTATATGGTTCCTGTTCTCTGGAGTCTGCTCCAATCTCAGGTGCGCACCGTCGTATCGAGAGGGGCTCGTCGCGGCCCTATTCCACCAATACGCGAATGTCATAGGTACAGCGAAATGGCCTCATTCCACTATGGTGGCGTAGTGGCGCATCCCCGCCAATCACGCAGCTCGCGTTCTTGAACTGCTTCTTGTCTTCCCGACGAGCGCACTAGACATATCGAGGTGCAGAAACCACGTTAGCTGATACGCTGGCTCGCCATAGCTCGCCATGTGCCCAGCCAGAACCCGCCGTCCATCGGACTGTCTCGGCATGCTCTGCTCGCGCTCTGAATGCTTTGAGACCCGTTGCTGTGCGCCGATGCTCGGGCGGCTAGCCCCAGGCGGGCGGCGTTCTATCATCTTCTCACTTCTGGCTCGGAGGGTCGGAAAGAGCCCGATTGCGATGGGGCTTGCGAGGAGCCTTACTCCATCAAGGCGGCCCACACATGGTCCACTCAGGTGGGGGTCCATGTGCAAATTGAAGTCGTCCCATGTGCAGGTGGGCCCATGGGAGCGCTCGACGCCGACCGCACACACGCAAGGGCGAAGAAGCAGCCGGCAAAGACGCCGAGTGTCCGCTCGATCGATCACAGGTTCGTTTGCGGCTGGTAGACATGCGGTGATCACGATCGCAGGTGAGGCAATTGTCCCGTCGCGTCTTCCCAGTGTCGTTCAGGCTTGAACCTCTTCCAACGCTGCCTGAACAGTAGTGAACAGTGTGCCTAAGTTTAAGGCTTTGAATGAAGTCCGAAGGCCGAAACATGCGAAGGGCGACGTCGGACCGACCGGGTGCGCTGTAGGGCAGAGGGATGTGCTCGGGCTCACGGAAGGCCTGCACGTTTAAGCCTCAGGGGCTGGGGTCTTCTGTGCAAGCGCAATGGTGGCGAACCGTTTGTCAGACACTCGTCGAATTTGGATGTCCAGACTGCGAGCTGACGGTGTTGTACGAAGTGAGGCTGACGCCGCCGCTACGCCATTAGTGAGCCACACCGCTGCAAGGACCGAATATCCTGGTCATTTCGGTGGATTTCCGATGTGCGTTGCTGAACAAGGTGTCGCGAATGACCTAATCTCGAGGCAGAACGGTTTGTCAACGCGACCCCCGCCCTAACACCAAGCCACAATCCCAAAATTTCGATCGTGTTCAGTTCCAGTGGAAGCGCGATCGTGAGAGGACGGAGCCAGTTTTTGTCTCGAGCGGTGCGTACACAGCCTCTTGATCGGGGCAGGCGTCGTGCACACAATCACGAGGGCGCGAATTCCGGCGCACACCGAGGGCTGATCGTTCTTGTCCCCTCGCTCGAGCTCGTTCGAGCCCGGGAGGCATTTCTGCGGCACGATCTCCCGGGGCGTTGCCCTCCAGGCTGATCTATGGAGATGAGATAAGATGAGATGGGATGCAGGCAGGACCCAATCCAATCTTATCAGATTACAGGCGTACCTGCGTTAAACACATAGCCTCGGAGCCCGCCGTCCATTCTGCCTCTTTCGAGCACCTTGGCGAGCGTATCCCGACGGTGGGCGCGGCATCACCTATCATCATGGTGCCCTCGCGGTGGGCAACGAGAGCACCTGTTCCTTGTTTCATTCCAACGTCGTTCCGCGAGGTTCGAATGCACATTGCGCAATGCACAATGTGCCGAACGGTGCCCTGGGTGGCATGCGGTTGAGTTCGGACGACGGTTTATTGCGTCCGCTGGGCCTTGGCCGCCGAAGTGCCGCATGTTGAAAGAAGAATAGACCCGTGTGCAACGCCTGCGCTGCGGGGCGCCGCGGGGTATCCGTGTGTCTTCTGAGAAGGCCACAGAAGGAGGTTAGGTTTGAGACCCTAATGGGGAAGCTGATTGCGCGTTGATAGACGTCGCTGCGCAAAAAGCCTACTCATGCGCTTTATCGGGGACCTGTGATCGCGCCATAGAGCTCGCGCAGCCCTAGAGCGCGCACCGCTTTGGAGCGAATGAGGGCGCGCCTGGGTGTGCGCACACCACCATCGGGGCCCGCCCACTTGTTTGCGCCGCGTTCAGGTCGGCAAGGCACTACGCGAGCGCAGGAATCGCTGTTCATCCTCGGATCTACCAGTCAGTCAGTCTATTGAGGTGCGGAACGACACGAAGGAAGCACGCAGGGCGGGTTGTGGTGCATGACCTCTCGCAAAGCTGTGCGCCTGCAGCCACTGCAGCTTCTAGCGGAAGAAAGCGAGGCGCCGTCCAGCGCGGGCGGGAGCCGCGTGCATTCCTCGGCTATTTTTCGCTCTCCTCACGCGTCGCGCTAGACCGCCGCGGGGCCCAGAGCGGGTAGGCTCATGTCAGCTCAGGGCAGAAAACGGGCGGGAAAAGACATTGGACGGTCGTCGAGTGTGTGCGCATTCATACCGATCGCTGGGAGGCGCGCGCGGACAGGCCAGGCGACGGCGCGGGCAGCGACGAACCTCCGACCATTCGCGCGGGGCGTGAGGGCTTTCTGCCTGAATCGGGCATCCACGCGGCTATGATGCAAGTGCTGTTGCAAAACATGCTGACGCGTAGCGGGCGTGCTTCGCTCGTTTGGTAAGATGCTCGAGCGGGGAGCCATATGACGCGCTTCGCGCCCGCTAGAAAAAATGTATATATGTGCGGGGTGCAATGCAGAGAGAGAGCAGCGTCAGCCCAGACAAGCCTTCTCAGCTCAGCTCTCTGCACTCCAGCCCCTCTGCACTCCAAACGATCCTCGTCATGCAGTTCACCTCTTTCCTCACCCTCGCCAGCATTGCTCTCGCCGCCGTCTGCGGTGTGCAAGCAGAGGAGAACAAGCGGGACTCCACGCCGGTATGTAGCCCGCAGCATCCTCGGCGCTCTTGTCGGCAACAACACTCACCTGCTCCTTGTATAGCACCCCACCACCATCTGGGTGCCCACCGCGACCGTAGTGGAGACCAACACCTTCACCGGGACGCGCGTCGAGCAGATCTGGACGACGGTCGCGCCCTACGAGTGGGAGACGACGTTCCCCATCACCTGGACGGCCACCCAGACGAAGACGCAGTTCAAGCCTGTCGTCACCAACGCCCCTGCGCGTCGTCACGCGCGCGACTTCGAGCAGTCATGAGATGCCTTGACCAGACTGGTGAGCCGCACTGTCGTCGCTACGCCTGCGGTCCGGAGCTAATTTCGTCGGGAGCAGCACGTTCTTTCACGATTCTTTGATGACTGCTTCATGACCCTGTTGTATCTGGAGGATGTACGTTAGCGGGTGACGATCTCGTTCGTGCCCGGAGAAAAGTGTCCCGACCGTTGTTCGCATAGCGTGCTACGCCAATGAAATGTATCCTTTTTTGATCAGTCTACTATGCTCAGTTTGCGAAACGCGAACAACGCTAAACTTACCGGTTAGCATGTTCTAGTCGGGCTATCCATCCGAGTGGTCCGGAGGTAAGCTCAGGCTATCGGAACGTACCGAAGAGACTGGGCATCGCCAGACTGCGCGGTAGAAACCCTTTTCCTGCGGAACGTTTACGTTGTCGTCCGAGTTTGCCCGAAGCAGATATGGTGGTTGAGGGCTCGGGCAGGGAACATGCGAGAGCGTGGCTCAATCCGTCATTCATGTGCCCCGGAGAAACGTAGCCTTCGCGTAGAGTAAGTTTATCTTTCATACAGCGACTACATGTAAAGACACGTACCTCCATTGGAGTGGTTATATGTGGGTCTCTCACAGAATGTACCCTTGACATCGAACGATTGGACTACATTGGCGTCGGATCGTTTTGCGCTCATCTCCACGAGTTCGTCCCTCGAACACAGGATTTATATGATACGAGCAGAACGCTCGGCTCTTGTCTTCAAATCCGTGTGATTCTGGTGACAAATTGGAGCACTAACTCGTTCCCGCAAGCGAGACGGTTGTCGTGAAACGATTGGACACGAAATAGCGGATGAGTCGGCACTACAGCAGAGTGTCTGGTAGGCAGCCTGCATGCAGACTCATGGCGACGATGGTGGTCGAGAGACAAGCGAGGACGCGGACGAGTAAGCGAGCGCGTTTAGGAGAGCTACACCGCGCACGTGACACCGTCGCGACTTTTTGGATCGTGATCAGTACGAGTCAGGTCGATGAGGCCTTGCATGCTTCTCAGAGGCCTCCGTCCCTCCCTCTTCCATCGCCATCGCTCGACATCGTCGCCGCTGCTCGCAAGGATGGCTTCCTCGACCCACACAGACTGGTCCGCCTCCAAGGTCCGCGAGGAGTTCTTCAACTACTTCAAGAACAGGGAACACACCTTCGTGCCCTCGTCCTCCACAATTCCATATGACGACCCCACCCTCCTTTTCGCGAATGCTGGTATGAACCAGGTGCGTAGCTATTCATTTGAGCTCCCATACGCCGCTGAACATCCCCCACAGTACAAGGGCATCTTCCTGGGCACGGTAGACCCTCAGTCGGAGCTCGCGCGACTGAAACGCGCTTTCAACAGCCAGAAATGTATTCGCGCCGGAGGGAAACACAACGGTGCGTTCACTCATATGGTGGCTTCGGCATGGATAGATCATTCCCAGTTCGCCGCACTCGCGAAGATCGAGGCAGCGGGGGCGTGGTCGCTCGCCACCGACACCTGTGAAGCGGCGTGCAGTCCTATCGATATCATCTGGCGGTATTGAACGGGCATACGCGGAGTCCTTATTTCGACCCTGGTGGGGCGTGTCGTAAGGCCACATCTCGCCCCCCTACCCGTCATCCGACGCCGCCTGGTTGCCTTGCGCACCCGCTCCCTCCGCTGGGCATCAAGAACACGTTAAGATAGGTCGCAGCCTGGCCTGTCGAAGCATGTCATTTCCATGTCGGCAAGACACCTCCGCACCGACCCGCCAGATACCGCCAGACCATATGTCTTTGCTCCGCTGCCCGCTGCCTCCGCTCCCGGCTGTGTTCCGATCAAGAGGAATCACGATCCCCTGTACGGCGCAAGGGCCACTGTCGCGCATTCCTCTTCTGAGCAGTTTTGAGGAAGCCGCCGCTGGACTCTTAACACAAACCTGGTTCCGAACGGAATGAGTCGGTGGCGGTTACTCTCATTGCCACCGCTGTCAGTAACCCGCATAATGCCTGCCGAACTATAAGCTCTGCCCCAGCCCTATGCTGCCGATCGTGTGAGGCGCGATTTGGGTATTTTGAAGCCGTTCCGGAGAGGAATGTTGTTCAGTGTAGCACGGCGGTCTATCGATATCAGTGCTGTGGTGGTAGTATCAAATGAACAACATGCTGACGACCACAAAGATCTTGAAGATGTTGGAAAAGACTCGTATCACCACACGTTCTTCGAGATGTTGGGCAACTGGTCGTTTGGAGACTACTTCAAGGTGCGCCACGCATACATTTTAACCATGCGGCTACCCTAAACCTAGTTCTACAATGTAGAAAGAAGCCATCGAATATTCTTGGGAGCTGTTGACGGAGGTGTACGGGCTACCGAAGGACCAGCTTTACGTGACCTACTTCGAAGGTGACCCCAAAGCTGGCCTCGAGCCCGATCTGGAGGCGAAAGACTGGTGGCTCAAGACTGGTGTGGCTGAGGACCACATCATTCCAGGGAATGCCAAGGATAACTTCTGGGGTATGTTGACGCCACATGCAAATATTTGCTAGTGTTAATTGCGACGCGTATAGAGATGGGTGCAACCGGACCTTGCGGCCCCTGCAGGTAGGTCTTGCATTCAGGAGACCGTAGGATCCGTCGCTGCGATATATATGCTAACATTACTTGTAGTGAAATTCACTACGACCGTATCGGTGGCCGAAACGCTGCTGGCCACGTCAACCAGGACGACCCAGACGTTCTCGAGATCTGGAACAACGTGTTCATTCAATTCAACCGAGAAGACGACGGCTCACTCAAGCCACTGCCCGCCAAGCACGTCGACACCGGCATGGGTTTCGAGCGCCTCGTCTCTGTCGTCCAGGACAAGCGCTCGAACTACGACACCGACGTCTTCCAGCCGATCTTCGCGCGGATCCAGGAGGTCACCGGGGTGCGCCCATACGGCGGCAAGTTCGGCGACGAGGACGAGAACGGCATCGACACCGCCTACCGTGTCATCGCGGACCACGTCCGCACGCTCACGTTCGCCCTGAGCGACGGCGGCGTCCCCAACAACGTCGGCCGCGGATACGTGCTGCGCCGCATCCTGCGGCGAGGCGCGCGTTTTGCGCGCAAGAAGCTGGGCGTGCAGATCGGCTCGTTCTTCTCGTCGCTCGTGCCGGTCGTCGTCGAGCAGATGGGCGCCGTGTTCCCCGAGATCACGCAGAAGAGCGCGGAGATCAAGGAGATCCTGGACGAGGAGGAGGAGTCGTTCTCGCGCACGCTCGACCGCGGCGAGAAGCTGTTCGAGCAGTACGCGCAGAAGACGCTGCAGTCCGGCCAGAAGGAGCTCTCGGGCAAGGACGTGTGGCGGCTGTACGACACGTACGGCTTCCCGGTCGACCTCACGCGTTTGATGGCGGAGGAGCTGGGGCTGAGCATCAACGAGGCTGAGTTCGAGGCTGCGCAGGCGCACTCGAAGGAGGCGAGCAAGGGTGGTGTGAAGAAGGGTACCGGAGAGGTTGTCGCCCTGGATGTGCACGACATCGCTGCTCTGGAGAAGAACGATGGCGTCCCGAAGACCGACGACTCGTTCAAGTTCAGTACGTACAGCCGCCACTCATCCTGTTATGCAAGACATGGAAGTACTCATTTCGGTTTTGTAAATAGAGCAAGGGAACATCACCGCGAAGGTCGTCGCGATCTACTCCAAGAAAGCGTTCCTGAAGTCAACAGAAGAGATCCCCGAAGAGGCATCGTTTGGTCTGCTCCTTGATCGCACGAGCTTCTACGCAGAGTCTGGAGGACAGGAGTACGACACGGGCAGCATCGTCATCGACGGCGTTGCAGAGTTCGAGGTCACCAACGTCCAAGTCTACAACGGCTACGTCCTTCACATTGGCCACATGAAGTACGGCAAGCTCAATATCGGCGACGAGATCGTTTCCTCGTATGATGAGGTCGGTGACAGGCTTGTTATCTCTTCTACACTGGGCTGATTGTATGGCATAGCTCCGACGATGGCCCCTCCGCAACAACCACACCGCGACGCACATCCTCAACTACTCTCTACGGGAGGTCCTCGGTGACCACATCGACCAGAAGGGCTCGCTCGTCGCACCTACGAAACTGCGCTTCGACTTCTCGCACAAGGCGCAGGTGTCTACGTCAGAACTGACGAAGATCGAGTCAATAAGCCAAGACTTCATCAAGCGCAATGTGGGGGTGTACGGAAAGGAGCTCCCGCTGCACGTCGCGCAGAAGATCAACAGCCTGCGCGCAGTGTTCGGCGAGTCGTACCCCGACCCCGTGCGCGTCGTCTCCCTCGAGTTCGACGTCGATGACATCGCGAAGGACCTCGAGAACCCGAAGTGGCGCAAGACCAGCATCGAGCTCTGCGGTGGCACGTACGTGTACCCGCTGATCCCCGCGCCTCGAACGTGTATTGACGTCTGGGCCCGTTTATCGCAGCCACGTCGCGCGAACTGGCGAGATTAAGGACTTCGTCGTCACAGAAGAGTCTGGCATCGCCAAAGGCATCCGTCGGGTCGTCGCTGTCACTGGTCATGAGGCCGCGGAGGCTCGTCGCCTCGGCGAGTCACTCACTGCACAGCTTAACCGGATCGAGTCCATGCCTGACGCGGAGAAGGACGCCGCGCTCAAAGCGTACACAGTCGTGAGTGATCAATTTTGCGCCCATTGAGTAGCACGGCGTTGACGGCTATGCGATCAGCACATTGGTCAAGTCGATATCGCGTTGCTGAAGAAGAACGAGCTCCGTGACCGCCTCACGTCGGTCCGGAAAGCGTTCGATAAGCACCTGAAGGACAAGGAAGCCGCTGCGAACAAGGCGGTACGTTGCACGTCCTTTGTCTATCCGATCCCGACACTGACGCCACCTATACAGTCGGTGGACGCGCTGCAGCAGTATTTCAAGGACAAGCCTGACGCGCCGGCGTACTTTGCCGCGCTCGATGTGAACGCCAATGCGAAGGTCATGCAGGGTGTCGTCCTCCAGGCGAAGAAGCTTGGAAAGTCCATCTACATCTTCAGCGCGGACCAGTCGGCGGGCAAGGTGGCGCACGTGAATGCCGTGTCTGAGGAAGCCAAGGGCAAGGGTCTCGACGGGCGCGAATGGGCGTCCGCTGTCGTCGAGATTCTTGGCGGCAAGGTGAGCATCTTTCATCTGCGACTGTCGCCCTGTACAGTTTACGCTGACCATACACATAGGCGGGCGGCAAGCCCGATGGCGCGCAGGGCGTCGGCGCGGAGGTGTCAAAGGTGCAGGACGCTCTCGCTGCTGCGCAGAAGTTCTTCGAGTCGAAGACTGGGCTCTCGGTCTGATTGGGTGCTTTGGATGATCTTAGCGGGGATATGCATAGGCAGTCGTACGTAAACTTGTATAGTATCGCGCAAATAGAATGCGATGGGGAACACTGCGGTTTTCTCCGACGAGTACGGTCGCGTGAGCTCGAGCGGGTGACTATCGCGAGAGTACGTATTATCGATCTTTCTCCCGCACGCCGCACACCTCCCCAGTCTTGCCGTTCGACCACTATATTTGTTTAATGTTAAGAGTACGTCGAAGTTCGTAGATACTGTCTGCAGGGAAGCTTGAGGAAAGGTCCCGACAAGGATTCGTCGGAGGCCGGCGCGCTTGTTTGGCCGTGCCTCCTGGTTCTGAACCACCACCATCACCTCGCTGAAGAGATCCGCTTGACACATCTGTCGACCGTTACTCAACTTTCTGCGAAGTCCCAGAACGCGTTAGACTTTGGCACGTAAAATGGGCCTGTGCACCCGCGATGGTCTCCCATGATTCCTCGGGCCCACTGATATCTGCGCCGCGGGCTTTGGGCCATTGGACTCCCGCCAAACTCCCGCCATGTCGCCCATCGATAAACATCGATACTGGACAGCGAGCAGTGTGCGGCTGAGGTCAGGTTGAGGTACCCGGCTGAGGGAATGATGTCGCCAAAGGGATCATTGCGGCTTTACGTGTCTCGCCGGAAGTTCGTCCCATGGCGTGCGGGCGGAACTCTACCCGCCCTCCTAGCGCTGCCAAAGAGTCTCCAGCAGCGTCAGGCTCACTGAATATGGAACATTCGCCACTTGCTTCCGGATGCTACGGCGGAGAAGGTCTGGAATACGTCTTTTCTTCGCAGATCTTCCGCACTAGTATGCGAGGGCTGATAAAGGTCTTCCAGCGATGTGGTGTCGAACCGTCGTCCCGACCCTCACCCACTCCCTCTAACCACTCTGCCCTTGGGATGCGCCGAGAACAGGATGGACCCCGCGATGCTGACGAGGAGACCGCTCTGCTTAGCGCGTCGCCGGAGCGGAAGCCCGTGAAGACGCCGACTCCGCTGCCAAGACTGCAGATATTCATTCTGCTGCTGATGCAGCTGGCCGAGCCAATCACCTCGCAATGCATATACCCCTTCATTAACCAGGTGCGTGTAGTGCCGTCGCAATTGCGAGATGTATGCTGATGTCCTGGTAGCTCGTCAGTGAGCTGGACATCACGGGCGGCGACGAGAAAAAGGTGGGGTACTATGCGGGGATGATTGTAAGCGGCAAAAACTGGTCTTGTATGCGCAACTGTTCACTTACAACCCCTCAGGAGTCGCTGTTCTTTGCTACAGAGGCCATGTTCATCATGCAATGGTCTCGTATCTCGGATCGCGTCGGGCGGAAACCCGTGCTGCTTACCGGAGTCGGCGGTCTCTGCATCTCCATGCTTCTCTTTGGACTGTCCAAAACCTTCCTGGCTCTCGTCCTCAGGTCAGCCCATTGCTTGCTCGTCTCTAGTCCATTGTCCTGATAGCGTGTGCAGCCGTTGCTTGGTTGGAATGCTCAATGGAAACATTGGTGTTATCAAGAGCATGATGGCAGGTGAGTAATCGTCGTCGTCACCGGGTGCAAACAGAGTATCTCACGCGTCATGTTTGACATAGACCTGACCGATTCGACAAATATCGCACAAGGATTCGCTCTTATGCCCGTCATGTGGTCTATTGGTTGCACGATAGGGTACGCACTTTGCGACCGCCTCTCATGGACATCCGTGACAACTTTCGAAATGGATATCTAATCTACGCGTACTACAGGCCTCTGATTGGTGGACAACTCGCAAAACCTCACGACAGATGGCCGACTCTCTTCACTCACCCATTTTGGCAATACTATCCTTATTTCCTTCCTTGCGCCGCCTCGGCGCTCTTCTCTGTTGGCATTTTCATTGTCGCTGCAGCTTTCCTCCGTGAGGTGAGTGTCGTGGACCCCACTCACCCACAGAGTGCTCACACAGAGATGCTCAGACGGTTCCCAAAACATCCCTCAAGAAGACTGTTAGGTTCACCGATGACTGTAGAGGCCCTGAGCCATCGAGCGCAATTCCACTCCGCGCTCTACTCACCAAGCCCGTGCTGTGGTCGATAGCCAACTATGCTGCGCTGGCCTTCCTGGAGATCGCGTACCGAGCCATTCAACCACTCTTCTTCTCTACCCCTGTCGAGCTTGGAGGACTTGGTCTTCCGCCGTCTACGATTGGCATCATCCTGGGCTCTTTCGGCGTCATGGACGGTGTGTTCCAGGCTCTCTTCTTCGCCAAATTTGTTGGCTGGTGGGGCCAAAAGCGCGTCTTCCAGGTCGGAATGTCGATGTTCATCCCTCTTTTCCTTCTCTACCCCGTCATAAACATACTCGCAAAAGCGAACGGAATAACCCCGCTCGTTTGGTCCCTGATATTCCTCCAGCTGGCGCTGTTAGTGATCATGGACATGGCTTACGGTGAGTCTTGACGCTCTTCTTTGCCGCTCGTCACCTGAATCCCTCTCAGGATGTTGCTTCATGTTCGTCACGAGTGCCGCCCCTAGCCGAAGGTCCCTGGGAGCAACGAACGGCATCGCGCAGCTTGCCGCGTCGATTGTGCGTGCTGTCGGTCCGGCAGGGTCGACTTCGCTGTTCGCGTTATCCCTTGATCGCAATTGGTTCGGCGGGTACGGGGTATACGCCATCTTCCTGGTTCTGTCGTGCGCGTCCATGCTGGTGGGAATACCGCTTCCTCGTTATGGCTGGGGAAGCGACGACGACGACTGATGACTTGTACGCGGATTTCACATGCTCCTCTACGTGTTCGTCGCCTGACCAGTCTCGCTCCAGTACGACCATGACATACAGGTTTGCAACACTAGAAACGCTCGTGCAAAATGCTTGACCGCTATGATGCGGTGTTGTGTCGCGACGCTACTGGTTTCCGCATTGCTGTTAGATGAAATGCATCCGAAGAACTTGTACATCTGCACCGCACCCCGTGTGTCCCCGCAATATGTTCCTGAAAAGTCGACCTCCATGCTCTTGGCGGCACGAAGTCTTGTCAAAGAACGCCGAAGCAGAGCGGAGGAAGCGCTGCGACTCGAATTCTTGCGGAGATTATGGAGAAGACCTGCGTCCATGCGCTCGCATATGCCTTCGGGTTGCCGCGGGGTGCGGCGATTCGTCGGGCACTGGACCGGGAGATGCTGCAGGAGCGTCCGTGAGTGATGAGGGGCCGCGCATCTGCCTCTTCGGGATCCGAGTGCACCCATCCCACCCGAGCACTCAGGCGTGACCTGGCTACCTTCCGACTTGCTCCTAGGAGGAGCTGCTATTCTTGGAGTCTTACGTGGCGTCCAGCAAACCGTATGACGACTTGTCTGCTTGCTAGTGAGTGCCCTCGAGCCCTTGGTCGTTGCAACTTGTCCCCGACTGACGCGTTCTCTTACTGCGCCGTCGAACCATGGGGGGCCAGACGTTGGCTCAGCACGCCGCTGTTGAGTGCCGACCGAAGTGCTACTCGAGCCAGGTCTCTCTGGACTGCCTGTTCACCAGAAGTGAGCTCAGAGCGGACGCTTTGCGGGGCACATGGGTCCGACTGAGAAGAATTCTATTGAGTCTTGCCCGCTCACCGCGCGCACGGCGGACTGCGCTGGTCTAGACGATACGTGCGCGAAGAGCGTAGCACGACACCGAAGGGCTTGGCGCGAGCTTGGCGAGGAGTACGTCGTCCTTCTCTTTAAGATTGTATACCCCTCCAGACCCTGCCAAGCATACTTGGCGCGCTGTACATGGCATGTATAGTGTTGGGGGATCCGTTAGCTATGCCATTGCTTCACCCTTCCTGCATCCTCCATCGTTGCTGGAGAACGTTATTGCGCACGATGAAAGCTTGCTGTCGACCATCATCCCCCATCTATCCTCCGTCGGCCTCTGCCGTCATATCCAACCTCGTGAGTAATCTGTGTCCAGGAGCGTCTGATCATGGTAGCAGCAGGGGTCGACTAGGATAGAGTCGGAGTAGATGACGGCCAGAACGTCCTCCCTGTGGCTAGCTTGTAAGGTGCGTTTCTGTGCTAAGCAATATTGTTCGACTGCGGTTTACGCTCGGGTAGATCCAGGGGTGCAGTTCCTTGGAGGAAACCTTCTGGGGCGGCACTACGTACTCACTACGGCCACCGCAACATTGGCCTTCCTACATCATGCTCCCGCTCAAAGTCGAATTCCCCGCAGGAGCGAACCGGAAGCACGACATCTGCATCCGATTCCATTGTGCTCCCGTAGGCACACGATGGCCTTGGGCCTCTTGCCCTCGGGATCCACAACTGCCGAATATGCAACCGCGTCGCGGGCTGCTCCGATGCACCATGCGATGCACTTGCTCGCTTCTTGCGCTACACGGAACGGACCGTGGCGAAACGTCAAAGCATTTGCGGTACGCCCATTGATACGCCCATTGATTAAAACACTCGGGTGATCCGCGAAATATCTCTCGTCACCTAGGTATTGGTGACGTATGGGCGAAAACAAACATTGCGAGCTTCCTCTGTTGGGTGTCCAGCAATGGACCCGTGTAACGTATCAGGCACAATCTCGGTCTTTGCCAGTTCGCAGGGCACAAGCGGTGCGCAGTGCGCAAGCAATCTACGGAGCGTGGCTACGCTCGCATAGGGGCGATGAAAACCAGGTTTTACTTGAAAATATTGTTGCATATGAACCCCGGACGTTGGTGAGCAATGCCGAGGAAATAACACGGGTTTACACGCCGTACTCATACCCGTTATCCTCAGACAGCGTAAACGAACATGCCACAGCGGTGATGACTGACTCGTGAGCACATTTTCATTACAATTCCTACAAAACAGTTCAAACGCACCAATTTATCAAGGGAAACCCATGTCGGTTGCCCTCTTGCCTAATCTCAGGCGAGGGTTTCAAGGCTCTATCCATCGTGGAATGGAGGAGAGATATCACCTATTTTCCTTGCTTTCCCATCCCGTGAACGGACAAGGTTCACGGGAACGATCAACGGCGCGAGCAGCTGGAGTTTATCCTACTTCCGCGACTTCTAATCCTTTTCCGCCGAATCCGCGCAACGGTATCATATCGTACATCACCTCGACATTACCATTGATGGGTTGCCGAACATCGAGGTGAGCACTCGCCGAGATTCGAAGCATCTTATTATGGCGTTCCTCACGGTTATTGATAGCACAGCGCCAGCCGGCCCCGTCTGTCCGCAAACTTATCTCCAATATCTCTAACTGTCCAGGGCGGCGGCAATATCGCTTTGAAAAGGAAGGAATACACTAGATGTTGAGTAACATTTCGCAATTACTTTCAATGTGTCTGACACACATTCAAGATGCGCTGCGGCGGGTAATGCTTCCCGTACCCATCTCGTTACAGCCCTGACCTTATGCCGAAGCGAGCCTACTCAGGCGGCGCTCCCGAGATGATCGTTGTCGAACCAATTCTGGGGTTGTGGACAAAGATAGGACAAAATTTGGCCGCGTGGTCACCGGCTCGAATGGGGACCGATTTCTTCTCGGAGGACGCGAAAGCGTTCAGTAAAGGTGAATCCTCCTTAGTTTGTAGTTTCTCACTGTGCTGAGATTGTAAAGCCAGTTTCGCCGCTGACCCCCGCCACTGGCGCCCTTGCGTTGGGCCGCCGCATACCCCGTGAGTATAGCCAATGGCGCGGGCCATGGCTCCTCATCTCTGGGTGCATTCTCCGTCAGACCATCGTGACGATTCAGCATTGGACCGGACGAAAGGCGGCACACAGTGTGCGCATGTCGCGCGTCTTCCTTCTCGCTTGTTCTACGCTGCGATGCCCTTGATGGCGCGGAGCTTCTGCCACCGACACCACCCGAGTCCTTGCGTCTGCTGCTGCTGTCAACCGACCCCCTCTTCGCGACGCCCTCTGGTCTGACCCTGCGGCTGTCCGTTTTCCCCCGCGCCATTCATTTGCGCAGGATGCGCCTTGTGATACGCGACCCGCCTGACGAGGTGGGCCTTGTCAGACCCATTTTCGGGTTTCTACGCCAGCTCCGGTATATAAGGGAGGCGCGTGCAACTGGAAAGGGTCAGCTCGCTCAGCTCTCCCGCTCTGCATCTGTCTAGCTTCACCATGCTCACCTTCAGCAAGGCAATCCTCTGCGCAGTCCTCCTCGCCAAGTATGCGTCTGCTGCACCGGCCGCCGCGTCGTCCGGCATAGCGAGCAGCGCAGCCGCTACAGCGAGCTCAGCGGCCTCCAGCGCCGCGTTTGCGTCGGCCAGCTCTGCGGTCTCCAGCGTGTTTGCGTCGGCCAGCTCCGCCGTGGCCTCCAGCGACCTCCGCTCCAGCAAGACAGTGGCCCCGACCAGCTCCTTCTCAGCTGAACCCGCCTCCGTCACGGTGCCATTCGCCAGCGATGACCCGAACGGCATGTTGTGGGGCGAGGATTCGACAACTGACCCGCAGGCCATTCGTAACACGCTCGGTGCGACCATCATGGGGCCGCAGAACATTCCGATCGCGCTGCAGAACCCGGACCTCCTTGCGCCCCCTAGCACCGACGAGGGCAGCGTGTGAGTGTATTATCGCCGACCATGCCGCATTGTACCTGATTTACTGATGCATATGACCGCAGTCAGAATGCTAAGTGGCCCTTCGCGCTGAGCCACAACCGCCTGCAAACGGGCGGATGGGCACGTCAGCAGAACAGTAAGAATATCACATTGCACGCGCAGGAAGCGATCTGATTCGGGATGACGTCCCTACAGTCGATGTGATGCCCATCGCGAAGTGTGAGTAGCCCCGGACCAGTTTGTAGCGGACGATGTCCTGACGAGTTCCGCAGCGATGGCTGGCGTTAACATGCGGCTCGAAGCGGGCGCGATTCGGTGAGCCTGGCATTTGCCCATCGACTGTGCACGTCAAAGGACATAACTCACCGTTTTTTCAGGGAGCTTCACTGGCACAAGACTGCCGAGGTGATTATTTCCGATTGATGGCGTCCGAACGAACCGCTGACAATACTGCGCGCGCTCAAGTGGTCCTATGTTACCAAGGTTTGCCGCCACCAACTTAAGCTCGGGCCGTGACTAATTTCGCACGACGGCACAGGGCTCCGTTCAGGTGTCGTCCATCAACAGTGACGGGCAAAACTACCTCGCCACGGCGGTATGTGCCTCATTACGCGCTCTCCTCGGAGTTCCGCTAACCGTCAGCTGGACACACATAGTCCGCGGGCGACCTCTGGTACTTTCCTCCTGGCGTGCCGCATTCGCTTCAGGCGACCGCCGATGACCCGGACGGGACGGAGTTCCTGCTGGTACGCTTCTCGCCGCCCTCCCGGTGCTACGGGACCAGTGCCGCTGAGCTTCGTGTTCGTGCCACCAACAGGTCTTCGACGACGGCGCGTTCAGCGAAGACTCAACCTTCCTGGTATGCAGTCGTGCTATTTATAGATCCAGGGACATGTGCTCACATATGAGCCGTCTGGCAGCTCACGGATTGGCTTGCACACGTCCCGAAGGAAGTGCTCGCGAAGAACTTCAAGACCAATATCTCCGCATTCGACCACATCCCGGCGAAGCAGCTCTACATCTTCCCGAGTGGTGCGTGCCTGCTGCGTGGAGGGCGTTCGTACGGCCGTGCTCACACGAACCTCGCATAGCGCCCCCTCCGGACAACGCCCAGGCCCCGTCGGACCCGCAGGGTCAGATCCCCAGCCCGTTCGTGTTCCACCTGTCGCAGGTGAAGGCGACGGATCTGGACGGCGGCTCGGTCAAGGTCGTCGACTCGACTACCTTCCCGGTTGCTCAGGCGATCGCCGTCGCTGAAGTCACTGTCGAGCCCGGAGCGATGAGGTGCGTGCCAATCGTCCGGATGCTAAGGGCGCGCTCATCTGACCCTGTCTTCCAGGGAGCTCCACGTAAGTGATACCGAGCGTCGGCAGCGATGCCGAGAACTACGCTGACCAGCTGCACAGTGGCACCCGACTCAGGACGAGTGGACTTACTACCTGTGAGTGATCCGCGCCTTCCTCCTAGCGTATCGGCCGTGATGGCTCATCATGCACGGCAGCGAGGGCCAGGGCCGCGTGACGCTCTTCGCATCCAGCAGCAACGCGCGCACGTTCAACTACGAGGTGTGCCGTTTACCACCCGCTCGGCCGCTCCGCATCGCTGACCCTCTGCGCAGGCGGGAGACGTCGGCTTCGTGCCAGCCTCCTTCGGACACTACGTCGAGAACACGGGCAACACCACGCTCCGCTTCCTCGAGATCTTCAACACGAACCGCTTCGAGGACATCAGTCTCAGTCAGGTGCGTCGCCCGCGGCTTCACGCACCGCCGGACATAACCGCTGACCAGCACTACGTGTCGTGTGCAGTGGCTCGCGCTCACTCCGCCTGCCCTGGTTAAGGCGCACCTGGACCTCGACGACGAGACGATCGCTAACCTGAGCAAGACCAAGCTGACCGTCGTCGGCCCCGCCTAAGTCCGGGGGCTCCTTACTCGACTCCCGGTTCTCGGTCTCGATATGGGGATGCTTATACGCACCCCGAGGACAGTGGCAGTAGTGCTAGGATTCAAAACCCGCCCTCGTGTATGATATTTACGAATCTGTCTTGTCTGCGGATTATGGAAATCATGATGTCGTTACGTTGAACTCCGCACACGTCCTTCGCCTGACAGTACCTACACCGTCGTCGGACTGCGCGCATGTTGGCATGCGCGCGACAGCCTGAGCACAATCCGGAACTAGAGCGAGCTCAGTGGCGTGCAGCGGCACGCTGAGAACAGGGCGGGCTCGGGCAGATTCCAATCGGATCATCTGGTGGACGTCCAACAGGCTCGTATCGAGTGAGCCACGCCGTGCGCATTATCTGCGCATTATCCATTCGATAGACGTACTGACAGCAACATGATATCAGTCAAAGGAAAGGTAGGGAGCTCGCCTTAATCCAGAGGAGCGCCAGCGGGGAAGCCGCCGATAGCTTAGACTACGGGTTCTGCACGCGATGTAGCCATGTATTGACACCTGTTGGAGGCTCGCGAATACGTCGAGAAGCGAACCCCTGCGCTCGGTACCGCACCCAACAGAGGTCGAAGATGCGGCCGCGGCAGATGCGCGACGACCCTAATGCGCATTCAACCCGGGGGCACCGGTGTTTCTGCGAGCCATTCGCGTGCCGGGGGCGCGAGGGCGAGGTGGGAAAGTACGGCACCCAGCACGGGGGTGTTACGTGAGGGCGCAGGCGTGACCTGTGCCACTTGACACACCCAACGGGAAAATGCGCCCAAGAGGAGGCAGGGCGCGCATGGCAAACAAAAAGGTGCGAGGACATGCCAGGGGGTTGAATGGGGTCTGGGCAGTGGGTCGCCGAAGAGGATGCCAAGAGCAAGGGGGAAGCGTGATGGTGGTGACTGTGGCTGGAGAAGGACGTGGGGTTAGTGCGGGGATAGTAGCCAGGAGGGAGAGCGGGGCTGGCTGTGGTTACCGAGTCGTGCAAGGCCTCTGGATCCTATCCAACGGATGTTCTAACTTGACGCGACGTGCGAGGGGAGGGGGTGACGGCAGTGTCACCTAAGCACCTAAGCAGCGTAGTCAGATAAAACACAGCAATGGCTGGAACTCACCAGTTCGCGTCCTGATTCCTGATGGACATTGCCGAAGCTACACAATTCAGCGACTGCGTCCTCATTCATTGCACCAGCACAACGGAGCCGTCAGATCTCACGCTCCAGCCAGGCGGTACCTTGACCGCTTGACCCTGGGCGAAGCGCGAGGCCCGCCGGCGGGATGTGCGGAACGTTCTGTCCCTTCGAGCTGAGCGGGTGGTTCCGCAGCATCTTTTCGCTGCCCTCCTAGTATTCACCCAAATAGCTGTCTTAAAGCGCTGTCACCGCTATCTCGGGCAGGCAAAAAGTGGTCTCAAAAATGAATATTAATGTCCGCGTCCGCCCCACCGCCGTCTCTGCTGCCACATGCAACTGCGACGGGGTGACCAAGAAGAATGGCAATAGGCAGGAGAGAGAAGAACTGGGACGTAGAAGGGCAAAAATGGGGAATTCCATATTCTGTAACTCTTCTACTTCCTTCCTCAAACGACAGGGAAGGGAATACCGGAAAAGTTTGCGCCTAGACACGTTGGGCATCTTGAGAAGCACGTCCGAGGACACGCTTCGGCCTCGGTCGTAACGTAGTGGTCGAACGGCCCGGCGGCATCTGCGTGTTCCACTCAACACTTGGAAAACAGTTCTCCAGCTCACTCCTGAGGTTCGCCACGGCGCGCCAGCGTGCTGCAGGGATGCGTGCCAGCGGACGGTGACGTGCCGTGGGGTGTTCGGTGGAGACCATAGGCACCCACGGGGTGATTCATCTAGCCCTGGCGACCCATAACGAAGGCTAGTATCTCTTAAAGATTCCAGAAAAACCAGGCAGATGACTGATCGTGAAGCAGCTAATCCTCGAGGAGTTATATGTACGTCTGCCTCCGTCTCAGAGTCGCCTCTTTCGCATAGGTGTTATGCAGATGCGAGAGAACAGCTACGGAAAGGACAGCCCAGACCACGACAAGCCAGCTTCCGCGGAATCACCGAAAGTCGGCCCCAATGCGGCGAACACACATGAGACAGAGGAACCAGTACTCACGAGTACATGTTTGTGCTGCTCCGTGTCCAAAAGGTCTCCCGCCTACCCTTTCCAGTTGTTCCTAGTTGCGCGACCGAAACCGACAAGGAGAGGTGCTGGCAAACGTCGCACTGTACCTCCCGCGCGTGAAGCGTCGTGCACGCCCCGACTGCGCAAGTTGGTAGACGACTTGGCGTAAAACGGGATGGAGGCATCGGCGCATTCGGCTCAACTTTGGGCAACAGTGTTGCACCCCAGAGCTACACCGGAGTCCGGTGCATGTACTCCCGTGAGCTCCTGGGGTAGCTCCTCCCTGCCAAGTCCGCCCTCGCGCGCCGATACCGCTGCGGGGATGCGCACCAGCGCACTGTGGCGCTCCGTGGGGTGTTCGGTGGATCCAAGAGGCACCTGCGGCATCATCTCCGTCGAGGCCCGACGACCCATCTGCGTGAGTAACAGCGTACTATGAGCACTCCGGAAAAACAAAACGGATAACTCACCGCACGCGCAGCTGACCCCCGAGGACGAATTCATGATCTTTCACGAATAGGAGAACTAGCTTCCAGCGGGAACCGCTGCTCTCTCCCGCGACAGCTTCAGGCTGCTGCCGCACTGCCGCAGGATCGACGGCGCCACCGGCGGCGTATAGTGGGCACGTCGAGGGCAGGCCGCCCCAGGAAACACGTGTGGAGCTCCGAGCACACGCGCATGATGTGTTGCTGCTATCGTGATGCACCTCCTCCTCGCGCGCAGGCCCCCAATAAGACGCTGCAGGGACTGGTGAGACCAATCAGCATGCAGCGCGAGAGGGGTCCAGACCGATACATCCGTCCGCCTCCGGCCAGTCAGGGTAGACGCAGAGGCTTTCGAGTGCCTTTCGACGGGCGTACCCGTCGCGTCGATCGTGATCGATCGACCGCGGACGGGGATTGTGAGAGGTGGAGGCGCGTGAGGCGCGTGAGTCTGCACGTTGCCGGGAAAAGTTTGCGGAGGGTCCTGTGATCAGTGAACAGGGGAGAGCTGGAGAACGATTTCGGCGGACACTGCAAAGCGCCACTAAAGCGGAGGAGAATGGGAGCGCACGACAAAGGAAGAAGAGCGGCATGTGGTTGAGAGAATTCTGAGCCGGTCGGAGGAGGGACGGCGGCTTTCGACTGGGAGTGAGGAGGAGGGAAGGAGGGACAGGACTGAGGCTGTCCCGGACGGCGTATCGGCATGATCCTCCTTCAGAAATGTCTGCAACCACATTGTTTAGCCGCGTCGTATCGGACAGGTGTTTAGGAAAAGTCAAACCCACTGCAAATCGACGCGGGACCTGCACAAGCAGTGGGAGGAGGCCTGGACGATTTGTATGCAAGGATCGTTCGGTGCCGGAACGTGCCGTGTGCGCGATGGCGGCGATGATTGGACGAGGAAGGGGCGGGTGCCGAACAACGCCAGTGCGGTGAGGCGGGAGACGCCACCGGGCGATCAGTCCTGCGGGGAAGCCCGACGCATCGGCCTCATCGCCGAAACATCGCCAGGCAACACTCCCCGCGTCCACCCCGCCCTCGTGGCGGCCGTGGTCTGGACCGCAAGATAGTTGCCATTCACCCTGGCTGCGACCACCGCGCGGTGGCAGGCGCAACCTGCGATGACGTCGATCACAGCCGTAGCAAAAAAAATGTGCTTGACAGGCTACGGCCAGTGAAAAGCGGATGCTGTCGGAGGACAGGGAGCAAGAGCTCTTCCACAGTGAACTGCGTCGAGCGTTAGCAAGGCACGTCTCGAATGCTCGGTGCACTGCACAGGCAGGAGGAGTACGCACCACAGTCGCGTTCCTGGAGTGTGGAGTAAAAGTCCAGATTCCGTGTCCTCGCTAAAGCACCATGGGCGCCTGTGTGCGTTCACACTTGATTGAACGCCGACCACGGCAGCGAGCGCAGACCGCCACGGTAAACAGTCGGGCCCTGTATGCACGTTCAGCTAGCTATGCAAAGAAGCTTCTTGTCGTACCAGGAGCTCCGGAGAGCCAAATGCGAACCCGGCGGAAGAGTTCAGAACAGAGGCGGGTGTGGTGGAAGCATCGGCGGGCCAATCATCAGGCTCGTTCTGCTGACATCAGCACCATCACCGGGCAGAGGAGTGGGCAAGTGTCCATATAAGGTGTGCCTAGACCATCACCTCCGCCGTCCGCTGCCCCACGCCCTCTCCCTCGTCCAAGACGGCCACGGCGACGACGACGCTCCAGAGGACGGCTTCCGCGCCTGCCTTGTGCTTGCCCCGCGTATCTCGGCGACCCTCGCGCACCCGCACTCGGTAACCGACGTTGGAGTCCCTGGTTGACCACCCCTCTTGGCTGCTCCGGCTCAGCGCCCGAGATTCGATGCCGACCGTTCCCTCTACATGTGTTCATCTTGACTTTCAGTCGATCCCGGAGGTCGCTGCACTCACCGAGGCGAACCTCCTCAGCCCCAGCGAGCGCACCGCGGGTCCGACGCCCGATCCCGACCTGGACGACATGATTCTCGTTCCGGTCGATCAGGGGAACGTAGTCTCGCAGGTAAGCCGTCTCCTAATTGCCCCGCACAAGCCAAGTTTTCGAATACTATCATGCAGCACTCCATCTCGCTTCCGCCGTCCCAGGCATCCGCGTCGGCGTCCACCGGCAAGCCGCGCATCGACCTGGGCAGCCTGAACCTGCACTCGCCCTCCTCAATCGTCGGGACACCGTTCGACATCTCCCCCCGCTTCGAGTACCCCTTCCCGCCCGCCTCGCGGTCCCCGCCCTTCCCGCCGTCGATATACGACTTCGACCCGGGCGTACCGTCCTTCCCGGGGCTCGCCGCGCACCCCATCGCCCTGCCGCTCATCCCCATGGCCGTGCCCATGCCCCCGCTCGCCGTGCACCCCGGCAAGGCCCGCGGCGAGACGCGCAGCTTCTCCCCAACACACCTCAAACTGCAGGCGCGCGATCCCCCTGTCCCGCCGAGCCTCGTCAAGAAGCGGAAGCTCACAAAGCCTGCTCCGTGCTCGGAAGCCGCCCTCGCCTCGAAACACCCTCCGACCAGGCGCCCGCGGGCTGGGAGCCTGAGCGACCTGCCCGAGCACCTCCGGCAAGCGCACGCGCGCGGGCGCGTGGACAGCGTGTTCGACGCGGACAGGGACCGCTCGCACTCGCTCGACGTGGCTCGGAAGCGCGCGCCGCTGGAGCGCGTGCGGAGCGACACCACCGTCGTGGATCCCAGCGTCGGCTTCTTCGACGCGAAGCCCCCACTGCTGCACGCGTCCTCGTCCGAGACGCTGCTGTCCGACTCGGAGCATGCGGAGAAGCTGGTCGAGTCGCCGCGTTCGGCGTCGCCAGTGTCGGATGCGCCTGAGGAGGCGCTGGAGAACTCGATCGCGCCCTCCTCTACGCTTCGTTCCTCGGAACCGTCTCCTCAATGACAACTCGCCCCCCTTCGACGTCTTCGCGCTCCCGGTTTCGCTCGGCTGCGGTCACGGCCACATACACGCGCCGCCTCCGTTGCCCGGGCATATTTATCGTAAAAATCCGCTTTTGGTGTCTGATGACCCTCGCGTTGCCTTTCGCCGCCGACCTCCTTCTTGGCACCCTCCGTCCCCCAGGTCGCACCGCGGTTCTAGCAATGGACCGTAAAGCTGCATGGGGTGGTTGGGAGGCCATGCAGAGTGGGCCAGGGGTTTCTCGGCTTCCGTTGTCACCGCTGCACGCAGGCAAGCCTCGTGCGGCCGTGGTCGACGACGTGTCGCGCGCCGCGGTCTTCGTCATCTTTTTCCGGTCCCCGTTGTTTCGCGTATTTCTATGCTGGTCGTTCAGGTAATCCGGTCTCTCTCGCCGATTTTTGGTCACGTCTCCCGCTCCGGTCCCCCTCCATGTGTATCCATTCAAGCATACCCCCCTCACGTCCTCATCCTCATCCTCGCCCTCGTCCCACCTCCCACTCCCCATCCCTTGTCCGTCCGCCCACTCACTCTTTGCATCATCCACTCGCTCTCGTCGCTCTCCATCCACCCACCCCATGCGTTCCCTCCTCCCATCACGATCCACAAACCCTCCCCAGCCCGGGCCCCCATCTCCCTTCTCGCATCCCTTCATCGTCCTGCCCCCAACCCATTCCCGCCCCGCGCGCCTGTGGACATGATGATTTCACGCCACGAGCCGCCCCGCCCCAGACATACATAGATGATGATGCTCCGACAGCAACGCGCTGCGCACTCCCCTCCCCGGCCTGCACCGCACACACACGCATACACGGTCCATTCCCTGGCGGACGATTCGAGGCCGTTGCTGTAGCGATAGTTGTATATATACATACGCATGGTGTTGTTGTGCTGTACATTTCTATCGACATGTCTAGGCCCCTTCCCCCTCGTACTCGTCTACCAGCGCGATGCGTTATGCGCGAGCACCACGTACGTATATGAAGGTTTGTCGCCGTCGTCGTCATTGGCGTTGAGGTCATCGTTTGATGCCTGTGCATTGAGTACGGGGCGCTGAGTGCTGTGCGCGCAGTGTTTCTGATTTCTTTTTACACATGGCGCGTCATGCTGTGTCGATACCGTTGTGCGTTGACGTCGGGGAGGGCGCGAGCAGTTGTGGGGAGTAAAAGGTCCAGACCTCTAAACCTTCGCCGGTGAGACGATGCGGGATGTTGCCGGGGTGGCCCGCATGCTATGACGTCGTGCGCAACCGCTGCACGGCGATGTGCGAGGTCCAGGGAAGAGGTACCTTTCACGATGGTGTCCTGGCAACCACAGCGTGAGGTTGAGAATCGAACGACGTACGCCTGCCGAGTTCAGCGCGTCCAGGACAACCTCTACGAGCATGTTTAGTTCACGTTCTGGAGGGACGACTGCTAGCGTACTGAAAGCCTCATCAATGCGATAAACACGGCGAACTCGGAGGCGTCGGCGAACCACATGTTGGTGGGGGAATGAGCACAACACGCTCTGGCTCGGGGAACAGGCTGTGAGCCCGCAAGGCTGTCTCCTCCGGGTCGCGATGGAGCGCTCAGCTGCGCTTGTGGAGTCGGACTTGACGGCGAGTGTGTGCACAGCGGGGGCGAAGATGCCTGCGGTATATGTACATCTCGCCGTACGCGCCGGTGGTTGCCCCGACAGCACTCCCAACATGAGAAATATACGAGCGACTCGAGCTCGGAGGAGACGGTGTGGGTGGGCGCGGTAGACATCGGATGTGGGTCCACTGTTTTCTATATTCATCTGTGCAATCGGGGCGGAACGGTGCCGGCGTCAGCAAACGAGGGTGCTTGTCGTCTGAGGCGTACCGGCATGACGGTAAGCATGGATATTGATTCCCGCACCATGGCCGACTGCAATAAATGCGAGCCCGCCATGTTCCGGAGGGCCATGTTCCGGAGGGCCATGTTCCGGGGCGGCCACATCGATCGCTGCAACAGAGTCGCCTCGTCCCAGGCGTCAGGCGTTATACTGCAAAGGTTGAAAACTCACTGCCATAATCCGTAAGAGTGTGTGCAGTCTCTGGGAGCTTTAAAGCCAATGAGAGACATCCAGGTGGAACTGTAAGTACTTTTACCGGCGCTATGAAGGGCAGTCAAAAAATGGTGCGGGGAGACGACAAACATTACTTAACCTATACCTCTGTGACATATATCATGGCGTACCTCCTCGGACGCTGAGCTCTACAGTGGCGGCATTTCCATCTCACACGTCACTGCCTTTTAGGGTTTCCGCGGACGGCGCATTGAATGTGTGAACACTGCTCGGCGTACTGATGAAATAGGGTCGCAGAGTTACCAACTGCCTCTGTGAACGGTATTAATATTGCAAGGGTTAAGGCATCTTGGTGAATGTACAGACTTACGGACTTTTCAAGCGCAGCAGGTTCCCGAGGAAGTAAGAAGAGGATATGCCAGCTGTGCACGGCCAGGTGGTGGTAGTACGACGCGCGGCGCGTACGCGACAACTGTGCGCGTCCGTGACAAATGTAAACACGTGCGTGTGACGGACGCGACAGGACGCGACAAGCCAGCGCTAAAGCAGTCACCTGGCTCGCTCATGGACCTCGTCTCATGCGACATATGTTCTGCGCACGTCCATGTTTGCCGCCCAACACAACCCGATTTGCTACTCCGGACCGCATCTAGCTCTGGCTGGAATGCTGAACCGCTCTATGTTCATAGGATCTTCAGCTATGCCTTGCACCTCGGATCCACCACAGCTGTGCACCGGAGAGACATCGATTTTGCAAATTCTTACCGGCTGTTGACACAGCTGAAGATGCGGCCTCGGACACTTTGAAAATCTGCCCGAACCCCCGCGTTCCATACCGTGGAGCTGTCTCGCAATGGCAGCATCAACAATAGGTACCTGACATCCGCACAGGATCTCAACGCGGCTCAGTCACCGTCGCCATCGGTAAGTTGGTCGATCACCGCTCGAGTCCGGTCGCCTTCGGCTTTGCTGAGACCTCTTCCAGCTTGAGGACCCCGCGATGTTGCATGTACTGGGGGCTGCTACTTGCACAATGCAGGCGGAGGAGAAGAAGCTGAGGTAGGAGCTGTAGCAAGTCACTATTTTCCAACGAAAGCAAGCTGACAACAAATCAGGACCCCGCTACGCTCGCGGACATAGGAATGGATATAGTACATTGGAAAGCAACATCTTTGAAACGACCGTCTTCGGGCGGTCCGTGATTCGGCTACCTTGTCTCCGATCCGCCCAAGCCCGTACAAAACCTGTCGGCGTCTCAGCCAGCCCACTCTCGACCTTCCCTTTACCCTCACAAATACCCCTCGCGCGCCGGACTGGCAGGAACCAGCGACGTCTCTATCGCCGCCCCACGCCTTTTCAACTTTTGAAAACATCCCGTTTGTGGCCGTACTACCGCCATGCCTGATTCAGTGAGCAACGGAACCTTCATCGCCTACCTGGCGGACGACGGGGATACCAAGGCTATCACATACACCGGCACCTGGGCCCATCTGTCCTCGGGCTTGAACGACTCGTACCTAGACACGGGCTCCGCGGGAAACAGCGGCTCACAAGCAGCGCTGACCTTCAAGGGTGAGCAGCACGTCGCGTCACAAGCTCACCTCCCAGCACTAACACCCTCCCAATAGGGTCAATAATCGCGGCCGTAGCGGCAATCCCCAACGGGCTCAGTGACGCCGATGCACGCAATGCCCCCAACGTGTCCTTCGCCGTCGACGGTGGCGCCGCGATGAACGCGACGGTGGACGCGTCGAACAACACGTTCATGTACATTAACAAGGCCCTCGCGGTCGGCCAGCACACGGTCACACTCACCATTCTCGAGCAGACGGACGCGTTCCCATTCGTGCTCGACTTCTTCGTGTATGCGGGCCCGGACGACGTCACGGTTCCCATTGGCGACACACAGCCGCTCTCGGACGACGGGAGCGCGGGCTCGACGGGATTCCTGAACGGCCTGTTGCCGGACATCGAGAAGGCGGAGAACAGCAACAGTGGGCCCCCGGTTGGGCCGATCGTGGGAGGTGTCATTGGGGGCCTCGCGCTCATCGGGATCGTCTCGCTCGTTGTGTGGTACCTCTTTGTCCGTCCAAGGAGGCAGGGTGGACGGCCGTTCTTCTACGCACCCGCGAAGATCAGCGACATACTGTCTAGTGAGATCGGTCAGTGCACCCCCCTGAATTTACATATCTCGTATTTCCAAATGCTCACCCGTCATCGCCCTCACAGCCGACACGAAACCCCAGCCATACCCGCTCACGCAGCCCACGCCCGGCGCGCCCACCCGATCGATGTCGCAGGTGCCCAGCCTCGCGCGCACGCGCCAGCCCACGTACGCGCAGAGCGAGTCGGAGCTCGAGCAGGGGCTGGAGTCCGTCAGCGGCTCGTCTGGCTACGGTTACGGGGCGGGCATGGGCGCGGGCAGGCAGGACAAGAAGGGCCCGCTTTCGAGTCCACCGCCCGCAACGTACCATGCGGATTCGGGCATCCGGTTCACGGCTGGCGGTTCGAGCACGGACCCGCTGGCAGACGTTCCGCCGATGTACAGCTCGAACTAGTCGGCGTTGGGGAAGAGGGGAGCGTTAGCGGCTGTTCTGTATTTTGCTCTGTCCTTGCATAGTACGTCTTTTAGTAATGTGTAGTCAGGCCTCGATCGGGTGTATCGAGCGTCCCTTCTTTGTACTTCCAGTGAACATACATTCATTCGAACGTTCGCCCTCGAGCACTATATATGCAGTGATATCGTACATGATTTCAAAAACGTGGGCAGTGAAGTTCACAAGCAGGACGAGTCAAGACGGTACAAAGAAAATAACATAGCTAGATTCACTTCCATCCATCTGAAGACTCGAGCTTCCAGCCAACTGGCCGGTCACAAGAGCACCTCAGAAAGAGAAGAAGATCCCGGGAGGGAAGGGAAGATCCCCCGACGACACAAGCCGATACTGCAGTGGCATGGTCATCGCGTCCCCGTGTTGCAAGCAGAGCACAGGGAGCAGGGGCGGCAAAAATAAGATAACCAATGATGGAGGCGGTGCCTCCATAATAGTGGTTAAACTATTAAGAACAGATACTACACTTGATCTAAGCCAAAAGGCCAGAGTGGTAAGGATTCACGACGTCCGCGCGCAGGTTATATAGGGCGGGGAGCGATCGCGCAAGGACCAAGGCGCGCGTTTAGGGCAGGCGCGAGGTGTGGTAGGCGTTGTGGCCGGATTGGGAAGGCGGCAGCTTTGGATCCTAACAAGCGCAAACAAGTGCCGTCGGCGGCGCGATCGCTCGCAGTGGTTCCGCCATCCGACGTCGTCGTCTCGAACTCTTGACAGCAAAGCTCCGTGTATATGGAATAACTTTCCTGATGGCACCCTCCGTCTATATTCTCACTAGTGCTCCGCGAAGACATCCGTATCGCCCATGTGGCCAGGCTCCAGCGGTCTCGGCCGTTGGTCTCTTGCAATTGATGGGAAGTCTTCAAGCAAGGCGCCCTATTGAATGTGCATCATTCTGCTAGTAACTGCTCGCCTGTTGAGGCTCCTTTCCATCGTGCGTAAAACTCGTCATTCCTGTCATGGCTTGGTGGTGTATGTGGACAACTGTGCGAACGCACGTTGTGCAACTTTACTCCCCCCTTGCACAGGACAAAGGACTGGAATTTTAGCTTCAGAACACCATATGCTAGCTCTAGTTCATCATCGCGGGCCGCGACCCTACGGCGCTCCATCTTTACCGAGCAGAGACCATCACGGGTGGCGTCCCCCGGCGGCACAGAGAGAGTGAGTGCTAGAGTCGCTAAGAAGTGCCTTACCCACGGTGTGTCATGGGTAACGAAGCATGGAAGCCTCTCAACCGTGCCTGTGCTACGTTTAGAGGACGTAACAGCGTTCCATGCTGCGCAGAGGCATATTGGGCATAGTGCCGTCCACGGTCGTATCATGCTGATAACAGTCTCATTGCCCATTGAACGGTCGAAGAGCGGTCAGAATTATAACCGGGACCGGTCGTGTTCAAAATATACTGTCATCCTGAGCTCCTTTGTTGACAGAACTCGTTCGGCGACATGGCCGGCTTATGTTCTAGGCCAGCTACACCTGGAGTGTAGCTGGATGACCTACTCTGACTAAAGCGGAAGGGCGGAGCCAGTGTGGTGTAAGCCCGGTTCAATGGATTGCTCTAGAGAGCACCTTCCATATCGGCTACATCCGCACGCGGAATTGCACTCATTACGGGGCTACGCGAGCTCGGTGCGACGGTCACTGCGCTTCCGCCCGGCATGCTGTCCGTGGCTTCATATACCTCGATGAGAACGGCGTCAGCGCACCCGCCCTCTCTCTGCTTCCCCCCTGCCTGCACTTCGCTTTCGTTTGAGGAGCTCGCTCCTCGCTGTCCCATGCCGCCATGAGCAGCAGATTCTTGGACTTGACGTACGTCCTTCGTCGGCTAGTCCCCCGATGCGATATTGACATAAGATATAGCATCGGCGTTATTTTTATCGGCTTCTTGGCTACGGGATTGTGAGTGGCATTTCCTTTCGCGCGTTTGCATCATCTAAACGCGTATGCAGCTTGTTTGGAGGTGCGCGTCATTCCGCGTTCAGGAGGACTCGGCCGCTCACGGAGATGCAGTCACCACCTCGCAAACCGTGTGGTACTTCAAGCATTACTCAAATGACCGCCGCGTCCTCCGGTACCTGGTAAGCAAACCTCAGGCATGCCTGGCCATCGCTCATGCTATTTTTACAGGTCGCCATAATATGGCTTCTGGACGCACTTCATTTAGCCCTCTATCTCGTGACCAGTAAGCCTCGACCAGCCCGTTCCCGTCGAGATACATACCGATGCCCGCTCGCAGTGTTCATCTACCTCGTACAAAAGAAGGGAGCATTCTTCGGCCAGCAACCTCTGCCATGGTGAGCATCTTCGCATGCGACATACGCCGTTTCTCACCGCGCTTGCTGCGCATGTCAGGACGTCAAATGTGAGTCGCGTAAGCTTCTGCCAGGTATCGTAGAGCCCATCGTAATCCGGTTCTCGCAGGCGCAGTTGGTGTGTAATGTACGTCCTACATGTTTCCTTGCAGTCTGCGCGCAGATTCTCACCTCCAGCCCCTAGGCGTTCGCGATTGGTCTCATACAGTCGTACGTACACAGCTTTCACCACGATTTTTTACTTATGCTGACTGCGCGTAGGTTCTACGCATCCCGCATTTGGACGCGTGAGTGCACAGTCGACCAATGGATGCTGAGTGCTGGCTGACCGGTACTTCAGTAAGCAAGAAGAAGTCCCTTCTGGTAGTAATGGTGAGTCGTCCTTCAGCGCGTTTCCATGGACAATGTTTAACATATTCCCGTAGGCCATATTTGTCACCGTAACGTTTGGTACGTCCGAACTGTTGGTGAAAAAGACAGTGCCTTACTAAGTCTCGCCGCTATTCAGTGTGCGCGGTTCGTGAGTAATGATCATTATCGATGGTACACGCAGACGGCTGACTAGTTTGTGCAGTGCTGTTCTTCAAGACGTACGTCGCTGCGTCGCATTCCAGAGCTCCGTCTCTAACGTAACAGATAGTGTCCTCACCAGGACCGTGGCCGGCTACGTGGCATTGGTTGTAAGTGCAACCTTCTTATTACACATACCGCTTTTTGACGTTTCGCGTGGTACAGCCATTCGATATCGCGTTGAGCGCCATGTGTGCCTCGACCGATGTACTGCTGTGCAGCTCACTGGTCACCCTACTAGCCAGGTCGCGTCCTGGAACCGTCGGGTACGTCAGACAAGCCCCTCGTGCGCTCGTGATCGATCTTTTAACACGGTGTCGTTCAGAGCGAATCGCCTCATCAACAAGCTGGTACGCATATTGGTGAAACTGATGATTACCTCAACAACTCATGTTTTGCTAGATGTTGTACACCGTTCATACCGGGCTGGTCACGAGGTACATCCTTTGGACGGGACTCTGGAAGCGAAGCAGTGACTGACCTTAATGTAGCGTTAACGCCACTCTCGCGTTGATACTGGTACGCGGTGCGCACTTGACTCTATCGCGAGGTTACTGATGCAGTTGCAGGCGGTGGTTATGCCGACTTCGTCAATATTCGTGATGTTTTACTACATCGGCGCTCGCTGTACGTCTCGTTCGAATCTTCTGTCGTCGTCGCTAACACTAGTCCGCAGTTTACTCGGTCTCGCTCCTTGGAACGCTCAACGCGCGGGCGAGCCTTCGTTGGCAGGCGCAGAACATGGGCCAGTTCCCGCTCCCCGACATACAGATCACTGCCCCTGTCACTCCCAAACGGACACTGTCGGACTCGATGGTATGTCTTCGAGTTCGTCATACTTCGCCGGTCTAACCAGCGTCGCAGCCTCACTTCCATGAACTCTCCCTCGGCTTGCAGTGCGACACGCCCTCGACATACGAGAGCATCTCGAGCGGCGAGACGCGCGTGTACGAGACGCGCGTGTACTGCGACGGGCATCGGTGCTACGCGCTGCCCCCAGATATGGAGCTCGGACTAGATAAGCGACAAAGTATGGACATTAGCGAGAGCAGGATAGGGATTCGGACAGACCCTGGCGTTGCAGTTGTTGATCCCACTGGTCCCGACTTCCGACGTACTGTGAGCGATCAGTGAGCGGTCGTGGATGTTGTCCCTGTATGTGTGTGTTTTGTGTACAGTTGCTATGTTTCGCTGTGCATGTTCGCTCATCGCATACTCTCTACTATATCATGATTTAATGCCCACATATATCATGTTGGCATCTGCGATGGCCGCCTAGAACCATGGATAGAAGATGCATCGTCGCCCAATTCCGCCTGGGTCGTGCGTGATGGTACAGTTGACTCGGAAATTGTATTACATTATGTTTTCGATTCAAGCCGATGCAGTTACCAGCGGAGCCCAGTCGCGCCCAAGGAAAGTACTCGTGCTCATAGTATGCGGTTTTGGTCCCACAGTCGGGAGTCCGACTCGGAGGACGTCGAGCCGTTGGCTGCTGTTCCCTTTCTTCGCCTGGCTCGTGTCCATAACAGCGGTTGTGACGTCTTCAGCCGCAGGCGGTGCCGTTTGCTCCGACAGTATGCCAACTGGTACCAAGAGTCAGACAAAAGTGAGCTCGTGTGTTACTCGGAGGTGGGCGTACCTCCATATTCATCCACCGTGATCGGAGGACGTACCCATGAGAGTGCTGCAGCAATGTCGTCAGGAAAATGGTCGGGCTATGCCACAGCCGCACCGAGCTTCAGCATTTTTCTAAGGAGCATTGAGACTTCACACACCGGAAATAATGCGTAGAGATCCATGTCAGATGCGATTGCCATTTCGGCATCCGAGTTCTATGAGAGGTATAGTTTGGTGTGAGAATGACCGCTCGCACAGACATGTTTCCAAGCAAAGCTCACCCCAAGAATGTAGTCCAAAACCATGTTGACAGGGTCGAACACCTTCGTGTGTGAGACAAAGCACGGTACGGCATCGGGATGGCGGGTACATACCTCTTCATGTTCAGGTGGATGGTGGCTCATGCTGCCAGCATTCTCAGCGTTTGCAAGAACCTTTGGAGCTTCTGGATCCTCGTCAGGATGACGTGGGAGCTGGTGAGGACCAGCCCGGGCCACCAATTTTAAGGGAAGGAGTCGGCTGCGCCGTTTGGCTTTGTAGTAGTGAACGAATAAGCATTGGTCGGCACCCGTTTCGTCTACGAGGGGTATAGGACCGTTTGAGCTTTCCTGCTCAGCCTGTTGTAAGATTAGCGTGTGGATGGTGTGACCGTTTGAAACACGCAGCTTACCGAGATGGACTCGAGGGTGAACACCGAGCCAGATAGTGAGTTCACCGATAAGCTGCTATCAGAGAACGATGCCGGTGAAGACGATCGAACTTGCATGGCGGGGGAAGTAGCATGTGTGAAGCGGGACCTCAGAGACTCTGCAGAGTCAAATGCAGAGTAGTTGGACGCATACGTGTTGATGCGTCTGTACATCACCGACGGTGCAGACATTGTTGTGAGGCCTGAGGCAACGGTCAAAACGGAAGTTGGAGGGAGCGGGCAAGCGCCGTACGGCGTGTATGGCACTGCGGCAGGCGCAAAGGGCAAGCTGGGTGCGGAGCTCTCCTGTGCACGCCATGGGCTGTGTTTATGCCAGACCCGGCCGCCAGGCTGCGCGCCCGACGTTACGATGTTGTAGTCCACTTTCGGCTGGTCGGGAGTACCCGAATCGAAGTGGACCGTGACCGTGACCGGGGTGGCACCTTTGCGCCGGAGGTCAGAGAACGCGGCGACGCCCCAGTGACCCGCCGTCTTTGTTACGCCGCAGACGAAGAAGATTTCTTCGCGTGAGAGTTCCAAGCCGAGTACACCGTTCGCGAGCTCTTCCCAGCTGTCCAGGTGTTCGCGCATATAGGTGACAATCTGCCTAGTGTTCCGGATGATAGTTTCTTGACCCCGGGAACTCAGCATCAGCAGCGCTGCTTTGTCTTGCGTTAACTGGAACTCGACACTGGAGCTGAAAGTGCGGCGATCAGTATATGGTGGTCCCAGGGGATCGAAGATACCGTTACACGATGCGGTTCACTGACCCCACACTTCCTTGGACGGCAACGTTCTTGATCGATCGGCTGCAAAGCATACGCTGGGTGATATTCTCAATGGGCCCACTGGTAACGAGGTTGGGCGGGTTGAACGGCACGTAGTTCTCCGGCTGCACCTGGTGCGGCTGTAATTCCGCTTGTGTCTCCTTGCATCGCAATAGTTGCACGAATTGGCCATCCCGGACCCACCCCAAGTCAGCGATCTCGACCTCCCGGCTGGTGCGTGGCAGTGGCTCGGGAACCCACAAGGGGTACCCATGGCCGAGGTGGTAGAGCTCCTTGGCATAGACGTTCCAGGCCATAACGATGTGTCGCCACTAAGAGGGGAAGTACTGAGTACTGATTGGGGGGAGGGTATGGGCCGTATGGCGCTAGGCAGCGAGGTTTATCGGTCGCTAGCATTGCCTCCACCACGTGTTGAAGAAGTCGAACACATGACGCAGAGCCTGGGGATTGGGAGGGGAATATTTTGAATCCAGGGAGCTCAAATCACAGAAAGCCCTATATTGCAGCTGTTATGTCAAAAGGCGCGAGCAGCCTTGGCCGCCGAGATGAGAGTGGCCGCCGCTGATATACCCGACTATGGCTGAAAGATCAGCTCATTTGAAGTAATGACTACGGATAAATGGAAGGCACAGGAGAGGGGAACGCGAGTTGGTGTGTCTTCGGGCAAGGTGTGGACGGGTGGCCAAAGCGAAACGAAATTGTGTGACCGTTAAGAAGACAGATTTGATCAAAGATCAGAAGGAATAAGAAAATTATGGGTGGTTGGGAGGAAAACGTGAATAATAAGACCAGTGGGTAGAGGGTGCGAGCGACGATGAGAACGACCATAGCGATATCAAGAGGAGCGGCGAGAGGGACAGCAACGTGAGCAACGTGACGGTTCTGATTCGCAATGTCTCTGTGGGCACTGTTCGCGTATGCCGTTGGATCCTGGATCGCGGAGAGTCAGACAGAAACACGCACCGGCGGCGAACAGACTGAATACCACGCCGAGCAGTGAGAGTGTCGGGGCCAGACTCAGCCTGTACGCCTGCTACGAGCATGGGCCGAGTCGTGTTCGCGAAGACCGCCGCCTGACTGAGGAATCTATCACCGACAGCAGCTCCTCTATGAGGGCGAGCGCCCAATTCAGCCGACCATCTCCCCGCAGATGTTCCAGGACGCAAGGGACGTACCACGAATGAGCTCGGACGTCATAGGAACAGAGGCATTCCTGCGTGCAGCGTTGTGTGCCTACTTGAGGATCGCCTACATCGTCGTGCCGATATCTGCTGCGGTCTATCCCTCAGCGGCACCTCGAAGAAGCTGCAGGTCAAAGCAGGATTTGTGATCACAGAAGGGTCACAGGGGGGCCATTTGATGTTTGACGAATTGGTGGCATTCAGTGGTGGATCGCCAACGAACACACTGCCGACTCGGATGATCTGCAAAGTGGCGAGGAGGGAAAGGACTCAAACGGCGCGCTTCCGCATTCATCCCACCCTACTGTTTCTGAATAAGTGATATGCGTAAGTGGTGATTACAATTCGTACCTGAAAATCGTAGACATGGTAATTATGTTGTCATTAATACCTCGCACTCGTTCAAGGATTGGCAACACCAGTTGGTGAGCCCAATGGAGCGCATTCCGCGCTCGCGAGCGTCGAACATCCGTGCGGGAGGGGACACGGACGACTTTCGGACGACTCAACAACTTTAGATCCTAACAGCCACAAACAAACGCCCAGGATTCGATGACGTCCAACATCCGAATTTGCTGCTTCACCACTCCCACCGTGTCATGCTTCGCTAAGTCTTCTGCTTGCTGCAGTGTTGGCCCTCCACACTCTGCTGCTCTTTGTGCGTCTCCACCAACTCAAGTTGCTTGTACAAGAACAAGGATTCGGATGTCGTTCACCTTCGCTCCGGACTTCGTCGTGAGTAGTACAGCGCCTCTGTGTTATACGATTAACATGTCTTGCTCGCCGAAACATCAAGATTACGAAGAGGCGTAAGCGAAATCATCAGCCCGTCGACCCTTGCCTTGGGTTTTACCCCAAAATCTCTGTCTCCCCGGCTCGCGTCGAAGTCGGCTATGCTCAGGCTACTCCTGCAACGGTGCTGACAAGTCCAGCACAAGGGATTCGGCCAACCGAAAATAGCACTACGAATGATACTGTGCATGCTGTAGGCCCTCAGGCACAACCCTCCGCATCTACAGAGATAGGACCCACTAGCGCTACCGACGGCGATGCTATACCCGATTCCGACACCCGCATAGACTCGCCTCATGTGGCCGATACTGAAGCTCTCACCATCGAGACGTTCCTACGACGCGCTGCGTCCCCAACGAAACACTATGGCCACCAGCGCACCCGGAAACGCAAGAGAGTGGCGAAACGCACGCCACCTAGCAGTCAGGACACCTACCGGCCGTCGTCAGACCCTCACGACTCCGACTACGTTGCCGAGCTGCCTTCCTCCGAACCACCGCGGAAGCGTCGCAGCAAAGAGATCTCATGGACCAGCGACGAGGATGAAGATCCTCCCAGCCCAAAGAACCCTGCGAAGCGGCGCCGTCGACCTCTGAAGAAGGTCCAGTCGCTGGCAGCCCGGCTGCTGCTCGCTGGTGCCGCCACTGGTGTAGACTTGGTCGGAGGCCCTCTGCTGCCGACGTCTAAGGCGCATACATCCACCCGTCGACCCATACCTCTTGTTCCTAACCACCGTTTGCCCTCCCCTCCGCCGGATTCGAATGACACGCGCCGTCACTTCGTTGACCCTCGGAAGGCGCCTCTCTTCTGTAGGGCTTCGTTCCAATTCGCTACTGGTGCGGACGACGAATCGTCTCTCCCTGGAAAGAGAAGTGCTAGGCCGGTCACGGCTTGGAAGCCGGGCGGGCACGAAGCGTCCAATCACAGGGACAATACTAAGCCCTGTAAACCTATCTCGACCAAGACCGAACGGCTGGTCACAGTACCACTGGTGCTTGCACCAGCCGTGAGGGATATTGTCAAGGAGACCCCAAGGTGAGAAAAACCTGGTCCGTTGAGAGAGCATGCCTTGATCACGACATTGTAGGCCTCCCGGTGGACGCAAGCATGCTCCTCCCACGGCGATTCGCCGCAAGCCGCCTACTTCATCTCCGGGGATCCCGTTCGGGCCGTTTGTCCCTCCGTCTCCCAAACGGCCGGCGCCGCCATCTGCCATTGGGCTGCGGCCGTGTACTGCGATGTTCATAGCGAGCTCACCTTCACCCGAACCTCCTCGTCACATCGCTACGGATGAGAGTCTAACATCACCGCTGCCATCTACGCCACTCGCCGCAGAAGAGAACGCCTTTGCTGTCCCCTTCATCGACGGCCCGTCGGACTCTGGACTATCTGACTCTGAAGCTGCTGTTGACGATGCTGGACCTGAGCCCTTTTCTGCTGTGATTCTCGAGGACTGCCTGCATGCTCGTGTCTCGCCTGGTACTCTGTCTATCAATCATCGCTCTTCTGACGATATACGCCCTACTCAAAATCTGGACCGCGGGAGCGAGCCTTCGATTGCGGTCTCGCAGCCCCCGAGGACGATGAAATCTCTGGGATCTCTGCTAGACGACTTCCGCGAGATCGCGCGCTCTGCGACCCAAGTTTCCTTAAAGTCCAGCCGTACACAAGGGACCCGTCCTCGTCCACGTGCTCGCCCTCGAACCGCACAAGCCATTCTTCAGCCATCCGGACAACTTGCTCATACTCATGATCGTGCTAGTGATCGTGCTCGTTCTCCTGCTCGCCCCACAACCGGTGCTCATCACCCCAGAAGCAGCTATATGCGCGCGGCGTCGCTTGCCCTTCCTTCCCCGTCGCTATCGCTGCGTAGGCTTCAAGACCGCGTTAGCTGTGCGAATGCCAGTGCTCTCGGCCCCAAGGAGAGCCTTTTGACAGCTCCTCCTGAGGACCTTCGCACTCAGGAAGATGAAATATCTCCCGAGTCAACTGGTGCGTGCGCAGTATGGAGAATGGACGTGCCTCACTCATGCTATGATAGACGTTAAACAGTTTCTGCCTGCCGACTCGGAGGTCGAATTCAATGCGGCCGCCAAACAGGAAACCATCGACGTGCTCTCTATCTTGCGGAATCGCAGACGCAACGTACTGCATCTCCCCTCTAGCCCCCTCCCCAGTTGGTCGATCATGCCTCCTGGTACCTCAAACACGGCCGTAGATCAGTGTTCGTCAAATGCGGGCGAATGAATATTGCAGGCGTTTCGGCATTGTTGGAAGGGAACTTGTACATTATGCGACCTTATTCTGTTCACCATACTGCTTAATGCATTTCTTGCCAAGCTGTGCGTGCAACCAGTACCGTACTGCATGAGACGGCGGGGACTGCGCGAAGCTGCGCACGCTATGACGTACATCACGTGCCCAGGGCAGCGCTTGCTGTGCCGGGTCTCTTGAGCAGCTGCCGGCGTTCACTGCTCTTCATTGAACTCTCATCTCCGCTTCCTCCTTCCCCTGATCCCTCTTCATACAGCATCCGGACCGTATCCTTTGCGCGAACGAGATGTGGAGTGGTTATCCTGGTCAGCAGGGTCAGCAAGGTGGTTACGGCGCACCTCCGGGTCCTCCGCCACCGTCTGGACCGCCTCCGTGAGTTTGTTTATTCAGAAAATGCGATCCTGGACCACTTAAGCTGACCGATCTAACGCCGCGTAGCTTTGGCTTCCCGAGCCCGTGAGTAGCAGTTCATCTCTGTCTTTAAAGTTGAATGAGCTTACAATGTATTGCGTTACCGCGTAGCAATGCGCCGTCTCCGTCTGGATACAACCCGGGATATATGCCCGCATACGGAGCACCCCCGGGTCCTCCACCTGGAGGGTGCGTCAGAAGCTCTTTCATCCCCAATTACACGTACTGAGAACCACTTAGCTACCCTCCACCTCCGGGGCCGCCTGGTTTCCCCAGCCCCAGAGATCATCAACACCATCAACACCAGCACCAGCATCATCACCAAGGTGGTGGATTTGCGCCCCCTCCAGGCCCGCCGCCGCCTTCTGGGTACGGTCCCCCGCCTCCCGTTCCCGCGAGACCTGGCTCGGACAACCGGTACCAGTCGCCGGCAGGGCCTCCCCCAGGGCAATATGGGGGATACCAGCCGCCTCGTACGTCTTCCCTCGCATGCCCCACCGTTCTTGCGTAATGCTCACGAAGACGTTCGTAGAGGGCCCGCCTCCACCTCCTCCTAGTCAGCAACAGAGCTACGGCCCTTCGTTCGAAGACGCGCAGCACCACCAGCGTCAGCTCTACTTCCAGTACTCTCAGTGCACTGGAAAGAAGAAAGCGCTTTGTGTACGTCTTCTGACTCCCGATCGTTCGAAACGCTCGTTCTGATCCTGCATATTTACATACCAGATCGGTATCAACTACTTCGGGCAGTCGGCAGAGCTGAAAGGTTGTATCAATGACGCGCGTAACGTCGTGCAGTTCCTCAAAGGTGAGTCTGGTCGCGCGCTATATATCCGGGCAGTAGCTCACTCTATTACAGAACTGTGGGGCTACAAGGAGGATGATATAGTCGTGTTGACAGACGACGCGCAAAACCCTCGTCAGATTCCCTCTAGGGACAACATCGTAAGCTGTCACTCTGTAAATCTGAAGCATCTCATTCTAAACGTAGCTGTCTCCTAGCTTGCAGCTATGCAATGGCTTGTCCGTGACGCGCAACCCAATGACTCACTCTTCTTCCACTGTGAGACAACACCGATCGTGTTCTGCGTGATAAGCCACTCATTCTTCATGTTACAGACTCCGGACACGGTGGACAGACAAAGGACCTCGACGGCGACGAGGCGGACGGCTACGATGAAGTGATCTACCCCAACGACTTCGAACGCGCCGGTCACATCGTCGACGACGTGAGTGCGGCGTGCAGACTCCATTCGCCAGTGCCTGACCGTCCCCCTGTTCCTCAGATTATGCATGACATCATGGTCAAGCCCCTGCCTGCGGGGTGCCGTTTGACTGCAATTTTCGATGTGGGTACCTCATTCTCGTTTAAACGTCACAACCAATATCAGCGTTGTAGTCGTGCCATTCCGGTTCAGCTTTGGGTACGCCTTCACGCGGACGAGCTGATAAAGTCCATGACTGACTGAGCTCGCAGACCTGCCGTACATCTATTCGACGGAGGGCAAGGTCAAGGAGCCGAACCTGGCCGCGGAAGCCGGTCAGGGCCTCCTCTCTGCCGTCACTTCTTACGCCCGTGGAGACATGGTGCGCGTGGAGATGTGCCTGACACGGCTGGATCGTGCTGACATTACATTATCCTAGGGCGGCGTGTTTTCGTCGGTGTCTGGGCTGTTGAAATCCGCGACCGGTAACAACCAGCGCGCCGATAAGATCACTAAGGCCACCAGGACGTCGCCCGCGGATGTGGTACGTACACACTTTAGCATGTGGGGGTATCGGCTCGCTCAAGGCTTCGGATACGCAGATCTCCTGGAGCGGCTGCAAGGATTCCCAGACGAGCGCCGACACAGTGGAGGCTGGGCAGAGCACCGGCGCAATGAGCTACGTACGTCGACGCCGCATCTGCTTCCGCGCTTCCCATGCTGAATAACTCCCTTTAGGCGTTCATATCCTGCCTACGTAAGAAGTTTCTCCGAGCGCCGTTCAGAAGCGGTGGTACTGATCGTCTCTGCGCACACAGGGCAAAACAAGCAGCAGAGCTATCAGCAGCTGCTCCAGAACATCCGGTAAGCTTTGTGCTATCGGCCGTCGTTACGTGAGGAGGCTGATCGCCCCGGGCTTCCAGCGCCATCCTCAAGGCGAAGTACAGTCAGAAGCCACAACTGTCGAGCTCCCATCCCATGGTGAGTGAACCATCCTAGCCGAATCCGAACCGTGACGCTCACGAATGCTATGTAGGACGTGAACTTGCTCTTCCTCTGCTGAGCGTGGACAAATGTATAAGAGAATCTTGGACTCTTGAATTCGTGTCTCTTGTTGTACGTGATATCACAATGAAGTGTAAGTTAATCATAGTGGCTGTATATGGATATTTGGAGCTGGCACGCCGTCAGCGGTCTTAGGTGGGTCTTTTTTTCAAGGATCTTGTGATCGTAACATCTTCAGGCCATTGCTGGTGAGCCCGCTCCGTAGGTTAAGGTACGCGGTGTTCATATCTATCTCATACTAAGTGTGCTGTTGCTGACTTCGATTCTTACAGGCTACAGTGGCATCTTTTGCGTTCCGCCGCGGACGACGCTAGGCGCTTGGAGTGACCTATAGTTTAGTTTGGTTTCGGGTCCGGACGGGACCCAATATACTTGAACATAACCTTCGGCAGCTACTTAGGGCAAGACCTCTCTTTCCCCTGCCCTTAGTAAAACTGATCACCCATGTCCATGCCCCAATGGACATCCGGACACCTACTAGGGAAAATGATAGACCACTCAGTATGTAAAATTTTTAACTGAGGTAGAATGGATCGTCGCTGTCGTCAGCGTCTGGTTTTACGGCATCCTGACTGCTGCTCGTATAGGTGGCGTTCAGAAAATTGTCGATGATCCCGGTGGAAGCGCGGTCGAGTCAGTTTGAGCGGGCCTTGGCGGTTCGTACGGCCGGTGTTTCCACGGGACGTGTACAGTTTTGCAGGTTCGATACAGTTTGTATTTGGGCGCCGGCGATAGTAGGTCTCGTCTTCTCTCGCCTTCGACTTATCAGTGCGAAGCTAATCTCGCAGTACCATAGACGGTTCCATGTTCACGCGCGTGCTTACAATGTCGCCCGACGCCAGAGCGCTCGGTCCGAGTCGAGCTATGTGATACTTGTCCATTGCGGCCGGCGGCCACGACATGTTCGACCCAAGGCTAAACCATGCTAGCCAAATCGCAGGTGAAATTTCCGGGAACAAGTTTGCGCTAAGTACGGGCAGCCGGACCGGTGCCTTACGGCGGCCTCGGGAATGCGGGATGCGGGGAGGAAGGGGAAAAGGTGGCTGAAGCAACGCCCCGCAACTGCCCCCGTGGGGAGAGCAGATCGGACATCAGCACGGGCTTGATCACTACGCTCGCGACTGAGCGGCTCTGAGCGGGGCCCCATGACCAGCCCTGATCGCATTGAGTGATACACTCTCGTACCAGCGCGTCGGACGTCATCCGCCTGACCATGGAATCTCATAAATACTGCAAGCTCGAGCAGAAGGCTCCGCGTCGACCACCGCTGGCCCCTGCTCTGCTCGACGGTCTTCTCTGTGCCCTCTGCTTTGCGCAGCAGCTCGACTTCAACTTTCACGCTTGAACGAACATCATGGCTCCCGTGGCTGCAGGCGCGCCTGCGTCGAACCGTCGCAAGAACCTGGCCGGCCCGTCTGGTTGGGTATGTCGCGTTCTTCTCGTCTTCCTCCATATTTCTCCCGCCAAAGCGTCCGCTAACGACGCCTTCTGCCTTCGGTTTGATGTAGGCTGGTCTACTCGCTAATGCTCGCGTATTCGCGATCGCAGTGTTTGCATCGCTGGGTGGTTTGTAAGTCCCGTGTGCACTTGTTCGGGTTATGACTGCATGCTGACGCAACGTATCGCTTAGGCTGTATGGTGAGGTCCCCCACTTACGACATGCTCCGCTTCCACCATCATGCTCATGACATATTTTTCTCCACTCCGTGCTCCCAGGCTACAACCAGGTCAGTGCAATACGGTTACTGCGTCCATGTATGAGCGCAGTCCGCTGATACCTCGGCACCATCACAGGGCGTGTTCTCAGGCGTTCTTGGCATGTCCTCGTTCGACTCGCGGATGCACTCCGCGGTCGACGACCCTGGAACCAAGGGCTGGCTCGTCTCCATTCTCGAGCTCGGTGCATGGCTCGGTGTGCTCTTCACGGGATACTTAGCGGATAAGTTGTCTCGCAAGTACACTATCGTACTGGGTATGTGCCAGCCATTTGTCACCTCCCGCGAGACGCGTGTCCACTGACATTGTGGGAACGCAGCGGTTATTGTGTTCTGCATCGGCGTCGTCGTACAGACAGCTGCGTTCGCGCCGTCCTCGATCTTTGGAGGTACGCCTATTTCTGGCTGGAATGCTATCACGCGGCTCACCGCTCGGACCTCCCGGCAGGCCGTTTTATCACCGGTCTGGGCGTCGGATCCCTCAGTATGGCGGTCCCATTGTACAAGTGAGTGTGGCTCGCGCGTGCGCTCTCACACGGCCGGCCCTGACATGGCGTTCTAGCGCGGAGCTCGCGCCGCCGGAGGTGCGCGGCAGTCTGGTCGCGCTCCAGCAGCTCGCGATCACGTTTGGCATCATGGTGTCGTTCTGGATCGACTTTGGCACAAACTACATTGGGGGGACGGGCGCGGGGCAGAGCGAGGCGTCATGGCGCGTCGCGCTCGCGCTGCAGCTTGTGCCCGCGATCATCCTTGGTGTCGGCATTTTGGCTATGCCGTTCTCCCCCAGGTGGCTCGTGAACAACGGGCGCGATGATGAGGCGTTGCAGGTGCTCAGCCGTGCGCGTCGTCTTCCTCCGGATTCGGATCTCGTGCAGATCGAGTTTTTGTACGTATACCAGTCCATGTTAGGCAAGCTCATACTCACCAGATATTCAGGGAAATCAAGGCCCAGTACATCTTCGAGAAGGAGACGTCTGCGATTAAGTTCCCGGACCTGCAGGACGGCGGCTGGAAGTCGAACTTCAAGCTCGGCGTTTACGACTACATGAGCCTGCTTCAATACCGACGTATGTCTTCTGCCACTCCTCGCTTCTGTGATAGTACTGACGGTATAACCGAATGCAGCATTGTTGTACCGCGTGGCCGTTGGCTCCTTGACCATGTTCTTCCAACAATGGACGGGTGTCAACGCTATCCTCTACTACGCGCCGTCTATCTTCACCGACCTCGGTTTGACTGGTAGCACGAACTCACTCCTCGCCACGGGTGTTGTCGGCATTGTGTAAGCCCCTTCCCTCTACACAGACTAAGTGATTTATTGACGTCCCTACTTCAGCATGTTCCTCGCCACGATCCCCGCCGTTATCTGGGTCGACAAGGTCGGCCGCAAGCCGGTGCTCATCTCCGGGGCGTTCATCATGGCTGGCTGCCACATCATCGTCGCGATCCTTACCGGGCTGTTCCACAACTCCTGGGACTCGCATGTCGCCGCAGGATGGGTCGCGTGTGTCTTCGTCTGGATCTTCGCGATGGCGTTCGGATACTCGTGGGGTCCTTGCTCGTGGATCCTGGTTGCGGAGATCTGGCCGCTGTCCGTCCGCGGCAAGGGTGTGTCCATCGCCGCGTCGTCTAACTGGATGAACAACTTCATTGGTGAGAACCTGTGACATAGTGTTTAGAGGTGTAAGCGGAAGCTGACCTGTCTCGCGCAGTCGGTCAAGTCACGCCTACCATGCTCGCCCACATCGGCTTCGGCACCTTCGTCTTCTTCGGAGTACGTATTAAGACTTCAAGCGACATCTGTGGTAACTAATCGTCAACGCTTTTATAGGCGTTCTCGTTCCTCGGCGGTCTCTTCATCTGGTGGTTCGTCCCCGAAACGAAGGGCCTCACGCTCGAGGAGATGGACGAGATCTTCGGGTCCGCGGGCATGGCCGCAGGCGAGCAGGAGCGCATCCTCGCGATCGAGAAGCGCATCGGGCTCGACGCGTACAACGACCCTGACCGCGCGAGCCCCCACCCCTCGGATGTCCACAAGCACGACTCTATGGAGAAGGCATACTCGGAGAAGGCGTAATGGGTTATCGAGGGAGAAAATGGGGAGAGACACCGCCAGTGTAGGCGCATGCTGTCTTGCTATCTGCTCTCATATCTGCACACGTTGAGGTGTACCTTCTAGCCTGGTTGTTCGAGTCTTGTTTGTATTTGTACCTAGATGATCATTCACGCATCTTATGTTCACGATTGATTCAAACTCTGGGAAAGCTGAGCGTTGAAAAGCTGTTCAGGTGAGTTTCACTCAAGCCATAGACATTATAATATACGTATCACACCGCATCCTGCAGTCATGTTGGCGGAAACCTTCTGAAGGTGAGACACACGGTAGGCTTGCGCTGCGAGTGCTTGCGCAACGGGTGCTCTCGGAACGCGAGAGGTACCCGCTCACGTGAGCGCGCGCGGTAGAACTCCGCGACGCGTCGACGCGTCCAGAGAAAGCGCCCGTGGTGGCTTACTTCTGACGACCATCCTGTCTTTCCGTCTGCTCACCACCACGCTTGGGCGTTCTGCTAGGATGGCAGACCTCAACGCTCTACTGCTAGAGCTCAACCCCGCGCAGCTCAAAGGTAACTTCTGTACGCCAAACCTCCTTTGAAGTTGCTCATCTCGTCTACTAGCCGTTCAGCATCCACCGCAAATCCCTTTGCAAATCCTGGCAGGGCCCGGCAGTGGCAAGACCAAGGTCCTCACAATGCGCATTGCACACCTCATCACAAACTGCTACCTTCCTCCATGGTCACTGTGCGCGGTGACCTTCACGAATAAGGCTGCGAACGAAATGCGCGAACGACTCGTGAAGCTCATCGGCAAGGACAATACCGCCCAGATCAAGATGGGCACTTTCCACGCGCTATGTGCCAAGTTTCTCAGGAAATACTCTAGAGTGGTTGGAATTGAGGGGAACTTCACCGTGTGCGATGCGGATGAGAGGTATGTCTCCAAGTTGCCGTTATCCGTGTAATGTGGCTATATGCGTCAATATCAGCAAGAAGATCATCGCAAAGCTCCTCAAACCATACAAAGATATCCTCTCGAACAAGAACATCACGCTGAAAGAGGGCAGCATTGTGGGCATCATCTCTAAGGTGAAGGCCAAGGGTTGGACCGCCGACGATGCGCGGCGCCATGTCGAAGAACGAAACGCAGAAACTCCCCAACAACGAAAGGCTCGGTTATTGGCGGGAAAGAACGACCTATGGGAGGGTGAGATTGGAGAAATCCTGGCCGCGATATACAAGGACTATGAGAAGACGTTGCGTGATTCAAACAGCCTGGACTTCGATGATCTGCTGGTGTTCGGCGTGAAGCTCTTCGCTCAGCACGCGAAGGCTTCGAGTTGGTGTCGACATGTTTTGGTCGACGAATAGTGCGTCATTCCTTGTTTGAGCCTTCTATGTATACCTCATAATGCGTCTTCAGCCAAGATACGAATATCATGCAGTATGATCTCATGACACACATCGCTCGTGCCAGCCAATGCGTAACTATTGTAGGGGACCCCGACCAGTCTAGTAAGTCGTATGAGAATTGTTTGCGCGCAATGACGTTGACCCTTGTTCAAGTATACGGATGGCGCTCTGCGGAAGTTGAGAATCTGGCCAAGATGGAACGAGGTAAGTAGGGTCTGCGATATCTGAGTTTGTGGTACTAATCAATCCGGTCTACCGTTCTTAGACTTTCCTACGACCCAGCAGATACATTTGGAGCAGAACTATCGCTCTACGAGCTCTATCTTGGCTCTGAGTATAGCCATCGTCTCTCAGGGTACGCCCTCCCCATTCCTCTGCTGTACTTGCCATTGACTCGACTGGTCGCAGACAAGGGCCGTATACAGAAGACCTTGCACACGGCGCATCCCAAGGGGCCTGTTCCTGTGCTACGCATTTTCCCCATCGAACAGGTCGAGGCGGCATTCATCGCGGCGGAGATCAAGCGACTCGTCGCGTACAGCGGCGGGATGTTCAACTGGGGCGACTTCGTGGTCTTGCGTGAGTCACGCCGACGATGCCCCATCATAGCTTGCGGGTGCTGACCTCACACACGTTTCATAGTACGGTACAACGCACACTCCCGAGCTATTGAGAACGCTCTTCAGAAAGAGCGCATTCCCAATAGGGTCTTAGCTGGCCAGAAGTTCTTCGAACGCATGGAGGTTCGTCGGTGACGAGTAATACCAGGGGCTCCTTTAACAGTCTACTGTAGATCAAAGACGTTCTTGCGTACCTGCAGCTGGTCGACAACCCACAGTTTACGCCGGCCTTCTTGCGCGTCGTCAATGTCCCCGCTCGTGCTGTAGGGGAGAAAGTATCATCGCATTCCATCTTTACAATTATATCGACAACACTTCTGACCGTGCATGACAGACGGTCCATCAAATAACGTTGCGTGCCGAAGAGCTCAAGATCTCCCCTATGCAAGTGGTGGAACGCATCATAGATGGGAAGATCCCGGACGTCAAGCCCCCAGTGAAGAAGAAGCTGGCGCCCTTCGTCGACACCCTTCGTATCCTCAGGAAGCATGCAAATGCCGTATGTGCCGTAGCGGCCTGCTACCTGCAGCTGCCTTACTGACTCTGTCATTGTGGTGTTCTAGGGCATCGCACCATCGAAGCTAGTCAACGCGGTCGTCGACACGATCAACTACGCGGACCATCTGCGGAAGACGCAGCCGGATTGCGACAGCCGCTGGGACAACGTCCAGGAGCTCGTAAACTTTGCGAGCGAGGTCGAGAGGAGTGCCCCAGACGATGTCGCGCGCCGCATGAATAAAGCGGATGACGACATACACAAGGAGAAGGGAGACGAGTCGGAGGAGGAAAGCGAAGAGGAGTGGGCGGATGAGGTTGACGAGTTTGACGGGGACCAGGTTCAGCCGGGACAGGTGCGAACTGCTCGAGGGTACGTCCGCATACACAGATCGCTGGGATAGAGCTTGAAGCCTAATGTGCCTGCTGAAATTTCAGCGATACGCCGTTGCGACTGTTCTTGCAAGCATCAATGCTGTCCACGGATACGGAGACACCAGAGGAAGAGAAGAGCCAGGCTGTAAGTTCGTACCCTGTTCCTTGTCGACGTAAATGGCTCACTGGAGATGCAGAAAGTTACGATATCCACCTGTCACGCTGCGAAAGGGCTGGAATGGCCTGTCGTCATGATTCCCGCAGGTAAGCTTTGCAAAGCGATACGTCTGTGGCTCAACTAACTACACCCTCTTCACCAGTCGAATGCGGAGTCTTCCCCTCCACTCGTGCGGAAGACACCGCCGAGGAGCGGTATGTATCGAAGTTACACTGTGAATCTGGTCTAGTAGCTCACACTCAATCCTACAGACGATTACTCTACGTCGCGTGTACTCGCGCGCAAAGTCTGCTCTACCTGACCCATACGGAGTCGCGCATGATGTCTGGAGAGTACAAACCTCAAACGATCTCCTCGTTCGTCGGCGCCGTGCGCACAGACCCCAAGGTGTGTCTCGATGGCTCATGCTCCCGCGGTCTGAGCTTGATTGTCTAAGTGGCCTGTACAGACGAAAGATCTTTTCACTGAGGATCTTCCCGCCCTACCCCTCGAGGACCGGAAGACAATCGCGGCGGTAATCAACCGCACACTCCCGGAGGAAATCGAAGTCGTTCGCCAAGTAGCCGAATAGTAAGTCACCACATTCCGCTCCCGGGACGAAAATACTGACGCAGAAGGGTTTGTAGCGAGAGGACCGTCAGACATCCAGCGTGGGGAGAGAACGCGCCATTCCGAGTGAACGGAGGCGAACGGCCTATTGAGGAATGGCAGCCTCAGAGATTTCCCCAGGCGCCCTACAGGCAAGCGGGGCAGCAGGCTTGGGGAAATGCGCCCGCACCTCAGCAGAGTATCGTGCAACCGGTTCCCGGTACGTTGTATAATTGCCGGTGTGCGCGTTCTGGATATTGAACGTTTTATAGGTCCCGTAGCTTTCTCATCGAGCAGTTCATTGCTCACTGCGTCCCAGCGCACGGGTGTCGTCCAGACTGCGGCTCCTCTCGCTTCATCAGGCAGTCGGGTCGTGAATACCATCCCTCGGACTGCACAACAACCGAAGGCGGGACCATCGAACTTTAACACTTGGGCAAAGAAGCCTCAAAGCGTCGGTGTCGGCGCTAAGAAACCGGGCCCAGGAAGCAACACGGCGGCGACGCAGCCTAGATGGAAGCCCGCAAGCGAGCCGTCGCGGCGACTTTCCGGCACGTCCAAGGACGACCCCATTGCGATAGACATCTCCGACTCGGATGACGATATCGTGCTCAAGCCCGTACCGTCGAAACCTTTGCCAACTGTTCGGCCTTCACCTATCGCGCGAACGACGCCTGTGCGACGGAAGAACGCTCCTATTCCTCCCGGTGCTCTTGGTGCTATCCGCCAGAATGCCACCCAAAGAGCATCGCAAGTTCCGCCCGAGCCTTCCCCCCGCGCTCCGCCACCTTCACTCAGCTACCGCACAGCACCGTCCTCTTCCCTACCTTCGTCCGCTTCTGGGTCCGGGCCAAGCACGGCGGCCTCTTCGCCAGCCGCAGTGCCACCGCCGCAACCTGCCGCTGTGGAGCCCCCAGCGAAGCCCGCAGGCACAAAGCGGCGGCTGGGCATGGGGCGAACAGTTGTGGGGTATTCAAACAAGAAGTTCAAGCCCCTCGTCCCTGGATCGTCCTAGCTGGTTTCGACTTGTTTCGTGCTGCGTCTTCCGCTATCATGTATGATTATGATATGTATGTACTGCCAATGGACACTAGCTATGTGTGTACAACATGTATTTGACAGACCCCAGGTCGATATACACTTCGCATCCGAGTAGCCCTCGGAATCGCGCTTCGTCGGATATACAAATGGCCGTTGCATCTAGCACGCGCCAGCCTCATGTCGTCCTCGAGGCCTGCAGCTTGCACCTTTGCACACACCCGCGGTCAGCAGTGGCTGACTGGATATCGCGATGGGCACCCTCCCCGCCGCTCATCCAGAGCCCTGTCACCCACTTTCCCGAGAGCGGACACTTCTATTTGCCATGCGCGGGCGCGATGCTGTGGCATTGGACGTGCGGCGGTATACTTAGCCCAGCAGCAGTGCCAACAGCTTCCAAGCTATCATGACATGAGATACAGATACATATCAGCAGTGATTCCCTGCGGCAGCCGTGCACGCACGACGCACCGTCTGCCTGGTGCCACAGCTGATCAGCGCGGTCGCAGGCATCGCGTCTTCCGCAACGGGCGGGCAGCAGCACGCTCTCACCACGCCTGCCCTCCGTCATCCGTCAAAGAACACGCGGGCTCGCGTAGCCCTCCTTGTCCTGCTTCGTCTCGCTCCCTGCTCACCTGCTGTCCTGTCTGCCCGCCCGTAAACCCCGTCGCGCCAGCGCCCGCCCGACAGTTCGACATGCATCTATCGATAACGCCACCGAAGATGCCCCGCCATTCGCTCGAAGTCTTCGATCGGCTCATCGAGCGCGCCTTCGCGCCGCGCGAGATGCCCATCGTCTCCCCCGTCGCGGAGGAGCGCTCGCCCAGCCCGGAGCTCCCGCAGACGCCACTAGACATGCCCGATGAAGAGCTTGCAGAGCCGGAGGTGGAAGCGTCGCCCGCACAGCAAGACTCGTTGCACACAGTGTGGGAGGCGGTGCAGTCCGCGAAGGAGCGCGTGTTGGAAGGCTCGCCGTCGAAGGTGCCGTCGCTCGAGGGGGTGGTGCTGCCGCCTGCAAGTGCATTGCCGAGGAAGAAGGTCGCGCGGAAGAGGTCGAGGTAGGCGGCCGCTTTTCTTTCTGCGGGGCTTGATGCAAGGGGAGACCGACATTTATGAATCCCAGTGTAAGCTTCAAGGAGTCGCCAGACAGGAGGAATGTGAGCAAGCCTCTTTGGGGCATCCTTGACCGTGGCGTTGAGAGCCGGCGCAGATGATCGTGACGTTCGACATGACTGGGGTGAAGAAGCCGGACATGCATGTCAGCTTCCGCACTACACGTTTGATCGTGAGCTGGAAAGTGGAGAGGATCATGGAGAAGCGTGAAGGTGGCACAATGATGCGAGACCGAGAGGTGCGGAAGTACAGCCATACGATACCGCTCGCAGATGGCACCAAGGTAGGTCGCACCCTGCAGGAGGGGATACGCTGTGATGCTCACATGCAGTGCTGCGGCAGTTTGAGGAAGTGCGAGCGTCCAGGGATGGGCCAAGGTTGATGTTGACGATTCCGAACACCAAGTGTTTACGAGCGGACACAGAGGTGGAGTACGCAGCCACACCAGCGGCGAAGGCTGAAGCTCCCAGCGAGCCGGCTGAGGATGCAGGCGTGCCGAATGAAGACGAAGAGGATGAAGAGGAACCAACGAACCTACGAACGATACCAGACTTCGAGGTACGTGCACTGACACTCATCAAACGCACAGCACATATAGCTCACAGTCACATAGACCGCGCTTTCTGGTGTATCTGAATACCATTCCTGCGTAGCGACTGGAGTCGTATAAGCCGAGAAGGACAATCTGGACCTTGTATCATTGTACTACTCACCTGTAATTGTAGACTCATGCATTCTCGACCTGCTTCTTTTCCACCACGACCGCGTAATACTCGCTATAGACATACCTGAAACTCAACGACTGCAAGTTAGACGCTTTGAGAGTCCCGCAGGTTACAAGACAAAGCAGAAAACATATCGCAATGTGCAATTTTAGTACTTGTGATCCAAGATGATGGTGATAGTAGGAAGTCAAGTCGGAGGTGAAAGAGGCAAGCGCCTGCCATTCCATCCAGCTTCGGCGTCCGACCTCGTCCGACTCGGGCTCACACTCGTAAACCGACCGCACGTTCGAAGGAAGACCGCCGTAGTTGTTCTTCTCGCAGCATCTCCTATTTTGATCGACATGCTCCCTTGTCTGAAGGTTAGATGAATAACACCGCGGCATTGTATTACGACTATACTAAGGAGTGTGAGAGACCGTCTGAGACGTCATGAACGATTAGCTGTGGTACATAATAATCACGTATGGCAGTAAAGGTGTCCGGAGGCTAAGGGGAAAGACTACGACGAGAGTGCGGAACACGAAACGATGTGAAACGAAAACGGGCCGTGGAGATGAACTCAATGTCACAGACACTCGCCATGGAAGTATTTCCACTTCTGCCTTCCTCATTCTTCGACACGCTGGATCTTCAGGAACAACTCTGGCTTTGACTTGTCCGGGCCGTCCATCGTTGGGAAGTTGACTCCGCTAAAGTTCCAGGTGATTGGCTTCTCGGGAAGGTCAAACTTGAAGGACCGCACCAAGGTGGAGAGGACGACCTCTAGCAGGGCGCAACAACGAAGTCAGTATTTGATCAACTCGAACGGCGTGACAGATACACACTCATCTCCAGCTGCGAGAACTTGAATCCGCTGTGAACAAAACGGGTCAGTCACACGTTCAAAAACAAGGAGTCCAGCCCGTCGAATACTGACATGCAAGAGAAGCTGCCAGCCCCGAAGGTCATCCTACGCGAGCGTATCGCAACATTCTGGTCAGTACCTCCCTCGTCGAAATCTCGCTGTAAGCTGCGTACAAGTTGGCGTAGATCCCAGGAATGCGGGCCTCCTCGAGCTCGCGCGGAAGCGGCGAGAGCCAGCGTTCCGGCTTCCACTCCTCAGCGTCCTCACCCCACAGCGCTTTGTTGCCGTTGCAAGCGTGCGTGTTCAGGAAAATGGACGTGCCCTTCGGCACCGCGATCTCCGTGATCATGTTACCGTCCACGCCGCGGATCGGTTCCGTGACAGGAATTTTCGTGTCCTCTCGGGCCCTGAACGCCAGATAGCAGCTTCATTCAGCCGTGAGGTCAACAGAAAAGGCTTAGGGCACTCACTCCCGCAGGACGAAGGAAACCGGAGTGTGTCTAAGATCGAAGAATTAGATCTGGTGACCAGGTGCGTGAGACAGGTGCGAGACACATACATGCGCATCGTCTCGCGACATACGGCGTCCATGTAAGGGAGCTGAGACAACTCGTCGTAGGGCATCCTCTCGCCGTACTGCGCCTGAGCTTCGACTAGCTCAGCACGCAGCTTGTCCTGGACATCGGGGTTCAGTGCTAGCAAGTGAAGAATACGGGCCAGAGCGTTCGACGTGGTGTCTACACCCGCGAGAATGAATGTACTAGGTTTATATGTTGAGATAATTCTCCGACCAAATGATACTAGGTACTTACGACATCTGTGCGACGAGTTCTTCATCCGGCAGCCTGTCTTCGACGTCTGCTGCCAAATTAGCCTTGACTGTTTGAACGGTCAGTCCTGGCGATCCCCGCGACCGAACGATAACACTGACGTAAGACGCTCATTACGTCCTTGCCTCCCGCGACCTGGTTCAACATGGACTCCTCCCCGCGCAGCGCGGCCTTCTTCCGCTCGTTGAAGATCTCAACCGACTGCTCGTGTATCAGGTCGGTAATGGCCTTCAGGCGCTGAACATTCGGGAGCGGGACGAGATCGAGCATCTTGCGGCGTAGCCATGCAGGGCCCATGTACTTGACGTAAGGCAGAACAATCTGAGCGAGTCCCAGTGTGTTGAAAGTCGGTCTGCTAGGCGGCCACACGTCAGCCAACCGCACTAGGGCTACGGATCCAAGAGGGGGCAGCCAAAACCTACACCAGTGCCTTGACCGCCTCGGTGTACTTGTCGCTGCTCTCCTCCGTCAGCGGGTCGAATGAGTGCCCAAGCCCGCCCTGTCCGACGAGTTCGAGCGCCGTGCGGCTCATCCATCCCGCGATTTCGATCTCCTTCGCGCCCGCCGCGATGCGCCCGTCGATGGCCTCTCGCAGCTCCGCACCGTCGTCAGCTGTGCGCTCGCTCTCCCGCGTGTTCAGCGACGCGCTCACCTTGCAGACGACCTCGTGGAAGAACGGCGTCATGTTCCGCATGTGCGCGGCGGAGAACACGGGGTTCAGCATCTTCCGCTGCCGTTTGTGGCGCAGCCCCTCCGTTGCGAGCAGCCCCGGGCCCAGGATGAGATGGGTGGAGCTATGTCCAGGGAGAGACGGTCAGGCTCTGTGCGGTATATAAACAGTGTCACGAACGCGTTGGTGGTTTCCCCGCGGCTGTAGAGCTCGTGGTCCTTCACGAGTATAGTGTGCATCGCCTTGACGTCGTACACGTGCAACCATCTGGCCTGGATAGACACGACCATACCAAGTCAGCGACAGTTGATGTGGCAACGACTTGGAGATGTACACCGAGGAAGGAGTGGAATTTGGAGATGGGCCCGTAAGTGTCCTTCAGCATCTTCAAGAACGCCGCATTGTCGCGATCGAACAACTGCGCGGCGTTCCCTGCGAACATGACGATCAGCAGTCCATTTCACTCGCGCCGTCAACCAACGGGCGCACCTGAGATCAACGACGACGACTTAGGTCCCGGAATGTTGTCCAGGACAGACGGGACGAAGTAGTTGCGCACAACTCGCCATACGCCATACAGGGACAGCGCGGCAAAGAGGATTGGTATGGCGGACATCGCGTGCATGGCACGGCCGGCAATACCACGAACTTAAACTGGGAAGGTGAGGCTTGTGATCTGCCCCGAGTCCAGGAACACGTCTTTATATATACCGTGCGGCACCATGTTAACTGTGCCAACGCGCTCTCAGCAGGCCACGCAAGCCCGGCGTGCCCGATACAACGAAGGCCCTGCGGTGATGGTGAGTCAATAGAGAGATGTCGTACTTGGAGAATCCGACATCGGACGACTTGTGCGTACGGCAATCCTTGGTTCGAGCTGCGCGAAGACTGAATAAACCGGAGGATATGCACCCACGCGAGTGGCTTGTTCGGGTTCGTCCACAGCATGGCAGTACGGTGTCGTAATACGTAGTTGTTGAGCGCTGGGCGCGCAAAGCCTAACCGCAGCGAGCAAGCAAGCGAATAACCGATCGGCGCCGACGTTGAGTACGACAAACTGGGAACACTTTTAACCCCGGAACATACCGTTAACCAATTGCGTACGGCGTTATCCCCTGCAGCTGCACGATTGTACATTGAAACATCATGATACTTCATGTGAATCTACGAGAGGCTTGACGGTGGATGGGGTTGAATATGACGATATATTGTCGGAGGATCCCAGTGTAAGTTTCAAGGAGTCGCCGGACAGGAGGAATGTGAGCAAGCCTCTTTGGGGCATCCTTGACCATGGTGTTGAGAGCCGGCGCAGATGATCGTGACGTTCGATATGACTGGGGTGAAGAAGCCGGACATGCATGTTAGCTTCCGCACTACACGCTTGATCGTGAGCTGGAAAGTGGAGAGGATCATGGAGAGACGCGAGGGTGGCACGATGATGCGAGACCGAGAGGTGCGGAAGTACAGCCATACGATACCGCTCGCAGATGGCACCAAGGTGGGTTGCACAGAGCACGAGGAGTAGCCTGTGATGCTCACATTCAGTGCTGAGGTAGTTTGAGGAAGTGCGAGCGTCCAGGGATGGGCCGAGGCTGATGTTGACGATTCCAAACACCAAGTGTTTACGGGCGGACAAAGAGGTCAAGTACGCAGCCGCACCCGAGGCGAAGGTTGAAGTGCCCAGCGAGCCGGCTGAGGATGCAGGCGTGCCGAATGAAGACGAAGAGGATGAAGAGGCGCCAACGAACCTACGAACGATACCAGACTTCGAGGTACGTGCATTGGCACTCATCAACCTCACAACATAGCTCACAGTCGAATAGACTGCGCTTTCTGGTATAACAGAGTACCATTCCTGCGTAGCGACTGGAGCCGTATAAGTCGAGAGGGACAATCTGGACCTTGTATCATTGTACTACTCACCTGTAATTGTAGACTCATGCATTCTCGACCTGCTCCTTTTCCACCACGACCGCATAACACTCCTTGCAAACATACCTAAATTTAAACGACTGCGAGTTGAGGTGCTCTGAGCGTCCGCAAGTTACAAGACAAAGCAGAAACCGTATTGCAGTGTGCGATTTTAGTACAATTAATTCAGGATGATGGTGACAGTAGGAAGTTAAGGGACGAGCTGGAGCTTGAAAGAGGCAAGCGCCTTCAAGCGCCTGCGATCTCTTCCAACTTCGGCGTCCGGCCGACTCGGACTCATTCGCAGATCAACCTCACGGCGTTCGGTGGGAGACGGCCGTGGTCGTTCCTCTCGCAGAAGCATCTACCGTTTGGACCGACATGTCCCCTTGTCTGAAGGCTAGATGGATAATATCGCGGCATCGTATTGCGACTATACTAAGGAGTGTGAGAGAGCGTCAGAGCAGTCCGCGTCATGGATGACTGGCTGTAATGATAATCAAGTATGGCGGTAACGGTGTCCGAAAACTAAGGGAAAAGACTACAATGAGAGTGCAGAGCACGATCCGATACGAAAACGAGCCTCAGAGATCAGCCAATCAGGTGAATACTTCACGTCCTGAAGATATTCCTTCCTCTGCACCCCTCACTCCTCGACACGTTGGATCTTCAGGAATAGCTCTGGCTTCGTCTTGTCCGGGCCGTCCATCGTTGGGAAGTTGACTCCGCTGAAATTCCAGGTGATCGGCTTCTCCGGTAGGTCAAACTTGAAGGACCGCACCAAGGTGGAAAGGACGACCTCTGGCAAGGCGCAATGATAGCTCAAGTCAGTACTCAATCGAATCAACCGTCGGGGCAGATACATACTCATCTCTAGCTGCGAGAACTTGAATCCGCTGTGATCAAAATGGATCAGTCATGCGTTGTGACAGGAAGTTCAGCTCGTCGGGATACTGACATGCAAGAGAAGCTACCAGCCCCAAAGGTCATCCTACGCGAGAAAATCTCTGGTTAGTCCCTTCCTCTGTGAGATATCGCTGTAAGCCGCGTACAAGTTTGCGTAAATTCCAGGAATGCGAGCCTCCTCGAGCTCGCGCGGAAGCGGCGAGAGCCAGCGTTCCGGCTTCCACTCCTCCGCGTCCTCGCCCCACAGCGCTTTGTTGCCGTTGCACGCGTGGTTGTTCAGGAAAATGGACGTGCCCTTCGGCACCGCGACCTCCGTGATCATGGTGCCGTCCACACCGCGAATTGGTTGCGTGACGGGAATCTTGGTGTCCACGCGGGCCCTGCGCGCCAGTTAGCAGCTGCATTTAGCGGTGAAGTCATCAGGGGGTTTGAGGCACTCACTCTCGGAGGACGAAGGTGACCGGGGCGTAGCTAGTACGATCAGGGAGTTAGATCTAGGGACCAGGTGCATGGATGGGTTGCCGGACACGTACATGCGCATCGTCTCGCGGCATACGGCGTCCATACAGGGGAGTTGAGACAGCTCGTTGTAGGGCATCCTCTCACCGTACTGCGCCTGAGCTTCGACTAGCTCTGCACGCAGCTTGTCCTGGACGTCGGGGTTCAAAGCTAGAAGGTGAAGGATACGGGCGAGAGCGTTTGAGGTAGTGTCCACTCCCGCGAGAATGAATGTACTAGATGTATACGCTGAGATATTTCATCCGGCCTGATAAGTCGAGATACTTACGACATCTGTGCGATGAGTTCTTCATCCGGCAGTTTGTCCTCGTCGTCCGCTTCCAGATTAGCCTTGACTGTCTAAACGATCAGTTCTTGCCATCCCCGGTACTATACACGACGAATGGTGACACTTACGCAAAACGCTCATCACGTCCTTGCCTCCCGCGACCTGGTTCAACATGGACTCCTCCCCGCGCAGCGTGGCCTTCTTCCGCTCGTTAAAGATCTCCACCGACCGCTCGTGCATGAGGTCGGTGATATTCTTCAGGCGTTGAACACTCTGGAGCGGGACAAGATCGAGCATCTTGCGGCGCAGCCATGCCGGGCCCATAAACTTGACGAAAGGCAGGATTACCTGAGCGAATCCCAGGGTGTTGAAAGTCGGTCTGCAATGCGATCGCCCGTCAGCCAGCCGCTGTTGGGCTATAAGTCTAAGATGAGACGTACACGAGCGCCTTGACCGCCTCGGTGTACTCGTCACTGGTCTCCTCGATCAGGGGGTCGAACGAGTGTCCAAGCCCGCCCTGTCCGACGAGTTCGAGCGCCGTGCGGCTCATCCACCCCGCGATATCAATCTCCTTCGCGCCCGCCGCGATGCGCCCCTCGATGGCCTCCCGCAGCTTCACACCGTCGTCAATTATGCGCTTGTCCTAAGACCGCGTGTAGCGACAAGCTCACCTTGCCGACGACCTCGTGGAAGAACGGCGTCATGTTCCGCATGTGCGCGGCGGAGAATACAGGGTTCAGCATCTTCCGCTGCCGCTTGTGGCGCAGGTCCTCCGTCGCGAGCAGCCCCGGGCCCAGTATAAGATGGGTGGAACTATGTCCAGGAGAACCAATCAGCCTCGGTGCAGGACATAAACGGTATCACGGACGTGTTGGTGCTTTCCCCCCGGCTGTAGAGCTCATGGTCCTTCACGAGTATGGTGTGCATCGCCTTGACGTCGTACACGTGCAACCATCTGGCCTGTACAAACACAACCGTTTCAAGTCAGCGACAGTCGACGTGGAAGCGCTGGGAGATGTACACCGAGGAAGGAGTTAATCTTAGAGATAGGCCCGTAAGTATCCTTCAGCATGCGCAAGAACGCCGCATTGTCGCGATCGAACAATTGCGCAGCGTTCCCTATAGACAGGCCGATCAGTAGCCCGGTTCAATAGCACCGTTTGCGGTCGGACGCACCTGAGATCAACGACGCGGACTTGGGTCCCGGGATGTTGTCCAGGACGGACGGGACGAAGTAGTTTCGCACAAGTTGCCATACGCCACACAGGAACAACGCAGCAAAGAGAATCAGTATAGCGGACATCGCGTGCGCACAGCCAGTGGTGCCACGAGCTTGAAATGAGGAAGGTAAGGTTTGTGTTATGCTCGTCCACCGACGTGCCTTCGTATATATATCACTATGCGCCGTGCGGCACCATACAATGAACTGCGCCACCGCTCTCTCGGCAGGCCATACTAGCCCGGCGTGCCAGATACACCGACTCGGGACGCTCCCTGGTGATGGTGACTGAATGGAGAGAGTCGAAGAAGGCAGCATCGGACAACTTGTGGGTACAGCAATTGATGGCGTGACTCGCATAAGGCTAATTACCCGGAGGGAGTGCACGCCCGCGGTTGGCTCGTCCAGGCTCGTCCACAGCATCGCAGTACGGTGTCGTAATACGTAGTCTCTGCGCGCTGGGCGCCCGAAGCTCAAACGCAGCGAGCGAGCAAGCGAGTCGCCGATCGGCGTTCAGTATAATTAAACGTGAACGTTTAGAATCCGGGGACATACCGTTGGGCAGATACGTACGGTGAGTCGTTCCGCGTGGATATGCATCGAAGCATCATGATACCCAGCGTCCATCTGTGAGAAGCTTGACGGTGGATGGGGTAGAATATGACAATACATTGTCGAGGCGTACATCTACAACTTCTTCCTGTGTTTCGTTTCCCGCACCTATGGATACTGTGTGCTGCGTGCCGAGCCCTGATACAAGATTTTTTCCATGTTGCTTCTTCTGCCGTATACTCGTACACCTGCGCAGCCCCAAGCCACTCAGTGTGTCTTCGTTGCACGCGTTTACTGCGCGAGCGTCCTGATCTTGAGGATGATGGCTGCGGGCGCATGGCGTGAGCTGCTGTGCCGGCTGCGCCGCATTTGGACGAGCGGAACTTACACTGGGGGTCGAGGCCCTGGTGGGGGATCTGCTCGGTGAGACCACCGCAGCCCTCCTTGTTGGTGCCCATGTAGCCGTAGCGGGGGGTGAGCTGGCGCTCGAGCAGCCAGGTGCCGAACTTGGAGCCAAGCTGTGGAAAGCCTCTCAGCAATCTGCGCAGCTGAGATAGGCGTTTCCAGGACTTACACCAGTCTTCTGGTTCAGGGACTCGACGATGAGGACGAAGGGGGTCTTGCCAATCTTCTGGATGGTCTGAATGCGCATGCGTTAGGAGTCATCTTACGTTGATTACGGCGTAACACACCTGCTCGTCGACCAAGTTGAGCGTGGGCTTGTTGATGAGACCAACGTTCAAGCCCTCCTTGCGGACGCGGAGGACAGCATCCCACGAACGGTAGAGCATGTCACCGTACGACACGACGTAGCCATCCGTACCCTCAGCAATGACCTCATCCTTGCCAGGCACGAACTCGTAGTTCTCGTCGTAGAAGCGCGAGCCGTCCTCCTTGAGGATCCACGGCACCTTGGAGCGCGTGGAGAACACGAAGCGCACGCCGCGGTCGAAGAACACGCGTGAGATCACCGCAGTCATCTGCGCGGGGTCGGCGGGGAAGTACAGCCACGACTGGGTGTCCGCGAGCCCGTTGTCCGCGAAGAATGAGTTGATGCCGAAGTGGCAGGTGTTGTCCGCCATCTCGTCGACGCCCGAGTGCGAAAAGTGGCAGAGCACGTTGCAGAAGTTCAGGCGCGCCATGGTGACCTCGGAAATGACCATCTCGAGGAACGCGGAGAACGTGGAGAAGACACCAAACTTGTCCTTGTCGAACCCGAAGCCAGCCGCAGCGCTGAAGTTACCGCGCTCCATAATGCCGGAGGGCACGAACACCTCGGGGTGCTTCTGGTGGATGGCCTTCAGACCGGTAGAGCCCTCAAGATCACCTGTTGGCACGAGTATTGTGAGTTTCGCACATGTGCACGATATAGTGGGGGTAACGCACTGTCAATGACCATGACCTTCTTGGCAGCCTCCTCCTTCGAGAGCTTGTCGAGGACCAAGTTGACAGCCTCGCCGAAGACGACACGGTTCGCGCCGTTCTCCTTGGATGACCCGACGTACAGGTACGGCACAGCATTAGGCTTGATGTTGTTGAGGATGTTTGCCGCCATCTCATCGGGGTAGCCGCGAGAAGCCAGGTATTTGATCGCGGACTTGACGGGAATGACGTCGTGGCCATGAGTGGTACCCTCGATATCGGCGACCTGAGCAGCAATGATCAGTATCTCTATCTGGTTCGTAACGCGGTATACTCACACCAGGAGCCATCTTACGCTTGGCAATGACTATATACGCTGCTCAGTCGAACATTCGCCGGAGAAAAGCGACTAGCATACCGGCAGCGGGGCCCTTATGGGCGAGAATCTCGCACAGACCGGCCCAAAGGGAGTCAAGGTCCTCGCCCTGCACGGTGACAACCTTCAAACCGTGACCGGAGAGGGTCTTCGCGAGATCGTAGCCCTTCATGTACTCAGACGGGTGGCCGGCAATGGTGACGTCGTTGTCATCGATGATGAGCTTGACGTTAAGGTTCTGCGCGACGGCCAGACGGGCGGCCTCCGCGTCGTTACCTTCCTAGACGCACAACGTCCTGTAAGACCCACGTGCGTGAGGGCTTGGGAGCATGGGAGAAAACCTACCTGCTGAGAGCCATCAGAGCCGAGCAGGAACACGGTCTTGTCCCGGTTGGCAAGCGCGATACCGTTGACCCACGGCCAGACGTGTCCAAGGCGGCCGGAGGAGAACTTCACACCGGGCGTGAGGCCGAGCTCGGGGTGGCCCGGGAGCTTCGAGTTTGCCTCCCGATAGTGGAGCAGGTGCTCATAAGGGATCGCGCCCTCCATTGCGGAAAGGAGATACTGGGTAGCCACGCGGTGTCCTACCGGCGGGTGTGTTAGCACGCCAGATAACACATCTGTCGGGTGAGTAGTACTGACCCGCCTCATCGAAGAGGATAGGGACGTAGTTGTCCGAGTGATTGATGAGCGAGAGGAGCATGTTAACCTCGGGTACGGTGTCGAAGGCACCACCTGGAGTAATTTGGTCAATTCAAAGCAGACTCAAGGTTATACACCAGGGAGGAGCTCTAGCTCGATAGCGACGGCGCAGTGCTGAGTGGAGCGCCAGGACGGAGGCGCCATCTCCGTCTGGAGACGTTGTCACCGTCCATCCCCATCTGGAGAACGCGTCTCTCTAGAGCCAACTCCCGGTGTGAAGAGCGCGTACCGGTGTGCCCGCTCACGCCCCTCGCCGCGCCCGTCGCGGTGAACAGCACGATAGCATCGCGCATAATCTGGACGTTGTTCTTCAACGCAGACTTCTGCTCCGCCGTGAGCTGGGGCTTCGACGGGTCGAGCGTAAGCCTAGAGTGAATAAGATGGTGTGCATCGGTTAACATGAATCCCTGATTGCAACAGCGCTCACGCACTTCTGGAGCTTGCTCATGTCGATGGGGAACTTTGCGTCGGTGCCAGCCATTTTGAAAACTGTGCAGCTGGGGAGGATGCGAGGGGAGGAAGGGTCGTGAGGCAGCTGCGAAGAGCTGATGGTCGAGGAGATAAACCGGAGGCGCGCGTGCTCTGACGTCTTTCTCAGGCGCGCCTTCGGCCCGGCGCCCGCGAGAACGTTCAGCTCTGTTCAGCTCGGCCGCCTCGGCTTCTTGCACCCGAACCTCCTCCTCCTCGTCCCTTGAGTAAGCGTCGTGGTTCACTTGCTGAGCTCCGTGTCAGCTACCGACCGGCCTTAGGAATGTCATACTGCTCTATGGCACGCTTAATTGATATCGAACATCCCGGCGGCCGCGAAAACTTCATGTAGGTGTCCGATTTGTGCGAAACCTTCCACCATTGGCATAACATCGGCACTGCTGCGAAGGTCTGGCCTACCCTGGTGGACTTTTCTCGTATCAAGGCACGAAACGTTGAGTGTATGCTGCCACAAACGGCACGTACTATGACTCTTCGCGTGGTGAGCCCGAACCGCAGGTCACGACGTTGCTCTCAATCTCCTAGACCTTGTGCTTTCTCGACTCCACGCACAGACACGGCCCCCCGCCGCATGGTCATCTGGGTAAGCTGACATAGGTGTATGCGAATAGACCACTGTGCTGAGTTATCTTCTGTTGCAGAGCCGGGTCTACAAAGTCTCCGTTCGTTCGGTAAGGATGCAGCATATCCTCGTTGGGCAAAGGTGCCCCGGACATCGTCACCGCCCTCCGCGTCGTCGCTCTGAGGCCGCATCAGGCTACCTAACTGCGCCCTGTGCGCCACCGCGCATCCTCTTGCGGGTACATGGCACTCGATGCAACGCGGGCCCGACGTCGTGGCTGACGATGCCGACCTCGACGCCAGCCTTCGCTCCATGACAGCCAGCCGCCATGGATGTTTATCATACCGCCGTCGAACCAGAATAAAACTCACTGTCTTGCTCTTCATCTACGAACACCCCGCAAGTCCAGCAAGAAGCCTCAAGACACGCCATGGTCCTCACATCCAACAAGCTCGCCCGCCGGGTCCTCCCCACGCTCCTTCTCGCGTCCTTCCTTCCCCTTGGCGCACACGCTCTCCCTGCTGGGACCCGTACGGCTACCAGTGCGGAATCAACCCCAACTGTCCCCTACGCCAGCGACGATCCGAACACAGTGCTGTGGAACGCGGATTCGGACATCGTGCCCGAAGGCAGAAGAGGCAAATACGGCGCAAGTGTGCTGGGGCCTCAGAACATCCCGATCGCGTTGCAAAACCCGGACCTACTTGCGCCACCGACCACGGATAGTGGCGATGTGTGCGTGTAGCAGGAGTTAGCGGCGGACGCGTGTGGCAGTGGCTGACATGGTGTGGTAGCCCGAATGCGAAGTGGCCGTTCGCTTTGAGCCACAATCGCTTGCAGACTGGAGGATGGGCGCGGCAACAGAACGGTATGTGCAATTGTTTATTTATGCCGGTCGTATGATGGAGCTCATGCGCCTTCGAATAGTCAACAGTATGCCGATTGCCAAGGGACTAGCTGCTGTAGACATGCGCCTCGAAGCGGGAGCGATCAGGTATGGGACGATTTCCTCACCCCGATCGGCATATAGACTGATCTGCACCTTCTGAAAGGGAGCTGCACTGGCATAACACCGCGGAGTGGGCCTACGTCCTGAAGGGTTCCGCGCAGGTCACGACCGTAACCGCTGAAGGCCAGAACTACATCGGGACCGTGAAGATGGGCTCGCTGTGGTACTTTCCGCCCGGCCAGCCCCATTCCATCCAGGCGACCGACGATGACCCCGCGGGTTGTGAGTTCCTGTTGGTCTTCAACGATGGGAGCTTCAGCGAGGATTCGACGTTCCTGGTAAGTTATTGCGTGTATCGCACGCATGCGAATGCTGACGAATTGTTTACAGTTGACGGATTGGCTTGCGCACGTACCGAAGGAGGTACTTGCGAAGAACTTCCACGTCGGTCAATCAGCGTTCGATCATATCCCGAGCGAGCAGTTATATATCTTTCCTGGCAGTAAGTCCATCGGCGTAGAACTCTTTTCGTTCTTCGTCGTTTATGATCTTTTACAGCCGCTCCTTCCGACAGCCAGCAAGCGCCTGTGAGCCCGCAGGGAACCACATCGGTCCCGTACACGTTCGACTTCGCCGACATGGAACCTACGGCGTACGCAGGAGGTTCAGTGAAGATCGCGGACTCGCGGAACTTCAAGGCGGCGAAGCAGATCGCGGTCGCGGAGGTGATGGTGGAGCCTGGTTCCATGCGCGAGCTCCACGTAAGTCGGACGCCCGCTACTGCATACGCAAAGCTGACTTCAGGCATGATGCATAGTGGCACCCGTCGGACGATGAGTGGACCTACTTCCTGTGAGTACACATACCGAGTGCCCCACGCCTCGCGCAGTCTCTGATCGAGCTATATTCAGTGAGGGCGAAGCGCGCATTACTTTATTTGCGGCAAGCTCCAACGCAAGAACATTTGATTACCAGGTGGGTCTCCTCAAAATCCCTAGCATTATATACAGCAATAAATGACATCATCTTCTCAGGCTGGTGATGTTGCGTATATTCCCGCCTCTTACGGTGAGTTGACCATTCTGGCCCACGACCAACTCCGTACGATATCATAGCACCAGACGTGAAGCATTCACAGATATCATGATCCCTGGGTCGGTGTGAGGACTTGAAGCAAATCATCACTGTCATGATTCACTTTGTGTCGGACAAAGGAATCTTGACAGTTATCATTTGCTTCACGATCTTACACTCTTTCAGGTATCATGGTAGGATAATTATATTTGGAAACTCGGGGCGCCGCTTGGAACTCCTCTGCTAGTTTGGAGACCCGGTTTCGTCGTGGCCTGCGTCGGCGAGCCTCCGGGAGATGCATTCCCCAAAAAGGACGTGGCCGGCATGTGTGTGTGTGCGGGTGCGCAGCTTTCTTGTTTCATACGCGAACTGTTCAGGCATTCTCTCGGTCGTTCGGAGGGTTGTTTCGTGGGATCCAGATGCTCTGTGGTTCCTCAACTACCCGTTGCGCGTGCCCTTCGTATGACGGCGGGCTCGCGCGATGGGATCCGCGCGTCCAGGAGCGCCTGCCAGTTACCCGCCTTGCCCGGCTGCGTTTGACACCTTCGGGCAGGGGTTTGTGTTGGAGCAATCGAGAGAACGTCGGCAGGAGTAAGAAATGTATATTCCTCCGTTTGTCCCGTACGGTAGCGTCGTGGTACGAAGGCAAACGGATAGAGTACGAAACGGGTCTCGCGCACGATACTGAACGCTTCAGCAAGCGCCGGTGAGCAGGCGCTCGCTCGCTCGAAACCAAAATCCAACAGTTTGATACGTGTAACATTTGGCACCTGGGTAATTTTGCGTACCCCGAGTTTCCAGATAGAATTATCTGTCATGATATCTTGCCGTATTGCCGTGTGGTATAAGTACCTCCCTACCTTCATATCCGTTACTCATGCGCGTCCGCACAATCTCCGCAGGGCACTACGTCGAGAATACTGGCAACACCACTCTGCGCTTTCTCGAGGTTCTGAAGACAGGTAAGTGATTTGAGAAGTTGCCGCGTGCATCTAATCGAGAGTTTGCTGTTGTAGATGTCTTCCAGGATATCAGCCTGAACCAGGTACGCCCCCTGTGACCTCAATCAGAAGTCCTAGCTAATGCGCAGTACACAGTGGCTCGCGCTAACGCCGCCGGAGCTTGTGAAGGCCCATTTGCAGCTGTCGGACGAGACGATAGGGCAGCTGAGCAAGACGAAGCCGGTGCTAGTTGCGCCCCAGTAGCTGCTGAGCTGTTCTCGCCACCCTGTGCCACACCTGGGACTCTTAGCATATTCTATGGGTATAGGGTACGAACGCACATGCGTCGAGCGATCCACACACGCCCTATCAATCTATTGTGTGATTCGCCGATGAGAAACGTGTGTGGTCTGAACCTGCAGAGCTTCCGGATGGGGTCACGTCGGAGGATGCCGCGCCGGGCGCTCGGGCAAAAGATAATGACGAAATTGACCGGATCGGGCAAGAGTGGATCCCAAATGAGCCGAGCGACAAAGCGAGCTGTGGCGGAACGCTAGCGAGCACCCTCCCGATCTCCTGTGCTCATGTCAAACTGCCGTGCCATGTCCCGCGTCCGACCCGCTTCCGCCTCTCTCCACTCCCCTTGTCCCTAGACCGCATATAACCACCTCCCTCCGCGGAAGAGCGCATATATCCACTTTCTTTTCCCCTCTCCTCTGAATACCCCTCCCCGGCGCGTACTGCTCCTCATCATGCGAGGCATGGCGGCCTCCTACCACCCCAAACCCCATTCGAAGACAACGTACACCGTGCTCGCGCTCTTTTTGGTCGCGGTCGTCGTCCTCGCGGTTCTCAACGAACCACTGCTAGTCTCTAGAGTGCAGACCGTCTCTCTGAACCTGCAGAATAAGAAGAAAGAGAGGAAATTCCGTACGTCGCTCTTCGCTATACGGACCCGCTGCTCACTGCGTCGCCATCATAGCGTTTCCCGACTTCAACAAGTACCGGCATACACGTACACTATCACCCGAAGAGTTCGGGCTAGGTGAGTAATAACAACCTTCCAGCGGAGTTCTCGACGCTCACCGCTATACAACGGTAGAACACCCTCACGAACGCGCAATAATTGTCGGCGATACCCATGGCATGAACCGTTCCCTTCAGTGAGTACCCCATTTCTCCCTGCGGAGGGCGTGTTGCATCCCCGCTCCTCGACGCGAGGCAAAGAAGTGCGGTCGTCGAGAGAGACGCGCTCCGCTACGCGTGGTCCCCCTGCGCGGAACGCCCTCCGCCCACCGAAGCCGCCGCGTATCTAACCATCTCTTCCCAGCGATCTGCTCTCCACGCTATCATATGACCCCCGGAAAGACACCATGTTCCTCGCCGGCGACATTCTCGCGAAGTCTACCGAAGCGGGGTCCCTGGCCATACTGGACTTCCTTTCCCAGCGCCAACGGGGCATATGCTTCCCGGAGATTGAGCCTAAACGTCCCGGGAAGTCGGCCGACGCGGAGACCAAGTGCAAGGGCGTCTACGCCGTGCGCGGCAACCACGACCAGATGATCGTGCAATGGCGCGCCTGGCGCGAGTGGTTCGAGCCTCTGCAGCTCACTTTCCCTTCTGCGGACCTGCACCCTCGTCGCCTGCACGTCCCATCCCTGGCATCCCTCACCTCAACATCCACATACAACGCGGGTCCGCCCGTGGGCACCGGATCCCAGTTCCTCGCGCTCATCGAATCCGAGTTCCTCCGGGATCGCAGCTCCGATCCCAACGGAGCCGCCGCGGATCCTCTAGAATGGGCCGACATCGAGCGTAAGCGCGCCGCGCGGACCTGGCGCGCAGAGTGGTGGAAGCGCATCCCGCACCCGGGCAAGGGTCGGGCGAGCAAGGACTGGATCCCGTTTGGCGACCACTATTGGATTGCGAGGTGCGCTACTTTCGCCCGCTCGTACCACAATATCCTGGAATTACTGACACGACGTGTTTCACCGCAGGGATATGAAACCGGAACACGCAAAGTTCCTGTTCTCGCTGCCGCTGGTCATCCACGTCCCGTCCGAGCACTTTTTCCTCGTGCACGGCGGCCTGCTCCCCTCCGACCCGCGGCGTCCCTCCGACGACGAGCGTCAGCCGCTCGCGCACATCCCGTCTGCCGATGACATCACATCAGACCCTACCGATGACGCCGACTACGACCACACGCTGCTCAAGGTTGCGCCGCCTCAGGACGTCCTCCGCGGTCTCAGTTCCAAGAATATCACGGATGACGATATCGAAGAGATGCGCGCAGTACAAGAGGCAGCGGTGCTCCACGACGTGCCACACAACCGCGACCCCTGGGTGATCCTGAACATCCGTGGTGTGCGTAAGAGTGGCAAGGCGACGCGCCGAAGTGACAAGGGCAAGCACTGGGCGAAGATCTGGAACGGGCAGATGAAGCGCTGTGGCGGGTTCGAGGAGGCCATTGATCGCGAGGGCGAGGAGGACGAAGATGACGACCGGGTGCCCGCGCGGTTCCGACTCACGGAGACACGCGACAAGGACAGCGACGACGACGACACGCCGCTGCCGTGCTACCCCTCCACTGTTGTGTATGGGCACGCCGCCTCCAGGGACCTCGACGTTCGGCGCTGGACAGTCGGTCTCGACACCGGGTGCCTTTACGGCCGCCGTCTCACCTCGCTTGTTCTCCAACGCCGCCACCCCGCCGACGTGGACTCCCCTACGCGGACGACACCTACAGATGAAGAGGAAGAAGAGGAGGGCGACGACGAAGATGAGTCTAGTGACGAGGAGGAAGATGAACTAGACGAGTACGCAGCAGACGGGCCGCTCGGCGGGCTGAACGCTCGGTACGCGCGGGTAGCCGGTGGATCGGCGGTATCGCGCGCGCGCAAGCCGCCCAAGACGTGGTCGCGCGGAATCGAGTTCGGCGACAAGGGCTCGCACCTGCGCGCAAAGCTTGTCAGTGTGAAGTGCCCCAAGGCAGGGGACTTCGCGGGGCCGTAGAGGCCGCGCTTTCTCATTCAGCATACGGTGTGTACGATAATATTGCTCTAGTGTGCCCCTAGCTTGTCTGGCTAGTGGGTCCGTATTAATGGCGTACGCTCGGGGTTTCTTTCTTGGTTTTCAGTGTTCCCGTCACGACATTAATGTAGTTAGTTCATACTTGTAGCATAGCATACCACAACGTCTGCGTAGAAGCACGACGACTTATCCTATACATCGGCTCCTGCATTAGCATAATATACGCATCATCTCGTGTCGAAGGCGACCTACAGACACAGAACGCAGCGTAAAACCATTCGCATCCCGACTCTCGACTCTAACCATACAGATACTCACCGATTAATAGCCAAACAGCGGCCCATGACACTGCCCTCATCGACGCACAACCCGGTTCCGGCCTATCTGAACTGACTCGACCTCCACCGTAAGCTTCTTTCTATCCGAACGCAACGCAGTGGTCGCAGCAGCTCACGCCTTGCGCCCGCAGCCATGCTCAAGACTCTCGCCCCTTTAAAGCGTGCGGCGAAGACAGGCTGTGCATGCTTACGATCATATGGTAGAAGAAGCGTCGAGTCAAAGAGCCTGGTACGCCGGGGCTCGGTACGCAGCGGCTCACGTACGGTATCAATAGGCGGCGCAGGCAATGTGCGCCTTCAGAACTTTAACACACAGGCATCTTCTATCGCATCCATTGTCGTATTTCATGGCGCGTCCTCTGATTTCAGTCAACGTTCATACATGTATCAAATTTTTGATCTACTTGGGCTCCCCTGGTGCTTCGCTCAAGGTTTTTACTAGCGCCCAATATCCTACTTATTGCGACACCACCATGCTGTGGACGAATCACTCGCGTATACACACGCCCCCCAGTGATCAGCATCGACGCAGTTCGGAGTCACCATTGCCGTTTACTCGGGAAATTCGATGTAGCCTTCTTCGACAGCCCTCCATACAATTGCCGTCACCGCAGAGGATGCGTTGTATTGGCGCATTGGCCGGTACCCCGGGCTTCCACGACGGTGTCGGAATTCGCAGTGGACACTGACGCGTCTGCACATGCAGGCCTGCCGAGATGGTGATGACACAGCTAATCATGGGGCCGCGCGGCGAGTGGTGGGTGGTATATAAGTATGAGACAGGCCCGTCGACGGGGGAGTCACCAACCTCATCTTTCTCAGCCTTTTAATCTCGTGGCACTGCAACCGGCCTTGCGCGATGTCCGAAATATTGACACTATTTGCTACGATATTCCTGTATGGCGCGTGGAAAGTTCTGCGCAACTACTTCGTCCCGTCCGTTCTGGACAACATCCCGGGACCCAAATCGACGTCGGTGATCACAGGTGGGTCCGATCGCCACCAAGCTGTTGACGGTGCTAGTCAAATGAGTTGCTGATCGTCATCACCACGGTCTACAGGGAACGCTGCGCAGTTGTTCGATCGCGACAATGCAGCGTTTTTGCAGATGCTCAAGAATACATACGGGCCGATATCCATGATCCACGCATTCCTTGGTGTACGTCTTGCAATCGTATTTATGTTGTTTCTGGCTGACTTGGGACCTATTCATCGTTCCAGACCAGGTGGTTGCACGTTTACGATGTCAAGGCAATGCACACCATACTCGTGAAGGACCAGGAGCTATACAACAGGAGCGACGCCGGTAACACGTCCGTGATAGCCCCCGGTACCCTCTACAGCCCACAGAGAACCTTACCATTGCTTCCGTGTACAGGGCCACCCATCTCATCTTGGGCCCCGGACTGCTCGCAACAGAAGGCCTGCGGCATAAGCGCCAGCGGAAGATGCTGAACCCCGTATTTTCCGCTGCGCACATGCGGAACATGACGCCATTCTTCCACGAGGTCGTCGGCAAGGTACATTTAAATATTGTTCGTACGACAGCACTAGCGCACGGCTGACAAAGGTGCGAAGCTGCGCGAGGCTATCGACAACCGTGTAGCGGCGGGCGCAAAAGAGATTGACATCACGGGATGGATGGGCCGCACGGCGCTCGAGCTCGTCGGTCAGGGCGGGCTTGGGCACTCGTTCGACCCCCTCACGGAGGAGACTAGCGACGAGTACACCGAGGCGGTTAAGGCGCTCGTGTGCGTCTTCGTTTTCTCTTTGCCAGACACAAGAAATGTATTGGCTGACATACGGCACGCACCTTGTGGACCGACTGTTAACTCTCTGGGAGCTGCCCAGATCGTCTTGCCCTTCGTCAAGTACATGGGTCCTGCATGGCTGCGCCGCAAGATGCTTGACCTTGTCCCGATCCCGAATGTTCAGCGCATGAAGCACATCACCGACTTGATGCATGAGCGGTCGATCCAGATTTTTAATGAGCGGAAGGCGGCGGCACTGCGCGGGGAAGAGTCTATGTTGAATCAGGTCGCTGGGGGCAAGGATGTCATGAGCGTTTTGCGTGAGTGTTTGTCGTGTAACGCCGGCGAAAAACACAAGGACTGACCGTTTGCTTAGTCAAGGCTAACTTGGAGGCGGATGACGAGGACAGGCTTCCGGAGGAAGAGCTGATCGCACAGATGTCGTGAGTACTTCCACTTCTCAGGTCCGATGGCACATCTCAACACATAAACCCAGTACTTTTATCCTCGCGGGAGTGGACACAACCTCGAACGCTTTGGCTCGTATCCTCCACCTTCTAGCACTGCACCCCGATGTCCAGGACAAGCTGCGTGCAGAGCTAGTCGAAGCTCAGGCGCAGTACGGCGAGAAGATGCCCTACAATGAGCTGTCCCAGCTCCCCTACATGGACGCCGTATGCCGTGAGACGATGCGCATGTGGGTATCCACGAATATTTCGTGCATTCAGTAAGCTGATTTGAACCCCCCGCCCAAAGCCACACCCCCGTCTCTTTCGTCCTGCGAGAGTGAGGACACCACGCTGGCTCCGTTAACATAGTTGCTGACTAGTGCATAGGGCCCTCGAGGACACGAAAATCCCCGTCACGGAGCCAATCCGAGGGCTCGACGACACGCTGATCACAGAGATCGCTGTACCAAAGGGCACATTCATCTTCCTCAACTCGCTCGCGTGCAACGGAAACAAGGCGCTGTGGGGCGAGGACGCGGACGAATGGAAGCCGGAGCGCTGGCTCGCGCCGCTTCCGCGCGAGCTCGAGGAGGCGCGGATTCGGGGATTTACGCGAATCTGTACGTACCTTGCCGCGAATTTGTTTTGGAGGTTCCGACTGAGGACTCTGTCGTGTAGCATGACTTTTGGGGCAGGCAGCTACTCGTGCATGTGAGTTTGCTCAGAAACTGGGTTGCTGGTCTGCGAGCGTGACTGAACCATCTTGAACGTAGCGGCTTCAAATTCTCGCAGCTGGAAATGAGTGCGTATTCACCACGACGATTGAGCCATAAGGTACTGACATGATAATCAGAGGTAGTCCTCTCGACCCTGGTGCGATCCTTTAAGTTCGACGTACCCGAGAAGCCGATCACTTGGAACTTCAGCGGAGTCAACTTCCCGACGATGGACGGCCCGGACAAGGCGAAGCCGGAGATGTTCCTGAAGATCCAGCGCGTCGAGGAATGAGGGGCCCTGGGGTAGGTACGCTTTTATGGCGTTGGTCCATACGGCCCGCTCGTAGTCGCGGCTTGTCTTTCCATCGTTTTCCGCGATCCTTGTCGTAATTGCCTCTTTCCCGTTCACTTTTGGACATTTATACTGTACTTGTTTACATTTTGAAGCGTTTAGGACGCTATCCGACGCTCCTTACAGTGATAATATGACGCTGTGGTATCATTCATCTAGTTTCAAGACAAGGGGGTATGTCGATTGCGATAGTGTGTTGTCGGGCCTGAGCGTGCTTCGGTGAGTAATGACACTGCAGCGCTCAGTCTGTATACTCACCGATTGACCCTCAAGGCTCCATGTCACTACCCTCGTCGACCTCAGACCCATTAGTAATGATATTGCGGAGATCCTCCCAGCTTGCCGCGCACGTCTCCAGCAACGCGCGTTCCGCAAGTAGGTATTCAAGCGCCAACCTGGTCTTGGTTCTTTCCGGCGGTAGTTTCTACGCGTACAGCGACGTCAGAGCTTCAAGCACCGGGAATGGAGAGCAGAGCGCGGTTCTTACGTCGAGTATATCCCCAAGGACATCCGGGCGGGCTCCTCTGTAGCCCTTTTTGCCCATTCCCGATATGCGCGTGCGGCAGAGAGATGCTAAGGCTTCCGCGGCGACCGCAAGGAGCTTTGGTAGAAACATGAGCGTGCGGGATATTACCGACAAAGCCAGGAACCCCAAACCTGCACATCGTCGGACGGCTCCGCGTCCAGATCGCGCATGGCGCTAGTATCATCGTCGCGGAGAGCTTCCGTCTGGATGAGCGCGGCGACGATGGGAAGCAGATATTGAGGGAGGGCAGCGAGGATCTCGATATCGGACTTGCCCGCCAACGCCAGCGGAGGCCGCTCAGTCAGCCCAATCCAAACCGCCCACAGGAAAAGCCAGAGCGACGCCTGGCCGTCACTGTTGACGGCCTCGTGCCAGGTCTCTTGTCCTGCCCAGTCGGGAGCGAACACCATTGCGCTCCGCCCGACGATGGCCGCCTCGACGTCCTCGTGCACTTGTGTGTATATCGCGCGGAACATCTCTACTTCGTTGTCGTGTTCCGGTACGATACCTGAGCCCGGCCAGCCGAAGGTCACAAAGTCCGTGTCTCCGCCAGAAAGTGCGAAGCCATAGCGTGATAGGAGAGCGGCGTTGCCGAGGTCGGCACCGTACGTGTTGAAGACTTCCGTGCCCGGGGGGATTTCCCGGACGGTGACCATGTCCACAGTGTCCGAGGGATCTGAAGATGCGTGCAATGGCCGATTCGGCACGGGAGGTCGGGTAGATGTGTCTTCGCGGTCATGAGGGCATTCTGTAAGCGACCCACAGAGCGGGCATACGTCAAAATCGCTCTGAAGATGTGGTGAGAAAGGATAAGATGAAAACGAGTAGAGTGAAAACTCACGGCTAACTGCACATGGTTTTCGTGAGCATGATTGAAGCTGTTTGTAACAATGAGTATGTCTAGAAGTGTAGCTTATCGCAATTGTGCAGGCTTACGCATCTGCTACTGGGACCATAGATAGGCCGTGGTAGGCGTCCACGAGGAATGCACGGGAGCAGACAAGCGAGTATGCGTGCAAGAATCCTTGCAAGGTCGGCTGCAGTTTGACCGATTCCAGAAGTGGATGGACTTCCGTCGTGTAGTAATCCCGTGTCTCGTCCTATTGGCTACTTTAGAGAGGTCGCGTCTCATCAGCGAAGCGAGGATGTTACCATGAGCGAACTTCCGTCATTGTCTTGAATTTCCCTCTGTACCTCCGTGCCCTGTATCCACAGGCGCGCCTCCTGCGAGTCCGGATCATCAGGAAACGCACAAGCGTCACCCCATAGCCGAGCAATGGGCACCGGTGTGGCGGGAAGAGATTGCAAATATGGATGCCATCTCGACGCCACACCTTTCAAACTGTGGGAGTACTGTTCGAGTAGGTACATAATATTGACAAAACCGAAAGATGGCGTACATTTCGGAGTAGAGGGCTAGTGAGAGCGTAAGAGCGGCGCCGTGCCCATACGGTGCACCGTGGATCTGTCCAGCCAGTGCACAAGTGCGGACAGATAGGATCGCGGATTTGGGTATCGATGCAACTGCACGGGTCATCAGGATGCTATTTCTGCAACATTATTGACAACCATGCTGCTGACCTGTTTGGGGATGAAGGATCCCACAATCGCTCGTGGATGTCACTGCGATGCCCGCATCCGGGGTATGCACGATGGCGATGTCCTGGTGAAGGACGATCTTGTTCTCCTGCAACCACCGCAGGAACTGCGAGGCCATACTACTTATGTTCTGCCGTCGATGTAGCGGTCTACGGACGCTGCAACATCGGACAGCAGCGTCGACGACTCAGACTCGAGCAAGAGTTAATGTATCAGTTGCCGCCGAGTCGTGCCGCGGCTTTTGTTGGGGCGTTTGTCAAGAACAAACTAGCTCCGCTTAATTTGAATGCGTGACATATCGTGATGGTCACTATAGATCACTATAGTTGTCACGTTCTCACTCCAGCGCCTATCTGCGGTTCGATAAACCGGCCTGCCTCGAACGCATCCCCCCCGCTTCCCACTAAGCCTTCGACACTGGTGTCCCATCCATTCGACCCGGGTTTGCCTCAATCGAACGACAGAGACTGCAATAACACCCGCACATACCCCCCGTCGAGTAGTGCATGGTACAGGCTGGACTCCTTGAAGTGCCAGCACGATCGACATGCATAGCGGCACTCATAGTATATGGACAAGCAGTCTAGATGCAGCGCCATTCTGTACTCAGACATGGTGAATCAAGCACACGCGGTCTGTGCTTGCTCATAAGCATTGGCTGTGACAAGACAAATCAATAATAAGAGTTACAACCTGCGGCAGTGTTCAGTACGGCTTTGCGGGAACCGATGCCGGGTGTATATACGGTAAGTCGGAGCCTTTTTCGGAGCCTTTTTCCGTGCCATGACCCCAATTCAAATTGTTCCAGGTTCATCGCACCGCTCTCTCCTGCCGAATTACAAGGTCATGCTTGCGTATACACTCGGCTAACATCCGAGTACTACCCGCGCATGTCCACGCACGTCAACATAGACGCCAATAAACAACTCTTGTGATCCCCGAGCCCGCTGGTTTCATCGGGATGCCCTCATTCCACCTATCTACCCGACTCTTTGGCAGATCTTCCTCAGACATGCAGTGTTGGGGTGTAACGCCGCCCCTGTGTGAGAGCGGGGACGTCTTTACGTCTAGCGGCAAGATTCGGAATCGGTAGAGTTCGACTAGCGAGGGGGCACGACCCCTGATATCGTGACGTCCATTCCGGGAGCATTTCTCGATGAGCGTTGAGTCCGACGAGGATCGGCGGCAAGCACAGCACCTGGATTCAAAGCGGCGTCATGCCCCCGGCACGGTGGGTCACAACATTTGTCTTCGTGTATCCGCAGTTGTGCCGTGAACTTACGTCGTTCGCGGATAGAACGTCGCCTACTCGATACATGGCCCTAAACGGCGCGTCTAACAAAACCGCCCTCGGGCACCTGACCAAGCCGCCGACAGTTTCAGACGCGTGCGGGTGTTTTCGCGCAACTGGGAAGACAGCCTGCGAACCTTACTGCCCAGGAGCGTACGTTATCCGATCGCCATAGGACCTATACCGCACGGAGAAGTTCGGGCGCCGCGCATGGAGAAGATCGCCCCTTACTCATAGTCGCCGTTTGGCATCCGGCGTAGTTCGCTAGCGTTTCAAGCTCGAGTCGCTCTACCGGCCTGGACAGCGGAGGTAGGGCTGATTTTCGTGCTTTCAGGTGGCAGGTGAAAACATGAGGTGGCGGCGAGCGTATGTATAAAAGGACTACCGTTTGGTAGAGCAGATCATCATCATCTCCTCACCACATTCGAAATGTCCCAGGCTTCCCCTCATCCCGACTCTTACACCGCCTACGCCTTCACCGAGGTTGGCAACGGCAAGCTGCAGAAGATCACCGTCCCTTGGCGGGACCCCACAGACAACGAAATCGTCGTCAAGGTCCTGGCCTGTGGCGTGTGCGGAAGGTGCGGCGTCGTTCTTAACCCCTTGCTCAACACGCAGTCTGACATTCTACTTCAACAGTGACGCCGTGATTCCTGATGGCTTGTACCCCACCTCCTTCCCCCGGATTCCCGGCCACGAGATCGTAGGCGACATCGTCGCTCTCCCCGCGTCCGAGAAGGTCTGGAAGCTCGGGCAGCGCGTCGGCGGCGGGTGGCACGGCGGTCATTGCCACACCTGCACGCGCTGCCGCGTCGGTGATTTCATCACTTGCCAGCACGAAGACATCAACGGTAAGCCGCCGACCATTATACATGTTCGGCAGTCTCTAACCACCATGGCAGGCGTCTTTAGGGACGGCGGGTACGCCGAGTACGCCATCCTTCGCAGCGAGGCCGTTATCACGATCCCCGACGGCCTCGACCCCGTCCAAGCTGCGCCTCTGCTGTGCGCTGGTATCACCGTCTATAGTATGTCTTGTCTCTTATCAAAGTTGAAACATTCTAAACGCCCCCGCTTAGACTCTCTGCGCCACATGAACGCAATACCCCCGGACTACGTCGCCGTTCAGGGCATCGGGTTAGTCGCGCCGCCCCTAAACTCTGCGCCCGACTAGCCTCCTTAACTCCGTCCTATTTTCAGAGGCCTCGGTCACCTTGCCCTCCAGATCGCGAACGCGATGGGCTTCCGCGCCGTCGCGCTCTCCTCGGGCTCCTCGAAGGAGACACTTGCGCGCTCGCTCGGCGCGCAGGAGTACATCGACGGCTCGAAGGTCGACCAGGCAGCGGCGTTGCAGGCGCTCGGCGGCGCTAAGGTCATCATGTGCACGGCGCCGAACTCGGAGGTCATGGGCAAGCTGCTGCCCGGGCTCGCCATCGATGGAACGCTGCTCTTCATTGCCCTTGCGATTGAGCCCATCACCCTCGCCCCAGGTAAGCTTGCCTGTCGACAGTGTTGCGCGTGCTGTACTGATGCAGAATATTTCCGACAGTTCAACTCATTGGCGGCCGGTTCTCTATCAGAGGGTGGCCCTCGGGGCACGCCGCCGACACTGAGGACTGCCTCGCGTTCGCGAAGGCGCACAACATCAAGTGCATGGTCGAGGTCTTCCCGCTCGAGAAGGCCCAGGAGGCTTACGACCACCGCGGGTCTGCGCGTTTCCGCGCGGTCGTCGTTCCAGGGCTCTAGAACAGCATCGCCGTGTTGTGTGTTTGGATAATTTCCCCCTTTCCACTTGATAGAAATGTAACATCTCGGTCTTGGCAATGAGAACCACTGTGTTTGAACAGTAGTAGGAAGCGGCTTCCCTGGAGAGTACTAGGCGGCCGAGGCCCGTTAGCAGACTTCTTTCTGAAGAAACGAAGCATTCATTAGAAGTCAACTTCTTCGATGTCAAGGAACCCGGGTCCCGCCCACAGCTTCTTGAACCCTCCAGGCCTGTTGTTGAACCGACCTTCGTACTACATATCTTGCCTATTCCGGACACGGGTGCCGCTGCTGCGCACAGCATTACACCTGCGTGGGTCGGCTCAGCGCGCTCGGGTTCATCATTTCTCCTCGACCATCTTGTGATTCCCCATACCAGCTGCTGCCCCCCATGACTACCCGAACGGCGAGACCAACGACGGCCGTCGGATTAGACTGTGGTGAATGGGAGAATCCGTCCAGAAGGAGCGCGGCGGTTCAGCTGACCCACGGGCGGCCGCTCTCACGGTGTCTCGTTGGTCACCTCCAACCCCTCTCGCCGGGAGGACGTCTCCATTGGAGGCAAACGCCATGACTGTTTTATGGCCGTTCTCTCTCCTCTGCGACGATCCCCGGGTCTGGCGCATGTCTATTCAAGGCTGACTCGGCGCATGCTCACAGCGGAGAAGGATATCCTCGACGCGGCGACGGAGCGCATGCCGTCATGGCTCTCGCGCACGACCTCGCCTCAAGCTCTAAATGCAACGGCGTTGTTACGCTATACAGCACCCTCCTGAGAGGAACTCGCCAGGAAGAGCAAACCGCGCGGGGCCCGGGGTGGCTGTTCTACGTTCCGGCCCTGTCGACTTGGTCAGAACTCGGCGGGGTGACCTCAGTGCGCTTCGACAGCGCTAGTTGGCGTTAGCCCAGCATAAACCGTTTATGCAGACAGGAGACCGCGCTTGAGCATAGGGCTTCGGGGGACATATAAGCTGCATGATATCAGAGGCGATGGTATCGCGTCGCCCGCCCCCTAACCCGCCTCCTCACTCTAGCAAACGTCGAGCAGTTGTCCCCCATCACTATGGTGCGCCTACCTCGTACCTTCCTTTCAAGCGCTTGCTAACATACTACGCGCAGTCTACCTTCGGTGCCAGCGCTAGGAGCGTGTATGGTATCAAACCCCAGCAGGGCGATCCCTACCGGTATCAGGTCGGGTTCGGGAACCGCTTTGCCTCAGAGGCAATGTATGTGGAATGTGAATGTGCACCTCTTCGAGCGCGTGCTCACTACGAACAGCCCTGGCACGCTTCCATCTGCGCAGAACAACCCACAGAAAGCAAAGTATGATCTCTACACAGAAAGTGTAAGCGCCAACGACTGTGACAACTGATATCTATTGACTAAGCTCTGTACTGCAGATCAACGGTACACCTTTCCCGACACCTCGAAAGGACAACCAATCCTGGTCAGTTGGACCTCACTGCAAGATATCTCATTCTGACCTGTGTGAATACACGTAGCTGGGTATACCGGATCCGTCCCTCCGTTGCGCACCAAGGGTTCACTCCACTACCCGAGAACCCAGACGTAGGTCGATCAGTGTCATCAGCAGAGAGCCCTATAATGATCATCTCCCTCAGCTTGAGTCGTGTTTCTTGCCACTCAACCCAAAGATCCATTCCAGCCCCACTCAACTAGCGTGGTATCCACTTGACATCCCCTCTGGCGACAAGGTGGACTTCATCTCTGGTCTGAAAACCCTCGCCGGAAATGGAGACCCCACTCTCCGTGAGGGGCTTGCTACGCACATCTACGCCGCCAATGTGTCCATGGGCAAGAGGGCGTTCTGCAATGGCGACGGCGACTTCCTTATCCTCCCCCAGCAGGGACGCCTGGACATCCAGACCGAGTTCGGAAAGTGAGGCCTGATTATACAGCGAAGCGGGATGAAGCTGAATTTTCTTCTCAGGCTGATGGTGAGGCCAGGAGAGCTAGTGGTTGTCCAGCGTGGTATCAAGTTTAAGGTAATGCATAACTCGCACGAGGATTCGCGCTCCATACTGATCTGTAATACTATAGGTCGGACTTCCCGATGGTCCTTCTCGTGGCTGTAAGCAAGCATAGTCGGCGACGATCTTGCTCTTGCTTACCCTCGAACCTTGTAGATATTCTCGAGATCTTTGGCTCACACTTCGAGCTTCCGGAGTTGGGTCCGCTGGGCACGCACGGTCTCGCCAACGTGCGAGACTTTGAGAGCCCGGTTGCCAGCTTCGACATTGACCAGTCTCCATGGGAGAGTGAGTTGCACATTCACACCGCATCATGCACCTACATCTCATTTTCTACTCCAGTCGTCTACAAGGTCAGTGGCAAGCTGCACGCCTGCCACCAAGAGCACACTCCGTTCGACATCGTCGCCTGGTGGGGCAAGTAAGCAATCACCACCCCGAGCACCCGTGGAGCCCAGAACTAACCGTCCCGTAGCTACGTGCCATACAAATACGCCATGGAGAAGTTCGCGCACGTCGGGAGCATCAACAAGGACCACATGGACCCCTCCGTCTTCTGCGTGCTCACCGCGAAGTCGAAGACGCCCGGCGCGCCCCTCGCCGACTTCCTCATCTTCAGCGGGCGCTGGGACGTCGCCGACGGGACCTTCCGTCCGCCCGTACGTGTCGTCTCTCTTCTTGGGGCTGCGATTGCCGGTATGCTGAGCTGCTCGACGACAGTACTACCACAGGAACTGCGCGACGGAGATGATGGGGCTCATCTATGGGGACTACGGGGGCCGCAGCGACGAGTTCGCGCCCGGGGGGTTCAGCTACGAGAACGGCTTCTGCCCGCACGGAGGTGTGTCTACTTCAGACATGCGCGCAATGCAGTTTCTGACCTAGTCGGATATTCAGTGTCCTATGACGAGTTCAAGAAGGCCACTGAGGCCGAACTGGGACCAATGCGGGTGCACGATGGCACACTTGGTGAGTACAGACCTCTCGCCGTATGCACGTAGGCTCACTCATGCGCGCCATCAGCGTTCATGTTCGAGACGAGCATGCAGGTCACCCTGACCGACTTCGCGATGAAGCGGACCGGCAAGCTCCACGGTGAGCGTTGCACGACATGCGCTTTCGAATGAATCTCACCTCATGTGTTTGTTGCAGAGCACGAGCCGAAGATGTGGGATAACTTGAAGGGGCAGTTTGTCAACCATATCGACCAGATCAACGCGGACTTGAAGGCGGCGGGCCTACCCGCGCTTGGGTCCGACGAGTGAAGAATTGAACGGGGATGTTTTTGTACTCGGTTAGTCCTACCGAGAGTCGTCTTCTGTCTATGTACTAGTACGTTGTGTAACATTATGCAAGTTCTGTCTGGCAGATGTCTGACCCACCCAGGCATTGGTGTGCATGTGAAGGCCGTAAATGCCAGAGGCGCGGAAGAACATTACTTCGGCCAACTGAACATTGTGCCGGTGTCGTGAACTGAACCCGAAAACCAACATCGCGGCTGGGCGCAGTACGTGCGATCATGCATGCATTCAGCAGATTGAGCAAAATCCGGCTTCTATATTACAACAAGTCCTCACGGCCTGCCGTGAATGATATCGACATAACTTACACCCCGTCCCCATTTCTACTACCCCTCACCGCACAACCCGCTCAAACACCACAAGCTTCCCCATCCCCTTCGCCCCAAACGCCTCCCTCACGCTCCGCTCCATCTCCACGAAATCCACCAGCCCAGCCACACCCACCGTCCCCGCACGCGCATCCACATGCACAAGCGGCGGCCCCGCCCTCGGCCTCTCCTTCACCCCCACGCGCACACACTCCAGCGCCCGCGCGCCCCCTTGCTGCACGTTGTGGAAGCGCGCCGCGACGTCCGCGACGCGCGCCCAGGGGATGAGGAACGCGGTGTCGAACTCGCCGCACTTGACCGCGAACGCGAGCGTGCGCAGCGCGGGCGCGTCCAGCTGCGCGAGGAGCGAGAGCGTGTAGGGCACCGCGGAGAGGCGCGCGGTGTGGATGTCGAGCGTGAGCGTGTGCAGCGCGGGCAGCGGGCTGAAGGTCGGGGCGGTCCATTCTGCACCGCGCGGGGGAGCTGGGTGCGATGTGTGCTTAGCCTGGAGTGCCGGGAGCAGCGAGCGTAGAGAGAAGGGGAGGGACTCACCGGACGCAGACGCAGACTCTCCGAGCCCGATGCGTAGTTGTTTCAGAGAGGGCGCGAGCTCGATCAACGCCTCTGCGAGCGTGCATAGCTCTGCCCACGGCACACGTGTGCACGAAAGCGTGTGCACGGCGCGATGCAGGTCTTCCGCGATGAGCCACCTGAGCACCTTGAAGTTATCGCACCCACTTGTGAGCTCAAGCACCTCCAACTGCGGACCCGCGCCGTTCTTTGCGAGGGGCACGACCGCCGTCTTTGAGCATGGGTTCGACTCCCATTCCTGCGTGAACGCGATGGTGAGACGCTTGAGTCCCGGGAACGATAGATACATCTCCGTGAAAACGTCGAACGTCTTGAGCGTGCACGCCCAGAGCGTGAGGTGTGTGACGCCGCGCAGGCGGTTGAAGAAGCCGCGCGCGAGGTCCGCGTCGATGGTGAGCAGCGCGAGCTCGAGCTTCGTGAGGTTCGCGAGGCGCGCGGGCATCCAGGGCGGGATGGCGTGCAGCCAGGCGTCGAGCGTCGCGCCGTGGAGGCGGTCCATGGAGAATATGCCGAACGCGCTCTCTATCTCGAGCGTCCGGACGTGGTCCGTGAGAAGGGGGTTGGAGGAGAGGAGGCGCGAGAAGGCGGAGCAGTTCGACCAGTCGATGTAAATGGACCGGAAGAGGTTGTGCTGGGCGCGTGGGAGCCATTGGCGGCTGGTGAGCGCGCAGCTGCGGAGGGTGCGTTTGTCGTCCACCAGTTGATCCAAAATGTGGTCGTAGAGTTCAGGCGGGAGAACGGGCGTAGATCCTGTCATGTCTACTTATTGGTGAATGCGGTGGTACTGTATTGGCGCGACTGAGCAGCAATGCTGACCGGTGCTGATTTATGTCGAATTGCGCAGAACAGGCGCACCCTGAGCCGTCTAACACAGTCGTTCTCGTCTGAGCACCATGGCCAGGTGAGAACGAAGAACACATGGCACTCACTAGCTTCTCCGGGCTCACGGCGGTATGTCAGACCTCCGCTCAATCGTCGAAAGGCCCCGAGAATGTCCCCCAACGAGTGCGAGCAGCAGCAGGTCGACGGCGGGCGGTGCAGAGGCGGTGGTGATGGTTGAGAAGGAGGAGGGGATGGAGGGAACGGGATTCGCATGCATTGATCAATATGGCCTGCCCGAGTCGATCCCCTCTTCCCCGCTTCACCTGATCGGGCCGTCGCCGCGGCATCATCCCGCCGTGACCCGCCTTAATTAGCTGTGACACCTCGCGTCAGCGCCCGTCCTGGCGCGTTCCGTGTCTGCCCGACGCGCCTTGAGCAATGTCGCGAGCGTGCGAGCTTAAGTTTATATTTTCGACCCTACTCCGCGCTATCGAGTCGCATCCTGGATGTTCGTACAACGCAACTAGTGTTATATTCACTGAGCTGCGCACATACGTACTAGCGTACGTCGTGTGCTTGGCACGGACTAGTCTCTCACGAAAGCGGCATCCGTCACTCGACCACGTCCTCGTCTCCGACCAACGCGCGCAAAACGAGCTCTGGCTGATCCCACTGCACCTACAAAGAGCCAAGAGGTAAGTTTGAATGCTCTGTATTAATAAGGAATCACGGGAGGTCCACGTACGAAGTGATTCGCGCCCTTGATTAGCACAAACCGCACGTCCCTCGTCGGGCAGCCCTTGGCCTTCGCCGCCTCCACTTCTTCTCTCAGGCACATCCGCGCGAATAGACAATCACACACCGACTGTTCGCACGTCACGTTGCACACCTCCACCTCCCTCCAAGCGTCGCCGTTGCCCACCCCTTTTGCGTTGTCTGGCAAGGCCAGCGCGGCTTCCCGTAAATCCTTCCACAGTCCGACCGCGATCCCCCCGTGCAGCAGGAGCGCTTCCGAGCCACCGGGAGCACCCGGAGGGAGACACAGAACGCGCTCAACGTCTTCCGCGGTAAGCGTCAAGAGCGTTGAGGGCGGCTCCGGGAGGGGCGTGTTCAACGCGAGCGTCTCGACCGTGTCCCCGTGCGCGAAGTACCCGCTTACCCACTTTGCGAACACATCTTCGCGCTCCTCGGGCAGAAGCTCGGTGTCGAAGAGCGGGTTGTAAAGCCTATTCTCGGGATTGGGGTAGCCTAGGAGGCGGAATGGTGGGTCTATACGGAGCGTGTCCGGCACTTAGCACTGATTCCTGCGGCTCAATGTTCTAAAATATGTGCACGCACCGAGGAAGACCACGCGTTGGATATAGCGGGCCAGATTTAAACCCCCCGTGTAAAAGGAGGGCGCGTGCGCAAGGAGCGCCGTCATCCACGCCGCGCCCATAGACCATCCGGCCACGACGATCCCGCCGGTGTTGTTCATGCGATCCGCCGCCGGGACGTCCCCGCCTTCCACCAGTATTTCCAGGAAGTCATACAGCTCTCGCGCTTGCGCCTTCATGAAAGTCTGGAGTTTCTCCCTGGCGGCCGCAAACGCGTCGGCGTCGTCTGTTGGCCCGGGGGGCTGCGATGGTAGGAGCGCAAGCTCGGCCTCTGTGAACGGCGCGCTCCCGAGATAGTCGCGGCGGTTCACGAGCATCACGCGTGCGTTATAAGCTGGCGCCAGGGGAAGGAGCTTCGCAAATATGCCTGGGGTATTCCAAGAAGGGCGTTAATTTCGGAAGTCGTTGGGGGCGACTGGGATTGGGCGAGTATAGGACCGGAAGCTCACCGCTGTGGTACGCGTACCCGTGCAGGATCACGACCGTGGTATAGTCGGTGCTACCGGCCGGGATGAAAGAGTCTGCGAGGATATGTAGAGGGCTCTTCCGAATTCTGTTGTACCGCATGGTGAATTACAGGGGGATGGGCTGGTCGGGTGCCGTGGTACCGAGAGAACAGCGACGGTGCTTCGTCCCCTTATAACACCGCCAGCGTCCGGGCATTGGGTTCGGCACGGAAGCAGCTTCTGTCAGCGGGCCTCCTCCATGAGAGCTGGGATGTGCGTTCAGTCATCTTTGAACTGTATAGCGTTCGGATGGGGTCGGGTCTCAAAGGTTGGGGATAATCGCAATGCAACGATCAGACACTGCACAAAAGAGGTCGCCGATCCGTACGCTGCGCAGCCAGATCAGAATCGAGTCAGTCCACCAGCGGCGCTGACTAGACGATTGCAGTGCTCCTCACCTGGTATGATTTCTGTAGTGCGATGTGAAAGCCCAGCGCAAGTGGCGCACTAAGGTTAACCTTCGGCGTACCAATGGGCTTCCCGTTCCAAATTTGCAGCCTTCTTTAGGAACACATGCTCTCTATTGGCCAATGCGTCAATGGTCTCTGGGCTTTCGCCATCGACACCCGTGCACGTAGCGAATACGGGATCAATGCTATATAACTGGCGAGCGAAACGCCAGGCCGACGCGCGGCCTCTGCTTGTCCAGGTCGTGCCGAAACACATGCGCGGCGGCCGAGTGCGTGTGTGCCTCTTTCAGGACCTTTCTGGCCAGTTCTGATTTAGAGAGGTATTTTCGAGCTACCCGTTCCAAGCCGCAGCTACGTTCGAAAGAGACCCTGCTAAGGGCTCCTTGTACTATGTAGAACGTCAGTTTCATCAGCGCTGGTGCGATGGCTACTTACGGGTACTGCTATACTACTTATCAGCATCAACGCTTCGACCCCGATGGTTGGTGAGACGTTCCTAGGGAAGAGGTTCGTTGAAGAAGGTTCTCACCCGGTCTGCATACATGAGTGGAAGAGAGAACATGGTTGCGCCAAAGTTTGAGCCGACGGGGCACAAGCGTGGATGTGACAACGAGGCTCGTGCTTGTGACACTTCGCGTCAAAGGCGTCTACGTTCACCGCGTCGCTAACTCTTCACGCATTTGACACTCCACGGTTCTGCTACGTCCAGTTCAAAGCTAACACGTTCCCATGTAAGCTTAAATATATAAAAACTCAGCTATCAATGGTTGACCTCATCCCAGGAGCTTGCTCTTTCACACCAGACACTATATCACTGTCTACAACTTGAATAAGACCTCTCGTGGATGATCATCGCGGCCACTGCACATAGGCATATAGGTATCGTATATTGAGACTATTCCCCTTATCATGGCCAATGCCCGTTACTCGACCATGTCCTCGTTCCCAATCAATGAGCGCAGCGCGAGCTCGGGTGCATCCCATTGAACCTAGAGGAGTCATGTCAACCCCCACCAATCGCACCAACAGCCCAGGAGTATACGCACGAAGTGGTTCGCGCGCCGAATGAGCACAAACCGTACGTCCCGTATCGGTATGCCCTTCGCTTTCGCGTCTTCCACCTCCCGCTTCAGCAGCATCGTCGCCCATAGGACCCCAGATATACTCCATTCGCCAGTCACGCATCGCACCTCCACGTCGCGCCACGCGCCTCCCCCGCCTTCCGGGAGGTACAGTGCGCATTTGCGCAGATACGCAAACAACCCAAGCTTCACACCCGAATGCACCAGGATCTCATCCGAGCCCCCCGGCGCACCGACGGAAGGGCACGTCATCGACGCAATCTCCTCTAGGGTGAGCGTCGATATCGTAGGCGGAGGGTTCTCGAGTGGGGTCTTCCCCTCGAGCGTGTCGGGCGTGCCGCCGTGGGGAAAGTACCCGCTCACCCACTTCATGAAGAGCGGCTGCCGGTCCTCTGGCGCGATCTTGGGGTCGAGTAACGGACTGTACAGCGCTGGCTCGCGGGGCGGATAGCCGAGTGCTAGGAAAGGTGAATCTATACGTGTCATGGGGGCGATGCTGAGTCCCGCTTCATAGATCTCAGCGGTGTACACTTACCGAAGATGACGACGCGTCGCATATAGTCACTCAGCCTGACCTCGTCCGCGGGGAAAGAAGTGACGTGCGCGAGGAATGCCGTCATCCAGCTACCGCCGAGCGACCACCCCGCGACAACGATCCCGCCCGTGTTCTTCGACCGGTCCGCCACCACCACATTGCCGCCCCGCACGAGCTCAACCAGCAGGTCGTGTACCTCGCGCGCGCGCTCCCTCATGAACGCCTTCATCTTCTCACCGGCCACAACCACCTGGGCGGCGTCTGCCCATTCCTCCGGTGAGAGCTCGGGGAGGAGTGCGCGGTCTTCCTCGATATACGGCTTGCTGCCGAGGTAGTCGCGACGATTCACGAGCACTATGCGCACGTTGTGCGGGTGCGCCAACGGTAGGAGCTTTGTGAAGATACCTGCCAAGATTTGGATTAGCTCACTCCTCGTTCGACATCATGATGTACTCACCACTGTGCCATGTGAAGCCATGCAATATGACAACGGTGGTGTAGTCCGTGCTCCCTGCCGGCCGGCCAGAGTCTTGGAGAACATGAAGCGGGCTGTTCAAGGTGAGTGTCATAGTGCTGTCGAACGAGAGGCTGAGCTGGCGATGGGTGCGAGGGTGGCTTCTAGCTTCCAAGACACCACATACCGGGGAACCTTGGGTGCGCGCCGCATCAAGCATCACCACTCCTCTTTTAAACTGACCCACGACGCCCACAATCCCCCCGGAACGGCAAATTGGCCTTCCGGTACCTCCAAAGACTTAGACGGAGTCCTGTTGAGCATCCCAGCTCGACGCCCGATCCTTCCGCTCCTGTCCGCTGCGAGCGGTTTCATCACAGGGTGAACAAATAGTCCACGGGCTCTCTACGCCCATCACCCCAAGGTATCCTCGGGTTTGGGTCATCGGAATGAGTAAGTGTGGAGGTGCGAGCACATGGACCACCGCGGAGAGCGAGGCCATCGCGTCCCACCCGACTCTACCTTCTTTTACCATCAACTTGACCGTGCATGGCCACCCCTTTCCGCTTGGCTTCTGCGGTGCAAGGGTGGACCCATGCGCATGATGATGGGCACGGCTGCAGCTCGTACCTATGACACTTCGAGCCGCGCGTCTTCAATTTGTCGTGTTCCCACGTAAGCTAAACTATGCTCGCTTCCGTCGGTGCTGACCTACTCATAATCGTCATTGTTACATGCGTCGTCTCGAGAACCCTTCGCGACTATTCGCTCGCACACCTAGGCTACAGATGCACACTATGTGTCTACGCAGAATCAGGACTCCTCGTGACACACAGAATATAGGGCCACCATCTGACGCACCGCAGACCTCCTCCATCGCTTCCACTCAAATCGACTCAAGCAGCCTTCTTGGCCAAGATCGTCTCTTCGATCTCCTTGCACACCGCGTTGAACGCCTTCCCGAGGTACTCAAAGTCCGACACCTGCCCACCCAAGCTACCGAGTCAACACTCGCAGCGAGCGGCATGATACCGGGGCGCACCTCGTTGAAGACCTGCGCGCTAGGACGCGTCCACCACGCGCCCGCGTGGAAGTAGTGCGCGCTGTACGTGTTGTGCTCGAGCAGGAGTTTGTCCTGGAACGCCTGCTCGATCTCCCCGAGCTGCGTGGGCGAGTAGATCTCGCCGTGCGCCTTCTCCACAGGTAGGGGAAGCTGCACATCCGTCTACAATGTTCCCAGGATGCAAGTCAGAAAACCGTAGGATGGAACCTAACAGGGAGATGAGGTGCAAACCATGTGGGCCGTGAGCTCGCCGCTCTCGTCGAGGACGCGCGTGCCCATGACCTCCGCAAGACGCTTCCCGCCGTCGAGCGCAAGCTGGTGGCAGTATGTGTCGATAGCCTTCTCGCCTCCAAGCCACTCCCGGAAGGCGACGGCTGGAGATGATATCGGTCAGCCTCATCTGCATGGGCTCAAACTAGTCAAGGGTGCTTACCTGCGGGAACAGATAAGTACGGTACTAGGTCCATCGTGCCCGTCCCTGCACGAGGTCATGGTCTGGTATTCAGAATGATAGAGGATGCGGCTCACATTCGTGCTGCTCCGCGAAAGCAGTGCCTTTCTCCCCCGCATCTGGGCTCCCAGGTGAGACGTATCCATGCGACGTCGGGACAGACGACTTGATGATATACTGGTTTCTGTAGGGCCATCAACATCGACTCCTCAAAGTAAATTCAGAACACATTCACGTACCGCTTGGGGGTGTAGAGCACGGCGCACCCCCGCTTCGCCCATAGCCATTTATGGCAGTTCGACAGCCAGAAGTCAGGCTTCGCTTCGCTCAAGTTAATCCCATACTACACGAACACTGTTTGTCAGTGGCCCTTCACGCCCACGCCCACGCCTGCGCCTTAGAATGACACACACCTCCTGGCCGAGGCTATGCGCAGCGTCGATGACTGTCCACACGCCCTCCTCACGCGCGATGCGTGCCATCTCCTTCCACGGCAGGAGCGCGCCTGGGACCGCAACAATCGCGTCAATCACCGCGACGATCTTGTTCCCTTGTCCCCGCGCCGTGGCGTCGTACCTCACGGATAGAGGCGGCACGTCGGTGAACGTGGTCCCGGAGTGCTGCTGCTTGACCTCGCGCAGCTTCGCACGGAAGCGTTCGAGGATCTCGGCATGGGTGAGCGGGAAGGTGTACGTGACGTCCGAGAAGGTCGGGCGTGGCTGCTCGGAGCGGTCCGCGAGGTAGCGAATCGTGCTCGAAACAGCGCCGTAGGCGGTCGTAGCTGCGGGGCGCGCTGGGTTAGGACGCGCTCTTAGGGCGGGTACGGCGGAAAGACGTACACCCGACGATAACGTCGCCTTCGCGCCACTCGAAGTTACGGAGGATCGTGTTCAGCGCGTGCGTCGCATTAGGGACGAAGACCACTTCGTCGAGCTCAGCCCCGATGAGCTTCGCTACAGTCTCGCTGAGAAATAACAGTAGATGAGCGATACGCTTGGATAGGGCACCGAAGCATGCTCACCGTGATTTGTCGAGCAGAGGCTTGTACAAGATCCGGCGGAACTTGTCCGGGTTACGCTCGATCTCGTACGACAGGCTCATCGCCGAATAAATGACGGGTAGTGGCGGAGTACCAAACGCACCCGCTTAAAGAATATGCGTCACTGTGCAGATGCCGTTATTACCATTGAAAGAGCCGCGTACTGTTGTTGAGGTTAACATAGTCCTCGTCGAAGGCAAAGTAGGGCTTGAGTGCGTGTCCGAACGGCGGCGGCTTTGACTTCGCGTCGTACGTCTCCCCGGGGCCTGGCCTCCGGTTAGGAATGGGCATCGTACTAGATGTTTAATAATATTATACTGTCAACGCTGCATTTGCAAAGACTCGCTTACAGTGTTTGATGTTGTGGTGGGTGAATACAGCTATAGGTACAAGAAAGCTCTTGTGGATGAACAGAGCGGCTGGTAGTGGCCGCACAAGACGCATCAGGTACCCTCAGTCCTCTTTCAAGCACGGGATCCACAACGTATACTCCCTCGGGCCGGAATATGGGCCTCTAAAATAGCCAAAGCGTTCCTTGGTGCCGCGTTGGATATACCCACTCAATACTCCGCCTCAAGATCCCTCGCCTCTCCGCCCGCTGCACACAGGCTCCCTGCATCTGCCGGCTCTTATCTCCGAGAACCTGAGGGTAGACTTCGAGCTAGAGTTATCGATACGAATGGGCGTGATCGTGTGCGCTCATAGACCACCACAGGGAGCGAGTCCTTCGCGCTTAGCCGTTTTCGCGTTCTTCCACCATCAAGGGATTCATACCCCCATGGCACTTCTTCGCACAACGCAAGGGTGGATAATTTGTGTGACCACGGGCGCGGCGAACCAATGACCGGGCATCATCACTTGACCATGCTAGAACGCTGTGGCATTGTTTCGATGTACTCGTACAAGCAGATTTCATATTTCACAGCCCGAGGTTGTAGACGTCCCTTGTGCATCTGCGCCAAGTCAGGACACCAGCGAAACATGAAAGATGGGGACTATGCCCGACACCTACGCACCTTCTATCACGCCTCTATGTCCCTTTCCAGTCAATCAGCCTTCGTCGCCAAGATCGTCTCCTTGATCTCCTGGCAGATAGTGTTGAACGCCTTGCCGAGGTACTCGAAGTCTGACACCTTCCAACCCGAGCCAGCAAGTCAGTAACCACCGTGCTCGCGCCCAGAACAATCGGAACGCACCTCGTTGAAGACCTGCGCACTGGAGCGCGTCCACCATCCGCCCGCGTGGAAGTAGTGTGCGCTGTACGTCTTGTGCTCGAGTAGGAGCTTGGTCTGGAGCGTGCGCTGGATCGCACCAAGCTGTGCGGGAGAGTAGATCTCACCGCGCGTCTTCTCGACGGGCAGCGGGAGCTGCACGTTCGGCTGCATTTTGTTTCGGTACAAGTCAGAAAGCGAGAACACGGGGCAAGCAGAACAGGGTGGTGCGCACCATGTGGACGGTGAGTTCGCCGCTTTCGTCGAGGACGCGAGTGCCCATGACCTCCGCAAGACGCTTCCCACCGTCGAGCGCGAGCTGATGGCAATATGCGTCGATGGTCTTCTCGCCCCCGAGCCACTCACGGAAGGCAACAGCTGGCATGAATCACAGCGGTTAGTCTTGCCAGCATGCTCTCACGCCAGTCAAGACTGGCTTACCATCGGTAACGGACAAGTACGGCACCAGATCCGTCGTCCCCGTCCCTACATTGTGAGGTTAGTCACCTGCACGTCTGCACATCGAAGGAAAGACGACGTACATTCGTGCTGCTCCGCAAACGCGGTCCCTTTCTCCTTCGCCTCCGGGGTCCCGGGCGAGATGTACTCGTGCGATGTCGGGATTGAGGACTTAATGATATACTGGTTCCTGTCGGGCCATCAGCACCTCCTCCCCAAGCCAAACGAACACAGCCACGAACCGCTTCGGGGTGTACAGCACCGCGCACCCCCGCTTCGCCCACAACCACTTGTGGCAGTTCGACAGCCAGAAGTCGGGCTTCGCCTCGCTCAAGTTGATGCCATACTCCTGGCCGATGCTGTGCGCGGCGTCGATGACGGTCCACACGCCCTCCTCACGCGCGATGGCCACCATCTCCTTCCACGGGAGGAGCGCGCCCGGGTTAGCGACAATCGCGTCGATGACTGCGACGATCTTGTTCCCCTTCCCGCGGGCAGCCTCGTCGTGCCCGGGCGACAGCGGTGGCACATCGGTGAAAGCGGCGCCCTGCTGCTTGACCTCGCGCAACTTCGCGCGGAAGCGCTCGAGGACCTCCGCGTGCGTGAGCGGGAAGGTATATGTGATGTCTGAGAAGGTCGGCCGCGGCTGCTCGGAGCGGTCAGCAAGGTAGTGGATTGTGTTCGCGACGGCGCCATAGGTCGTTGTGGCTGTGGGCACATTAGTCTGTTAGGGAGCGAAGATGCGAGTGCATGGGGAGACGAACATCCAACGATCACATCACCCTCGCGCCACTCAAAGTTGCGGAGAACAGTGTTTAACGCGTGAGTGGCATTGGGAACGAGGACCACTTCGTCCAGCTCCGCCCCGATGAGCTTCGCAACGGTGTGCCTAAGTGGTAAAGGTACATCAGCATTGCGCAAGAGCATTGATAGAGGGCAAGCTTACCGCGACTGGACGAGCAGAGGCTTGTAGTTGATGCGGTGGAACACGTCGGGGTTCCGCTCGATCTGGTACGACCGGTTCACCCCCGCATAGATGACGGGGAGCGGCGGCGTGCCGTATGAACCTGTTTGGCAGACATTCATCAGTGTGCATCCAACGCCAGTCAGAACGCTGCATACCGTTGTTGAGGTTCACATAGTCCTCGTCCAGGGCGAAGTACGGCTTGAGCGCGTGGCCGAACGGCGGAGGCTTCGAGCTCGCGTCGTACGTCTCCCCGGGGCCCGGCGTCAAGTTAGGAATGGGCATCCTAGATGTCTAATGATATCGCGATCAGCCTCGTTCAATCTATGACCTCGTAAGCCGGCCAGCCACTTACTACTTCGTGTGTTGGCGGTGGATGCAGCAAAAGGTACAAGAAAGCCGGTGCGAGCTAAAAGCAGTACGGTATTGAGAGGCCGCACCGTGGCGTCGATCGATTGAATCAGTGACTCCGCCGCGGATCGAATAGGTGGGCACCCCCATGAACTCACACGAGTACACAATCGCGCCTTAGGCAGGGAAGTGGGATGGCTGAAAGGATGGGAGATTGGCGTATACTCGCGCGCTACTTATACGCAGCGCGATGGGACCCCGTGCGTGACAGCGGCCAATTCGATCCCGCAATATCCGCTACCCGTTGACTCGAGTACACATGCGAATCCATGACTTGCGTAATGCCAAAAGTATGACTCCCTCACGCTGCGCCATGTTACCATAGAGGCTTACAAATATGTGGGAACCTCTCTGGTGGAAGGCTTCCAAAGTTCGCCCGAGAAACGAAGCACAAAACCGGGGATCATACCCGACGATACTAGTATATATGAGCGCCGCTCCCCAGTGAATGCTGCGTTTGCCCCTTGCTAGCCAACATGATATCATACCAGCGCGTGTATACTTCCGGCAATTAATGGCGCAGCTAAGCTGGAACACGTTGCGTCTGAAGGGTCTGCCCTATCTGCCCTGTAGTCTGTGAGCGCGCGGGAGGAGTCAGGGTCCGCCAACAACACCGTCTTGGCTAGTCGACCATGTGGTCAAGCGCAGAGTCATGCTTGATTGCGCAACGACGCCTTCACGTACCCTCATCACAAGTAGTATCGGTCGCCTTGCAGAACACACCCGACGTCAATGACAAACCCCCACGAGACAGCGGCGCACTCACCGATATGACCCATCCCTGGCTCGACCACCCACACCTTCCTGCCTTCTGCCTCTGCGTCAGCCTTCGTCTGCGCCGTCGACACCGTCTCCTCTTCCTCCTTCTCATGCTGCTTCGTCTCCTTCACGTGCGCCTCGGGCGCCGTAACATCCCACAACGCCCACGACTCCCTGAGGACGGGGTCGATCGCGCCACACACGATACGGACGCCCGGGAACGCGCGTTGCAACACCCGCACGCCGCCGCACGCGGCAACGATGAACGTCACGAAGATGATGTTCGCCTGTGGGACACCGTGGTCGAGCAGCACACGGATCGCCATGAACGCTGCGGCGCCCGTGCCGATCTGGAGCGGGAGAGTGGTGAGTCATGCGATAGGCGAAGAGAGCGGGGGAGGGCAGTGACGCACCTGCGCGTCGAGGAGGAAGACGAAGCTGTTCCGGGCAAGGTCGCGTTTGCGGATGCACACGGGGAGCATGGCGTGCAGCAGGAGCGGCTCGCCGGTGTGCACCTCGGACTGGATGAGCAGCGAGCCGATGCGGATGTCTTGGATGACGCGACGCAGGCCCTGTTCGAGCGGTCCTCCACTGCGAGGACGTCAGTACATAATGCAGGTGGATGGTGAGTTGGCGTAGCTTACGATCTCAGGATGGATATTCCACAGACGTGCTGAATGCTAGATTGGAACCCGTGAACCCGTGATGGGAAGGATAGTGTACATACGTCCACAGAAAGCGCCTTCCCGGCGTACGTTGAGTCGATAGGCGTAGTTATGCGTTTGTTCTTGAAGGGAAGGAACTCCATCGCCTTCTCACTAAGGTAGGTCGATAGTCGGTCTGTGAAGAAGATGAAGTCTTCGCGAGATGTTGACTTGTCACGCAGAATCGTGAAGATTCCCTGCATGAAGTTAGCATAGACGAAACGGAGAAACGTGCGCTAAGGCTTCACGAACTCGCAATTGCGGCGTATCTCGCAAGACAGTCAGATTGGGAAAGTCAAGAGCTGTAGGATCTCCTCCAGGGCTCAAGTCTCGGTGACCAATCCGTGTTAGCTGTTCTCGCAGATATCTTGAACGCTCTTCGATCTTGCGGCGAATGTGAGTAGCAATAAGCTCGATTGCAATGGTGTTCTCTGATCCCGGCACAATCTGTGTTTGCATATGGGTCAGTTGCTCAGCTTAAACCAGACGGAATGCGCGTACGATGTTGGCGAAGCGAGACGTGGGTTGTACGAAGTTATCGTATGCGGGCTTCACATAGCGCAAATACCTGGATCGGGGTCAGGGGGGACATCGTTGGTTTTTGATGCGCTACACTCACTGTTCCAGAACGCCGTCCACGCTGCGCCCTCGCTCCTTCACGTCTCGCCTGATGCGGCGAGCGAGCATAAGATCTGAATCGCATTGCACGAAGACCTTGGTTCGCCAAATGAGCGACCAGTGGAGAAACATGACAAGATCGTACCTTCAAATCGTATAGCGACCTTAGCTCTGCGTCGTGCAACGCAAGAATGCCCTCAACTGCTCTCCAATGAGATGAGCACATGTAAGATGGTCTTCCGAGGATGAAAGCCTCACCAATGATGATAGATGCGCCATATAGATACTTGGTCTCGTCAAGACGTTGGTGCTCTGTGAAGGAATATATGGGAATGTTCGTTTGTTTTCCCGCCTTCAAGTCTGCTAGGCACTATGGAAGAAGTGCCGAGGGTTATACTCCCATCCATATTCGAGACCTCGTTGTCTGGGCGGCAGAGCAGCAACATACCGAGGCAAACAATGGCATATCAATAGCGTCTGTCTTTCTGTAAGTAAACTGTCACCTCACCGAGCTGCGTAAGGACACGCACCTGGATGGTCGAAGTCATAGCGATTCGCAAACGCGAGTTTGAGGTCCTCTGGTGAGTGGCGTCGATAGAAACTGTCCTGTAGATACATTGGCATCGAAGTAAGGGTGCCCAGCGAATAAACGGACCTGAGACAAAATAACAACTGTAGGGATGGATCCAAGGGCTTGGACGATACATCTCGCTACATGCGTCTACGCACGTTCAGCGACGCAGGTAAGATAAAACGGTAAGAATCTCGAAGCACTGGACGCCGTTGAGCTGCAAACCTTGCCGCTCGCAGACCCACCTGTGAAGTGATTGATACGTGGATTGCAAGAGAAACAACGGAGTACTCACCTGCGATGCCTATCACGAACGCATCAGACAGATGGTTTCCATCTGCACCGTACCATGGTGGCCTCCCGTGGGACGTGAGGATTGTGTTCTTCTTTGCCTGGAGGAGTACCTCCGACCGCTCCCCGGGGCCCACGGTGCTCGTGACCGTCCTGGAGAGTGGGGGCCTGACCGCGACTGGTACCTCGAGCAGCTGAGCCTGCGCGGCCTTCTCGACAGTATCGGTGTTCTGCATGTCTCACAATACCCAAGAAAGACTCAAGATAGACAGAGCGTGGATGGGGAGATGGAGGTCGAGCTGAGACCGTGGAGCAGCATGAGAGGAGTGATCGTCTGTGGCTGAAGATGGATTATGGGCGCCTAACCTCGATCAGGCATCAGATCCAGATCTGCGTACTTCTCGGAGTCAGCTTGAGCAAATCCTCTGCACCCCATCTCTCATCCTCCCGCCATGTCTTGCGGAGACCCCGCCGCCGATGCGGACGCGTTGATGCAACGTAAGCCCAGCGCAAGGTTCAGCGCAGCCGAATCTGATTATCATGCTTCTCCAGGCCGAAAGAAGTATGATAAGACGAAGATTTGCGTAAAGTGCAAGATAGCCCAAGGGAACCTCGTCATCAGACACGCCGTCTATTGCAAGTTTGTCCTTCATCGCGTGCATGTCTACGCGCAAACGCTTATCTATTGCGTAACAGAGAGTGCTTCATCTCTCTCATAGTGCACAGGTTCCGCCGAGCACTCGAGCCGGCGGTGAACCCCAAGCCGGACGGTCCACGGCGAACAGCTTTGAAGCCTACAGGCAACCTGCTCGTCGGCTTCTCCGGAGGGCTCGGTTCCTCGGTACTTCTGGAGCTGGTGCATAGATGCTATGTTGCTCTGGACAAGACGACTATGCCCGCGGATGGAGGAAGCCATCACCCTCGGCACGAGCGGGTATGGAAGAAGGTCACTGTATGCTATGTTGAGGTGTGCGACGCCTTTCCCGGAGTGAGTGGCTTTCCCGGCGCAATGTCCAATATCAGACTGAAGTCACCGAAGTAGATGAAAGACAGGTCAGACGAGATCGCGCAGTCTGTGGCCCGTTACGACGACCTTGAATTCGTTTCCCTTCGAATACAAGACGCCTTCGATCCTTCGTGGTGGGAGAGGACAGGGGGAAAGCCATATCCCCCAGAGCTCGGTGTTACTCTTGGAGATGAAGGTGTGTCAGCTCACCTCTTTTACCGTTACGCTAAGCCGACTAATTATCTTTCTAGCACTCCTCCTTGGGTCTCTCTCGTCCGCTTCACCAGATCCTCTTACTTCCCTCCGCGCTTACCTCACCTCGCTCCCGACACCCACCGCCATAACCTCCACCATCCAGACCCTTACGCGCCTGCTACTGCTTCACTCTGCCCTCCAAACCAACTCCTCGCACCTCGTGCTTGGCACCTCCCTCACCTCCCTCGCCGTCTCGCTCATCTCCGGGGTCGCCCAAGGCGCCGGGTTCAACATCCGCGAGGAAACGCAGGAAGATTGGACACCCGACACCGTCCCTACTGCAGACCCTACACACCCTCGACCGACGCGCAAGGAGAAGGGAAAGAAGGCAACACAGGTTCCGGGAAAGAGAGCAGTGCGCATCGTGCGTCCGCTCAGGGACATCGGGATGAAAGAGTGCGCGGCGTGGGCATGGTGGGCGGGCGTACCCATCGTGGGTAAGGAGAAGTGGGGCTGGGCTGGTGCGAAGCCCGGGATCGGCACTCTTACCAAAGGTCTGTTCTCCCTCCTCTGTGCGCAGCGGGGTCCACTCGCTAATGCCTCTCTCAGCGTTCATCGTCGGCCTTGAGAAAGACTATCCGTCGACGGTGTCCACCATCGTCCGCACATGTGGCAAGCTCGCGCCTAAGGGCGAAGTCTCTGGGGCCTGCATCCTCTGCGGCAGGTGTGTGTCTATCATTCTACTGCCCTGTGCGATTAACTAAATACCACGTTATCACTCGCAGACCTGCACAGCGCGGTGTGCAGGAGTGGAAGGCCCGAATCTCCATTCGCTCGCGCCCACCACCGCCCTCCGACGGCTCGCCAGACGCCCCTGCAGGACCGCAGGCAGACGTCGAAGCGGATGCGCTTCTGCCGTCGCTCACGCCTTACCTATGTTATGCCTGCCATACAACGCTCACGAGCAGGAGTGCACGCCCGGTCCCTTCACCTTGGGCGGCCGTTGCCCCCTCGCCTGTCGCGCCCCTGCCGGTCTGGGCCGAGGCGCGGTTGTCTTCGGCGGCAGGAGGGGACGAGGAGATAGCGCATGCTCATGAGGAGGTCATGCAGACGAGGCGCGTAGGGCAGGACGAGATGAAGGACATTGTGCAGGAGTTTCTCCTAGACGACTGAATGTTTCTCGTGTCTGTACAGGTATCGCGGTGAAGTACCGTAAATGTATCCTTAGCTAGCAATGCATCCCTCAGCAACGTTGAATCATCACCAGTCACTCCAGTTGTATGTTGTGAGGACTATACGCGTCTCCCAGAGACCGCGCGCCTCTGATCATATATCTCCGCCAGTACTAGTATGTAAATAGGTACAGTCCGAAACTTGAGAGCCCGGCTAGTGCTACAACTCTAGAGTCTACGCTCGAGTCTACGTGGTCGTAAATGCAAATCGGTCTGGCGATGTGTGGTGGTATATGCAGTCAACTGTCTGTGGCGGGAAGGGAAGGGGGCAGATATCTACAGAACGAGGGGACGATGCGATTAGCGATGGTGTAGCGGAAGGCGGAAGATGGTCCATGTCCAAGTCCGTCCGGGGGTGCCGGGATGAGGTCTAGTAATGCACGAGTGGCCTCGCGGAGGCCTGTAGGCAGGTATATGCAGGTGGTCTAGTGACGATGTGGGATGAGGATGCTCAGAGGACGAGGGGTGCGGACTCGGTGCACACGGCAAGGTTCGTGGAGAAGTTCGAGCCTGGGTAGAACCAGAAAGTGACGGCGATCACAACGTAAAGGCCTGCGAATAGGCATCGCGTCAGTGCATCGACAAGCCCATATATCAGAAACGGACGTACAGACGAGGATCACGCCTTCTAGCCAGTTGGACTTTCCGTCGGCGACGACATATCCCATTGTGTGCACGGAAATGTACAACACCTAGCATAAAACGCCCTCAGAAAAGAGCGCAGGAGAACGTGTATGGGCTCAAGCGACTTACAACCGACTCGAAAGGGTCGAACAAGAGGGCGAGGGGTTTGTCGAGGATCCACCCAAGGATGACCATCGATGGAATAACGAACAAAGCCGTTTGCTATGATTATAAGACGACGGGTTAAGAAAATTGTGCGCGTGGTAAAGCCTACTTGTGCACGTACGATGGTGGAGCCGACGGCAACACTGATACTGAGGGTGAGCTGGTCCTTTACCGAAACGTTGATCGCAGTGACGCATTCTGGTATGACGGCAGTTAGACGCAACGCGCTGAGTGGAAACGAATGCAAGACCTACCGGCAATGGAGCTGACTGTAGGCAAGAGGATCAGCCCGATCCACTCCTTGCTGATAGTCGGCGACAAGTGATCCATAGTGTCAACCAGCCACTCAGCGTTCACCGCCACCAGCTACGCCCAACAACATCAGCATATACACACCCAAGTAAACACATGCTCACTCACCGCCGTGACGGACAGCAACAGGACAATGATCAGCGTCCAGCTCATCTCCTCCTCGGGCGGTGTCACCGACCGCCCCGGGGACGACTGCCACGGCGACGGCCCCGGCCGCCCCGAGATATCGACGTCCGCCATCTCCTTCCACTGCCCGCGGTGCTCCATCAGGTGCCCGTCCTGGTAGTACGCCGACAGCACCTCGCTCATCGGTGTCCGCGACCGCCCGCGCGCCTCCCGCCGCCGCCACCCGTCGTCGTCCGAGTCGAAAGACGAGTCCTCCCCGGAGCCGATGCGCGACAACGGACTGCTGGCGCGGGAGATGGGGTCTGACCACGAACTGTCTTGTCGCATGTGCTCGTGCTCGGACACGAGGCGCACGGTGGACTCCGCGGGCTGGGAGATGGGGTTCGAGAGCGTGACTTCTGACGTCGCCCCGTCCGGAGACACCAGCGTCGCCCGTGCGCCTGCGCTGCTTCCGCTACTGGACCGCGGCAGGTATGGGCCGCGACGCACGGAGCTCCGTTCATCATCGTCCAGTGTAGTCTCGGGGGCCTCGGCGACCGTTCCGATCTTCTCTGCGCTTCTCGCTGACTTCGACGGCTTGGAGTATCCTAGGGTGCGCATCGAATGGATCGAGGTACCCGAGCGGATCTTCCGGATGGCGTGAGTGTTGACCAACTGCTCGCGGACGTTGTTGCTCTTCTTGCGGACACGCGAGGTAACGGCGCGTACAGATTGAGCTGCGGGTAGCTTGGCGCTCGGCGCGATCCTGTCTTGGTACAGATGCGTGTGCGACCACAACTGGAACACGAGATAGGACACATAGACTGTAGATTGGTCAGCACTCTTAATCATCCCTAAAACTGCCGTCCGAGATGCGTACTGAAAAGGAGTACTACGGCTACCTGGAAGGACATTAGCGGAACCCTTCGAAATCGCGTAGCACCGACTTACGCCGTGGCTCATCCGAAGAATGTCGTCCTTCTGTTCTTTAAGAGAAGTGCCGGCCTCCTGTGCGCTATCCTCCGTGTTGTAGGTTAGAGCGAAATGGAAGGCGGCGGGCAACAAGACTGCTCCAACGCTGATACTGAGCAGCGAGGAGTGAATCTGGGTCGCAGCTATTATAGTAGGGCCTCAGCCACGATCGTAGGCAGCATGAGGGCATCACTTACTGGAATCGAATCCTTGCTCAGAGAACCGAGTACCACCCGCGAAGAAGCACATGCCGAGAATAAGTACTGAATGCAGAACCCAATCAGTTGTTTATTCCGGTGTGCGCGGTATGAATGGAACTCACGGAGCTTGCTGAGCATCGCGCCGATGACTTTTAATGACGTCAGTGAGGAAACTATGAACACGAGTGATAGACCAACGTGAGGACTGAACCACTCGGAGCTCGCACTTGCGCAACGCAATCACCTATCTCACAGTCAGATTGAGTGTGTTTGACGCTACAGCTGACTTACCGCGACGACCATCTCGATGCTGCGAAAGGTGTTAGTTCAGTTCATGCTCTTGGCGGGAAATTGAATCGTCGGTACGCACATGTTGCTCTGAATGATTTATTTTGAGATCAGCTAAGGATATGTTTCAGTTCTCACGGAGAATCCTTACCATGCTGGAATTTAGCAGGCCGGTTTTGCTTCCACCAATCCTGCGCGAGAGCACGCCTGTGGCGACATCATGCAGCTGTGAAGAGCGTTGATTAGTACATCTCAGAATAGAACATCCGGTGCAAGACGCGCCGCATTTGCAATGCCGTGGGCGTTGGAAGCAGGCCGAAGCCGCATACATGGAGCATAGAACTGACCTTGACAAGCGGTATCATGGACAACAGGCATGCTATTGGAGCGTCAGACACGCGCTCGGATATCGCGCAAAGTGGCGCCTACCCGTGAATACGAGGGTCTCTGAGTTATCAGATGTCGCCTTCAGAATGCCCTGCACGTTCAATTCGAGTCAGTTCAAATGAATCGCGTGAAACACCTCCACAAGTTGCGCCATACTTACCGCAACCGGAATCAGCAAAATCAGGAGATTAAGCCCTAGAATGCTTCCGTTAGATTCCGAAATAGACAGAAGCGAACGCTCATACAGGAGTCAAAGATAATGAGACGCCAGCCGTGCCACGCCTTGAGACGGGTTGCCTTCGCGCCGCCGCCCTTGTCGCAGAGCTTGTCGGGATGTTGAGCCTCGAGGTTCGGGTGGTTCTCGCCGCTGTGCTTCCAGCCGTAGAAGAGCCTGTGTGCGATGGATTCCCTAGTCTTCCTCTGCGGCGGCTCGTGATTCGGGTTGAGAGCGGCGGTCGAGTTGTAGGACGCGGTGGAAGCCCGCGAGGATGCGCGCGAGATCACAGGGAGCGGGAGCGGGCGGAGATAGTTTTCGTCCGAAGACGACGGAGATACGCCATGGGGGTAGTGCGCGAGGGGTTCCCGGGTGGCCGAGTGGGAGAGCATACGAGGTAGTGTGCGGGGGCGGCCAAGAGCTGGAGGCGTAGCCTGGCGGGTAGGTATATGCGGTCGAAGGAGTGTGGGGGAGGTCACCGGGGACCGTGGTGGTTCTGGTCAAGCTGCTGCGGGCGGCCATAGCGAGAAGCAGTTGGGATGTTTCAAGCCTGCAGCCGTCCCACTTGCGAAGCTAAACGAGTCGCGCGTAATTTTAGCAGTCATGACGGCTTCGATTCAACCTCCCCGCCTGCCTTTTCGGGCCCAGCACAGCGCTAGAAGCCCAACGTCATCACGCCGTCCCGCTCCCGAGCTCCCGGTCACAGCGGGTGATTTCGTGACTGCCTGTGACTGCCCAGCGTCGTGACCCGGCTCGTCACGCACACCATCATCGTCCCGACGTCGCCCTTTGCTCGTTGCAGTCTCCCAAAAACCATGTTCTCCGCCGCCCTCCGCCCCGCCGCCCTCGTCGCCCGCCGCGCCGTCTTCAAGCCCGCCCGCGCGGCCGTCTCCGCGCGTGCGCTCTCCGTCTCCGCGGCGCGTCGCTCGGAGCACCCCACCCCTCAAATCTTCGGCGAGGGCGCGAAGCCGGGTGAGACCCCCACCGACGAGAAGCAGGCCACCGGTCTCGAGCGTCTTCAGCTGCTCGGTGCTATCGAGGGCGTTGAGGTCTTCGACCTTGCCCCTCTGGACTCGTCCCGCATTGGCACCCTCGCCGACCCTATCAAGGTCTACTCTCTGGTAAGATACGCCGCATGTACAGCTGGTGGTGAATTCGTGGTCTGAACGCGTCGCAGGAACCCGAGCGTATCATCGGTTGCACTGGCAGCCCCGCTGAGTCGCATGAGCTCCTCTGGATGAACCTCAACAAGGAGAAGAACCGTCGCTGCCCTGAGTGCGGCTCTGGTACGCCTCCTTTCCTACTCTCCCGCGTCCTCCTATTGAGCAGTATCTCATCCCCTCAGTCTACGCCCTCGACTACCAGGGGTCTGCGGAGCACGGCCACGCGCACCACTAAGTGCTTCCCCGCATGTTTTGCCACGTTGTATACAACCGGCAAGCCCGCGGACAAATCCAATCCCTGTTTCCCTCGTAGAGCAATTACAGTCTCTCTAATGCTGGACGATAATTGTGCAATGGCTGCTACCCTTGCCACCGTGCTGCTCGTTGCTCGCTCGCCTCCGCAAGCAGCCTCCTGACAGGGCGCGTTCCAGACTAGGCCGAGGCCAGCCGACACCGTCCCGCCCCGCACCCAGACATATCCAGGCTCTTGCGCCTATCATAATGCAAGCCCTCGGACCGCCAAATTCCAATGCCATATGTAAAACACACATACACATGACACAACGCCGCCAATGCACTCTGAGCTTTTGAGGTGTGTCGAACCCATCGTCTAACGCATCTGCACACAGTAGATCACACGTGGCTGCGCGAAGAAGAGTAACCTCTCTGTCCAGACAGCCGTCTTTCGCTCTCCATCTCACCCCATATGCAAGAGCTCGCTGCGCGATAGCGAACGCGAAGGCAACCCTGCGTTATGCAACCGTCGACGAGCATGCGGCTTTTCCGAACATTCCCGCTCTGGGCGTCTAGCTTTCACATAAGCGCCGTGGCACGTTCTGGCCCGCCGTACATCCAATCATGGTGGGCATGTTACAGCCATGCAGGAATAATGGCCAGCCACCGGGGGAAGCTTGTAGTCAGTCATGCTCACTTCAATTCCATCGAAGTACCCTTACGAGAGTCGTTCGAGAAAGTCACCATGAAGTTTAAGGAAAGCATGAGAGGTGTGTGAATGCCCATACATCGTGGCATAGACATTTTTGCTGAGACGAATTCAAGGGCATATTTCTAGGTATGCAAAGCTTGTGTACAGCATGGCACGCATATACATACCGCCTCTCGGTGACCTCGGGCGTTCTTTCATTGCCGCTACGCAAGTCCGGGATATTCGCAAGACGCTCGTTCCATTTAGGAGGGGGATGCAGTACGCTCAACGCATCGTTCCCACCGCCACTCAACGTCTCGCCCTAACGGTGGTCGGTCCCAGAGGTTCGCGAACAGCCGACAATGACAATGTGGAAACCGTGCGTAGAGAAACTGCGCTCAGTCCGAGTTCGTTGAATGCTACAGTCGAGCCGACGCAGTGCATCGCGCGCGGATATACAGCGTCTCGGAGACCTCGGGGCCATCGGGGTATGTATACTATGACATGGGATGATCATGGGTGAGGTCTAACTGCGCTTACTCGAGCTCACCTGGCATCTGCAGTACACGCTTCAACCAGGCAGATCCTTCGCTAAGATCGCCGGCGTCGCCGACGTGCGTCAGTCCCAAGCTCGTCTGAAAACAAGAACGTCGACCTCGTTGCCGCTCCAACCTCGAGGCCTGTATTCTCCTCACAAACGTCGCACAAAGATACGCTTGGCGGCCGCCTTGTGGGACCTCCGTGCTAGATATCTTCACACACTGTGGGGCAGCGTAGCTCGCGTCAAGCTTCGCTCACCGAAGAGAGCTCGTGGGTGGGACGACGAACAAGACAGGAGATGCGGGGAGGTGCGTTGCGGCACTTTCGAAATCTAACACTTGATAAGGAACCCACAGAAGTTCAACTCGTGCGCTCCCGCGGCCTTTGTTGTTTTAATTTAGAACAGAAGAAGACCACGACGCTCGCCGGGCCGCCATATCGCTGCGCCGCGGGCGTAGCATCTCGTAGCACGCGCACCACAACGGCGTCGACCAGGGACCATCACGGGCCCGCCGCAACGAACAAGACAGGAAATGGCTGGGGGCGGCCCTGTGTGGCTGGAGGAACCGTTCCTTACGGCCTTGGTGCCTGGGCCGCGCCGGGGGTGTTAATTATACCTTCGCCCGCCGTTCCTCGAACGCGCGCCCTTCTGGAAGGCGGGAGAGGGCGAGCCTGCCATGGCCGGCTTTTACGAACTCGAGGCTCCGAGCTCGGACCACGCTCAAGCCTCACCCGCATGATGACGGCACTGCCGGCAATGTTATCTCCTGCAGAGCAAAACGCCTATGCTCCGCGCCAAGGCCGCGTTGCGAGGGCATGCCTTCGGTGGCGTGCACCTCCAATTGACCTGCTTGAACCCCGTCGTATGATGCTTGCGGCGTCCCCATGGGGCTCGCTCGCTCGGCGCCGCGCGGGTCTTCGTGCAATCTTTCATTTTGTTGGACGCTCGGAGTAACTGACCGCGCACTGTCAAGACACACCGCGATGGTCTCGGAAGGATGGGTCTGTGTGGGAGAAGCCGGCGGATGGCAGACTCTGGGTGGCAACGGGCGAGTCGCGGTGGCAACAGCGCTCTTGCTCTGAGCGGGCCGGGCGGCAGCCGCGTTCGATCGACGGTTCTGTTTGATCGCGCGGATATTGCGTCCCACCCGCGGCGAGAGCTCTCAAACAGCCATCCTATGCGAGAACAATGTCTGTGAGAGCCACGCCAGCGGCCTCAATATGTCCTTCGGACAAGCTGGAAATTCGCTCAAGGACAGCGGGCCTCTCGGACTGCACACCCACGTTCTCTTGCTTGCTGGTGAGCATGCCGATGCTCGTACGCCGGGACTGGGTGATCTTCCGGATAATTACAGATGGGGGCTGCCGATGGGCCCTGGCCATCAGGAACGAACGGCCGCACTCTGGGCTGGGTGCGGACCTTGACGTGTGTCGCCAGGCAACGCGAGCTCGATCCTACACACCTTCCGCGTTCGGCGTGCCATGCATGACCCACACGGCCCATTCGCTCGCCCTCCACGGTAATTTAGCAGCGAACCCCCCGGGTCACGGTTGCCGGCTATGGGACCCCAATCTGATCGTGACACATGCGCCAGCCAGCACGAGTCCCCGGCGGGATAAAAAGGCGAGGGCGCGCGGTCGTCGCCCTCACCTCTTTCTCCCCCCCTCCCTCCCGCTCTCTTTCCTTCAAGACCTTGACTGGTTCGTTGAACGGCCCCTTTCTGCCTTCTTCTCGAGACCAGGTGTCATTCCACTTTCTCGTCGGTGCCATCTAGTGCAGCCCGCTTGCTTCCCCTCGTTTGAGCAACATCGTCCACCTGCTAGTCTCGTTCTTTAATCGCTAGTCGACCATGATGTTCTCCAAGTCTCAAGCCGCCTTCGTCGCCCTCTCCATCTTCGCCGCCTCCGAGCAGGCCTTCGCGCGCTACCTCGTCCTGGAGCGCGATGGACGGGCCCTCAACTCCCGTTCGTTCGGCCACGAAAACCCGGCCGTGATCCAGAAGCTCGGTGCCGCGTGCCCTGGGCAGGTCTGCGGGAACCTCTCCGGTGCCGCGATCACGCCCCTCCTCGCCGCGCAGCCCGAGTGCTCGCAACAGGACATGGCCGACCAGATCATCGACGCGGCTCAGCAGTTCGACGACGCCACCAAGGCGAACATGATCGCGCTCGCCATCGAGTACCGCCAGGCGGAGAAGAACACGCCTCCCGTAAGTGCTTGATCCGCGCGCCCCCAAACCCTCCCGCGCGCTTCTAATGACGCGTCGCTTCGCCTATGCAGGACTTCACGACGAACCCGCCCACGCAGCGCAACTCCGTCTTCTGCCAGAAGGCGCCCAAGAACGCGGAGCTCAACGGCTTGGTCCAGGCCCAGGACCCTGCGAACGACCCTAATGTCTTCTTCGACCCTGCCACCGGCAAGTCTGTCCAGAAGGGCTCGCAGGCCAACACCTCGCCCTTCGGTGGTGCCGCCGCGTCGGGCAGCTCCGCGTCCTCGGCTTCTGCCTCCTCTGGTAACAACCTCGCGGTTGCGACCAGCGCCGCCGCCTCGAGCGCCGCCACTACTCCCTGCGAGGTACGCGTTATTCAGTTGTCATAGTGTCGAGCGATCATCGCTGACGCCCAAAATCCAGACCGTGGTCACCGTCACCGTGACTGCCTCCGCTGCTGCTGCTACCTCCACCGCCGCCGCTGCCACTGCTGCCGCGAGCTCCGACATCGGTGACTTCGGTTCGTGCTCCATCCCCCAGATCGAGTTCGCCACCGGCTTCGACAACCGCAAGGAGACCAGCTTCCAGCCCGTTGACAAGAGTGCGTAATGTTTTCCCTCGCCTTGGTCCGCGACCGTTTACTGACGGATGTCGTCCCTCAGCCTCCTTCAACCACGGCTCCGCGCAGAACATCGACATCATCACGCAGTTCATCTGTGATACGCTCACCAACTCGTGCGGCGCCGACGCGACCGCAAAGGCGACGTGCCAGACCGCGCGCACCGCGGCTGACACCGTGACGGCGAAGACGGGTGGCCAGGCGGACGCGTTCAACGCGGTGTTCGGTATCCAGACCGACTTCGCCGCTGTCACCGCCGTCGACGACCAGGGCCGCGCAATCGCAGGCACCGGCTCCGCGACCGCCTCTAGCAGCAGCAGCGCCGCGGCCGCCTCAGCCTCCACTGCCAGCTCCTCCAACGCGTCCAGCGGCTCCGCTGCGGCCAGCTCCGGCGGCATTGGCGACTTCGGCTCGTGCTCGGTCCCCCAGATTGAGTTCGCGACTGGCTTCGACAACCGCAAGGAGACGAGCTTCCAGCCCGTCGACAAGACGTCGTTCAACCACGGCTCGGCGCAGAACATCGACATCATCACCCAGTTCATCTGCGACACCCTGACGAACAGCTGTGGTGCCGATGCGACCGCCAAGGCGACCTGCCAGACTGCCCGCTCCGCCGCCGACACCGTGACCGCTAAGACCGGTGGCCAGGCCGACGCGTTCAACGCCGTCTTCGGTATCCAGACCGACTTCGCCGCCGTCACCGCCGTCGACGACCAGGGCAACGCCATCGCTGGCACTGGGTCGGGCTCTGCCGCTGCCGCCACGTCTGCTGCCGCCGCGACCACCGCTGCTGCGACCAAGGCCGCTGCGACGTCCACCTCCGCTGCTGCCGCCGCTGCGACCTCTGCGGCGGCTGCGTCGACTGCGGGCAACCTCCAGAAGTTCACTGGTGCGCTCGGCGGCGTGACGCCCCCGACGGTCACCGCGAACGCGGACGGCTCGTTCCAGGTCACGGGCAACTCGTCGTTCAAGGATCTCAAGAGCGCGACGACGCGCTCGTGCGACGTGCAGCACAACCAGTGCGCCAACGCCGCGAACGCATCTGGGAACAAGGGCGACCTCACCGTCTCCGCGTGCGGCACCCAGCAGACGCAGTGCGAGGCCGCCAACTAGGCGTGTCCTCTCACTCCCCCCGCTCTCCCCCCTCCCCTAGAGCCGGGGCGTCCTGCTATACCCCTTGCGAGCCGAGGGCGCTCCCTCTCCCCCTCCCATCACGACATGAGACTTGACACCAAACACGATCCCGAGGGTCGCTAGCTACCGTACACCCACCCCGTAGCCCGGGCGTGCGCTGCTGCTTTTAGTACTACTCTACTTTCTTTTCTGCCGCGTTACTTTTTTTTTGCGCGCGCCGTAGCACGTACTCGATGCACCTGCTCGACTTTGTACTTGACACTCCTTACCTACCGGTCTTCAGAAAGAGGCATACCCCAAAACAAACCATATCTTGTGTGCGTGTGATAGACACAAGGCAGACTGACGAAGTGTCAACAGTGCAAGTTATCGAGTCCTCAAGATATTTGGTCCGGCTTCTTGATTTCATTGAGCCACAGCACTGCATCGGTACTCGACGTGTGTGTCTATGGACCATGACATATTGAGTAGAATGTGCTCCTGTCTTTCCGCAAACTCCCGTTCGGTAGACGGTCTGCCTGTCGGCCGTAGTCGCCCTTCGGCCTTGGGGCGGCGTCCTTGGGATAATCCCACCGGTACCCCACGAGATCAAAGTTCGACGTTCAACGCCCCCGGATCTCTCAGGGTAACATGGAGATTAGCTCCTGATTTCGACACCGGTGCGACGTGTACAACTGCGGTACGACGTAAACCTCCGAGAAAGATGCGTTCAAGCGTTTGCGTGGTCAAACCAGGCACGATATGTAGACCTGCATCACCGCAACGGTCGGGTTGATTCGAATCCGCAGGCGTTCGCGATCGTGTTGGAGTCTGAGACGGTAGATGCTGATGCTGGCCTGCAGTGGCTATCTACTCGGAACTCGGACCATACGGAAGATAACCACTGAGGGTGCCTGCATCGTGCGCTCATGCTGCAGATGGAACTGTAGTACGTGGCCCACTACATTGCAAGCAACCTGAAAACTAATTAGCTGCGTGCGCTGCGGGTTTGTCAAGGAACCTACTAGCCGTTGAATGGGCTGCGAGCTCGAGGATCTGCGGCACAGGTGAGAAATTGGGGGACCTGCGGAAGACATCGCGCCGGAGGTCTACTCAGGAATGATGTTCGCAACTCAATCATAGTACCGGTGATTAGCAAGTGACGGACCGCTGAAAAAAAGTGACGGACCGAGAGCAGAATGAGCAACACGAGAGAGGGCCTACTGCACTCACGGAGTTAAGTGGCAAAGCAAGCTCGAGGATGCTGATCCTCTGCGCAAGCGGCGTCAGTGCGCAAAGCATCCTACCGTTGGGTTGACGTTGAGAGGCGGGTGGTGTATGCTATTCACGAGTGACTGTACGTAACTACAAACAGATCCTACTGGTACAAGCAAATAAACTATAGTCGACAGCCCAGAGCGAAAGCAAAACGAGGGTGCACTCTAAACCAAAAACTAAGGCGCGACACTCCGCCCGGGATGTACGGTAAGATCGTCCCCTCCCCTCCCCTGCTCTCCCGGTTGCCTATGTACATCTGTACCGGGCACCCCCTACCCCGAAGATCCGCCATCTACAGCGGCAGCGGTCCGTTGGGCCTCCTTCGCTTGCGCAGCTTCCTCCTTCGCCCGCGCCGCCTCCGCCTTCGCGCGCTCTGCATCCCGCTTCGCCCGCGCGGCGACACGCTCCGCCTCCCAGCGCTCGAGCTCCGCCTTGAGCTTCGTGACGCGCACCTCGTGCACGGGGTGCGTCTCGCCCATCCATCTGCGCGGGAGCGAGAGACCCTGTGCTTCGACCGCGTCGGCCTCGGCGCGGGCGGGCGAGCACTCCGCCGTCTTTGGGGTTTCGTGGCGGGCTTCCCAGAAGCGGGCTGCCTCGCGCGGGTCGAAGCCCGCGTGGGCGAGTATCCTGGTCAAAAAGAATTAGCGGAAGAATGGAGTGGGACGAAGTGATTGACGCACCTTGCGGAGACGACGTCCGCTTCGATCTCTTGCTTCTGGCTGGTACAGTACTCGGACAGCTGCGAGAACTCGCCTGCGCTGGCCTTGCCCACACCGGCTAGGGCATCGTTGATGAACGGCCCAACTGTAGCGGCCTGTAAGCGACGCATATATGCAGTTAGGACAAGAGGAACTCACATAGCATCGTTACCGGAAAGAGGAATGCACGGACGGCGTCCGTCACGATCGAGAGCACGCTGGGCCACACGATAGACCCCGACGAAAGCGTCTCGATATGGTGCGAAAGCACCAGATGCGCAAGCTCGTGCGCAAGGAGCGTCGCCAGCTCCGCCGTCTGCTCCTCCGTCGGCACAGGGTGCGGCGGCGCCCTCGGCCCCAGCCCAAACAACTGTGATAGCCACGACTGCGGTTCTGATTGCAGCGCTGGGGCTTGATTCCGCGACAACACCTCGTCGAGGAACCCAGAGAACACGACGATCCCGCCTCCCCCGTCTGGCCCGAAGCCGTACGAGAACGCGTTGCTCGATTCCGGCTTATCAATAACAAGCAGCGAGTATGGCGGGCCCGCGATAACGTGCGGTAGGGGAGAAACCGTGCGCGCGCACGTCATCTCCGCGAGGCGGCGCAGATACTCGCTCCCGCGCGGACGCGGGCGCAGGGGGTACTCCGCGGGCGGGGGGAGGGGGATGTCGTCCGGGCCGCAGTCGATCCAGTGGCCGCACAGCTCGTCTTCGTGCTGCAGCACGGGGATCGCGCCCTCGAGCCGGCGCAGCGTGTCCCGTATCCAGTTGAGGCGCCAGTCGCTGGGGGGGATGATGCTGGGCGCGCCGTCGACGGAGAGGATCTCGCCCACGGCACGGTACCAGCCCGGACCTGCGAGCTGATTGGCGATGTCCTCCTCTTCCTCTGGGGATAGAAGGATGATCCTCCACCTGTCAGGGAGATGGGGCATCAGGCGCGCGCTCCGCGGGGACGGGGGCCCGGGAACCACCTACTCACCTGCCCGTTAGTGGGGTGCGCTCCAGGCTGGCGATAATGGTGGCCCAGAAGATGATGATGGGGACGAAGATGAGGATGTGGAAGAGCACGGTGTTGCGGCGGATTTTGCCCAGCATCTCCTCCCGCTTCTCGACGAGCTCGGGTATCTTGTGTTCGTCCGCGACCTTTATGAGCTTCTTCGAGCGCAGGTTACCGAGCAGGAGGATGGGCACGAATGTGAGCCCTATTCGGGCAGCCATCCGCGCGACTTCGAGGGCGGTGGAGGTCTTGAGGTCAGGGAAGCATACAGGAGGTCAGTTCTGGGCTCAGACCGCACGGTGTTAGGATGGCGCAGTGCTCACTTTAAGCAGCCCGGCGAGGAGGGGTAGAGGACTGAGTTCATTTCTTCGTGTCGAGTGGAAGGTTCGCGCGGTGCCCAACGCTAGTAAAGGAGTGAGACCTAGTGTTCGGCCAGAGGGTGTGGTCCGCGGGAGTAGTAGCGTGTCAAAGCCCCGACCAGCAAGGAGTGATGTCCGTGTCGTTCGGGGTAAGCCATGTATTGTGGGATGTGATGCAATAGCGCGACGACGAGCAGAGGGAGGAGGTCTTAGGACGAGCGAGGGGGTATAGGAGCTGGTAGAGGCGTGCCTAGCCCATTCTGGCAGACAAAGAGGAGACGAGGCGCGGGGAGCGGGAGGATGTGTCGCGCGTAGAACAGACCGCAACATCGTACATTGTAGAGCGCATGCAAGGCGGGACGAGCGTAGAAGAGCGCGTATTGCCCCTGGCGGACCCGATGGGCGGGGACGAGAGCATCGCTGCCCACTCGATCTCCGACTCATCCTGCCAGATAGACGCGCCAGCCAGTGCTGTGTCCGGCATCCCGATTACCTCAGCCGCTCGCGTAACGCCCTCCGCTCCGGCCGCTCGGCTATTGCTCACAAATAGCACACAGAGTCTCGCATGCAGCCTCCACGTCGTGCTTTGCAGCGAGCGTACAATACACCGTGAAACTAGAGGAGGCTGGTGGAGATGCCGGCGGGGGCGGCCGCTGGGAAGGGCCGTGGGACCTGACGATAGCGCCCGAGGCAGCTGGCCATCAGACAGAATACGAATATTACAGTGGAGCATCCCACCAGGTGTGTCTCACGGCGGACAAGGTGCGGAAGCAACCGCGTGTTATAGCCTGAAAAACCGTGCGATAGGCTTGCGATAGTTAAACGTTTTGACAAAAATAAGGCTTTGTCTGCCGTGTCTGGCCACCAGCCGATTGCTGTCGTAGTCTTACCAGGGAGAGAGCTTCAAGATGACCGCTTGGGGCCGCCGCACCAATAACGAGACTAGCGTATCTCAGAGGCGGGGCGAGAATACTTATATATGAATCGGGGCGCACAAACAGCTACCAACCGCGCGTACCAGAAGCGATGGCGTGGAGAGACAGGAACGTACGGGCGGGCTAGGCTCGTAAACCAGCCTCACGTTCGGGGTGGAAGACACTCGTTCCTCCCCGGGCGGGCAGGCAGACGCTGGGAATCCCCTAAGGGCGCGCGGCGAAGAGAAAATGTCGGAGGGAGCTGCGCGACAAGGCGCGATGCGCGGGGCGGCTGGCCAGGCGACTGCTCACCTGGTGGCAAGCTGGCTGTTATTGGCGTAATAAGGCGATAGGCGGGGCGCGGAGAGATGGGCGCGCAGGTGGTACGGACGTGAGAATCTCAGCTGCTGGTAGCGCAACACAGGAAATTTGGCGGTGTACTGTACATTAATCGAATCCAAGCGTTGTCTGGTATACACTCACGAGATGAACGTCGCCTCATTGTACATCGTGCCCGCGACCTCCACCTGATCAGACACATCCGGGATGATCCCAGCAGGGAGATTGACGTGAAGCGTCGAGGGGTTCTGCCACTGCGATCAAATGATCGTCAGCGTGCATGTTAATGAACCATTTGGGGGGACATACCTGGTAGATGTATGGCTTCGTGCCCGCGACATAGTTCACCATCGTCTTGATCACGTACGGGATCTCCGCCAGCACGTCGACCTTCTCGACGAGGCCGCTGTACGCATCAGGCGTCCCAAGGTCGACCGTCGCGGTCGCATCCAGAGTGCCCTGCGCGTCGGACAGGATAGACGGCGCAGCCCAGCGGAACGTCACCTCCGTCGGCGCCTCGTATCCAGTGTCCACATCGTGCGCCTTCTTCGAGTGGATTATCCGCGAGATGATGCCGCCGCTCGGAGCGTACTCCTCATCAGGCCATTTCGTCTCCGCCGTGACGGTCGCGAGCTTCCCGCCAAGCACGAGCCCACCGACGCTGACAGTCACGAAGCCCGAGCCGTTGCCCTTGCGGCCGTACGCCTCCGTGGTCGTGAAGTCCATCTGGACCGCGGACACGCCTCCGTGCTGCTCGCTGTGGAAGAGCGCGAAGTTCCATCGCGCCGCGACGAGGTTGGGGCGCATGCCCTGGATCGCGTGCACGAACATGCCCGGGCCCTTGACGCTGATCGCCTGGCCCTTGTGCACGATCATGCCCGTCGCCTGCGTGCGCGGCCAGAAGCGGTGGACCACGTACCCCTCTGCGCTCTTCGGGTCGGGGCCGAAGTACGAGAAGCCGCCGTTCGGGCCTGCACCGACCTTGAAGCCAGGGGCGGACGCGGCGCGCGCGATGTCGAGCGTGATCTGCAGATCGTCGCCGAGGTTCGCGGTGAGCACGTACGATTCAGGCGTGTCCGAGCCCGGCTTCGGCTTGTACGTGATGGAGAACTCGTCCGCCTTGCTCGACCGCTTGTCGAGCCCGGGCGGGGGCGTCACAAAGTTGGAGACGTTGACCGATTTCCAGGTGCGCTCCTTCGTGTTCGGGTTGAAGATCTTGCAGGTGAACTGGATCGTCGGGTACCACACGCTGCAGGAGCCAGTCAGGCGTCAGCGATTCCGTGACATCAATGCAGCACTCACCCGACCGAGGAGTGGATAACCTGGCACATCAACGAGGTCCCGTCCTCCAGGAAATGATAGAAGGTCTGCGTCTCAACCGCGAAGCCGCCCGGGCATGCCCACTCCGTGTCCTTCGGCTCTAGCTCGCCAAAGAGCTCCTCGGGCTTGTACGCCGACGAGACGGGGTGGAAGTTGGGCGCATCGGGGTCGACAGGGGGCGCGGTGCTACGGAAATGTGAGGAATGTCACGCATGCGGATGCAGGCGCGACTCACGAGAAAAAGGAGGAGAACATGGTGGTTGCGAGTCGAGCGGGTGCCGCGACTCTCCGTTGTGGCCTCCGTTGCTTATAGTATTACGCTTGCCGACTCACGTAATAAGCTAATGACTACTAACTCTCCCGATATGGTAATCCATACAAGGTTTGCTCCGTGCCACCACGACCACTTCCCAGTTGATCGCAGGTAAGGGCGATTCCTGCGCAGACCGCAGAGTGTGAGGGTTATAGATTCCTGCGGAATTGAGTCAAGAGGTACGGGGACCGCCCGCAGCCTGATCAGCTCATTCAGAACACGTTGCTCATCCTGAATCCTTCAGGACGCCACGCCTGCGACACGAGTGCTCAATGCGGGTTACAGATATTCTTCACGTGTTTGTTCCGACATAGTGCGCCGGCAACATCTGCTTTCCCCGGCTATATGATGTCCAGGTGGTCGAGACTATGGAAGATGTCGAGTGCTGCCGATAGCACCATCGGCGGGCAGAGGTACGCCCCGTGGCTCGTTGGAGGCCATTTCCAGAGCGAGAGTAGATCAGATTTCATTCATGACGAGTCTGATATCATATCCCTTCAGAACCCTGGAAGGCCTGCACGCGCCTTCAACTTCATCGGCTCCCATTGGCAATCGCGCAAGCTCGCCCCATCTCGTTCCGAGTCGTCCTCGCCCTGCTGGTGGCCCGGCGCGCGGCGATACACCTCCTTCACGCCGAACTCGTCCTCATCCTCGTACGCGACGCTCGAACTGTGCTGGATCGCCACGACGACGGGCTGCTTGGACGCCGCGGTTGTCGTGACGCGCGAGATACTGGAGAGGCGCGGCAGCGTGACGTGCCCGATGCACTCTGCCTGTATGCGCAGGCTCTCTCGCGCGTTCAGCGTAGCCAGGAGGGAGACGGAGTATACTGCCGTAGTGGGACAGGGTGAGCTGCTGCACGCTGGGTATGCGTGGAGGGCGCGACTTACGGCGGGCGCCGATATAGTAGAACATCACGTAGACAGATGTCGTGGGCATGATGATGACCTGCAGCGAACACGTTAGGACCGACCCAAGCGTGCGTATTCCAAGGGGTACTCACGGTGATCAACGATACCACCGCGAAGAAGCTACATGCACCAGCATTAACGTAAATTCCGTCAATATCGAAGCTTACTTGCCTGGTGAGCGCCCCCGTATTGATCGTGTATAGGACCTGTGGAATATCAATCTCAGCACCGTGGCGGAGCGCGGTGACATGTTAATGAGCTTGTACCAGCTTGTTGATGAGCCGATTGGCGCTGCGAGGCATGATAGAACGTCACGATATCGGTTACGCTGACGTTGGAGGGAAGCTCACCCTACGGAACCCGTGCGGGACAAGGCGAGGAGCGTGAAGAGCGTCGCAGATAATAGGACATCGGTTGAAGCCGTGACCGAGCTGAGAGCGATGTCAAAATTCTGCGACAGGACCCGGATTGTCAGAATTTCCGCCGAATATGCTGGACGAGGTACACACTGTGAGCCCTATGAAGTCGATTACGTTCTTCGTCGTGAGGCTATGAACATATGGGATGAGCGTTTCGTACTTTGAACGAAATTCAGGAACTCGTACCTCTTCATGAAAAGAGCTACGCGTAGAGAGCGGCAAGTCAAACGATCAGAAGCGCAACTTCACACCAGTAAAACTGACGCCTACTGAAAGCAAGTCCTGCGTGCCGCCGTACATTTAGTGATGAAGTGCAATTCTGGAGATCAAGAACATACCGAAGTCTGCGCAGACAAAAATGACCTAGAGACGGGCTGTTAGGGTCGTCTTTTGCACAGTGGTACTACAGGTCGTACCAGCAGCGCTGCGAGATACCGATTCTGGCTGACTGCGGGTGACCGGGGATCGTAAGACGCAAATCTCTGCACAGACAAGATCACTACGAACGCGTCCATATGCGGTACGAGTAAAACCTGGCATGAAGGGGGGTCAGTGGGTGGGAAGTCATCGTGATATAGTGAGGAAGGTGCACGTACGATTGGATCGTGACAATAGCGCAAGCCTGTGAGTCCTCGAGTTGTGAGTTCCCCGGCGTAAGGAGAACAGTCCGTCAGACGATGACTTACATTACACAGCAACTGCGCCTGAGGGAGTAAGACAATCAGCATATATGGACGCTGGCAGCCAGTTCCAGACATACGCTTGATTCCCTGAAGGAGCTGATTTTAAATGCAAAGTGGTCAAAGTCTTGTGGGTATGCTCACCATGGCAGTAGGGTCAGGCCCATAAAATTCAAATCCTTCATCACAAGGTAGTTCCACACTGTTCGCCAGCTCGTCAACTTGACCGTTCTGCAAAAGCCAGAAACAAGGTCTCGCACTTGTAGCGGTGTAAAGCAGTAGGTGAAATGCGTCGTAACTCCAGACGAGAGCCACCTTTACTCATAGGTATGTAAGCCATTTGGGGACAGAAACATGTATTATACGCCCACTCACCAGCATCTTCAGAAACCTCCGGTCTCGAGGGTAATGCCTGTAATACCAACCCACCTGAGCAGTGGCAACTGCATGCCGACTATGAGCTCGATTCCTAGCTCGAAGAAGAAGAGTATAGACGTACCTCCAAAGAGACTGTTCCGAGCGTCCGGTAAGACTTGTGAAGACTTTAGCATCCTACTACGCACCTCGCCGTCACTGCTAGCCCTATGAGAGTAACACCTATCCTGCGAACGTCCAGGTAAGCAGGTCTACCAACACTCGAGCCAACGTGGAACATACGTGACGTCAAAGAAAGCAAACGGGTCCACCGTGATAGCCATCTCAGCCGCGCATTGGCAATGTTGCTGGAGTGCAGCGCAGCGCGAAAAGGGACGGGGAAGGTGGGGCTGGGCTTCTCAGCAGGCACTCGCGCCCCCACACAGACCTGGACGTCTTTATGCTCCACGCCGGATGCTGAAGACGGCTCCCCTTCGATTTCTAGTGCGGCGGCATGGGAGCGAGCCATCACGGCGGCGCTTGCCGGGTCCTACGAATACAACCACTCGGGCCCGAGGGCAGGGACTCCGTCCGGCGATTTGAGGTCCTGCTCTCTCGCGACCCGCGGATGTTGCGAAACGGAGCGGAGAGCCTCATGTGGTCATGTTCAGGAACTGCCGGTTATGCGACGTCCTCTGCGACTCCGCCCGCGGCGCAATATTGCCCCAAGTGAAATCACGTCAATTGAAGGTTGGCCTTATAGACTCGTTGCGGCCCCAGGCCCTCTCGTAAGAAGTCGATGTGCATATCCACGAGGTAATCTGTAGAAGTGCATAAGTCAGCTCGGGTCCAGTTCACGGCTCACTACACACTCCGTCTTGCTTCGCATGGAACTGCGCGCTCGCAGGCCGACCCCTGGTTGTCTGGAATCCAGAGCGGACAATGCGGCATCTCTGCACACATGAACAGCGAAGAAGCAGCGAAATTGAATGCAGAGTGCTTACACACATGCTACGTAAGGCAGATCGTTCGTTGATTGGGTCGAGAAAGTATCCATGTGGACGGGCTCGGGGGAACTGTGGGATCAAGTGGCGGTCAGACGACCGTCAAGTGCGACAATGCAGCCTTACCAGGTTGCAATATAACGGAGCTTTATACGCAGGTAGCCCTGTGTTTAAGGCGGACTTTTCCTTGTGGTCAAGACAGTACTAGTGACGAATACGGTGCAGAATCCAAACTTGATGCACCAGGCGGTGGTCGGAGGAGACAAGCGACGCCGGCGCTTGTAGTAGGTGCGAACTCAATTCAGTCGAACTGCTCACCATCGTGGCGCCGCCGCGAGCTTCTGCTTCCTCACCATCACCCAACTCGCTCAGCCCTGCTGGTATATTTTGATCATTATCAATTTTCGAGGGCAACGTACGATGCGCACCGACGCCGCGACATCGTGACCGCCACGCGATCAGAGCTGGGCGTTCGAACGCGCTCCAAGTCGTCCACCTGTGGCTTGCTTCTGAGCTCCCTTTCACTCTCTTACAACAGTGATAGTACACATATTGATTATATACAAGTACAGCTTTCTGTTACGCGCCAAGCGTACGCGTTTATCCGAAATCTATCCATCCAAGTTCCCCCCAAGCTATACACCAACCCCGCCATTACGAACATTGTAATCTGAACCAGTCAAAGCCGAGAACACTGGGGTGGAGAGGACATCTGCGCGACTCTGCGACGCCGTCTCGTTTGTCCGCCGGGTCTTTTCCAGGAAGAGGAACGAGATGACGACGGTGTCGCGGATCTGCACCGCACGCTCTGTGAGCGCGAGCGTGGCGGGACTGGTTGTTCCCGACGCGCGATCCACGCGGGACTTGACGAAACGCGCAATGGGTTCCTTAAATCCATCGTCCTGCGCAAACAGCTGGACGTGGATTTATGAGTATATGCGAGGATACATGGATGCTGCCAGTCACGTACCTCGAGAGTGCGACCTGGGGCGTTACCGCGCCATTTGTACTTGCGCCCTGTGTCGTCTTGGAATGACACGTCGCTATGTGAATGGGTGAGCATGCACCTCCTTGGTCGTTAGTCGATTTCTTGCACTCACTCTTTAAGGTAGAAAGGTACAACGCTCGTATGGAGCCAGTCGCGGATAGAGACGGAACTCTTGTTCCCTAACGTCACTTTATCGGGCAGGACATCCCGCCATTCCAGAGACGCCAGGACCTTCTCGTCCGCATTCTGAACATGCGTAACGGTGGCCTTGCCATGCTCGGTGTGCGCTGTGTAGAGCGCTTTGCCGTCAGGGTCAAGGACAGCGGTGTTAGACGGATTGTCAGGAGAGAGGGTGAGTGCGAGAGCGATTGAGGCGGACATATTGGAGGTTGACAGTCTTCAAGGGAATCTCTACGTTCTTATACGAGCACGCAAGCCTCGCAGCCTAGCGTACCCGTGAACCGTGCGTGGTGCAGTAGGCAGATGCGAACCGCCTCAACGTCGACGTCGGCGTGCTGCGCAGGGCGCCGCTGTCAACGCAGACTGTGCGGGGCACCGGTCATTGCGATCATGGGGTATCATCCCGTTCCTAACCACAAAGCGCCCCGGACTCGATCGTGGCCGCCCAAGCTGCACAAGCTGCACGACGCGCAGAGTCATCGACGGCCTGGCGGTGGCACAGTACTAACATATACTATCACGGACCCGGAGTTCGGACAGGACCCAGAGTTCGGACATTCTGACATCAGCCTCCCTTCCTGAACTCCGATAATCTTGCAAACTGGCACGTTTATACATCTACGTCTGCTCTACTACGTCCAAAATTTTCGAAGGATTTGGACGTGGTAGAGGGTCTGATCTTCAAGGTGCAATGCTGCGAGGTCAGGTTTTTCGGCGTGCACACCTCGGCGCTCTTCCGCATGATCCCGGTGCTGCCTGTAAAATTCACTGAGGGCGTACAATATGGGTAAATATGTCTCATGCAAATTTTTCCGATGTTGTCCGGCTTGTGTAAGGGCGGGGAGTTGAGTAGTTTAGTGGGAGGAGGTAGGAAGCGTGACATCCGCGCTCCGGCTACCGTCCATGTTGTAACTCCGATGCACGCGATGCTACGCGATGGCTTCGGAGAGAAGCGCGTCATCGCGCTGTACGTCGGAGTCTCAAACCGGCAACGGTCGGCGCAGTGACATCGCGTTACTGAGCCGCATCAAAATGTCCGAACACCGGGTCCCTCTCCTTGTTCGCCCATTTATTCGCTCACATATGCACCAAAGTTTCCCAAACTTCGTAGAGAGGTGCGTAAATGTCTTCTAAATTGATGTGCCAAGTTACAGTATTATCGGGGAACATGGGACGAAGATATTCGTTGGGCAATGCGGGGACCCAAAAAAGTGTCCGAACTCCGGGTCCATGATAGTATAGCTGCCTCGATGTCTCCATCCGCAGTATGCGCAGCTAATGCCATATGCCTCCTCTATCCGGAGCATGTTGGTGGCAACATCGTTGGCGCACCCGAGAACTCACGCAGGTAAAGCGATCGGGGCTCGTAATCAATCAGGGGTTGCTAGCGCGGAATAGCTGCATTGAGCGGTCGCCCAGTGAAGTGTAGCCGCTGCCAAGACGCATATACATCGTGGTGTGGACAGGGGAGATGTGCCAGCGAGCATGGATCCTAACCCAGCTCGCGCGTGCTGGAATGGTTGAGCCCGGCGAGTACGGGCAGAGCCAAGGGTAAATGAATTTCGACATCTTTGGAAGAACAACTTTGGGTTGAGGAGGAATCGAACCGGCGACGACCAGAAGAAAAAGATGTGCTCTGGCGCGGGATCGAACCAGTGACCTTTGTCCTAATGAAAAAAGGCCAAAAGAATCCCTCGAATCGGGATCGAACCAATGACCTTGAGATGACTAGGTGTAACCATTACAGTCTCACGCTCTTCCAACTGAGCTATCGAGGGATGCTGACTGCCCTTCAAGAAGCAAACTTGTGGGCTCCGAGGCAGAACGCACGTGTGCCAATAGTGTTTCCTACGGAACATTCTGCAGACGGCGATCGGGAATGCATCACAGCTGCCACCTTGACTGCAATGCGGGGTAAGCCTCCTCAACTTGGCGTAGTTTGCGTTCGCGCCCAAGACACTGCCCGAGCGCAGCGACAAAGGATTGGGGAGCCCCACGACGAATGAAACGACGGGAAGCGACTACATATTCGGCTATAAATGCGGGAAGGCCATCATGGTACGAGAGGCCACTGAGGTGGCACCTGCCGAGCCCAATATAGCGGTGACCCCACCAGAGTCCCGCACCGTTATTCGTGAGAAACGGACGCGCCCTGGCTCCCCAAAAACCCCACCTGGCCCCCTATATTCCGCCAGCTCTCTCACCGTTCCACCACATACACACCTGCCCCCGCCACCCTCACCCACCAGCAACGATGTCGACCGCCTTCCGCACGCTCTCGAAACACGCCCGCTCGCTCTCGAACTCCACGCGCAGCGTCCCCAGCACCTCACGCGCGTTCCATTCGCCCTTCGCCGTGCTTTCGACAACGTCGCAATCCCCCCTGACGACCCCGCCCGCGTCCACATCCACCGCCGGCGGCTTCTACGAGAAGCAGTTCGACTACTCGCCCGACCCCGTGCTTGGCTCCGCCGGGCACCGCACCTACGTCGTCTCCGAGCCCGACCCGTCGAACACACCATACCAGGTCCCCTCCGGGGCGTACCCGACCTCCGCCCCGTACCAGAACTATACGCGCACGGAGGCGCCGGTGCCGGAGGGCGCGCAGTTCGCGTCGACCGCGCCCGGCCTCGCGCATCCCCTCACGCAGAAGCTGCCGAGGAACGACGCGGGCGTTGGGGAGAGCGGGGCGATCCGTCACCGGGAGGCCCCCGGGGAGATGCACGCGCGTGGGGGGAGCTATGGAGGTCAGGGCCTCCAGGACGCGCAGGGCACGCAGAAGGGGACCGGGGAGCTGCCGGACGTGAACCCGCCCCCGCTGTTCGAGCACGCGGAGAAGTTCTCCAAGCTTGGCGTCGACCACGCCTGGAAGGAGCGGAAGTGAGCGGCTGCTTAACTTATCATGGTTCGCGTCGTTGCCGAGGGATGGTCTAGGACGGGGTTCACGGGAAAAGGACGTTCGTAATCGCAGGTCTCTCCGCTGTTTGCACTGTGTCTGTATATGCTCCCGCACGAAGAGTTGTTAGTTGTACGAGTACGCTGTTGTCACGACGAGCACGATAGGCCGTTCATAATCCATAGACTGTACATACTTGCCTCGACGCTCCTTGGTTCGTGCGTGCTCGTCGACGACCGAGGCTTGGCTGCGCTGGTTGGCGATTGAATGGAGTTGCATCCGTGGCGGCGTTCCGCGGCGTCGAGACGCGTCCTGGCCTGGCGCGTCGCGCTCCGAATTCGTCCATAACGTCACTGGCGCGTCAGTCACGCGTCCCCCGGCCCGAAGACCACGGCCCGATACCACCACCTCGCTGAAGCCTGAGCGTGTCGCCAAAGGTCGCCAGCACACGACGATCTCCGAGTCCACCTCGATGAGCTTGCTAGGCTCTCATGTATGCATGGAATATCTCATCAAACTCTGCGAGACTTTTGGAGTACTTGTGTTCACCGGATGATCTGCATACCGGATGATCTGCATGGAAGACTTCGGTCTGAGCTGTCTACAGCATTGGTTCATGACTACCCCTTCACCGTGGCTCGTAAGACAAATAGGCAGACGGAAGGTCTAGCATTGGTAGTGGTTGAAGGGAGAGAGAAAATATCTAACTAACCGGTGGGTAATTTACCGCATTTCATCGGTTCATTGTGAGAGACTTACACGCTTGCTTGCTCGTGTGCAACAGACTCGAAACTCTACCAGTACGGGCTGCGAGCTTCGTGGCGTGGTGAGGTATGACACGTTACGCAAAGCGAAATCGGGACTCTCTGCACCAGTAAAGGGCCTGCCCGAGATGGTGGTGGCGCACTGAATTTTTAGGAAACCGACAATCTGCTGGCTTTCTCATCGGTACGTCTGCCTAGGGGATGCTAACAACCTGCAGGACGTCCGACGTTGCTTGCCGCTAAGCTAGGCCACCGTGCGCCAGGTCATCGCCTCCCCCGAAGTCCACCCAGCAAAGAAGTGTAGACCCGTCTGGAACAATATCACAACCTCACTTGGCATATGCACCCCCGCCTGAAGTGCAGCGCCCAAAGCAGAGCGAAGATGGTCAAACTTTGCTGTCGCCGCATTGCCACCACGCATCCTAGTGTAGACGGTCGCCTCTTGGGCTGGCATCTTAAACCCACATGGTCCATCTCACTTGACCTGCTCGTATGCAAAGCCGTTTCGATTTAATGCCAGCGCAAACCATGAAGACGGCTGCAATATTGAAATTTTGTACCGCGCCCGACTCGCGCTCAAGCCCCTCCCCCCTCCTTACGGAGATCGCCGCCTTCTCCATGTCCATCTGACCAACATGTACAGTCCGCCACAGGAAAACGTGCTGCTCGACTAGTCTTGTACGGGAGGTACCGTCTTATCGCCATCCTCCGAAATGGGGGCACCTTCCCACCGTCGAACACCCGAACCACAACGATTGCCTTCTCCGGAAGGTCGGGAGCCTACACACTCCGCCATTCATAGTGCAGATCCCGGACAACATTTCGACACCCTCGGGGCTTCGTTGCATACCCCTCGTGCTCTTCTCCGTGTTGATGGCTTGGCACCGCGGATTGAGCACCTCGGACCGGGCTCTATCAACTCTTAACCATCGCGTGCATAGCTCGGTGAGCGATATCGGCATATTGGAGACATCAAGAAGCCTCTAACATACTTTCCAACGGATGGACGGATACTCTTCGGACCCAGCGGCTCCTCTGCCTGCTCCTCCTCCGGGGGTTGCCTGTACAGCGGAATGTGCGATATTTTTAGCAGCGGGGCCCCGAGGCTCGTGCATACCTTAATAGTCGGTTCCTCCTCGGGCTGGGCAAACATCAGCAGTCCACCGACGTACGCACAGAAGCGGTGCTGTCACCACTGTGTATCCTTCCGTACCCCCGGATACACTTCGGCAGGCCGTACCGCTGTCTCTTGAACACCTTCCACAATGCTTCGCGCTGGGCGTCTTCGCTAGATGGACAGCACGCTCGGTCGCAAGTGGCCCGGCAGCATTGAGGTCCCTGCTACAAGCGGCGGGCGTATCTGCACCCCAGCACGCCCTACGACACGTATAAAAGGTGCTGCAGTTTTTCGACGGTCTGCATCGAGCCCACAGTCGCCTCTCGACCACCCGCCCTCGGTAACTCCTCATCGTCATGTTCCCCGCAGCATCTCTCCTCGCGTTCTCTCTCCTCGCGACCGTCTACGGTCAGCAGGTCGGCACCCTGACGGCGGAGAACCACCCCCGCCTCACCGTCCAGCAATGCACGGGTAAGAACAACTGCCAGACCCAGCAGCACTCCGTCGTGCTCGACTCCAACTGGCGCTGGCTCCACTCGACTTCCGGCAGCAACAACTGCTACACCGGCAACACCTGGGACGCGTCGCTGTGCCCCGATGCGACCACCTGCGCCAACAACTGCGCGATGGACGGCGCTGACTACGCTGGTACGCATTGCAGCCTCTCAATAGCGCAGGGTAATCTAACTGACGATATGGACAGGCACCTACGGTATCACGACCAACGGCAACGCGCTCACGCTCAAGTTCGTGCAGCAGGGCCAGTACTCGAAGAACATCGGCTCGCGCGTGTACCTCATGGACGCGAACGACAAGGAGTACGAGCTCTTCAACCTGAAGAACCAGGAGTTCACCTTCGACGTCGACATGTCGAACCTCCCCTGCGGCCTCAACGGCGCGCTCTACTTCGTCGAGATGGACGCCGACGGTGGCTCGTCCCGCTTCCCCACCAACAAGGCTGGCGCCAAGTACGGAACCGGCTACTGCGACACCCAGTGCCCGCAGGACATCAAGTTCATCAACGGCCAGGTAAGCACGCCTTGTACCCGACACGCTACGGCCTTGTGCTTACAAGCTGTCCCGTAGGCCAACATCCAAGGCTGGGCTGGTTCGCCCTCTGACCCGAACGCGGGCTCCGGCAACTTCGGTACGTGCTGTAACGAGATGGACATCTGGGAGGCCAACAAGAACGGCGCTGCCTTCACTCCCCACGTCTGCTCCGTCACGAGCCAGACTCGCTGCTCGGGCACCCAGTGCGGCGACGGTGACGAGCGCTACGACGGGCTCTGCGACAAGGACGGATGCGACTTCAACTCGTTCCGCATGGGCGACCAGACCTTCCTCGGGCCGGGCAAGACCGTCGACACCAACCAGAAGTTCACGGTCGTGACCCAGTTCCTCACCAACAACAACCAGACGAGCGGCACGCTCTCCGAGATCCGCCGCCTGTACGTGCAGAACGGCAAGGTGATCGCGAACTCGAAGACGAACATCCCCGGGCTCGGCTCGTTCGACTCCATCACCGACTCGTTCTGCAACGCGCAGAAGCAGGTGTTCGGCGACACGAACACGTTCGAGAAGCTCGGCGGGCTCAGCACGATGGGCTCCGCTTTCCAGCGCGGCATGGCGCTCGTCATGTCCATCTGGGACGACCACGCCGCGGGCATGCTCTGGCTCGACGCCGACTACCCCACCGACGTCCCCGCGACCAACCCCGGTGTCTCCCGTGGCCCGTGCTCGGCCACCTCTGGCGACCCCGCGACCATCGAGAACAGCGAGGCGAGCTCGTCCGTCACCTTCTCGAACATCAAGGTCGGCCCCATCGGCTCGACGTTCTGAGCGTGCCCAGGTATGTCGCGGCGCCGCTCGTTCTTTAAGCTTCCACTCACCCATCGCTTCCCCTCACAGACATCCCGACGCGAGGGAAAAGAGGTTCTCGTTTCATTTTTGGCTGCGATAGCGTCTTTGCCTAGAATCGTGGTTCTGGTTGGGGTTTAGGTTGTCCATCGCGTCTTCCTGGGCTTCTCCATGTATATCTCGATAATACTGCGCAAAACATCGGAAACTCTCACTCAATCGATCTCTTGTGTGCGCAATGGTGCATGTGTCTGCCCCTCTCAAGCATTCTCAAACCTCCAAACCTTATCAACTACAATTGATGTTTCAAGTCCCCGCAGTGCTCAATAGCATTCATTTATGTAATTCCTGCTGAACCTGAGCTATGTGGCTCACAGTAGTATCCGCGCAACCGAGATGATATTGATAAACTATATGACTACCAGACATGCGAGGACTGCACGGGCGAGCGAAAATAAGTAGAGCGAAACGGATATAAGAGGGAGCGGAAAACAGGAGGCGCGAGCGTTCTACGTTGTGCCAGCAGCTGGTGCTAGAATACAAAGGACCCCCCTACGGCGGTCCACTACCCCATGTACGCGCATATTTTGGACGCGAGGGGAAGGAGACAAGCTGAAGGAAGAATGTGTGTAAATGAGCGGCGGTGTCCTTTGTGCCGGAACCAGAGCGGGCGGGGGCGCAAGCGCGAGCCAGATATTTCGAGGGGCAACTAAGAGGGGACGACGATGCGAGACGGGACGGGACGAGACTTCCAAATGTTCGATTACGGGGCGCCAGTCCGGGATAGCGATAGCGAATATACACAGGCGAATGAAAGGGTATGCGAGTGGTGCGGGTGTATGCGGGGGATGTGCATGTCGTCGCAGGGTCGTCAGCTGGCCATCGTGGGTGTTGCGAGTTTGAGAGCTAGGCGCAGAGTAGGGACGCTCAGAGCAGTGCGGTCACTAGGGTGGAGCGGTAAGGTATGGTCATTCGTCAAGTCGTCAGAGCCGTCACAGGTGGAATCGTTTGCAAGCCTATATGTTACAGACCAGATCATACATAGTAATCAGCACAACATGCACCCGCAAGTCCGGACAAACGTACAAGTTGATCCGCGCAGCCGGTGCGCGTCGAGGGACCGCAAATCCTTATGCGCGGCAACAGAATGCAGCCCAGAACCCCTTCTTCCTGCCTCCACCATGCTCGCCCTGCTCCCCAACCCGCTCCATCTGTTCCCGGTCGTACAGGCCCATGCCGCGCGTGCCTGGCCCGTTCATCTCTTGTCTTGTGCCGGTCCCACCCGTTGTCGTCCCCTCTCGGCTGGCAGTGCCGTTCTTGCCTTGGCCATTCTGGCCGTACATGAACGACTCCGAGTTGTTCGGGTGCTGCTGCAAAGGGCTGGCGCCGTTCGTCGGTGTCCCATTGCCGGGTATAGGCGACTGGCGGCCGTAGGCATTGGTGCGGTAACCGCCAGGACTGGGTGCCGCAGCGTATGGGTGCGGAGCAACTAACCCGCTGTCCCGCTCGGCGCGCGATACATGCTGCTGGCTTTGGCGCCGGCTCGTCGGTGCAAGTGGTTGCACGCTGACTTGCTCGCGGGAGCCACCGCGCGAGGCATCGTGTGGGCGACGACTGCTGCTCTTGACGTGCGCAGGCGTCGGCGCCAGCACGAGCGGCGACGATGGTGACGGAGCACCCTCCTGGAGAGCGTTCCGGGAGGACCGGTGCGCCCGTTCGCGGTCGCGATGACGGTCGCGGTGGGGGGTATGGGGCGTACCACCGTGCGCGGAAGCGAGCAGAGCCGAAGTCTGTCCGAGCGTCAGCACCCTGATCTAACACTAATCGAGAGGTGAAACTTACGTGGCCAGCTTCCCAGCCCTTGCCGCCGTTCAGAAGCATCCAGTCGAACACGCCATCCTCGGGTTCGCCCAGGGTCTTCAGGACCTTCGTGAACAGCTCCCGCAAGAAGTCGTAATCAGGCGTCTCTTCGAAGCCAAGCTTGCGGACGTAGTTCATGTAAATAGCAAACTCCTCTGTGATCGCCAATTCAGTATGTTAGGAAGACCGGAATCAAGAGGTACACTCACCGGGGAAGCCTTCGCAGAGCTCTTCGATGGGGGTGCTCTGCTTCTTCTCGCCGATCTTTTCGTACTTCTGCTTGTTGGTCGCAGCACGAAGACCCTGCCAGGGCAATCCGCCACGCAAGAAGTACATGAAGACATGTCCAAGGGACTCAAGGTCATCACGACGGGATTGCTCGCGTCCCAAGTGGGTGTTGATGGACATGTACCGGGCAGTACCGGACAACGATTTCCGCTCGCGGTATGGTATATGCACCTTGGTCTTAGGATCACGGTAGTGCTTAGCCATACCGAAATCTAATGGTTGAGTATGAGTATATGGAAGATGATTGATAAGTTATGAGATCGTAGTCTCCGGGGTTAAAGCGCACACACGAAGTGCTGGCGGTATGCAACAGCAGACGCAAATGCCTGAAAGGACGTATGCACTCACCAATGATGTGGATGGTGTTCGCCGTCTTTGTGCCAGGGACACCAATCAAAAAGTTGTCGGGCTTAATGTCACGGTAGATGAGGGACTTCTCGTGGATGGACTGGACGCGAGTAACCTGAAAGACAGCGATTTGGAATGAGCCACATGAAACACACAAAGGAATGCTATGGTGCACGGAGCCGCCTCGCAGCCTTGTCAGGCACCGCAGAGCGACCGACACCCGGAAGCGCGCACGCCGTTTGTACGTGTAGGCGCCGGCGTCCGATTACTCTCGGATGATGATGGATGAGACCGCCTAACGGTATGCACGGACCAGGCCGCAAGGGCAACGTCCGCCTAACGCCGCGCTGGAGGGGCGTTGTGCGTAGGCCACAGCAGCTGCAGCTGAAGGACTTACCATCTGCTTGGCAGCCATGCAGACCGTCTTGATGCTGAACTTGCGGCCACACATGTCGAAAAGGTCCTCAAGGTTAGGGCCAAGGAGGTCGATGACGAGTACGTTGTGCAGACCCTCCTGGCCAAAGTAGTGGACCTGAGGCACGCCAGCTGCAATCCGGCGGACAGCGGGTCAGTGCCATCACGGTATTCGGAAACCAAAGAGCGACGCACGAGTTCCATTTAACGTCCTATACGACCTGTACTCGTCTCGCAGCTGTGGGGCTTCAGACTTGCGGGGTTCCTACAGACATTGTCGCGGTCAAAGACTGCGCTGAGGGGCTCCGCTAGCGACATTGCGTCACATACAAATTTGATGGCGACGGGTTGGTTGTTGAGCATGTTCGTGCCTGCAGTAAGCGACGCCCCAGTTAACCAGTCGTCCATATACGCAATCACAGTACGTCGCACCTTCGAAAACAACACCAAAAGAGCCCTCTCCAATCTTCTTGCCAACCCTGAAGTGATTGCCAACGACGCCATTGGAAGTGGCAGACTGGGAATGGTGACCTGAGGAAGAGGCAATCACATGAGGGGTGGCCATGGCGGCAAGCGGGACCGGGACAAGAAAAGAGAGGGGAAATGGGGGAGGAGGAGGGGGAGGATGCGGAGGAGAGGATCCAGCGGGAAGAGGAACGAGCGACGGCGGAGTCTCAACTGCCCCCTCCCGCCGGGCCCCCTGCCGCATTCGGTCCCCACGCCGCCGGGCGCCTCCTGCCACCACCATCCCACAACGCCACGGGAAACACACAGCGCGCGCATAAATGACACTCAATGCTCGTGGCACGGACAAACTGGGACGACGTACGTCGAAAGGCAACCATGTCTCCGTGCCAGTGGTCCCAGAGTGAGCGACACAGTGGGGGAGGGCACAGAGCGAGCAAGGTGAAAGCCCTCCAACACTTGGGCTAGGTTCAGAGATTGCCTACAGGGGCTTCATTAGCGGTTATCTCAGCGCGGAAACCTCTCCTCGCACACATGACAGTCGCCGTGGCGGATCGAGGGTGTCGAAGAGGTACCTTTCAGGAGACGAGACCAGGGGTTGACGGACGAAACACACGCGAGCCGTTAGGCATTACACAGAATCCATCGGCACTCGGATGTCTTGGACAAGAAGCTCTCGGCTTACGACAGTGATTAAACATAGGTAGTACCGTACCACGAATGGGGCCCCGCAATTACCGATGCGTACAAAATTAATGTACATGACGAAGCACATACGATCCGGCGTCCATGATGACTGTAACTACAACAATCGCATCAGAATATTTACCAACGTGCCTCCACGCTTGTCCCCAAAGTAGGTAAGGATACGCCCATACCAACGACGTTCAAGGAGTAGAAGCCATGTGAAGTAGTGGGCATACCGAAGCGTAATGACCGCCCTTCGCCCGTGGACCCGATTCGCCACCCTGGGTAACGGAAGGAGCATCCGCGTCATGGAATTGGCCTCGCGACGGATCGCCGCCAGAAGCCGCACCATGCGTCCCTCCGACTGGGGAAGTAGGGGGCCTGGAGGAGACGGCGTCGGATGTGACTGACGAGGAAGACCTCGCTACCTGTAAACTCTAACACAACTGTTCTCGAAGACCGCGTTGTGGGATGAAGCGGCCAGCAAGGCCGAGGAGGGGTGTTTGAAGCCATGTTTGTCCGTGGACGCTGCGTGGACCGTGCAGTGATATCATGGGGTCGCAGGACAAGCGCAGCACATTCGGTCGAGCCCGAGGCATGCCCGAGGAGGATCGTCCAAAAATTGGTTGCGATTGACAAGATCTGATGCCTTGTGACAGGGTGCTTTTGAACCTGTATGGTTGTTTCAGTTGTTAGAGATAGAGGCAGGTGTGGTCCCCTAAGTGGCAGACGTGGTGAAGCAACATTGACGGCTCGTTGATCTTGTGTCGTCCGTGCAGTCCTTCGAAGCCGTACTCACGACCGTGAGTCCCGTCCTGCGGACCATATGCTCGTGACAGCTCCGTCGTTGTGTGTAAAACATTGGCCATAAGCCGATTGAGCTGCGGGTCGGCTTGCAACAAACGCAGCACCCCCGGCGCAGCCTCGCCTACCCGTCTGACGCCTGAAGGTGGCCTACAGAAGTGCATGAATTTGAAGCGAGGCAGCTTACGAGACGAACTCAACGCGCACCATTTGTCCGGAAAGCTCGGATGCGGGAAGACGTCGCTTAGACCCAGGGCCGACGACATAAGCAAGCTGCATATGGTCAGCCGGTGGTGGTGACGCTGCGCAAGATGAGGCGGGGTCACGCAATCGTCACCGTGTGTGACCCACTAGCCTGAGCAAGATCTCCGGGACGGCGCCCAAGCCGCTGCTCACCAATCCTCTCTCCCGCTATTTGTAAACGTCCCGCTCTAGCTCATATATACATTCCAGCGCTCCCTCCGTGCGCATCCTGATCCTCCTTGAACGCCGTCCCGCCTCACCTCTCTTCCCGCCATCCGTCAGCAGCCCACATCTCGCTCACCTGCCCTCACCGCCGCACCCCGCCCACCCGCACCTACGCGCAGACCCTTGCAAGCCTTAGCACGCCTTCGCGCCCGCGCCCGCACCTCGGAGCTGACTCACTCGCCCCCGCGCGCACGCCATGCAGCCTGGAGTAGTATCGTTGGTGGTCATATCCGACATCGTGCGTCCCCGCCTCCTATTCTGCCTTCCCGCGCAGGTTTCAAAGCGCGCGCGCTGACTGCGGCACCATCCGCGCTCGTTCGCAGACATGCCCATGGTGTTACATAGGCCAGCGCGAGCTGCAGAAGGCCATCAAGGAGGTCGATGACTGCGGCCTGACCATCAAGGTCGAGCACAGGCCGTTCCTCCTCCACCCCACCATGGAGGAGGATAAGGTCATGGACCGAGCCACCTTCTACAGCGAAAAGTTCCCAGAGGAGAAGTTCAAGCAGATTAAGCAGATGGTCACTTCGCGCGCAGAGGACGTCGGCGTCGAAATGTGAGTCCCTTGCATGACCTTGCATGATCGAATGACTGACCAAACATGTGCTCGTTGCCACAGTCGCTTCGATGGCCAGCTTTGCCAGACCCTCCGGGCGCACCGCCTCCTCCGGAAGGCCTTTGAGGTCGGCGGGCAAGAGCTCCAGGAGAAGGTTCAGGACGTGCTCTTCTACACCTACTTCACGGAGGGCAAGGACATTTCCGACCTGGACTACCTTACGGAGCTCGCAGATGCCTCTGGTGTCTTGACCAAGGACCAGGTACGTCGCGCGCCTCATTGTCTTTTGGGACCGGATGACGCCTTACATGACCCGCAGGCCCTCGAGTTCTTCAAGTCCGACGAGTACCGCACTGAGGTCGAGCATATGGCCAACGAAGCGCGCAAGAAGGGCGTTACGGGCGTCCCCTTCACCATCATCAACGGCAAATGGGCCGTTAGCGGCGGCCAGACATCAGACGTCTACACCCAGGTGGGCGCCAGGGATTGTCTGTGGTCCGTCGCGAGCTAACGAATATCGCCAGATCTTCCGGAAGCTCGCCGGAAAAGGACCTCTTCACGCCATCCCCGACGCCCCGAGCTGCTCTGACCATGCCTGCCCCATGGCCGCAGCAGCCGCCGTCAAGTCATGACTTCGAACAGCTTGAGGGCACCACGCCGCCATCTTTCTCGCCAGCGCCAGCGACAACCACCCTCGATCCGCGCTATACCTACCATTATTTGTCTTTGGCTGTTGGTCTGTTGTACTCTATTAGTTTCGCTAGGCCGGTACGTTTTCCGCGGACCTATCTATGCGTTTGGGCGCGTTCCGTAGTCGTAGTAGGAGCCAAATGTTGGGAGATGTCGCGCTCACCCCTGTCACGTCGATAGCTATAGGTTCTGTCATCGATTTCTTTATGGAGGAACACCGAGAACTGGTCAGACCTGCTTATGCAGGTACACAAATATGACACACGCCTCCTGACGGCAGTACGTTTACCGGGCGCTTGGAAGACGTGCAGTGCGCGTGCCGGAGTGCCGGACTCCAAGGCGTGGATGACCTCGTGACGTCACAGCCCGATGTGCGAGAGAGCGCGCTGCGCAAAAGGACAGGTCGAGTATGCGCTCGACTGCATAAGATCCTCTCGGCCCTCTCCACCCACGATGCGCCCTCTTGCCCTCTTTTTCCCCCAGCACCCCCGCTAGCCCACTGCGGGCCCAACGCTAATCGCCCTGCAGCCGCAATCGCAATTTTATCCCCGTCAGCCACTGCAACCCACCTAATACGACCTGCACACGACCTCTGTACGACCCCACTTGACGCACGACCACAAAAATGTTCTTCCTCCCCCACGCACATCATCATTGGCTGTATGTATGGATCCCGCTCTTTGGCGCATTCATGTGGTTTGGTGAGTCGCGCAACGCTCGATCGGGCCTGGAGGACACAACGCTAATCTGTTTCATTTCGTCAGCCACACTATGGGCACTCCTCATCACATGGCTTGCTAGTGGCAGACCACACTATGTCTCGCAGGATGGCAACATAGCCTACATCTCGGACGTCGGCGCAGACATCCTGAAGCCGTTGTTCATCGTCGGATGTGTTATCACCGGACTCTCGTTCTTCCTTTCGTCTGCTATCGAGAGAACGCTTCGGCACCAGGGCCGGTAAGTGTTTTTTTTAGTTCGTTGATGACGTACAGTCTTAACTGACCCTCCGTTCACAGGCTTGTCGCGAATATGCGCCGCCGAGAGCGCGTTCTCGCCTCGCTAGCCGTGTTTTTCGCCTTCGTCGGGATGTGTGGGCTCATCCTGCTCTCCATCTTTGACACGAAGCGCTTCACGAAACAACACCGTGTTTTCCTTCTCGTCTTCATTGTCGGCGTCGGAATGAGTGCTATTTTCACCGTGATAGAGGTTAGCAGTTGTATGCGCCCGAATTAGGAAGACGCAGCGGGCTCACATGTTTTGGCCTGTAGTACCGCTGGCTCAGCCGCGACTTTGTGGAGCTCCGGAAACTCAAAACTCTGTACATCGTGAAGGGCACCATTGCGGCGATCCTGATCCTCCTAGCGATTGCGTTCGCCATTGCCCTCTTCGAAGCCACGGACCCCGGAGGTGCGCGGCCACCCCCTCCCACCTTCCACTACGGGGCTGACATGTTGCTCTTCCACAGCTATCCTGGAGTGGACGATCTCATTCGGGTTCACCTTCTACCTCCTCACCTTCTTCTTCGACCTGCGCATGTCCAAGGGCGTGCACAAGGGCGAGCTCTCGCGCGAGCGGCTCCTCGCGATGCAGCAGAACGGGCAGAGCATCGCGGCCGCGCGCGAGGCGAACCAGGGCGACGGCGCAATGCCGAGCGGCCACCCCGACCAGGTCCATGGCTATGGTAATGGCAACGGTGTAGGGACGAACGGCTACGCGCCAGGGACGGCTGGTGTCAACGGCGAGGCGCAGATGAGCCATGCTAATGGACCGGTTACGTTTGGCAGCGGCAACGCACCCGTAGTGTATCCCGCGAACGCCCATGCTGCGAACAGGGCGAGCGTCGGATATCCGTAGGTCGGTAGATGACCAAAGGGCGCGAACATTGGCCGGTCAGCTTCCCATACAATATCTTCTTGAACATATTACTGTAGCAAGTAACTGTTGTGTATACCATACCGTGACCCGTGTTATCGATGCATAATACTCCCATTCTCATAAAAAGCGGGGCTCTAGTGTACCCCTCTTGGAGGTTCCTCAAACATTCGCTGAAGTGTAGCACAGAGGGGCAACCTAAAAGTAAAAGGAAAACTGTAAGCAGAACGCAAAAACGTGGCTCTGCCCGGGATCGAACCGGGAGCCTTCAGCGTGTTCAACTTGTGAAGCAGACGTCATAACCATTAGACCACAGAACCGATATGAGGACGGTAAGCACATGCTTTATGTCGCAAAACGGCGGAATGCAGAAGGCGTTCAATATAGTCGACAAAAAAGGCAACTTTGATGAAGGTGCTCCACTACTGCCATCGGCGCTCCGAGCCTGCAGGCACCTCTGACCTCCTCCCTAACCAGCTACACCTCCTCCGCTAACCCATTTGGTCTCATTGCACCCAGCCTCAACATACAGCGCACCTCGTACTACATAGCACCCGCCCCTCAAATCACTGTGACTCAGACCGCAGACCTCCGTAGCATCACCATGTCCCTCAACCCTACCTCCAGCCCACCGCGGACACCATACACCCCACACACACCCCTCACGCCATACACCCCAAACACCCCTGGGACGCCTTCACGCGCGGGCAGCCGCACACCCACACAATCCGCCCGCCCGCCTCCCACATCACCTCTCCGGCGGCCGACTTCCCCCTCATCCCTCCGTGCCGCGCCCGGCGCTACACCCGCATCCTCACAACCGCGGCGCGCGTCCGGCTCTCTGACCAGCGTGGGGTCTGTGGGGATGGAGGCGAGAGCGGGGCCGGTGGGGGTGCAGAAGACGCGCGCGCGGGAGCTGCTGCGGAAGCACTATGGCCTTGGATTAGGGCCGCCGCCGCCGCTTGGGGGTGCGAAGAGTAATCAGGACCCGATGGACTTCGGTAAGCCTTACCATGCTGTATGAGGGACCGTGGAAAGCTGATATGGGGCGCGCGCGTAGATTCGCCTGCATTCGATGCAAGGGCGTACTATGAGCAGCTGATCACGACGTCGTCGTTACCGACCCTGCTGAAGACGGAGAATGACTTGTTGACGGGTAAGCACTCATTGCACGGGTGCATTTCTGAGATGGTCAAGGAAGTCTTGCTAATGACTTGACACGCGTGCCACGGTAGAAATTCGGCAGTTAGACAGTGAACGCCAGAGTTTGGTATATAATCACCACCACGAACTTATCGCCGCGAGCGACACCATTGCAGCGGTATGTTCACAATGTATCACTCCGCCTGACGTACATATCTGATACGCTCCATAGATGAAGTCACGGGCAGAGAATCTTGACACCGATTTGGATCTGCTCCGGGCAGCGTTCTCCGAGATTTCAAGACTTTCCACTGACATCTCAGTCGAGCATCATTCGACAACGGACGACTACCGGCAAGATCGACCTCCCTCGTCGATCCAATAAAGTCGCGATACTATATACCTATACACCATGATATCCCAGGACGCTACGCCCTATAAACCATTCTCCGATCCTCCGGGTGTTGCCATGAGTGAGATCCTGCTCATCATGAGCGCATTTTATAACTGAAAGCACTGCGACTATGCGAGATGACTATGCAACAAGAGTGACTAAAATATCCAATGTCCACGATGCATACTATCATACATCTCCCCCTCCGGCATCACTGTGTGCATCTCGAGCTCCCCATGTCTCAGACATGACTAGCGCGTCTGCTAGCAGCCCAGGGACTCTCCGGACGTTCCTGGAGGACGCCATCGACGTACACGTCGACCTTCTCATCGTAAAACGCCGCGCAGCCCTTGATCTCGCCGCACTCGGGTTGCGGACTCCGGTACCACCAGACGACATCTTGCACCAGCTCCCCAGAAGGCAATTGCACGTTATAGTAGTTCGCAGTCCCCTGCGGTCAATCACGCTGTCAATTACGTGTGTGGCTGACAGGCACGGCCACAGAGCGGGCGGAAGGGCGGTACAGTACCTTGTATGGGCACTGCGTGGTTAGTTCGGAGGGCACGAGGAGATCGAGCTTGCAATCCGGCTTCGGGATATAGTACCGCGTAGGCAGGCTCGTCTCGAAGAGCAGGCGGGGGCGTGTTGTGTTGGCCACCTCGACGCCGTTGATTTCGATGCGGACGTGCCGCGATGACTGCAGGACGTCGACGCGCTACGGGGAACCGGGGCGTTGACATTGATATTCAATAAAAAAAATAGCAGCCGCACGTACCTTGTACGGATCCTTGGGGTGCACGTAGATCTGCTCGTCCTCCTCGAACCAGGCGTCCATGACGCTGAACTCGATCTGGATGAGCCCGTCAAGCTCGTCGTCGTGGTAGAGCGTCGCTGCGGCCTCTGCGCGGCGGTTCCCGACGACGATGTCGTAGAGGTGGTGCTTCTGAGACTGGAAGGCGTCGACGAGGTACTTCTGCGGGATGTCCTTCGTCTTGAAGAAGTAGAACGGGTAGTTCGGCTTTAACCAGCTGCGCATGCACATTAACGACGATCAGGAACGGTGGTGTATAAAACGGAGCACTTACACGAGGAGAGCATCTGTGGTGTCGACGATGTACTCGCCACCGAAGAGGACGCGCACACGTCTGGGCGAGGGCTCGATGTGCGGCAGAGCGTATGGGAATGAGTACCGGGCCATGGCGGTGCACTCCAGCGGTCTCTCTGTTCGATGTGAAGGTGGACGAAGAAGAGGGCTATATATGTGTGCTGGGCGGTGGGAGAGCGGACTCCGGCTGACAGCAGCGGCAGCGGTCTCAGCCACAGTCGCCTGTCATGCACCAGGCGCGCTTCCCCGGATGCGGCGGCGCGCCTGGCCATAGACGCGGTCACCTGACAGGAGGACGCGCAACACGTGTGGCGTAAACATGGCCATACGCGCCCGGCGCTCGTCTTCACCCGCGCTTGACTCCTAGCCACCACCTCGCTCTGCTTCTCTCTCCCGCTCTCTGCACTTGACTCTTGGTGTCTACTTTGAACATGGCGAGAGGATCTTACCAGGGATACGTGGAAGACAGCGAAGAGGAGGAGATCATGACCTTCGACACGTCCGCCCTCGCCGCACACGGAGTCGCCGGTCCAAGCTTTCTACCGCCTCTTCCCCCTCCAGGGCGTCCGGAGGAGACTACCGGTGAGTACTGGGATCGCTTAAATTGAACTTGAGGTGGCCAACTGAACTGGATGTTCAGTGTCGTCTATCCAAACACCCAATTTCACTGACATTCAGTCAACAAGGGCACCACCTCCCCCGAACCAAGCCTCTAAGGACCCTGATCACTCTATGTGTGAGTACCCACCTTTCTGCCGTGTACCATGCTTCTGAGTGAGTCAACAATCCGTAGTTTCCGCGATTCAAACACCCAACTTCACCGTCGACCGATCTGTGGTCTCCAATATCTCAGAGTTCAGCCCAATACCTCGCCCTGGACCTTCCAACTTTCAATCCGCACAGCTCTCCAAACTCGCTGACAGCTCTATCTCCACATCCGCATCTACCTCTTCAGCCCCACGCCCGAGACCTCGCCCAAGACCCGCATATAAGAAGAAGGTTGCGGATGCCGCGCCAGATACATCATTTCCCGCCAGTTCCTCCAGCGTCGGTGCACCCGCTGCGGGAGGACTGCTCTCCACTGCCCCTGCTCCATCCCACATACTTGCATTGGAGCCAATGGGTGCCCCTTCCCACATTCCGCTTACGGCCGCTACCTCACTCACCACCGCAAGCAAAGGCACGTCGGGGAAGGAACGGGTATCGGACAGTGGCGTAGAGCTGGACCTGCTGTATGCGGGAGACATCGCCGAACGCGCGAAACTACGCTCGCGTGCGCGCACGCAGACACAGGCCAAGGCGGTGGATACCTCCTTGGACGACGGCGTGATATCTCTTTCATCAGATGACGAGCTCCAGCTACTCTCGCCGATCAAGCCTAAGCCTAAACCTAAGCCAAAGCCAAAGCCTAAAGCGAAGAAGACTAGCGCAGGGCCGTCATCAGGGAAGGACACAGGGAGCGGCAACAGCGGGAAAGGCAAGGCGACGGTGGTCATCCCGCCTCCCTCCAAACGCATGAAGACCACACACCTCCCCGACCTAGGTTTCGAGTCAGACGTTAATACCATTCCAGTACCAACATCCGATTTCCCCGCCCCTGCCCACATCCCCGGTACACACAGCTCCCAACTACCGCCATCTGATCCGCCACCATCTACCGCGACGTCTTCTTCGGCGCGCACTCATCCTCAGACCTCGCAGGAGATCGAGGCAGCCAAAGGCAATCGCGACTTGTCCCCACTGTCGTCCCCTCCTCCACCCATGCCGCGCAAGAGGAAGCGGCCCAATCTGCCAACTTCGCTAGGCCTGGACTCCGATGTCGAGGATATGCTGGGGCCGGCGGTGGGCGTGAGCAAGCCACCGGTGAAGGCCAAACCGGCGGCCAAGGAACTGCCTATTCCACCACCCCTCCCTTCGCCGAGTGTCGTGCCTGAGACGCAGCCACCTGTGAAGCCGAAACCCGCAGCGCGCAAGAAGCGCAAGGAACCCGTCGAAGACAACGACGAAGATTGGGCTGGCGAGGCGCCCGCCAAACCGACCAAGAGCAGGAAGAAGGCTCGCGTGACAGATGACGACGACTTTGGCGGTGGCGGCGCCGGCGGTGGGGACGATGACGACGATGACTGGGATGCGTCTAGTGCGAAAGGGAAGGCCAAAGGCAAGAAAGCTGCGAAGAAGGCCGCACCCAAGGAGAAGAAGGGACGTGCGAAGGCTAAGGACAAGGAGAAGCCGCCGAAGAGCAAGGAGATCATCGAAGACTCAGATGAGGAGGGCGGTGGCATGCTCCCTCCGCCAATTCCTGCTACTACGTCCAAGCCACCTGCGAGTAAGGCCGCCTCTCCGCCAGCATCCGCGACGGAAGCCAGACCACCTGCGAGCTCGGATGCAGCTTCGTCTAAGAAGGGCGGGCCAAAGGGCAAGCAGCGCGCCGTCGTTCTCTCGGACGAGGAGGACGGAGATGAAGCAAACGCTGCGGACATCTCAACGAACACTATCAGTGCCGACATCGACTCGCCAGCCGTCCCAACAGTGAAGAAGGGTGGGCGGAAGTCTACTGGAGGCCAGCAGAGCCCAACCACGGAGACCAAGGTGCGTGATAGCGCACTATTCAATCTACCCCAAAGGCTCAACATACGCACGTCAGGAAAACGATGCGCCCGCTTCGTCGACCTCTATCTACGGGGGGCTCGCAAAGCCTTTCGCCACCCCAGCCCCATCCTCGCGCAGTAACTTCTCGAACGCGAATCGCTCCTACACCATCGGCGCCAAGTCCACCAAGCACACGCCCATGTCCGAGCTCATTCGGCGTGCATCGGCGCAGCCGGGCTCCCCATTCCCTGCGACCGCACGTCCGGTGTACTCGCCCCTCGTCAAGGGATCTAAGTCTGTGCTGCGTCGTATCGCGCCGCTGCACCCTAATCGCCGCACCCCGCCGCCCGTGCCACCGCGCGCCCCACAACCGAAGAAGACAAAGAAGATGCTCGAGCTCGAGGAGAAGTGGGAGATGGAGCTCGAGGATAGCGTCGAGGGGTGGTACGCCATGGCCGACTCCGAGCGCGCTGCGTTGATGAAGGCCAAGAGGGACGCGGAACTGGGCTTCTACGAGGATTGAGGAGGTCCCCGGTGCGGTTTCAGTTACCACTCGGACCCACTCGACTTCGCTTCTGGATTCTATGTGACTTATCATGTATTTCAGGATGGATGTTGTACAGAATAACTCAGACTTGCAGTAGTCCAGTGACACTCGCCGCTAATTCCAGCATCGACCCAATACCGACCATATCGGTCGGAAAGTGTTGTCCTTTGTTTGTGCTTGTGGGCATCAGCGCAGTTAACCTCAGAGCAAGTTGGGAGCGGCACATCTCACCCACATCTCATCCACTGACCTTCTAAAGGTGCCTATGAGCCTCGCTCGTACTCAAATAACCCTTTCGTGATGTCTAACTGACTAAACAAGCTCCGATGCCTTCAACTCCGATATTTCCTCACGCCCAGATGATCCGTTCCAACCCCGCTGATGCAACCACGAACCGCGACCGACAACGTGTATCGCCATGCCTTACTGTCTTCCAACATGTTCGGGGAGCGCGTCGGCCGTCCTCGCAGGGACCTCATCAGGGCATTCCATAGCGCTACAGCTCCATGTAACCTACCGGGAGTGGACTGGGTGAGTTTCCAGCCTGGCCCGCACCAAAACTCAGACCAGATGGTGGCGGAAGGTCCCTGGGACATACTCGGCCAGCGGTGGCTTTTCCTCGCCATCTGTGATGGTATGTTCGTCTCGCCCATATTGAATCTGCTCCGAAGATCACGACTCATACTGCAACTCGCAGGCTACGGCGGACCAGACACGGCCCGCTTCGTGGCCGACGCGCTTCCTCAACGACTGCTTCCGGCGCTTGCGCTGACAATACGGAGACATTGTGGCGGCCTCCTGGACCGCAAGAATTGCGAGGAAGCGTCCCCCCATATTGCCGACATGCTGCGAGCGCAGATAGTCGACCTCGACTACTCCTTGATGGGAGCTGTCCAGCGGGCCTGTCCCAAGCCAAAGTACCTCGCGAGCAAGGAATACGCCATGGGGCTTATTCGCGAACACGCGAGCACGGGCGTATTTGCGCGTGCTGCACAAGGCAGCACGCTCGCGATGGCCATCATTGCGATCGAGGACCGTTTCATGTGGGTGGCGGGGGTAGGCAACTCCACAGTCGGTGAGTCAGGAGCACGGGGCAACGGTGCAGGACGGGGCAGCTCAGGTTCTAACATGCAACTAGCCCTCTCGACAGTGGACCACGAAGGAACCCGCAGGGCCAAACGCCTCTGTACGAGGCATACGTTCGGCAATCCAGAAGAATTCCAACGGGTGCTCGCGGCGCGTGCATTATCTGCGCACGCACCCATAGACAGTACCCACCCGCTCCTCCGCTGGAGCCCGCTTACCCGTGGTGAGGCGTACACACCGCGATGTCCTCGCTCAACATCAGCCCGCTCATACAGCCCGTCTTCGTCTTCGCAGTTATCGGCCACGTCCCCCTCAAAATGGAGCACGCATACATGGAGAATCTGTTCCGTCACGTCCACATCGACAACGACGTCCAGCTGTCCGACCTCGTCGGCAAGATCAGACTCCCCTCCTACCTCACCGCCGAACCAGAGGTGCATTTCGTCGACCTCAAGCCCGTGTGGGGCCGAGACCCGGTCCTCCTCTTGTTCACCGAGGGTGTCGACCACCTCGTCGACGATTCCTTTGTCTTCAACCCCGGCACGTCTCGAGGCGTTGACACGCTGGACATCGTGCCCGCGCTGTTGTCGGACTCGCCTGACTCGACGGTCGAGGCTATATTGGGCCACGACGTGTTGCCCAGGTGGAGTGGTGCTGAGCGCAATAGGGCCTTCGACGTTCTCGGAAACCTCCTGGGTGGACGGAATACGAATAGGCTTCGGGAAGTGCTGCAAAAACCCTTATCAGAGGCGGAACGAAATCGATTCGTCATAAGGGACACGTCTTTGATAATTGCTCGCTTTTTAGACATGCGTTGACTATATGGGCCTTCGGATATGACTTCTAGCGGCAATGGAAACTGCGAACTTGTCATTTACAACTATGCATTGAGAGGTACTGTAAACAATACTGCATGAATAACAAACTCCAAGTAACCAACCGCCGCCGGCCGTCTCACGTCCGTCCTCCACCCGCCACATCCCAATCCCTCCCCTTCACCAGCCGCCGGGCGTTCTGGGCCTCCAGATCCTTCAAGATCCCGAGGACCTTCCGCGCCGCGTCGACGTCTCCCACTCCATAGAAGGCCTTAACGAACGTCTTGTACAGCGGCCGCACATGCCGCATGTACATGACGGGGGAGTTCACCCGCGGGACTTCGATGTCACCCACGAAGAGCGAGGGAAACGTCTTGACAGCAGGGGCCGCTCCCCCTAGGGGCACAACGCCAGTTGGGTAGCCCATCTTCACGACAGCATTGAAGAACGTGCGGGCCTTTGCCACGTCGAGATCCTTGTCCGACAGCAGCACCTTAAGCATGATGTTGACTGTGACCCGGTCCGGAACGAACGCGTGCTTCTCCGTGAGCGTCCGATATATGTACGCTGTCTCGCGCACCCTCTGTCCACGCGAGGCGCGGGTCGCAGCGCCGTCGAGGAGCATGTTGCCGGCGACGGTGCGCACCTCCACGCTCTCTTGCTGCGAAATGCGTTCGCCAAGCTTCTTCGCGGCGTGGAGTCGCCCGATACGAATGAGGGCCAGCAGTGCGCGCAGAGCCACGTCCGGGTCCGAGGTCGCTCCGTACAGAGAGGGTAGATGGAGTGTCGAAACGATGGGCAACTTCCTTCCGCGACCGACGCGAGAGGACGTTAGGGCTGCTGAACGGAGTGGCTGCTTCATGGCACTCGTTGCCGCCAGCTGTGACGCCAGCCGACTGGCGTTGCCCCGAGCAGAACGCAAGACCTCCATAATACTCCAGTCGGAAGCCCTGTCGGGATGCAGGGGAGCGCAGCGAGCGAGAAGGCGCCGGGCTAGCTTGAATCGCCTATACCTCAGGAGAGCAGAGAGAACGTAGGAGCAGAGTCGCTCGGTAAGAGCAGGGGGGTGCTTCTGCACCACATCCTCGGTGAGAGCGACGGCCCTTGCAGCATAGCCCTCGCGGATGAGCACGAGAAGGGAGGACTGAAGGCAGCCCAGCAGCGGCCCGGGTTCGGCCACGCACGTTGAGAGGTTGACAGCGATTCGGCCTATATCCGCAATCGCCCGAGGCTCTATGAACCGCCGACCATGCGCGGCGAACGTTCGCAAGTGCGCCATCACGACTTGCGCACGCTGCTCGAAGGAGAGCGAGGGGTCGTCGATGTAACGGTCCAGGTAGTCGCTCATGCCGTGTCGTGCCAAGGCAATCCCGACGTACGCGACGGCCTTCCCAGACGGAGCGATACCGCGGTTCCTCGCCCACGCGACGAGCTCCTGAGCATGCTCCGGATCGAGACCCGCGTATCGCATGACCGCAGCGTCCGTAGCGGCGGTGAGGAGACCCATGTCAGTCGTGCAGACGACCAAGTCCACCAACGCGCGCTCGAAGAACGTCCCGCACTTCAGCGCGGCATACAACTGCTCCGTCGCTAGCTCTTGCAAGCCCGCTTCGGTGTCAGAGCTGGACTCCTGGCAAGACCAAAGCCTGGCCGTGACACAGTACTCACGACAGGCGTCGAGCAGAACCTTGTCTTCGAGGCGTCCAGCGAGTTTGAGCGTGGAGGCGCAGATGAGACGCGAGACATAGAGAGGGCGAGGCGGGGCGTCTTCGAGAGGGATCGCCGTCCAGTCGCCCCAAAGCTTGCGAAGGACGCCACAGAAACCCTGGACGACCTCAAGCGGGAGTGCATCGCTAGGGGAAGACCGTCCGGTGTCCAGTAAATTCTCCACGGCCGCGAGAATGCAGACCGTCTGCCATTCCATCACTGCTGCCCGTCGGATAGGGTCGCTGGACGCCTCCGCGCTGTCGCCACTCCACTCAGCCGTGCGTGTCCGTACGAGTGCGAGTAAGCAGAGGCAGGTCCAACCCAAGTCGTCCGTATGGTCGATGTCATGAGGTACTGCGAACACCCGACGTGCAACTGCTCGTGCCCACCGGGAAAGTGAATCGCCTGTAGCTCCGGGGAGCAAGCTATTCCCGAACACAGCACGTTCCAACGCAACGACTAGTTTGTGGGCACCCGAGACGACGAAGGTGGCCTGGGCAGAAGGGGAGTTCGAAGACATGGTAACAGTCGGCCAGTCAGCCGCAACGCGACTCGAGATAGCCAGTAGAAGCTCCTGCTTCGAAGTAGACGGGATGTTGGTATCGCTGACGATAGACTGGAATAGTAGAAGACTGAGAGATGGGTGGATCCAGCCAGTTTGCGTGAGAATGCTCGCAACATGCGTAATAAATTCTTGGAAGCGCTTGTCGGACGGCTCAACTAGAAGGGCTTGAAGGTAGGACAGGTGCAGCTCGGGATGGGAAGATGTACCGCGGATCGCATTGTAACATTGTCCCGCAGCAGACAGCCACGCCTCCGATCCAGCTCTATCTGCAGAATATTAGCTGTTAACATGGCCAGCGAGACTATAAAACCTTACCAGTTTCCGCATGCTCGCGGAATTTGGCAATTCGAGCACGCATGAGCCAATACCGATCGGATGTCCATAGAGGATACCGAAGACGATGTTTGTCTTGACAGAGCATGATGATCATATCCCACTGAGGTGTATAGTTCGACTCAGGCATATCCGGTAAACGAGGATGGGTATGCAGCGAGTTGAAGGGTTTCCCGGGAGTAGACATAGACAAGGAACCGAGCAGGCGTATGATAGAGCTCATGTAGCGAGGTTCAAGATGTTGCAGGACGTTCTCACGCTTCCACAGGAGATAGCGATGGCGGATGTGCCGAACAGTGTAGCGCCGTGAATTGTCATGAAGGGTGTCCAGGTCAAGGAAGACGCGGAGTTGTGCCATAGATGATTGGTGGGGTGCATCTTGAGAGGCAACATGGGCGTCGACCGGTGAGATTGCGTCACTGTCCGCAAGCTCCTTCGCCTCCTCCAACGAGGTCGTAGATGACACGCTGGCCACCGGTGTATCAGATGTGCCAGAAGGGCTATAAGCATGCCCACTTGCACGATGATATATGGAGAGCGCGAAGACGCGTGACGATGGGTGCGAGAGGCAGCGTGCGGCATCCGCCAAAAGCAGGCTGCGGGATGTCACTGGCACACCACGCAGCGGTGAGAACGAAGCTGCGCGGACGCTAGAATATCGTTGGGGTGAGATTCAGCGACGCTTGTAACATGGAGTCTCGTACCTGAGCCTTCGCAGGACATTATCGCAGCCGCCCCCGACTCGGACGGTCTGCAGAGTCCATCGCAACATTCCATTGCATGTGAGGTCAACGGCCAGGGCTTCAGGTTGCCCGGGTATCCGTGCACTCTATGCCAGGTGCTGACCGATCAAGGCCCTGGAGAACGCGTACGGACAACGAAGACGAGGACGAGGACGAGGAGAACGCGGTCGATGACGAGAGCGCGCGACGACCACCAGCACAAGCGTCTATGCGATCCCCGTGAGAACCAGGCTCTGATCCAGCGTGCCGTCGCGGCTCCCGGCCCGGACCTACCTCCTTCCTTTTGCAGCCCTCGGCGCAGGCCGCATCTTCTTGAACCTTATCTGCACAACTGTACGCCACCGCTTCGCCGGTGCAGCGCGGGCCTGTAGTGCGGAAAGTTAGGCGTACTCGTCATATACTCATCGACCAGCTGCCTTGAAAAATCCATTGGCACACCTGGTATGCAGAACATATTCTTGACGTTGGGGCCGTATGCTGACAAGGCTGCAGAGGTCAATCGGGAGGCACTGATCAACCACTACCCAAAACTCAAGTGAGTGCGCACCACAAGCTGAGCCAAGTCCAATCACACTGAACGCGTCTACTTCTCTAGGACTACATCATCACAATGGGTGCAACTCGCGCGCAGAAGGAACTCTACTTCCAGAAGCTCAAGGAGCTTGTGGCCAAGTTCCGTGAGTAGTGCGCTATGATACTTGGCGCGACGGCACACCAACAAACACCTATCCCTCAGCCTCCATCTTCGTCGTCAACGTCGACAATGTCGGCTCCAACCAGATGCATCAGATCCGTGTCGCCCTCCGTGGCAAGGGTGTTGTCGTCATGGGCAAGAACACCATGGTCCGCCGTGCTCTCCGCTCCATCCTCTCGGAGTACCCCCAGTTCGAGCGTCTCCTTCCCCACGTCCGTGGCAACATTGGTTTCGTCTTCACTGGCGACGACCTGAAGGAGATCCGTGAGATCATCACCGCCAACAAGGTCGCTGCCCCCGCGCGTGCTGGTGCTCTCGCGCCCAAGGATGTCATCATCCCCGGTGGTAACACTGGTATGGAGCCCGGAAAGACCTCCTTCTTCCAGGCCCTCGGTATCCCGACCAAGATCGCTCGTGGTACCATTGAAATCGTCGCCGATGTCCAGGTCGTCACCGCCGGCACCCGTGTCGGTACCTCCGAGGCGACGCTGCTCAACATGTTGAACATCTCGCCGTTCACGTACGGTATGTCCGTGGTCCAGATCTTCGACCAGGGCAACGTCTTCTCGCCCGAGGTTCTCGACATCTCCGACACCGAGCTCCTCGACCGCTTCCTGTCTGGTATCAAGACGATTGCGGCCATCTCGCTCGCCATCAACTACCCCACGGTTGTCTCGGTCATCCACTCCCTCGTCAACTCCTACAAGAACCTCATCGCTGTTGCTCTTGCCACCGAGTACACCTTCGAGGGTGCTGAGAAGGTGCGTATTTCTTTCTACGCGCAATTTTATATGCCTATGATGCCTACACATCACACACTGAAAATGCTGAGCGTCTTACGGACGTATGCTGTTTAATCAATATTGTTCTATCTCTGAGGCTACCTTGCTACATGCTGTCTGTATTCACAGATGCTAACTGCATTTCCTCATAGGCCAAGGAGTACCTCGCCAACCCTGAGGCGTTCGCCGTCGCCGCTGCCCCTGCTGCTGCGGAGGCCGGCCCCGCTGCCGAGGCTGCTGCTGCCGCCCCTGAGGAGGAGAAGGAGGAGTCCGACGACGACATGGTATGTTACCCGTTTGCAACATCTAGCATGTGCTCACAATCTTGGCTTGCAGGGCTTCGGTCTGTTCGACTAAACGCTCCGCGCTCGAGTTCACATTTGATGATGTATCGCGTCATGATCCCAAAACATACTTTACGATGCTGTCTTTGTACTCTAGCTGTGTCGTTAGCACTCATGATTCCCCGATACTCTCGCAATGCATTTCTACGCGCTTGTCCTGAACCTCTCGTGACCTGACGCACCTCGCTGCGGCAAAGCACAGCGGCTTTGTGTGGGCGAACAAGACGGAGCGCCCTGAAACGCGGGCCACCAAGCGGCTTTTGGGACTTCTATTGCTATTTGGGTGACAGGGATGGCATATTAATTGCGAACTGCTCCCCGCGACCCTGCGTCTCTCTCACCTCCTTGAACATAAACGACGATGTGCGAGTCGGACAGCTCACAAGAACTGCCGGTGACATTCCGACCAGAACTGTACCTACAGCGTCGAGGATGGGTCCTCGATATCATGCGCCGCGAAGGCATCACCGAGGTGCGATCCGCATCTCGAGCCAGAAGCCACCGAGGACACACGCTGATCCGTTGCCTATATACAGGTGCTCGACATAGGGTGTGGCGAGGGCGAGCTGCTCGCTTGCCTCTGCAACCCCGCGCCGTGGCTAGCACCACCACCCACAGACGTTCTCGACACAAGCAGTGACGACGATGACTGCGCGGAATTGCACAAAGACATCCTGCACCCCGTCAAGATCGCGGGCTTGGACATCGACCAGCGCGAGCTGGAGGACGCGGTGAAGATCACGCGCCCGCCGTCCCCCGGCCACACCCCCGCGCAGTGGCACTGCGAGCCTCTGCGCTGGGAGCCGCTCGAGGCGAAGGTGTGGGAGGGCAGCCTCGCGCACGTAAACCCGGAATTCGTGGGGGTAGACTGCGTCGTCTCGACGGAAGTGTGCGTGCGCGTTCGACGCTATGTCGGCTCTCTGCATCGCGCTGACCTTTATGAACGTCTACCGCAGCATTGAACACTTGCCGGAGGACGTCCTGCAAGCCTTCGCGCCCGTCGTACTCGGCGCGTATCACCCGCGCATCGTGTTGCTCACCACGCCCTCGTACACATTCAACGCACGCTTCACCGCGCCCGACGCGCCTTTCGAAGCGCGGTCAGGGTGGCCCGACCCCACGCGGCGTACCAAGCGCATCTTCCGGCACCACGACCACAAGTTCGAGTGGACCGTCGAAGAGTTCACGCAGTGGTGCAATGCGGTCGCGGAGGAGTGGGGCTACGACGTCGAGCTTGGCGGGGTCGGGAAGGCCGAGGAAAACGACGAGTGGGAGCGCGATGACGAGCTCGGCTGGGCGAGCCAGGTTGCTGAATTCCGCCGCCGCGAAGGCGCAGAGTGGGCAGAGAGAAGGGCGAAGCTGGTAGCGGGTCTGGGGATCCCGGACCAAACTGAAGAGCATGCGGGACACAAACTGCTCGCGACTCACCGACACTCGGCTCACGAAGCCGCTCACCGGCCCCAGTCCCTCGAAGCAGTCGGCGACCTCGTAGTCGAACGGATGCTGCGCTTCCGCAACACCACCCTTCCTCTCCGCGAGATATGGTTCCAAAATGAGGTCGCCGTTGCGTGCGGTGGCTGGCTAGACTGGCTTGTCCGCGCCGTCCGGGCCCATACCGGACTCTCTCTCCAGAAGCCAGTAGCTGGACTGACCGTGGACTGGGCCGTACAGCTAGACCCTGCGCTGCACCACCTCATGCTACCAGAGTCCCCGGCCGACTCCCCTCCTGACACGGACGAAGTGGCGGATATATGGGACCCATTCGATGACGATGAACCTTGGATAGAAAACCCGGAGGAATTCCAGGTGGCGCAGGATGAAACGTGTGTAGCCAAGGACAGTCGGAGTGAGCAGGACATTGACTGGGACAAGAGGGAATATGATGTCGCGGCTGGGACTGAGTGGGGTGCGCCGGAAGGGGACTGGTCCTGCGATAGTGAATGGTCGTAGAACACAGTACTTACACTTGGATATCCTACACCAATTTCACGCTTCATGGTGTTTGAGGAAGAAGAACGATGGTATAGACGCGAGCCCTGGCGGAGGCTCGAGTACGATATACTACAGTAGAAGTCCTAGCACACAACGCCTCAGCAGACAGCCGACATGATACAGCTCACATACACGCACCGAATGATAAGCAGCCTTGAGCCCGCCAACTCCAGACACGTTCACTCCGCTACAGCCGGCACCCTAGGACCTGTATGAAGCCGCTGCTCTCAGCACCAACCTTTCTGCCCCCACACGCACAGAAACACTACTCACGTTCCAAGGGGTGAACTTGCGCGAGGTAGGTGACCATCCACATCAGGTAGCAGCACGCAAGGGTGAGCAGGATGCTCGTCCGGATCAGCCTATTGTGCCATTGTCAATACGGAGTCCGCACGCGCCATCAGGCAATTTGGGTATGCTCACGTCTGGTTAGGACCTTTACGAGTCGCGAACCATCCAGCGCTGCCAAAGAGAACAGCAAGTACGAGGACGTAGACCGCGGGTAGTGAGGAGGACATGGTGGACGGTTGCAAGATGCCGCTAGTATTGACAGCACCAGGTCCACGGTACCGTGATGGGCGCTTACGCCACATTGCGGACGAGCTGCGCGTCCAGAATTCAGCGCAAGTCCAAACATTTTGAAGTAAGGGTCTCTCTACCCAACTGAACAAATCATTCTCCCACACGATTCAAGTCGGTGCAGCGTTGATGAATATTCAAGCAATTGCTAACATTAGGTAGATGCACCGAGGCCTAGTATACTTCGACGTCGCGGTCGTAACTGTCTAGAGTATATCACTCTGTCCCCTCGCTCATTCAAACTTCCTCCTGCGGTAGTGGATCTGGCACGGGACGGGCTGCACCATCATAGACTAGCACATCGTGTCAGGAAGGATTCATGGTGTGTAGACTTGAACGGAAACTCACCGAGTAGTCAGGCGCGGGGAACGTGCCCTCGTAGCGGAACTCCATCCTGCGCACGAGCGACGAGATGACAGTGCTGATTTGCAGGTACGCAAACTAAACCAGGTCTGTTAGCAAGTGTCGAAGCACATTACTTTGAGGATAGCTCACCTGCTCGCCAATGCAACGATGACGGCCGGCACCGAAGGGCAGGTACGGGCTGACCGTGCCCTTGCTCACGAGACCGAACCCGAAGTCAACCTTCTCGCCCTCGTTGTACTCCTTGTTCGCCTTGGCAGCAACACCCTTCTCATCGTACCACCGAGTCGGCTCCCAAGACTCCGAGTCGTCCCAAACGCTGGGGTCGACCTGGCTGATGAGCGGCGATGCAAGGACAATATCACCCTTGGGCACGACGAAGACCGAGTTCTCGGAGGGAGTGCCGAGGGTAGCGGGAACGGGGATGTCAACATTGGCCTTGCGCATGATGCTGTGGATTGGCGGGTGGAGGCGGAGAGTCTCGCGGACGACGGCGTCGAGGATGTTAAGGTCGCGGATTTCGTCGTAGCCGAAGTCACGGAGGCCACCATCGGGCGTACCAAAGTGCTGGACCTGTTCCTTGTACAGCGCTTCCCTGATGTTTGTGTTAAAATTCATGAAAACCAAAAACAGTCCTGGTCACGTACTGGATGTCGGCACGGGCCGCAACGTGGAGGACAGCCCAGGCGAGGGACGAAGAGCTCGTGTGCTGGCCGGCCATGAGCAGAGCAATCAGAATGTGCGCAATCTCGTGGTCGGGGAGCTGTTTGCCGTCGCGGTAGCGCTGCTTCATGAGAGAGTTCATGACATCGTCCTCCTGGTTCTAGGAACAAAGTCAACACAGGGCGCAGGAAATCCGGGTTTCATTGACCGACCTCAGTAGGGTTCTCACGACGCTTGCGAAGAATTGACTGGTAGAACGAGCTCATCTTGGTGTGGGCAGCATCTCTCCGGCGGTAGCTGGGAAGCGGGAGGCCGGGGATCATCCAGTGAAGGGGAGTGAAACCGTGGTCGAGGTCGGAGTAGACCTGGGCGTAGTCCTTGGTCAAGCTCTCACGAATCTCACGGCCTTGGAGGGTACGCGAGGCCGTCAAGATAGTCATCTCGGCGAAAGACTTGAGCACGGGGAAGGTGCCCCACTCGTTGATGTCGTCCATTTGGTAGACCTTGAAGGACGCGTCGGTGTTCAGGTAGTCCTTGACCTCGTCGTCGATCATGCCGACGTATGCGCGGAACTTGTCGATGGTCAGGGAAACCTTAACGAACTTCTTCTGCTCCATGAGCTTCTCGTTGGGGCAGTCATACACGACATCCTTGCCGAAAATGGGCGTCGTCAAGGGCTTTTCGTAGCATGTCAGCAAAAAGCGGATCACAAGTATGCTAAAGACATACGCCATATACAGGCTCCGCAGCGAGCTGGGTGTGCTTGCCGCCCAAAACGAAGTCGTTGCCTTGAGGTCCCAGCGTGACGGTGACGCGCCTGCCCAGGAGAATGAAGGTGAAAACATTGCCGTACTGCACAAGTCGTATGCGTTAGATGCTGTATGGTAGAACGACCAGGTTGCGCGCACCTTCTCCCTGCACTCCCTGAAGAACGCAATCGGGTCGCGGCCGTAGGCCGGAGCAGATCCAAGGAAAGGAATCCAATGCCAGACCAGCGGGGGTTGCGACTTGTCGCGGGGTAACTTCTCTGGGAGTCAGCGCCTTCGCAGACCCAAAGCAACGGACCACATACCAATTGCCAAAGTACGTTGAGCACAATGGAAATCAAGGGTATATTGATCAGCGCCAGCAGGAGCAACCTAGGGTTTGAGGGCCACTCGAGCTGGGTGAGCGTGCCCGTCCAGGGCTCCGTGAATGTTGCGTTGGCCGACATGGTTCCCAGAGAGCTGTCGTCGTCGAGCGTCGCCGCAGAAGGGTGACGGCAGACGGTGGGAGGAGGGTGAGGAGGACGAGCGTGGCGGTGGGAGCCAGTGGGGACGAGAAGATATACAAATTGGCGCGGGATATTCGCTCGTCCATCGAACCATTCCCACTTTCCGAATCAGGCGCTCGCTTCTCCGCATTTGGGTTCCAGGTCTCTCCAGTCCTCGTCGCCCATGGCCCGCGCCGTCGAGGCCCTCTTTTCCGTATTGCCGGACCAGAGTCGTCAGACACCGCTTGACAAATCGAGGCCGCCATATTTCAACATGGAGACATGGTGGGCCAGCTGGCAGAGACACGGGCGTCTTCGAGTTTCTATATATGCCTAGGCTGATGTCACTAGCATTGCTCATGTAGATGCATATGTACGCCAGTTACAGCGCGAACTCGTCGTGTTCAGCGTGGCAAGCAAGGCTCATTGTAGTCAATTGGGAAGGGGCATGAGTAGTGCGTGATCAATATAGTAGGTGTAATATAAGTAGTGACTATGATACAATCCATGAGTGGCGATAGCGCGAGTGTAGCGTATGTCTAGCACAACATCCAACGAAACCCCCCTATCGCAGCGCAACCTCAATCATCGGCCGCATCCCAAGCTTCACCATCTTGATCTTCACGTTCACCTCGTCCCCAAGCCCGAGAGCCATCTCCTGCGGCAAGTCCACCAGCAAACTCTTCATCCCGAGCTGCGGGATGTACACCTGGGAGTTGTTGTCCCGCGTCCGCGTGTTCAAATTCGGCGTCGTCAGCAGGCGCGCCGTTAGGTTCTGCAACGGGTCGGGCCCCTGCCTCTCCGCCGCCGCCGGGTCCGACATCCACCGCTGGATATGCAGGTGCGCCCAGTACTCGAGCTGAATGCGCTCCGCCCGCTTCGCATCGAGCTCCCGCGTCTCCAGCTCGTCACCAAAACGCGCGAGCCAGTCCTCCTGGTACAACACCGGCGACACCTTGTCGCCCGCGGCCGCGAGGAGCGCGTGCTTGATCTGCCAGTGCGCGAAGAGGTCGCCGAACCGACGCAGCGGCGACGTCACCTTCACGTACCCCTCGCCCTCGGGCACACCGAGCAGCGCATGCGGCCCCGGGGTCGTCAGGTACCGCCCGGGGGGTGCAGAGACTAGGTTGTGGATGGTGATGTAGTAGTCGAGGACGAACCCGTCCTCGTCACGCGCCTCCATTGCCTTTTCTATGCCGCCGACGCGCTCGGAGCGCATAGCGCCAACGGAGCGGCGCAGCGCGGGGATGCCGCGGTCGCGGAAGAACAGCGATGCGACGCGGCATGCGGTTTTCATGCTCTCCGACACGATCTCGCGCGCGCCGGTTTCGCGCGTGTCCACGATACCGTAGGTGATGTCGGGGAAGCCGCGGAATGCGTACGGGGTGAGGTCGGTTGTTCCGAGGATGTTGTCGGGCAGTGGTCTTGGATTGAGCTCGAGGTCGATCATGGGCAGACACATAGTGATCGCACCATTCCGTACACGAGCGCGCACGAGTTTGCGCGTCGTTTGCTGGAGAAGCCGAAGATCCTCGAGGGCCGCTGAGTCAATGGCAGAGATGTCAACCGGCGGCCTGCTCGGCGGGACGGCGTGGAAGGGGTAGGTCATCTTGTTGACAGTGGTACCAAGCGCAGCGTCGACCATGTCGTACTTGAGCGTCCGGACGTTTCTCACGACGGCGGCTCGAACCTTGTAGTCCGCGATCTCACCCCGAGAGTCGATCTTCACGCTGAAGGTCATGACCTTGTCCGGTTGGCCAGGCTCCTGTCCAAGACTGAATTGATGGAATCCGGCGTCTGGGGGTAGCATGCGAATGGTGCGATCGAGCAGGTAGCTGGACGTCGAGAGACGGAAAGCACTCCGAGCGATTTCGTGTGTCGGGGGGAGGAGAGTAGTAGGGTCTGCGACATGGATATGTAGCCAAACACTGTCTGGTTCGGAGGGTATGCGTTCTATCGACACGCCATCGTCAAGCTCCTCGGCGCCCCAGTCGTCCACGACGTATACAGGTGTGTTGCCAAAGTCATGCCTCAAAGACTCCACGATGTCCCGCCGATAGAAATCCTGGGGCCCTAGTGGATCGGGGAGCAGAGGGGAAGCGGTAGTCGGAGGGAGGGTGACAGGCTCGAGGTCTTCAAAGCGTGCTTCATCGCGAGTGACCACTTCTTGCCATGGGGCAAGAACTCCCATCTCTGATAGTAGCATGTATACCGAGGACTCGTCGTATAGCTCCAGGTCATACAACCCAGTTTTCTTGAGTATTTGCGAGAATGGGATTTCGAAGGGATCGACTTGGATGCGACGCATCGCTCGGAGAGACAGGCGTAGGTAGCGAAGGATTGTCTTGTCCTTCTCCGTCAACTCGACGCCTTCGAGGGGATGACGGGAAGCTGGTTCGCGGAAAGACTCTACTGCCCGTGCCCGTGAAGCGAGGACGAGTGCGCGTGCCTTCTCTGCGAAGGTGTCTAGGGCGGGGTCCTGCTCGTGGCTCATCTGGTGCACAGCTTTGATGACCTCGACGTCCTCTCGGGGGCGAACCCAGAAAGTCTGCTTCATGAGGAAACGCCGCTGCTCCACCACGTACGATATGCCTTCTTCCATGAGATACGTCTGGGCCGCTAGCAATTGCTCGAGAGAGACGTCGCGCGACCCAAAGAGCTTCTCCGCGGCGTCGTGGATGGTGATTTGGGTCCACGTCTTCGAATCCGGGTGAGCGACCTTGTCGTAGAAGTTGACGGCCCGTGCTTCTTCAAGGACTGCGTGCATGGTGTTCTCGAAGCTCCGCTCGAACTTACGCATGCGTTTCAGCACCTCCACCCGCGCGTCCATCTCTTTTTCAGATTCCGGGATGAGCATCATGCCACAGTCCTCCGCAAGCTGCTTGTCGACGAAGTTGGGGATTTGGAATTGAACGTCGTGCTCTTGGTGGGGCCATAACTCTCCGCGGGGCGTCAGAGAGTGAACCGTCCATTTGCGGTCGAGGAGGACCGTGTAGAGCACGACACCGAACTCGCGGATGCCGTTTCTAGTCGAGTAAGAGGTTAAGTTAGGGAGTCTTTGGATGGATCGAAGTCGTGCCAACCCACCGCCGAATTTCAAGAAATGATCCTGCAGGGAACCTCTGGTCCACCTCTCCGAACGCGTCCTGGTCATCAGTCTCCGGGAGCGAGATGGTGTCGGTTGCGTGGTCCGTCGCCTCAAACGCGAGCTTCTCCATTGAGGGTGGCATCGTTTTCTGAGGAGGAAGAGGCACCTGCTTCGACTTCTTCGCTAGGCCCGGGGGTTTGCCTTCGAGTAGGGCGCATGCCTCTGGGGAGAGCACGCTCTGTAGGGCTTTCGCAACCTTTTTGGGCCCGGAGCTTGCTGACCGTTGAGGATATGTCTCCGGTCCTCCTGGAGGTCGTTTGGAGTACGACTGTGTTCCTTCTCGTGGCCGTTCGGAGAACGACTGTATTCCTTCCCGTTTTCCATCCCGTGGTCGTTTTGAGTACGAACTAGCTCCTTCCCTTTTGGAAAATGAACTAATCCCATCCCACTTGGAAAACGAGTTCGCTCCCTCCGAGGGTCGACGCTTAGAGAACGATTTGTCTCCATCCTCTGTAGACCACGGCGGCTTCGGTAGCGTACTCTTCTGGCGACTGAGTGCGTGGCGGAGCCCAGCAGAGACATCCGGGAGTCGTGGAAGTGCGTGTCTGTGCATGACACAGAAACAGACGCGTCAGAAAGACCTGGAGAAGGAGGAAGAGGGGGGAGTTGGTGAACGGTGGACGCCGTCAGTGTCACGGTAGGCTACGCGCGCTTCAGAAGTACGATCCAAAAAGTGGGCGCTTCACGCGCACCGATCACTTCAGATCCAGATCTCTAGGTCGATCACTGAAAGTTGTCAGGTTCGCGCTTTCCAGAGCCGCGCCGCTCACTACGTCCCTCTCTCTCCTTCGCTGCTGCGCTCTTCTCTCTTGCGGAACTTGTGCTCTACCGCATACACGAAACAGCTCCCACCATGTTCAAACGCGTCGAGAAGCGCATACGCAAGAAGGAGCGCGACGAGGAGCTGGGCCTCGACGGCGAAATGAAGGAGGCTCTGGGCATAAACGACCTCAACTCGGACGACGAGTCTTCGGACTCTGACAACTCCGACGACGGTAGCTCCGACGAGGACGGAGACTCAGAAGCGGGTGCGGAATTACAGGAAGACGGCAGTGACGCAGAGGAGGGCTCGGAGGCGGATGAGGACGAGGATGCAGGGGAGATGGACCTGGACGTCGGCGAGCTAGAAGGCCTAGAGGAAGACGCGTCCGACGCAGATGATAGCGAAGACGAGGGCGAGCCGCCTATGTCTGTCTCCCAAGCCCTGCAAAATCCGCTGTACATCGTCTCGCTTGACCCCGAGGTCAGGGAGTGTATCGTTTGCCCCGGGAAGCTCATCAAGAACACCGTCATGGGTGAAGTGCACATCAAGTCTAATGTACGCCTGCACCTCATTAGTGCTAAGAATATATAGCTAACTTGTACTGAGGACACAGGCGCACACACGACGGTTCACGCGCGTCCGGGAAGCAGCCATGGCCGTCGACGCGGACACGGACGTGCGCCTCCTCGTGCGTGCCGCGCTCGCGGATGCCGAGACACCGAAGCCTGCTGAGGGACCCGCGTTGTCCAAACGCGCACTGAAGAAAGTATGCGCGTTCGTATCCTACTATCTAGAGCGGCCACTTGACAGTCATACTTTCAGAAAGCGAAGTTGGACGCTATCAAGGCTAAGCGCGAAAAGCAAAAGGCCATGAAGGCGAAGGTCAAGGCGCGCAAGGAGGCCAAAGTCTCCGCTGCAGGCTCCTCAGAATCAGAGGCCGAGGATGAGGATGACAAGCCCTCTCCCCCGAAGCCACCTCGCTCAAAGAAGCGGAAGCTGCAGCCAGAGGATGCCGATGCGAAACCACCGACAAAAAAGCCAAAGCCTACGAAAGCCGCCCCACCAAAAGCCGATGCGCGTTCGAAGGCACCGAAGGAGGCTGTCGCGCTCTCAAAACCAGCAAAGAAGGCGCCAGCACCTGCTAGCGACAAGCCGAAACCCAAAGCGAAGACAGCAACACCTAAAACTGTGAAGCCTTCTCCTACGAAGGCCACTCAAAAAGTCGCGGATGACGCGAAGTCGAAGAAGAGGCGGCGTAGTGAACCTTCGACATAGGGATAGCAGGGGATATTATGTATATTCTATATTGCAGCAGCGATTAACGTCCATGCAGATACATTCCACCGGTAAACAAGAGGCTAAGGAGCGGAAGAGCGCGACGACGCAAAACAGAGATGGAAAGCATATAAACACTACGCTAGCGGACGCGGACGGAAGGGAGACATGGACGCGCGCTCGTCACCGCAGGCTCCGCATGACCTCCTCGGTCAAACGAATTACCTGTCGCAAAACATGAGTTATCACGCCTGTTATAAAAAGGAGTAAGGCACGTACCTCGTGGATGTCAGGCCGTTCTTGAGGGTTGACTTTGAGCATGCTGTCGATCAGGTTTTTGAGTCCCTGAGAATACGCTGAACTGGGGTGCTTGTACTGCGCGCCCATAACGGCCATCGCTATTGAGCCACCCTGCTCGGTAGTTTGTGTGTTCTCGAACGGCGAATGGGAGTAGGCGAGCGCATAAAGTGTACAACCGAGCGACTATGTAGTCGGGATACGATGAGAATAAGTAATTAGTGATAGGGCTATCACGTACCCAAATGTCGACCTTTTCGTCGAGCGTGATACCAGTCTTGACATCAAACAGCTCGGGCGCGCGGTATGCCATGGTGCTCTGTTCAGCGGCAATATCCTGGTTGAACGGGCGGTGGTCAACAACAGACTACTTTCCATCACACGACAATTTCCGACCTGTTGCAACAGCGCCTGAGAACGGTTCTCGACCTTGATTCGCGCTTTCACAGTGCTACCAAAGTCCATAAGAATCGGCTGGTTGTCGTCCGCGATCATAACGTTTCTTCGCGCGCGTATGTCAGTACTGCATTCCGCATACGCTAAGCTAGCACATACCCTGGTTTCAAGTCCCTGTGCGCGTAAGGCACGAGCTCCGTGTGTTCTGCACTGCCGTTGCCCTCATGTTGTATGTGCGACAACTCCTCGTCGCCATCAAACACTACGTCATCCTGTGGCCTGTCCTTCGACATAAGAGGGACGTTCGCCGCGCTTCCAGGTCCGTGGTAGGAGTAGCCGCCGTCAGCATCGCCCTCGGGATGCGGAAACATTTCGTCATCGTCATCTTCAGAGTGCCGTGGCGACTGGCTCGGGCTGCGGTGGGCGGATGACGACTGGTTCGCGCGCGAGGGCGCTGGGTTCGCTTGGGTGCTGACGGGCGCGCGGTAGTCGTGCATCGCGCGGATGGCCTCGCAGGTGCCCTTGAAGTAGTGCAGCATCTCGCGCTCGGAGAAGTGGGTGTTATTGATAGAGTTGGCGTTAATGGCGTCTTGGAGGTTTCCCCGCTACATGCAGGGATCAGTTCCCGCAATGGTCCGTGCAAAGGTGGTGTGCATACCTTGTATAGAGGGAGGAAGAGGTAGACTATCTGACCGTCTCCATTGGGATCCTGTACAACTGCGGAATCCTGTCGGACAGCATTTGAGAACATTTTGGACTTGAATTGAAACACGTGTGCGTACCATAATACGAATGATGTTTGGGTGCCTTGAGAATGCCTTGAGCGTGAGTTCCGCGATGCAGGAGGTGGCAACTCACTTGAAACGCCTGTACGCTTCTACTTCGCGCATAGCCTGCCTGACATCCTCGTTTCCACTGGGACACCGGATCTTCTTGAGCGCAAATTGTCGCTACGGTCAAATCATTTAGCGTTGTTAATCTCTGCTAGTCTGGCAAGGCTTCGTACCCCGCTATTCTCGTCCTCCACCAGATACACGAAGGAGAACCCGCCCTCTCCCAGGACGCGGATAATCCTAACTACAACCGCGCGCGTAAGCAAAGCCGCGCTATATGGTCACTCTCTGGGAGGACGTGTACTCACACGTTCTTCCGTTGATCTTGACCTTGGCGGCTTGCTGGCATATACATGATGAGAGTGCCCAGAACGCGTCCTTGAACTGGTACTTCAGTCCTTCAAGCGTATGCTGAAGTTGTGGTGGGAGCGACATTGCAAGTAGAACGCGCGCGAGAGAAGCAGGACGTGGAGGGAGGAGGAGGGAGAGAAAGCGAGGGAACGGGCGTGGTGGTCTGCAGTAGTGGCAGAGGCTGGGTGAGCGGTCGGTGCAGGTCTCACTGCCGCGGGATAACCGTTCTTGGAATCCTTCGGGTTAAACTGCCCCAGAACGGATTGGATTTCACCGCCTAATACTCTGTGAGGCGATTCAACCCAACGTTCCAAATCGGGCAAACTTGAAGCGCCTAAAGACATCCCAATCGGGCAAACCCCGGCGCCTGCCCTCTGATATATACTCCCACCTCCTCTCCCTTTCCCCCTCGTCGACGCCCCCTCCCCGGGCGTCGCGCTGCTCAGCGGGATACCCGCTGAGCACGCGTTCGCCGTTCTGGTGCAGGGGCAGCCCCTCCCGCCCGCCCCGCCTTCTCGCTTATTCGCACACCTGCCCCCTCGCGTACCCGCCCCCTCGCGTATCCGCCTTCTCGCGTACCCGCCCTCTGCCCCGCTCGCGTGCTCCTCGCCCGCTCTTCGCGCCCTCGCCTGCCCGCTTTCCGCGCACCCGCGCCCGCGCACTCTCCGCTCCCTCGCCCGTCCGCCACTCTCCTCACCCTCG